GTGCGCGGTACACTTTGGCTGCCAGCCTGACTCGCTTCGTGGTCTACAACTCTAAAAATGGACACAAGAAAAGCTCTCACTGTATTTCTAAGACATCCTTGATTGGGCTGGTTACAATCTCCGATTTTGGCGCCGCGTAACGCTGAGAGTCCTGTGGTGCGCGGGACAATCAGCCCTGGAACGCGACGCAGAGGTGTGGTGACACAGGTCAGGCAGCGGCCGTCAGCGAGCCGGAGCGTATGGGGGCTTGTTTTGCAAAGCAAGGAGCAAATGTGCATGCCTGATGCCTCACATGCTCAGAGGAAGGTAGCGGAGGCACGGAAATGAGGAGCCTTGCCCACCTTATGCCCTCAGCTGTGTCTTCCCTTGAGAAGAGTGCTCCCCCCGCCGGATACATCCTTTAGGAATGAGCCCCGACAGAGTGAGGCGGAAGATGTGGCACAAACGGACAAAATTGTATTGTCAGTCTCCTGTCATCCAGGCGGCAGCACTCGGCCCGGTCTTGCTGCAACCATCTCGGAAAAGAGGACAGCCACCAAAGAGTTGAGGCTGTTTGGTTGTCCACCTCCCGTGGCTGCCTTTTGCTCCCTGGCTGCGTCCTGGGCCACGAAGCCAGGACTGCTGGAGCGACGGACAAATTTCCGGATGCAACTCCTTTTACTCGGTGGTTCTGCAGCCATCCTGGTGGCTGTGGAACACCCTCCAAAAAACAAAAAAGAGTTACTTTCGCCTGCCCCTCAGCCACCCAGATCCTTATGAACAACAGGGACCCTTCCAGCGGCCTCAGAAGATGCATTATCTGTGTGAAGTGTGAAGGCGTGACTTGAACTCACAGCAGCACGGATCAAGATGCTCTAGTTACACAGCATCAGGTACGCGGTCAGCAGGGCGTGCCTCTTCCTGACTGGGTGGTTGCGCCAGGACTCTCCCGCCAACTTTGTCCACCCTACCTTGAGTTCGGCATGTGTCTATTTACTCTCGCCCGAAAGGATTCCTCGCACTCCCGTATGAAACTAACCCTAACAGAGCAGCAAGACAGGTTCGGCAACGGCTGAAGACATCCATCGGCGGGGAAAACCTTCCGCCTGGCCCGACAACTCGTCCCACACCTTTTCCTCATCAGAAGAGACTTTTCATGCTCACACTTGGTCTCCACTACGAAATTTTATCTTGCTACTCAAATCCAAGCTGCAGTAGCCTCTTGGTGGCTGTCCGACTTGCATTCTATCCCCGAACCTGAAACTAGGTGTCTGGGAGGGTGCGCCGCTGCAATCGCCGCAACCATTTGATTTTAACAAGCTTCAGCATCACATTTGGAGTGTATGACCTTTTTATAGACCTCTGTGGAGCGAGGGGCACCAGTACAGATCAGTTGTGGCGAAAGAGATCCAGATTTGGCGCCCTGGCGGTGGCGAGGACAACGGCCTCAATCCCGGCCCGACCCGCAGCCATTTGCAAACCGATTTAATGAGCTTCTCCAAGCTTGGGGATGAGAAGGCTAAACGATACAGTTATTGGGATGAAATTCTCAGTAATCCGAGGCGTGGCTTGGCGCTATGTCTTTGAATCACGAATCAATAGCAAAGAAAAGCAAGGGTGTATGGGGTCGCCAGTCTCTTTTCCTCTCATTGGTGGTCGTCAACCGACGAGTTTGCTGAAATTTCCAGCAGTTAACCCTGGAGTAGCTGGAATGCTCTGAGCCACATTCGCTGCAGCAGTGTCTCTAACTGCAATGGCGCATGCAGAAGTGAGGTATACCGACATGCACGATCGCCGAGACAATACCAGGTTACGGGCTTCACCAATTGCAACTGCTCGGACGAAAAGATTACAGATTGCTATGCCGGCTTCTTCGAGTCACAGAACCCAGCATAATACTGCCGACGCGATCGGACGGCAGAGCAACGACAGTGGGAGGGCGTAAGACACCACCGAGCAGACGACAAAAGTTCTCTTCCCCGGTCATGCTTGGGGGCGGAACATGGGTCGTATGACTGCCGCAAATATACCCAAACTGCAACGATGCAATAATTACTTTGTCAATATTCTTAAGCGACGCCGGCAAGTTGACTCCCCGGTGCCAGGGTAGTTTGCCGATGAGGCAGCCTGCCAGCCCATTCGCCCAGCTCCAGTCGCCCGGCCCTCTTTTGCGAAGCGGATCAGCACATCGGTCTCTAGCCAGAAGGGAAAAAGGCGTCGATGATTTCACTTGGCCGGCAATAATCTGGAACCTACGACAAGGCAGCGAGAATGGCCGCATGGAGACTGGTCAAGGGAGGGGAGGCGTTGGTGTTGACTGGTTTAGGCCTCAGAGTTGTCAACCAGGCAGGGGTCGCTCAAACGGGCCTCGGATCCGCTGTCCGCGGGCTTGATGGATGCAGCTCATCTGGAAAAAAGGCCAGACAAGGCTCCGAGTGAGTGCCCAAGGTCGCGCGGCTGGTCAAATTGATCCTTGTTCGTAGCCTCACTTTATTGTTGTAAGTTGCGGTCAAGGGATGCTTTATCGAAGCCCAAGATGCGCCAAGAAGGGAGACAGCGTTGGCGGACCAACTATGGGGCATGTTTGTAGGATCATATCAGATTTTGCATCTGTTCATAGCACAACGTCGCTGCTTCTCGCCACATGACTTCTCGGATGGGCCGCGATGCAAGCACTTTCACTGTGGGGTTGTGCATCTGGTGATGCGAGATGGGGTCTAGGAGGCTGTAACGGTGAGGCCCTGTTTAGGATGATGTTATTATGGGATTCTCGGAGGGTATTTCAGGATACCTTTCTTGTTCCTGGTGGGGAAGATGCTTTATCAAGGGGAGTGGTGCGTGTGATCGCAGTGTAGGCTGAGGAAAGTAAGGCGGGCTATAGGAAAACTGGATGCGTAGTGTGTGTTTTTTTTTTTAAAAAAAAAAAATTATATCGCCTTTCGTCGCTATCCTTGTTCATATTCGCCTGGAGTCGTCTTCCTGAGCACGTGGTAGCATGACGGAGGGGGAAGATATGCACAATTATTAGGTAGTGGCTTTTGAAAATTTGCTAAAACAGAACAACATGTTTAAATTGAAGGTTGAAATTTATTACTGGCCTACCCGTTACTTCACAAAAACGATTAACAATATTGTTATTTGGTTAAAACTATTTTGATGGTTAAGTCTAGGTTAGTTATGTTATTTGGGTCTGTGTAAGTCCCGGGCCGATCTTGTTTGATCGGGTTGGATCCCCTTAGCGCCTAGCGTCACATAACTATTGGCCGGCCCGCGCAGTCAGAAGGGAAGTGCGGATACGGGCAATGCTTACGCCGCAAAGAAAAGGCTCTACTCTCCGCGCAAAGGCTAGGTGTTCTTGCTCATCCTGATCATAAATCTCATTCTAGCTGCAAGATTTCTGTGTTCAACTGCTGCCTGATATGACTCTCCTCAGTGACTTGCACAGTTGCGGTGCGGCGTAGCAAAGACGCAGGTACCGCGGTGGTTTGGCTGGCTCAGGGCCGCCGTCTTCCATTTTCGGAAATTGAGCTGCCAGCTGCTACCAGCTGCCCAGCTGCCAGCTGTCATGGCAAACGAACACTCTCCATTTTGGCTGTTTGCTCGTCTCGTCTTCGACAACCTTCACATCACCCCTTCACATGCACACATCCATCTCCCACCCCCCCCTTCATCGCGGCTTCAATCTAACCCTCCAGCCTATCAGACCCATCGCTCGTAGGCATCTCCAAGGGCACACCACACACACTGGTTTCAGCATCTCGACCGACCCCACTCTCGGACGTGCAGCTTGCATCACTCTCCTCAAGCCCTGTGCCATGAAACCTGGGGCCGATTCAGCAACATCTTGCCTTGCTTGGTCATCCCGACCTCTTGCCCCCTTTGCCTGCCCACCCGTGAGATTTATTCTTGCAGCTGCATACCTACATCTCGACGCATCTCCGCATACAGCACTTTTGACCAACCTCTCTCCGTCGCACAGGGGACGCACATACGCGCACACACTCACAGTGTTGTGGCGGCCGCGCGGTCCCCCCCCAGGCATGGCCCGGACGGCGCCGTAAACCTACCAGAGAAAGACCACGCGCGACCTCATATGGCGACCGCGCTGCTTGTGGTCATCCGGTCGACTCGCAACGGCCATATCTGGAAAAAAACAAGACCCCGACTATACCGAAAAGGACCGATAGAGCGACTCTAGAAAACGAAAGCAACAAATCAAGTACCCAAAAACGCCAAGTTCCCACCCGGCCGCTGCATCGGGCCTCACCAGCATCCGCTCCCGTGAATACCGCGACTTGGTCCGCAGCTTGCAGCCATCCATTGCCATGGACTCTGACAGTCTGCCACCACTACCAGCTTCTTCTCCCCTTGCGCCCGCCCTGAGCGATGAACAGCTCATGATCCGGACCCGCAGCCTGGCTGCCTCGACTTGCCGTTGTCCTCACGCCCCCACGGCCACGTCTCGACCGCAGCCAGAGCAGACGCCTCACGACAATGTCGCTGCGACAGGGACCGCGGCGCCGACATTAGCAGGTACTTGTCGCTCTTCTGATGCCCAACCTCCCCTGCCAGTCTACCAAGACTCCCACAACGCACCAGGTAGTGTATTTAGACCCCGCGGCGTGACTTACACCCCGGTGCCTCTAGCACGCGGCTTGGGTCCTTTGGTTCGTGACCCTTCGTTGCAAACACTACCGGCAGAGATCATGCTCCATATCTTGGGCTATCTTGATGTGGATGATCTGCTGCCTACTTCACGGGTGAGTACTCAATGCGCTTGCCCGCGGTGCCCAAGAACCTCGGGCAGCCTAATGTCACTTTTTCCGTTTCGGTCGAATTGAGACCACGCTCGCCTTTGCGCCACACACACCGTGACCTTGAATGTGTACATACACTTACACGTTGCTGACTCGGGCACCTGGCTGCAGGCATGTCGCTCTCTGCGCGCTCTCTGCGCGGACCCAGTCCTCCATCAACACCGCCTCAGGCGCACTCGGCTCACCCTCCCTCCTTTACTAGCCATGCATAACCGGCTTTCCCTAGAAGATCTCATCACCCGCTCCATCTTCCTCACACACACGTCAGTCGTGTCTCGAAAGCTTGCCCGGTCCCTCGTGTCGATCCGCCTGTCCCGTCGTCTAGCCGCTCGCCCCTCCCCGGAGGCACTAGTCCAGCGTGCAGTGTTGCCTCCGGAATGCGTCCCCGGCATGGCAACTGTACACGTCGTCCCCGGTCTGGTGGCCAAGCGCAGGGCCATTGAGAGGGAAAGAGTCAGGGATGGTCTCAGGCGGTGGATTGCTGCCAAGTGGCGTGGGGAGGTACAAGAGCGAGAGGAGAGGGCTCGCCACCGAGACGAGGTACGTGGCGTCGGCCGGGTCTGGCGACTTACTCGATTTTGGGAGCAGGTTGGTCGTGATGAGCATCGTCTAGCCATGCGTTAGGCAGCAATGGTTTGCTTTTGTTCTCTTTGATTAAGTTCCATGTACATCTGGGCCGGGAAAGCAGGCTGTTTGCTATTTGTGCTTAAAGCCCATCTGTGCTATTTTGCGAAGACATGCGCTGCCATGTTTTAATGATTAATGACTAGGATGCGGGTTGGTTTAGGGATAGTTTCTATTAGATACACGGAGAATAAACTGCTCCTCAATTGTACAATACAGCATTTTGCCTTTTTTTGCTATATACTTCCCAGCTGTAAACTTCAAAGTGACTCCATGACGTGCCCGAAGATCAACCAGTGCCTGTCTACGATGCTGTTGGCCAACAGCAGGCAGACAGTATCAAAAAAAAAAGATGATGAACGCAGGATTCAAAGGTCCGTTATTTGCGGAACCTAAAGCCATTCCAGTCATCATCGTCGTCATCGTCATCCTCCTCATCGTTGTCGTTGTCGCCGTCGTCGTCTTCTTCTTCTTCTTCTTCTTCTTCTTCAGCGCCGCCCTTGGCCTCATCCTCTGTGACGACGGCCATGCCGTCCCCGTCCGGCAGCTGACTCTGCAACCTCGCCGGGGCGTTGCCGTTGCCCTGCTGGCTCACGCTCGACGCCCGCCTGCGCAGCTCCTCCCGCTTCTCCTTGAGCCGCCTCACGCGCTCTTCCAGCTGCCGCATGTCGTCGAGCTCCTCCTCGCGCGCGCGCGCCGCGTCCTCGCGCTCACCCTCGATGTCCAGGTCGGCGCGGCTCTTGCGCGGACCACCACCGTCACCACCGTCACCATCGGCGGCGGCGGCGGCGGCGGCGGCAGCGGCGGATTCTTCGGCAGTCATCGCGGGAGCGGAGATGACGGCGTCGTCGGCGTAGGGGGCAGCAGCGACGGCCATTTCCGCCTCGAACGCGGCCCACTCGTCCTCGTCGACCTGGGCAGCGGCGGGGGGGAGTTTTTCGGTGGTGGTGGTGGTGCGCCCGTTGGTGGCGGTGGTAGAGGTTGCGGTAGCGGCGGCGGCGGAGGAGGAGAGGCCAGGCGTGGAGGACGAGGACGAGTCGCGGTGGGCGGCGGGCGTGGCGGGCCGCGAGGGGATCTGCAGCTCGACGCCGCGGGAGGGCGTCGAGGACATGCGTCGCGCCAGCGTGGGCGGCGTGCGGTTGGGTTCGCGGCGGGCGGTCGTCGGGACGTTGGTCGAGGAGGAGGAGGGCTCCGCGTCCTTGCTGTTGCTGCTGTCTGTTGTCCGGCGGTGGTTGGCCGCGGAGACGTCGATGGAGATGTCGCCGCGGCTGCGCTTTCTCCGAACGGCCTCGTCTAGATCCATTGCGTCGTCGTCGTCCTCGCTAATTTTTCGCTTGTGAGGATGCGTCGTCCGTGTCGTGTCCATGATAGCAGCAGCATCGACGACCTTCTCCTCGTGCCGCTGCTGCTGCTCGCCTTCCACCACCACGGCCCCCCCCTCCTCTGGGTTATGTGTTTGCGCGGCTGCTGTGCGCCCCTTGTGTTGCCCCCCATCCGCGGCGGCGGCGGCGGCCTCTGACGGACCCGGCTCGGTTGTGGAGGTGACGACAGCCTGCCGTCGACGGTGGTTTGTGCTCTTGGTGTGCGACTCCCACTGGCTCTCGGCTCGTATCTGCTCGCGGCAGAGGGTGCACAGCAGCTTGCCCCCGTCGGAGTAGGCGGCGTGCGGGTGGTCGATGCGGCGGGACTGTCGCTGCTGGCGCAGCAGAGCTCGCACGTCGGCCATGCTGAATCGTGATTTGGTTGGGGAGGAGGAGAGGAGCTGGCGAGGAGGAGGAGCACAGAGTCGTGGAGCTTCGTCTGTGCCACCGCTAATGCATGGATTGGTGCACCCAAGTATACGAAGCATTTGCGACTTTCTCGGCCCGTCCTTTTGGGGTTTCGCAAACAAGAAAGAAAAAGTATAAAGCTCAATGGTTAGAACTGATGAATTGCAACATTTTAGAAAAGTTTCCTAGCTCAAATTTAAATTGCCCTGAACACACTCAAGAGGTTGGATCATCATTGAGCTTGCAAGGATGGCGGGATCCCACCGCCGTAATTTAACCGACGTGTTGCACACGCCGTCTCCCGGCTCGCAGGACCCGGATAGTCCACTCCCTCCCATCTTCAACAACAACCACAACAATCCCGGTCCGATATATCCCCCACCTGGATCGGCAGCCTCCGATGACGATGCGAGCCATCTCTTCGACGCTCTCATAACGGAAATCATGGAGGAACAGGAGGCCGTCTCCTTGTCGTCGACCTTTCCCAACCCGCCGTCGTTTTGGAGAGACTTTACGCCCGACAAGATTGCGCGCTACGAGCAGCTGCGCAACGAACACGATGAGGGAGAAGCCAATGGCAGGACGACTGGCGATGAAGGCTACAGGCCGCAGACGCGAATCGAAAATCTCCCCGAAGAGCTGACGTACCTGCAGCCGCCTGCAGAGCCTACCGATGGACGATGGCGCGTGTTTGGTGATCAGTACATGGTACGTATGATGAAAGCTCGGCAGTCGCCCCGTCGCTCTCCGCATCGCATTGGCATCTAACCGTTGTAAAATTTTGCAGCTCAACGACCAGCTACCCACCCTCCAGGAGCAGGGCATCACCAACCTCCCCGCGACGGGCCAGTCGAGCGCGCGCGACGCCAAGCACTACGACCGCGCCTTTGAGCTCAAGCGTCTGTCCAAGTCGCTGCTGCTCAACTTCCTGGAGCTGACAGGCGCGCTGTCGCGCAGCCCGTCGCAGGCCGAGGCCAAGGTGGAGGACCTGCGCACGCTCTTCATCAACGTGCACCACATCCTCAACGAGTACCGCCCGCACCAGGCGCGCGAGTCGGCCATCGAGATGATGCAGGACCACCTGGACCGCACCCGCACTGAGACGCTCGCGATACGGACGCAGGTCGATAAGGCGAAGCGTCTGCTGGAGGGTCTCGGTAGCCTGAGCCTCGGCGGCGACGGCGCGACGCAGCAGCAGCGACCGGCGGAGCGAAAGCAGCAGCAGGCGGCTGAGGGTAAGGGCGGCGCGGACGGCATAGATTGGGAAATGGAACGGCGGATTTGGGCGTCTGTGGACGACTTGTTTTCATGAGCTTCATTGGGAGGGCCAGATATGATACCCACGACATGCAATGGGCCGGCTCACTCCAGCGGTACGACAGAACGCAACAGCCCTCGACTTCTCTGAGGCAGCATCGCAATATTGATACGACCGTACGTGCACGAATCTCGAGCACATGATCAGCCCTTGGCTCCATCCATGCCGCTCGAGACAAGCAGGCGGCACTGCAAGACAAGTGCCACTGCCAGAGACGCAGAGCCGAGGGCGCGGGCTTCGCGACATGCGGAAGAACCGATTATTAACGCATGATATAGCAAAACTATGCATGATTAGCAAACTATCGACCACTCGGACGAGGCTAGAGAAAAGTCACAAGGCTGGCAGTTGCAAGCCTAAATAAAACAAACAAGTACCAATGTATAACGCATTCCAAACATTAACATGCTTTGATGTGTAAGGAGGTCTCGTCGACATGTAGTTTGATATGGCGAGCCGCCGAGGTTGTCGCCCGGCCCATCGCGAGCAGATACGCGGACGTTGGTAAGAGCCAGTCTGCGCTCCCCGGGACGGCGGCCCTCGGGTTGGGCGGGGCCGTCACCGACGCTGGGCATACCGGGGGATGAAACAACGCCAAGAAGCCGGCCCCGGGCTCCGTCGCTGACGTTGCCCGTTTCCCCGTCTCCGGTCCGGGGCGTGTGCTAGCTAGGCTCCAGTTGATCGCGTGAATAGTACCAGCAATAATAACAGCGGCCATAGTGAAGCGGCCTGATTGCCTTTTGTCCTTGCCGTTGTTCACGCCGCCGCTCAGACTCGGCACCACCACAATTTGCACATGTATATAGAGTTTAAAAAATTTATGAAGACGCTTTGACAGGAAAGCAAAAAATTAATAATAAAGGAACATTTGTAACATATGGTTTAAATGATTGATTTGTTTTAAAAGAATAAACTCGTCAAGGTGGATGAATTTAGTCCACACGTCAGAGCGGGAACGAAGACGTCCTGGGTCATGACCCTGGCCTGCGAAGCCAGTCGACCGCCGCCAGCCTCAGTTCTGGACGTGGGCGCGGACTTCAATTTCGACCCTCATGTCATCGAATGCCAGGCGCGGGACTCCCAGAGCAGTCCAAGCAGGCTGGTGGTTGGGGCAGTAGCGCTTCAGGCAGCGGACCATGGTGTCCATGGCCTCCTGGTTGCATGGCAGGTGATGAGAGCGGAGGAAGAAGACATCCTCCCACCCTCGGCTTCCCGCCAGCTTCAGGGTTCTCTCAACGTTTTCGAAAGCCTTTTCGATCTGGGTCACGATATTCGGGTCGATCTTGTCGGTGTCGCGGTCCCAGCCACCTATGTAAAGGCCAATTGTCAGAGGAGGAGGAGGCAGTGAGAAGAGGTGGCAGGTATGGGGAACTCACCCTGCCCGGAGCACTCAATCACGTCGCCGACTCGGACGGCCTGGCTGTACCATAGGTTCTTCTTGGCCCTTTCGCCGTAACCTTCATAGGACGTGTAGGTGAGATGAGACATGTTGGCTGATGTCTTGCGTGGGGGATATGAGCCAGTCGATGCAAACGAAAGAGCAACATAAACAGTTCGAACCTAAGAGGAAGTAGATTATTAGTATACTGATGAGATGCCCCAGATGCAGCCAACGCCGCTCAAATAAATATCCTTACCAATCAGCGGCATTTTCGACGCCTTGCACTACAAGACGCTGGCAATTAGGCTTTACATGGTGGGTCGTGAGCTTTGTAATCTCCAGCAAAGCGCTGCAGTTTACGAAGACACATTCTGCAGCGACCACGTCACTGCACCAGGAAATGCGGATAATGATGGGAGGCAGATGTATCTGACCGAGGATAGTCCGACGTGGCGATGCATCGACCCGGATGGTGATAGCCGGACTTGTCGAGTGGGAAAGTGAACCTCTTTGTTTGCTTGGTAAGCATTCATTTGACATTCACATCATAAATCAAGTTTATTTGCGCACTCGCTAGTCCTGTGGAGCCCAAGCATGGATACTACTCACTTTTCTCGGTCGTTGAGCCCTCCCCGAACTGGTGATTTAATGCTCACGAATCGCTCCATCATGGCCTCACTTACACAGAATGTGCGCCTATCACTAATATCATAATAATGGGTCAGTAGTTGATGATATATAATTTAACTTTTGATTTGCTATATTAAATAATTTTAACCAATCGTTTTAACATTTCCCTATATACCTGCTTCGGGCGACTTTCGCCTTTGAGATTTGATGAAAGCGGTGAAGGAGTCAGCGGCATCAGGGGTTTCTGCAACAGTTATGTAACTAACTAGTCAGTCAACTTGCCACGCCCGCAATTTTAAGGCTGCAAGTAAGTGCATCTTATCCTGCTCTTCTTTCCACCCCACGAGCGGCTGAGACGAATGAGTATTGGAAAACACCAAAAGCTATGCGCAGTCTGCTTGGAACTGCGTTGAGGTCTATGCCTAGCCGTAGGCGTCTCATTCCGATCCTGATATATTGGCTTTTGCAGCCCTCTACATCCATTCATGGCGGGTCCGCCGTTTGCCGTATCCTGGGCTAACCAAGCTTCACATCCTAACACCATAGAAACAATCAACCAGTACGTGAAACTCAAACAGCAACGCCGTGAGCTCATTACACCACAATTAGCTATTAGCACATATTATAGCCTACAAGACGTCGACAGCGAGCCACTCAAAGCATATAACCCTGGCTGGATATCGGGCGATGCAAATCACTACTGGGATTACTTCCGCGAAACATGCCCGCCCGATAGCCCGGCCCGAAACATCACCGTCTTCGAGTCATTCAACATGCCCGTAGAGTACCCGAGCCAGCAAATGCCGTATACACACTATGGCTTTATACAAAACTTTACCCAAGCCCAAGATCCGTGTTTTCAACCACATCTGCCCAGTCTTCATGGCACATTCGTGGAAAGCGTGAGTATGTCGACTATAAAGCGCTTGTTCCCCCTATTTGCTGGCTCTAAACTCCCCACCAACAACGAGATACTGATCCCGGTGGCCATGTACCTTTCATCACGAGCATTCTATAATGATGGAGGGAGCGGTGGGGGGGAATGGTCCGAAAGAAAAACGGTCTTATATGGTGCGATATAGCGTTGGGTGGCCGCAATAGGGTCGATAACTGATGGCACTTTCACCGTCACCGCTGGGTGCAAATGATGAACGGGACCACCATCCCTCTTGCCGAAGCGGCCGTCAATTCAAGTAGCCCTACCTTCAACCTCCTCTCTGCCGAAAATTACAGTTTACCGAGCGGGATGGAAGGTACAGTTGGCGAGTGGCTCTCGACGTTTTCTGACGTGGTCTTTGTCCACCTCGAGTGCTTCCCTGAGCCCCCCCAAGAAGCCAAAGAAGCTTCAAGGCACGTGTTCCTACACAGAAAAATACATGTCCAGAGCGAAACCTATGCCTATGAAGCAGCAGTACCGCTATAAGTACTTGCCGGATATCGATGGCAACTCCTTTAGCGGCCGCTGGCGGGCATTCCTGAAGTCTACGAGTATGCCCCTCAAAGCTACTATCTACTATCTACGCCGAATGACATGATGACCGTATGGTACCGTGGGTTCACTTTTTGCCGTTGGATATGTCCTATAAAGATATTTACGGTATTATGAAGTATTTCCTCAATGGCCACGATGCACATGCAGAAGCTATCGCCACAGAGAGTAGGAACTAGGCAAATGCAGTATACAGAGAAGAGGATATCAAGTTGTATGTCTGGAGATTATTGCTGGAGTATGCACGGGTAGTGGATGATAACCGTCATCGTTTAGCATTTGTGGAGGATTCAAGGGGAGCAACACTCTGACTGAATAGAAAACACCCTGACTTTGTTATAAGGGATAGCCTTCTTCCCAGCCCTTTTTTTTCTCTAGAATTTATAAATATCTTGCATTGCATTCCCTTGCTCGAGCGTTGACTCTGCCCCTCATCAGTGAGAAACTGTCCCAGCTGCCAGCTACTTCGGGTTTCTCAAGACAGCACTCAAGTTGCTACTAGCCTAGATTCCGATTAATGCTAGAGTGTCGCAGACGGAGTGCGCGGGCGGTGCAGTATCATCACCAAAACAGAGAACTCAGAATTGCTGAGCACAGCCGAATGGCTTGACCTGATATGAAATTGGGTTGTGTTTTAACCCTGGCGCGAAAGAAATACGGTAAGGACTGGTGTTGTATTTAGCTAAGTATGGAATTCTGGCAGTACATTGAAGTCTTCAGGATAGAGCAGAGCGGTCAAGCCACATAGCATGGAAGCGAAAATTTGGTACAGCTGCAATGCCCAAACTGGCATTTTGCAGAACACTGCTCCTGAGGACCACCTAGTAGTTGATTTAATGTGCAGCCATATAACTTGGCCACTGCCAAATATACACACTCAAATTACTTGGCAACGGTGGCCCTGAACGATGGTGCTCCAGTCTCCATCCTCATGGTTGCTCCCGGAGGTCTGATCAGAGCCAGGATCGCAGACCTCGGTGATATATTGTGCGCTGTTGGCAATCCAGTTCCAGCCGTCAATGCTCTTGGTGGAGGTGGATTGTATCAATGTTAGTGTGTTCTCATGGTGACGATGGATGAGGGAGTAGGGTGAGGTAGTAAACAGAACGGTTTGACAAGGTGTCAGATGAACTTACATCGTTGCACCACCAGATGGCAGAGTTATACGAGCAGCTGACTCGAACACAGTTGTTGGGGCCAGGTCCGTTGGTAGGGTGTCCGGGAGGAAGGTTACGGAGGTAGGCCGCACCGTCTCCGATAGCCTTCTTATTGGCAGGCTGCTGGCCACCACAGGCAACCTAGCTGCGCTTCTCTTTGAGCCCCCTAGTCTCAACGACATTCGGGGCCTTGAAGTAGCGGTTCACGGTGAGAGGCTTGGCATACACCTCCTCAGAAGTGCCCTTAAAAGACTGGAACTCTCCGGGGAAGACCTCGACTCTCCATATCAATTAGCTCAAGTAGAGAGTCTGACGGATATAGCTATAGGCTTACAGCGTTAGCAGCTGAGGCTACAAGGACAACGGTAGTTGAGAAATGCATGGTGTTATAGAAGGGATGGGAGCAAGAGTGGCGCAGATGAGCTTTTCGTGTGTTGAATGATGTTGACTGTGAGATGTTTAAAAAAGCGATTCTTTTGCGGTACAGCAACCCTTTTCATAGTTTTCGTGCCGTCGCCAGACGGATGAGTGTTGAATCAGGCAAAACTATTAGCATCCTTGCATAACAAATCCAGTCCCAGACCTCCTTCGTCAGACTCGGCGAGGATACTTGTCACCTGCAGTCTACATGCATTAAGCTAACATTCCTTGTTTGTTTGCTTCCACGGTTGCATGCAAAGTGATAGAATATTGAATAACTCCAGCCTCGTCCGGGGCCACCGAATTGTTTCTCAGTTAGAGCCGAGCAGAGTAGTGAGCGTGGAGTTTAAGTTCAGTATATATAGTGGTTAGGAGTGATGGTGTTTGTCTGTCTATTATAGTCGTATTAATAGCTCCCACTCGCTCTGAGTTTACAAGTACACAAACAATACAGGATCCAGCCATGTTCTCTCAGGCAAGTTCACTCTTGGACAACCTGCAGAGTTGCATCGGCGTCACCCTTGTCGCGTGGGTTGATGGAATACCAAGTGTCTTTCTCAGCCGGCTTAAGCCGGTTGGCTGGGGACATGATAGAACGATGTATAACGCTCCCCGGCCACAAGAATGGCAGCAAACTATCCAATATCACAAGAAACCCTCCACACCCACGCATGCACCCGTGCAATGTAGCTAGGCGGGGGCTAATAAACGGTTGGCAGCCGCGTTTAGGGGCGGTTCGCAGTTCCTACTACATAGCCCAGAAGCTTTTCTGTAGCAAAACCGCCCTCCATCGCCAGCCTTGCTGAGGTCCTTGGGACATTGTAGTCACGCATACTTGGGAATTCAGAATATGATACGGTAATATTTAGGGACAAACTGGGGGGGGGGGATGACTGCCTGCCGGAGACATGGTGCCAATCTCGGGTTTCGGCGGATGCTTCCCGAGCGCCGAGAGCGCAGCATCCTGCCTGCTTCAAAACCTCGACATTTTGCCAGTCTCAAACATCCTATTCAGTGGGCAATCCGCAGCTAAGACATGCGTATAAGTGCCCAACCGCGGCTATCACTGCCAAGGGAGATGTAAATGGTGCGCTGAGGTGTTGAAGGAACCGGAAGCACCTTCCGTTGCAACTGCTCCCCCACCGCCCTCAACCAACTAGCCAACCATCTCCCCGTCGATGGATTAACTGTGCAAAGAGGCTGAGGATTGCTGATTCTTCGCTAGACCTGCAAAGCTGGCTAACAAAGAGTACCTAATACGTAGTGTCGCCGGCTGGCTCGGTTTAGGTCAAGACTTTGCCTTGCGGCTCGGGTTGTTCCTGCCCCCAATCAGAGCTGAAAATGAAAGGAACGACACGAAATCACTAGCCTGGAGCAAGATGCATCCATGGCGAGTCAATTCAGTAGAAAGTCTTGATCGTGAGGATCGTGCGGTTACGGTAATAAGACGGCCAAGCTTTCTGTCCTTTGTGCCGCTGGCGCCACGCGCGGATGCACTCATTCATTCGCCGGCTCGGGAACATATTTCGCTTTAGGAACTGCGACGGAGACCCCCGGCTTCGTCAAATTCACTGCGAGGCAACTCTGGCAGTCACGTAGGTTTGGATGTAAGACGCACATTCACAGACTAGGGAAACGAAAAATCAAGTACCTAAATTATTATGCGCTTTTGATTAGTCAATGCCCCTATGAGTGAGTTACAATTGCGAAGTCTTCGCACAGTCAAAGGGATAACCATTATCATTCATAAGTGTCGCCGCTATACCAGACAGCCCTTTCCCCATGACCACAATATCAGGAGCAAACTCTATATTAACACACAATCCACCACATTAAATAAACAGCTAGGCATGGTGAGCTTTGACCCCATCACTTACGGATTCTTTGGCCCTCCGTGCTTCTCCAACTGCACGCTCAGGTATTGGAGATCTTCTTGCGCTTTGGGCTCCCGCTCGTAGATGAACTTGATAATCTCCCACTCGCGGCGAGACATCTGGTGCGCTTGAGGAAGGAGGAACTGAACGGTAGGGACCTTGACAAAGGCGCCCAAGACCTCTTGGGCAACGTGCTGGCCGGCCTGCTGTGCTTGGACCTTTTGGGCCTCTGTCATTTGAGCAAATGGTGGCGGGGGGCTGGTCAGGTTCGAGGCGTTCGGCGGCGTTGGTGCCGGCGGCATGTGCCCTTGCGCAAGATGCGACGGAATCGGTGTTGCGAAGTGTCCTGGTGTGTTTCCGTTGGACGGAGAGCCGGCAAAGCTACCTTGCGGCGTGGCGGGGGAGAATGCAGGGCCGGGTATAGAGTTGCTTCGCTGCGCAGGGACCGCAGTGTTCAGCGCGGTGGCTACTGCAGGCGTCAAGGGAGAGGCTGCAGATTCATTCTTTGGCTGGATAGTCTCGGAAGGATCGTTTCGGTACACAAAGACTGCCAGTAGCATGGGTTCGGTTCGTGTCTTGGGAATAAAGTTATCCACAAGGTTCAACATGAACTCTGGATGGTTATTCTCCCCAGGAGGAACAGGCACGAGATATGTATCGCGAACATTACCTGCGACCTTGTTTCCGACAACGCCGTATCGCTTCTTGCTGACAAAGTAGTCCACCAACGCGTTGTATTCAGGCTGCGCTTCTGGAGAGGTGGGAGCCAACCCGACGACCACAATATCTGTCAGGCTGCTATAACGAAGACTGCATAGATATTCAATGGCACTCTGCTCCGTAATTCGGCCAGCTACTGCCATGCGCTTTGGAATGAGCTTGGACCAGTGTCCCAAGTTGGCAAAGTTGGCGCCGCCAACGTGTTTTCCGGTCGCGTGGAAGTCAGCAATCGAACTCATGGCCAGGGACCCTCTCCAGACAATGTCAGGGTCGGCTGAGTCTTCAGTAGGCGAATAAGGGGGCGAGTCATTCTCGTCTTCTAGCATCCGGTCGACGTCCGGGTCGAAACCGGGGCCGGACGTGTTGAGGACTGGCGCGGATGGCCGGCGACGGTGTGCTTGAGTCGGTGACTTGACTTGAGAAAAGACTTCTGAGATGTCAAACTTGGACTGGCTGGGAGAGCGCTGATCTTCGTGTTGCTTGGGTGATTGGGCCATGTCGTAGTCAGTGCTCATCGACTCGCGCTTTATTGTTTGGCTGGCGTCGGTGTTGGCACCGCGTCGAGCGCCACCTCCACGAGGTATCGGGAGCTCGCTCGTATTCGGCATACTATCGTCCTCGACAACTTCCTCGCCTTTGTGCGTCCTGCGAACGCGCGGGCCCGTATCTCCGGTATACAGGATAGACTGCTTCTCTGCCCGCGCCTTCATTTCTGCGGTTTGTTTTTGCATTTCTGCAGACGCAAGCTGTTCCGAAGTCATGACGGCCAGCCCAGCCGGAGAATGGGCCTTGTGAACTAACCCATCAACTAGTTCCGGGTTGTTCTTCAGGTTGAACGACAGCGACTTTATCTGCTGAGTGTACTCCTTTTGGCCCTTGGTGGCTGGGTGAGTGTCAAAGACAGCTCGCTCGATCTGGAGGGCATATGTCTCCGCCATGCTATCCGCCGTGCTATCTTTGGGAACTTTCAGGGAATTATTCTTCTCCATTGATGACAGTACGTGCAAGATTGACTTCCTAAGGGCCTTTGCGGGGCCCGCCCTGGCGGTTGGCAAGTCGGATATAGATGTGGCAAGATCAACAGGTGGCGTATATTGGACGCCGCTGGCATTTGAGTCATTTGCGGAAACGCGTCGCAACTTGGAGTTCTGTAGCGAAGTTAGCAGCTAGTTCAGGCGAAGCGATGTTGTTGAATTACATACCTTGGAGTCGCCGTCCTGAGAGTCGTCTCGCGACTTTCGTTTGCCTGGCCGACCACCAGACTCCCGTCTGTCTTTCGCTGAAGCGTCCGGGGCTGGCGACGCCTTGGCCTTCCCACGGCCATCTTTTTCAACCTCGTCTTTGGGATCACTTGTACGCTTAGCTTTGGGTTTCCTGCCGCCCCTCCTCTTTCTACTTGCCACCTCTTCCTCGTGAGCCTTGCGCCGAGCAATCCATGGCTCCTCTCCCTTGGCAATGCCGTCCAGTAGCTCTTTGTGGTCCTGTGGGCGGCACTGCTCGCACCAGTAGTACTCTGGGATCTCATCTTCGTATGAGCTCACACCAACGCAAACATTATGCTGCCAGGCGTAGCATGTCTCACACGAGATCCAGGCCTCGCCTGAGTCCTCGTCCTGCTCTGTAGCGCCGCAGACGCACCGGATGATCTCCTCGGGCTCTTGGGACTGCTCTGCCTCGTCCTGTGCCTTCCTCGACTTCTTTGTTTGGCGTCGTTTCGGGACAATGGGCTGCTCGAGTTCGTCAAAGGACTTTGTGTGCTGGCCCTTTGTCGCGCGCACTGAGCGCCTTGGTTCGGGTTCGCCTGCGAGGCAAGAGTTAGCATGAGCTCGAAGAATTGCACCGAGTGCATGGTGTCGCGCGACACACCAACGCCGCGTGTGATCGCAGCGCGCGAACGTTGCGCAAAGTGTTTGGGTGATGGAATGGTTTATAGCTTACCAGACATGGCTACTTAGCCAACGCAGCGCGGGATGCAGTCGCAGGACGCTCGCCCGCGATGACTTCTACTGTTTAGGTGGCTGGTCCAACGGGACTGGGGCAGTTTACGGAGTAGGCAGAGCTTTAAGCAGAACTAAACGCGAAAGTTTCCCCGCGCCACGAGGTGCAACAGTCCGTATCTATAATGGAGTTTGTAGTAGGTAGCGGAGATAGATCGCGTAGCCTGGCGTAGTGATCGCCAAGGTCGCGTATGTGACGTGCGCGCGCAACTATTTGGAGTGGTCCGTGGTCCGTCCCCTTTTGATTTTTCCGCTGTGGGTTTGCCCGGCCGTGTCTGAGCTATTAGACGTCACCTCTCGACAGGAATGGAAGGAAAAGATGAAGAAGGAAAAGAAAAGGGGAGATTAAAAAGAAGAAGTAGGGTGGAATAGATAGAAAATGATGCTAAAGAGCTGGAAAAGCTCTAGGAGCATGGAGTGGCGGTGTTGAAGGTGGCGAGGGGAAGAAAAGCTGCTTGGTAGAGGGGGGGGGATTCAAAAAGCAAGGGGCAAGATACGTCAACTTTGGGTGGTGGAAAAGCCAAAGTGACGCGAGGAGAAGCCTGGCGCCGCTGGTACGAGCTAGCTGCCTAACGGATCAGGCAATAGTTTGGGCGACACCTTTGTTTGTGTCCTGTCAACTACCAGCCGCCAGTACCACCCAGCCAAGTGCCCACCAGCCAGCTACATACCTACTTAGTAGGGAACGCTGACTAACACTGGCAAAACGCCGGCTAGCTTGAATGATGCCCCAAGCTAACTAGTCCGTCAACCAGCCAGCAGCTGCCCTCACAACGAGCTACGCGGCAACCGTGCCTGGAGCTTGGAACCAGCATCCCGTCCCATCATCCTGAGCTTCGAGACCTCACCGATTGGCCCTCTGCAACAAAAGACCGTCACCACCACCCGCGACATTGGATCGCATTGCCATTTCCCAAATTCAAACCTAGACATCCTCGTTTGTAGCCTCTGTGCGCTCGCGACGCCTTCATCATGTCTCGTCGCTACGATTCGAGAGTATGTCGCTCCTCCGCTGCAACAGCTGCATCAAAAGATTCCCCCGATCTAACCAGCGCTCCTTAGACAACCATTTTCTCGCCCGAGGGCCGACTCTACCAGGTTGAATATGCGCTCGAGGCTATCTCGCATGCCGGTACCGCCATCGGTATTCTCGCAAAGGACGGCATCGTTCTCGCTGCCGAGCGCAAGGTCACATCCAAGCTCCTTGAACAGGATACCTCTGCCGAGAAGCTTTACGTCCTCAACGAGTACGTTTCTGGGAAACCTACGCCGTGTTCCCCGCAAACTTTCCCCTTTTGCTAACTCCTCGTTTCTAGTAACATGATCTGCGCCGTCGCTGGCATGACGGCCGATGCCAACATCCTCATCAACTACGCCCGCCAAGCCGCCCAGCGATATCTCCTTACTTACAATGAAGACATTCCCTGCGAACAGCTCGTCCGCCGACTTTGCGATCTCAAGCAGGGCTACACCCAACACGGTGGTCTCCGACCTTTTGGCGTCTCCTTCATCTACGCTGGTTGGGACCCCCGCAGAGAATTCCAGCTGTACCTCAGCAACCCTTCAGGAAACTACGGTGGATGGAAGGCCACCAGCGCCGGCGCCAACAATGCCAGTGCACAGAGCCTGCTGAAGCAGGATTATAAGGAAGACTGCACGCTCGACGAGGCTTGCGCCATGGCCGTCAAGGTCCTGAGCAAGACCATGGACTCCACAAAGCTGAGCAGCGAAAAGAGTGAGTATTCCCAGAACTATCCGCGGGTTTGTCTTTTGTGCTAACATGTCGCTAGTCGAGTTTGCTACAGTAGGCAAGACCGAGGAGGGCAAGGTGTACCACAGATTATGGAGCGCAGACGAAATCACTGCGTTGCTAAAGAAGCACGATCTGTCCAAGAACGAGGAGGCCGAGGAGAAATAAATGCACATGCAAGGGATCGGGTTGATAGATATGAGGAAGGCATTCCTCTCTTAACTATGTACAACAAACATTACACAAATGTCTCTACATGCTCTGAGACGTGATGATCAGTTCCTGCCATTGCCCCTCAGTTGGCCCATTTCAAAGCCCGCGTCCTCGGACCCAGCCTCTTCATCACGTATTCGTTGCCAAGTTTGATTATCAGTGCCAGGCGGCGGATATGGCTGCGAGCATAGAGGACTGGTCAGCGGAGGCCAATGCCTGCGGTAGCTCCAGTACGCGACAGTAAAGCCTAGTGCCGACCCGACGCAGACGTCGTAGACATCGTGGCGGTAATCCTCGCATCTAGAAATAGCAATAAGGGCCGCCCCTACAAGCGGCGCCAGGCAGAAGAGGGCACGGCTGAGGTCGCGGCCGCCCGTGGCGGTCCTGAATATCTGAAACTGGCCGGCAAAGTACAGGCTCACGAAGCCGAGGCCGGCAAAGGAAAAGGACGAATGGCCAGAAGGGAACGATCGCCAACCGTCCTGCAGCTTGTGTCCGTCAGCAGCGGTGCACACATCGACGGTGACAAGCGTGTGGGCCTTGGTTCCCGGCTTGGGGCGGCACCGATCCAGGAGGTCAGGCCGTGGCCGGCCCACGGCGTTCTTGATGACGTCCGTCAGGAACAGCGTCAGTGCGACGGCGATGAAGAAGGAGAGGTAGGTGACTTCGTGCTTGGCGGCCGGCGACCGCGCGATCAGGTTGTAGACGATGAGCACGGCGAGCGGGATGAAGAAGGCGTACACAAAGTTCATGACTTGCAGGCCACGTTAGGGGGGAAGACCGTAGATGAACAAGGGGGAGGCGGTGTTTTTTTTTTGTCTTACCAACAGGCACACGCTCATGCTCTGCGTGTGGAAATGAGATGCGCAAGTCGTCGACGCTGAACATGCGATGAAACGGCGTCACGAAGAGGACCAGCTAGGGCAGGCGTTTAGTGTCGCGTGCTCTTGGAGAGGTCGGAAGGAGAGCGGCTTACGCATATCCAGCCGGCAAGCAGCAGAAGGGATCCAACATATTCAGGCGCGTGAGATGTCTGCGGGTTGCTTTCGTTAATTGTCTGCCGGCCATGACGCGGCGAATGGCAACGGTTTCGCTTACCAGCCAGAGCCGCGCAAACGGCGTCGACGGAATCCGGACGGGGCTGGACGTGCCGCGTAAAGGCATCCTTTTGGCTATATCGGGGCTAGTATGGTGCGTTTCGAGCTGATTACTCCCTCTACGCCATATCAACTCGTAGAATGTCGCTGAACGCTGGGCTTCCGTGTCGTGTTTGGGAGCAAGGAAGACGTGTCAGGACAAAGGTTAGGTAGGGGCGCTGATTCAGGTGTTCTGTCACAAATGTCGTGGCGCACCAACCTACCCCACAGACAGACGGACCTCTGCCAGCAGTAAAAAGTCGTCAAGAACTTGATAAAAACGTGAAGTTATTGATAAATATAATAAAAAAAATCCAGGACAAATTTGGTAAAAAAGTGATTTGTATGCAATGCGTATGCAATGCGTATGCATCCAAGTCCGAAGGTTGCATGTGCCGAAGCACTGCCAATCGTCTGCGGATATCCGCAAGTTTCCTATCTGCTATCTTGTCATGTCTTTTCCTTTAGGCTTCTTGGAGCATATCTCTTCCCACGAAAATGAAGCGTAATTTGTGCTGTCCGTCCCAAATCCCCTTGCTCCGCTCACATCCTACACGGGGACATCATACCTCTAATCCAAAATAGCACGGAGTTCTTGGATCTGGCCCCAGCACGGCTGATCGACTGGTACCGCCCAGAGCCGATTTCGTCTTAACACTCAATTTATATTTAAATACCGCTGCAACATCTACTGTAAGTCGAGAGTCAATAGCTTAAAGTTGCTCCAGCGTCAGCTGGTCGAAACCCCCGTCTTCTCAGACAGGGCAACGATGCGTCTAGAGATGTGGTGAGCCTCCCTGAAGGGGATGCTTTTCCTCACTGGCCACTCTACGACATCAGTGGCAAGCATCGTCATGTCCACAGACTGAACAGAATCCAACATGGGTTCCCAGCTCTCCTGAGAGTCTTTGGCATAGCAATATGGCAGACCTTTCATAGTCTTCAAAGGTGATAGTTAGTTGCTATTCTCAATACGTTCTTGAGCACCACCCAAGCCAGGCAGCTGGCTAAGATATCAAAATGAAAACTCACCATCATGAGGCCGGCCATTTGAACAAAGGCACGGTCTGACTTGCCGCGCAAAGGCTCAAGCGAGTCGCTATTCTTCTTCTTCAAATTGAAGGTCTTGTTAGCGCCGTTGACACTTCACCTATGCTAATAGGTTATGAGAAGCCTAGAAGACTTACGTTGGGAATCGCTGAGGAGCCTGTTGAATAAGAATCGGCGAGCCGCGCAAATCCAAATTCACTCGTTCCATAAGAAGATTGAATTTCAAGTGAGGAACTCAATGATATAATCGCGATTAGCGGAACTGTGCATCGAGTTCAAAGTGATCCCGCTGCAGCCAAGCTCCTCAGCCATGGCGTTTCGATCGATTTGGAATGGATTTCCAGCCAAAGCACCGCAACCAAGTGGACTAAGATTGACCCTTTCGTAAACCTGGCGCAGTCGCTCGAGATCCTGCTTGAAGGCAGAGGCGTGTGCCATTAGCCAATGTCCCCATCTGACTGGCTGGGCACGCTGGCTGTGAGTGTAACCAGGCATGAGGTAGTCGCTTCGTTTGTTAGCCACGAGGGAGCTGCTTGTGGCCAGGGAGGATGCTGAGCTTACATTTCGGACCCGGCGCCTGCGACGATGACCTTGCGGAACGCAACAAGTTGGGAGGCTATCTTCTTGATCCGATCAAGCAGCCATATGCGCATGTCACAGACAACTTGCTCGTTGCGGCTGCGACTAGTGTGCAGCTTGCCCGCGGTGTCCTTGCCGATGATCTCTCCTAGACGACGTTCATTTACCGTGTGAATCTGATCGATGATATTAGCCCTAGAAAATTAAGTCGTACTGAGCGGGGTCTTACATCTTCGTCGTTCAGCATCATGACATAAGTTCCCTGCTTCCATTCTTCCATCACTTAGAGCAAACCACGCTTAATCGCTTTAAACTTGTCTTCACTGATTATACTTTAAGTTAGCTCTAGTAAAAGCAATCGATCTAAGGATATCTTCTTTGTAAAGAGCCTTGTCGTATAGGATGAAGGCATTGTACTTGTGCATGAGAGGATCAATCGCTCCTACGCGTCGTGAAGTCAGTATTATGCAGCCGAAGCTTATTTTCCAAGACATTCGAACCTGTAAATCTGCCTCACCAGAGCATGCCAGCTGCCGGGGCGTCCGCCTTTTTCTCGACCATGTTGATGGCGTTCGTTGCGTTCGTTGGGAAAGGCCGATGAAATCAATCGAGTGGATGGGACCAATGGAGCATATGACGCTCAATCGTATCAATTGGCGCTCGAGGTAAGGGCGGGGGTTGTAAGGTCAATTTATTGAGAAATCAGGACAGTCACAGAACAGTTTATGAGGCCGACATGGTGGACCGGCCTGCATGTATTTTTTGTCAGCGCTACAGCCTTCCATTGGAACAAAAGAACAGATAGTGTGAAAAATACCTAGACACAGCCATTTTCCTTTCCCTAAAGCTATATTATTACAGTTACTTTGCTTAACTTGAAGTACAGCACCAATTGGACTACTTGGTAAAAAAATCAGGGGGTCATTCCGTCTTGAGTAACATGCTTGTGGAGTTGCCCATCGGTGAATCGCATAACAGGGACCTAGCCTGGTAGTGTGGCGCTTTGCTCAGGGCCTGACACAGACCCGAATTTAGAAGGGAACGAATTCACTTTTGTTCTGCCGTCTCCAATCTTCATCAGCTTTCTTCTCCAGACACAACCTTGATTCCCCTGATTCCCCAACGGGGCCGCTAACGAATGGGCGCATTTTTCTGGCAAGAACTGCATTCTTAATTTGATTGCGATGCTCAAATCGACCTACGTGCCGTCGGCGGCAGCCGCAGCAAGCAACGCGCCACTGCCGCCCGACTGGACAGAACACACGGCGCCGACCGGACATACATATTACTACAACGCCGAGACGAGAGAGTCGACATACAAGCGGCCCGGCGCCCCTCCCACCCCCGAACCGACACCCCAACAGCCACAGTCCTATCTCCCGTATGCTGGAATGCCGTCGCTGGCAGACCCCAAGGTTGCCAACGCCTTTCTTGCCCAGCACAACCGCGGGCCGCAACAACAGCAGCATCAGCGTCAGGATCATGGCAAAGGCGCAACACGGCCTCGCCCACAGCCCATAGATAAACCTCGGAGAAAGGTCCCTATCCCAGGTCACGAGCCATGGATCCTCGTGTACACCAAGTACTCGCGACGCTTCGTCTACAATTCAGCCAAGAACGCGAGCTACTGGCGCATACCCGAGAAGCTGATGCCAGCCATCCTGGAAATGGACAAGAAGCGCATACAGCAGAAGGCTACTGGGGATCAAGACACGGCTGAAGGTCAGGGCGACGATGCTGGCGACGGGTCGGAATACGAGGAAGTCGAAGTGACGGATGACGAGGGCGACGGAGAGAACGACGTCGAAACACACCCTAATAAACGACTACGGACTGGCGATACCGACAACGACGATCCAGAAGAACGAGAAGAAGAGCTGGAGCAGGATGCCGGCCCTCTCGAATTCACGGAAGACGACATCGCGATGCAGCTACAAATGATGGGCGAAGAATACGGGCTCGAACCAGGCGAGTACGATGACGGAAGCAACCCGCAGGATTTGCCCGACGGCGCCGAGGGCCTCGCGTTTTCGCAGGAGGAGTCCGAGCTACTCTTCGCCGACCTCCTCGACGACCTTCGCGTCAGCCCGTACAGCTCGTGGGAGAAGCTGCTCGAGGACGGCAAGATGGTCGACGACCCACGCTACACGGCACTGGCGACGACCAAGGCGCGCAAGGAGTGCCACGACCGGTGGTCGCGCGCACGCATTGCCGAGCACAAGGCCCAGCGCGCCCAGCAGGCGAAGCGCGACCCGCGCGTCGCCTACCTCGCACTACTGCAGGACAAGGCCACGCCGAAGCTGTATTGGCCCGAGTTCAAGCGCAAATACCGCAAAGACGAGGCGATGCGCGACGCGGCGTTACCGGACAAGGATAGGGAGAAGCTGTACCGCGAGCACATAAATCGTCTGAAGATGCCGCCGGCGACGCTGAGGGCGGATCTCACGGCGCTGCTCCGCGCGCAGCCCGTCGCGCAGCTTAACAGCGCGTCCGTCGGGAACGACGCACTCCCAAGCGCCGTCCTCGCCGACGTGCGGTATATTTCTCTACCGCCGAGTGTGAGAGACCCTCTCATCGAGGCGCTTGTTCAAAGCCTGCCACCACCACCGGCGCCGCAGAGTACGTAGGATGGCGGCGGGGGGACGAGAAGGAGGTCAAATATGGTACGGAACTGGAAGAAGATATCCATGCATGCTAGTAAAATATATTTTATTTGGCCTAAAAAGATTTCTACATATAAATATGCGTGTAATACCCGCGGAAACATTTTGGAAGTAGTGGCTGGCTGGCGATAGAAACTGGCTGTTAGGGTCGCGACGCAGCATTTCTCTTGACCCAAAATCTTTCTATTGTAAGGAAGGCATGAGCAACCTCGAAATAGCTGAGAAGGAAGTGGGCTTGGGCTTGAATAATGTATTCTCCTGCTGACGCCGTTGGCCTGGCTCTATGGACGACGCTTCCTTGAGCGAGACATACCTCACATCAGCGCTTTATAATATGAAGACAGAGGACGAAATTTTGAAGCATGTGGAGACCAATCGTTCAGGATGATTGAAAAGCTCAAAGACATGCCACTTGAACAGAGCCATGTAGAGCCAGACACGGGGAAACATGAGGACCCAAACGACTCGGCCGCTGCATCGCCGAGTGAGCGGACGGAGCAGCATTCCCAGAGGTAACAGGGCTTCGGGCTTAGCGTCTGCATAGACGAGAAACGGGATCAGAAGCGTCATGATCAAGGCGTAGGCGTTCGGAACCGGATACCCTGCGACAATGTCTCTGTGTTGGAAACATGCGAACGCCGTGGTGGTGCTGACGCCAAGCAGGCCAAGACAGATGCTTTCGAGCCACGGGAAGGAGCAGGACACGGGTGATTTGGAAGGCGACCAGTAAAGTACAAATTGTTCATCCATCTTGATAGGTCGCGATCCGGCCTCGGCGTCGAGGGCGGTCGAGGGCAGTCGATGCGCGCGTTTGTATTACTTGCAGATTTGCTCGCACTCGACCTTGACATGGAAGGCGAAAAAGCCTGCTGACAGGCGAGGATAGTCGGGAAATAGGTTCCTTTATATGACGAGATACTCTGAGCTATAGAGTAAGAAAAAGTCAATGTTCGGGAAGCAAATGGCTAAGGTGTACGGATGTCGCTTTTAATAGTCGTGCCTCGCGCTGGAAATTTAGTTTTCTTTTCTCTTTGGAGAAAACTCTCCTCCTTTCTATCTTTCTTATCTTTTCTGTCTTTTATGTCCCTTCTATATTTCTGGTTCTTCTTATCTTTTCTATCCATTCTATCTTTCTATCCTTGTTGGTCTTTTTAGTTTCCTACTATCTATTTTTTTGCCTACCTCATTTATTTCTACTCTTCATCTACCTACCTCTAGTAAATGCCTTCTAGAACCTTATGTAATAAAACCCGGCATTCGAAAGGCACGATCTCGGGGTCCTGCTTGGGCGGGGGCATGGTCTCCCGCACACTGTCTTCAGAGTCCGACTCTGATTCCGAAAGGTACCGTGGTGTGGGCTGACCTCGGGCTTGACTCTCTCCTCCGTCTTGGTGATGCCCGCTGCGCGCCAGCGGGTCACGTACTTTCTTGACTGCCTCTTTCCAGACGCCGTTGGTGTGCGGGATCCGTCTGATGTGTGGATATATGTACTGCTGTGGACTCAGGATAGCAAAGCCCGGTAGAAGAGCACCAAAAAGGACGCCAACAAAGGCGGCAGCCTACATAGTAGCTGCGTGTTAGAAGCTTTCATATCATTAAAGTTTTCCTTGTAAAAGCTTTGTCCTTACTAAAATGAACCAAGAGGCGTGGATAACACTGAACAATAAATACATCACCCGGCCACTTTGTGTCGCTGCGGGACACCTACCTACACATACTCTTTGTACTTGAGTCTTGTACGCGAGTTTCGGTCAAAACTTCGCCACAGTCGCCCAGACTGCCGTTGCCACTCACTTTGCTCATTGATAACGTAGTTGCATAAAAATATATTGACTAATATAGAAGTCGTCAAAGCGCCTATTTTTGTACTGCAGCTACTTCCACCGACTGCTTGTTTGCTCACCATAGTACTACTGTATAAGACTAATGACATAACCGACCTGCAAATAATGTTTAACACACGAAATTGCTCTCCGCACAACCAGTATATATGTTGTCGTGTCGGCAAGGGGAATCAACTGAACAAAAATGAAAACAGTAGATAAAATGGAAATAAATGTGTGGTCGGAGATGATATATCGCGCTCAGACTTGGTGTTGGCTCTTCGTCTCGCCCACACATGTATGTACTGCTGGCCCATGCCTTTTTTGCAGCGCCTTGTTGAAGTTTGTATGAAATGGAAAATATGAGTATGCCGCAGTCAATAAAGAAAAAACAGAAGAAAAGCGTGTCTTATCCCGAGTCGTCGTCTAATGCGTCTCCGTTCGTGAATCTGCTTCCTAGTCCATGTACGTCTCATACATGAACCAGTCATCGTCCATCCAGTTGACAAGCTCATTGTACAGCGCAGGTTCTGATTCAATCGGCATCGGTGGCGGCGGCGGCGGCTGCGAAAAGCTGTTTGTCAGTCCCAGTGCCTGCAGGTGGATGTTGCCAATCTGCGGATCGACGTGGACCGGTGTCGTCAGCCTCGCCACCAGCATCTGCAGGTCGTGCAGCGCTTCGGTCAATGATTTATCGGTCGGATCGCTGTTGAGAGGCTCGCAGCCCTGCAGGATTTCGAGTGTGAATTGAATGTCCGCGCTCCTGCTGGCATTCTGTTCCAGAGACGCGGTTTGCTGCGGGTAAACTAGGCTTTCCAGGATCAAACACACTGCTGCGCTGAAACAATAGTGCAGCATGGCATGGAGCGGCTTCGGGTGGCGGTTGATCGTCATGAAATGGCGGGCAAGCTTGATGTTGTTTCGCGCGGCTTCAATGCACAGCCTGAGATGGGCGAGTTGCAGGGTATACTCCTTTGAGCTGCCTTGGGACATAAGGCGCTCTGCAACGGACTTCTTGACTGCGACGAAGAAAAGCGGTCGTGTAGCGACAATGATGAGTTGATTATAACGCATGTGAAGCATGGCGCAGGCTGGATCGTTGCTTAAGCCGTCCGGTGAAAGCTGGAGGCGTAAGGGCAGAGTGCTTTTCCACTGCTCCAACATCCACATAACCTTTCCGGGGCTCTGTGATGAGTCGCCGGAGCCGTTGATAGAATCCCAAGGCGCTATTCTATAGGTGTTGCAAACGACGTAACCGGAGATGCGTGAAAGCTCGACGTGGGCGCGTAACCCGGCTGCGGGTGGCATGCCGCTATAGAAGTCAGATTAGTTCATTTCTAGATGAAAAATAAGGTATGGGCAAAACTTACGCAGCATCGGAGGGAAGAGGAATGCGTATAGCGTCGTCGGCAATGACGGGCGGGCGGCCCATTAGGCAGCTGAGCCATCTATCCAGGATGTAGACTGTCCAGAAAATGCGCTTGCCTCTCTCGTCTACCCATCCACGATGAGCTCCAAGCATGATGCATAGGTGAGATGCGGCGGCGATGTGCATGTAGGCAGAGTCGCGTTTGCAGACCTCGACAAGGTGATACGCCATGAGTGCAAAGGCCGAGACATCCTGAATGGAACAGCGGCCGATATCGAGGGGGTTCCGTAGCAGCATCGAGGCTCTCGCAAAGAATGAGTCGCTGAATTTGATGTCTTCTGACTCCCTGACTGGCGGCCAGGGACCGGTACTATACGCGGCGACGGCAAAGGCAGCATGCGGGAATGCTAATAATCGATATGCGTCGAGGTCGAACGAGGCCTGGTTCTGTGGGATGAGCGGCGGTTGAGGTGGCTGGCTGAGGTCGCCAAACCAGTAAATGCCGCCGCTAGGCCATGAGCCGTTGCCATCTTGGACAACGTATCTCACTTCGGAAAGCATAGAGACCATTGATTCTGGCGGTGGGAGCAGTAGCGGGTTCACGTCCTTTTCATCGAATGGCCGAGATTCATCTGTGTGGCACTTGCCGAGGGTGGACAAGAATGCGCTTCCATCATGGGGAGCGGGCTGTTGATGATGTGCAAGCGGCAGCACGGCACCAATGAGCTCCTTGAGATGGTCCAGGAAGGTGGCGCCGCTGGTCTCGCCGTGGAAACGGGCGGTGCCATCGGCGTCATGCAGGAGTCGGCCGGTCGTGTGGTCGTCGTCTATAGGCTCGGACTTGATAACGGTGCTCTGGCCGGAGACGCTCGGGGCAAAGTGGTTGTTGGTGGAGAATGGACTGTGTATTGGCGAGATGGCCGAAGGAGGGCTGCCAGCGGCGTGTTGCAGGAGCTCGTGTCGTTTGGTGGGGTCTGGGAGGGCATCTTGCAGAGCCTTTTCGTAAAGCTCGACCTTTTTCTTGAGGTCTTCAAGCTCTGTCTTGGAGACGGACACTTTTTCAACTGGCGCAGGGTATATGCACTCGCGATTGGCCGAGGCACATGATGCGCAGGGCTTTTCGCCAGAGCACTTAATGCGGCGGACATTGCAGCTATTGCATCTGTAGATGGGTAAGGCGAATGTGTTAGAAAGCCGAAGGTTGAAGGTAGAAAATATGGCCTTGGGTGTCAATTGAGGGCAAAGTTACTTACGCCTTGGCAACGCGTTTGCGCTGCTCTGGAGCTACTTTGTGTCGGCGAGGGTTGACGGGTAGCCTCTGAGAGGGCCGTCGCTCACCGTCGATCTGCATAGATGAGAGGCAGATAGAATGTAGGAGCGAAGACAGAGACTCGAGCTGTCGTTTTTCAGGGACAAGACAGTAGAAGTGCAACGGTTGATGGTGAGGGACCGATAGAGCAGTGTTGCTCGGGGAGGACGAAGAATGACGGCGGGGTTCGAGATGCGGGACAGAGCAATAAGATCGAAGCTGGGGTATCACTAGAAATCTACCAAGGCGAGGTCGCAATGTACATGGCGTCACGAAATAGAAGGGATAAAATTGTCCATCATGAGCCAACCTGGGATGAGGCTGGCGTTGAGGAGAGCAAAGAGGCAGCTAGGGCCGAGGATGGCCGAGCAGATGTTGTGGTAGAAGTACCAGGAAGCCAGAAAAGAGAGAGGCCAAAGCAAGGTGTGGCGCCCGGCGGGTCCAATGAACCTGGCTGATAGACAGGCTGCAGAAGCAAAGAGTGCAGTCGTCGCGTCAACTGCAAGGGATGGCGGCGGTAGGGCTGGGCATCTGCAAGTGTGCAGGTTGGATTCGCAAGAGGATTGCGAATAGACAAAGGGTTGACGTTGACGCTGCGAGAAAAATGTGGGAGGAGATTGGGGAAACGAATGGACGGGGGTGGAGACGGGAGGGTTTCGGCTGAGACAAGGTGCCTGAGAGTGGTAGGATATATTGGATGGATGGATGTGTGTAGAAGGAGATGGCGTATGACAAGGAGGGAGAGATTGATGATGAGCAAGAGAAGAGTGAGAGCAGAGAGAGAAGATGGATACTAGTACGGATTACCTAGTATCCATTCGACGGACAAGGTTACAAAAGGCCCGACGCATGGGCATGCCTTGGATTGGTCGGGGGATGTGCTGGGCCAGTGGGCTTTTGGTTGGGGTTATTTTTGAAATGGATATGGATATGGAGAGTGATAACGAAAGTGCCCTACTAATGCAGATAAGGTGAACTTTTGCAGCGTCGACTAAAATTTACAGTTCGAACCCATCCATCTATTGACTTGTTGTTTGACAAGGTGGGTTTGTAAGCAGAAAATTCCAACCGATAGACGGGCGGGCAACGATGTCCGGGCAGGTAGTGGCCTAAGTTTTTTATGGGTGTTACGAATATAGACAAGTTGGCGGTTCGGCCAACTGGACGATGTCAGTTTACAGATTGCAGGGGAGCGATACGCCTGAAAACGCTGCCGTTTGAACGGAACAGGCCCTGACCCTTGCCCTGGGCTGTGTTCTGAGAGCGAAAGCCACCCGGACGAGTGGCCAGCCTTCTCCGTGCCCCCACCCTACCCCAATCCAGCGGGGCAGAGGCGCTATTTGTACCATTGCACTGGCCGGTGCCAGGTCGAGGACTTCAGGCTCGTTGGTCTAGGCTGCTCTCTGCTTCGTTTAGCGTCTTTGGCACCAATATTTGGCAAGGAGGGTGAGCGTGACTATTTCCGACGGGTTCCTCACCTATAAATTTTTTGCCTTTTAAGCCTAAAACCTTGGGCTTCTCATAGAGACATGTCCAACCAAATTCGCATTAACCTCTTTCTCACCTTCAGCATCCAATTCTCCGCATTGAATCTTTCTCTTTTAGCATGCCTCTGCACCAAGCCAGCCTCGCTTCCATCCCCGCCTCGAATGAAGTGGGGTAGAGCACAATATATTATCCGCGCCACTAAAATGTTGAAAGCTGACTCCCGCGTCTTTTTAGCACGTATGAACATGTAATGGCCCAGGCATACAGGTAGAGTAATCAAGTCGCCGCCACATCCCGCCTCTCCTCCACACAAACACCACCACTGCTTCAACTCTCCAATCAATCCGGCCAGCCTGCAACCTGGTCAACGCCATCCTTCCATCTTCTAGCCTTCTAGCGCTGCGTGACTCACAAGCTAACCAGTGTCATCGAAAACCCTGCAAACGAGACCACCCACACAACACACCACCGAGGCCTGCCGCGTCGTCCCTCTCCATGCCGCGTCACAGGGCTACGACAGACTCTACGCACCACCACGAATACACGTCCCCGTTCCCCGGTCTATCTCCATGCAGTATCCGTGTCCTTCATCGAATCCCGCCTTTTTTCTCATCTTGATATTGGATTGCCGTTCTGAGATCATCCGGCTCGCCCTACAAGGCGCCGCCTAGCCTGGCCTTGCCCTCCCTTGAGCCACGCGGCCACAACGCTGCCCCTTCTACGCCCAATTATTTCACCACTGAACTCTATACGGACCCTGTATGGGTATTCGGCCGCTTCGAGAACCCGATTGATCAGCCAAGATTGGCACTGTCCGTCCTCCCGCCAGTGCACAGCCACACTCATAACGGCCTTCAACGTACTTGTAGTTGACTCTCACACGTAATATACTCCAGGTTGGGAGCGATATACGGCCTCCAATCCAGCCACCACGACCGTACGGAGCCCGCATAAGACGCTACAATCCTACGAATCGCCTGCCTGTTGCCTCTACCTGTCCGTTGCTCGGACCTTAGCTCACTCTCTGAGGCGAGCTCCACCTCAGCTTTGCCCACTCAATGCTACCAGACCCTTACCAGAAACAGCAGCTGCGTAAACGCAGGGCCACATGAGACATGTCGATCCCGCATGGTTCTTTTGCGTCAAAATGAGAGACATGCATCCGGAGCATTGCACACTGCGTCACCGCCAATCGGACAGGCGCGGATCAGACCCTGTCGCCGAACCCAGACCTCTGTATCAACGAAAAAGAGCTTCCAACTTGACTTAAAATGGATCGGAAAATGAACTCAGTGAAAGTTAACTCAAATGTCATCACTCAACAACGGGATCAAAGCCTCGACTCCAAAGCTTGGAATTTATTACTCAACCTCATCCCAAGAATCCGATCACGATTTACCATCGCGAGGTCTTTAATTCCGAGCCTCGGAATATAGAAAAAGGTGTCAAACCGCATGGAATTAACTCGAAATTATATCATCGACCAAAATCTTGAACTCCGAGCTTCCGGTTGTACACAATTCGTGCCATGAATTCATCGACTCTAAATACCATATGCGTGTATCCTCTATAACCTTCGCAGCGCAGCAACGGGTAAACTGACAAACAATTATCGAATCCCAACGCAAAAAGAACTATTTGATGCGGCTCGGTTGCACAGCATCTTCGCTAAGAATACGAGCAATTACTTTTCCAAACTTGACGCCCCAATAGAGTGGCCGTTTCTCTTCCGCCGGCTCGTGGGACTAACTCAAACCCCTCCTCACTGCTCGGGTCCAAAAATGGACTGAACAATCTCTCCGGACCTTGTAGCAAGGACCGACAAAAGAGTATCACTCAGCTAAACCAGCTTAATTAGCATTTCTGTGCGTCATTCATGGCATCATGTTTCGACTTACACCATGAGTTCCCTCACAGCATCCTTGCAGCCAAATGCCAGCATCCGCAGCTACCGAGCCGGGCTTGTATTTGACGCGGTAATCGCGGCCAACAGCTAGCTTGCGCTCTCCCTGCTCCGTGTCCACGTTCCATCCTGTCACGCCCTTGTTGAACATGGCAGTTCCCGGAACGGCCTTGGGCAGCATATCCCAGGTGCTCTTGAGCATATCGATGTGCGCATTGCGCTGATAGCCAGTCGCAGCGATGATGAGGTCAGCGGATAGCACCTCTTCATCCGCAGAGTTGACGATGCCATCCGAGAGGCTGTGGATCTTGACCTCCAGGCGGTCCCCGTTTGGCTCAATGTTGCTGATTTGGCGGCAGCCCATGATTCTGTGTGGCCAGGTACGCTCATCCGGACCCAATACCCGCTTCTGGGAATACATACGCTCGAAGAGCTCCTCGATGAGTTCTAGACGGACCACACCGTAGTTTGTGGCTCGAGCATCCACAAGGAACTCGCTTCTATCCTTGGCCGACTTGGGGAACAACGAGTCGATGTATTCGGGGTTGAAAATGGAATTGACACTAGAAAAATGTGAGCAACCAGCTGCTTAATGATGAAGAAAAATGACGGAATTGGCACTTACAAAGGCGAGTCATCGCTGGGCTTGAGGAATTCCTGACGCATGACAAGCTGGGTACTCGAGTTGGGGTATAAGTTCTGAATGTTGTGGAAAATTTCAGCGGCACTCTGGCCGGCACCGACGACAACTACTTTGTATGCCGCGTTTTTGTCTGTAAGAATCTTGGGCACCATGTAAGCATACTGCGAGGAATGCAGGATACGAGGATGCTTGACAGGGAAGCTCTTAGGGAAGCTTGGCTTGCCACCCGTGGCGAGCAAAACGTTTCGTCCTCTGAAGATCTGAGTCTGTCCGCTGGCGTTGTTACGGGCCTCTACGGTAAACAATTTGACAGCATCCGCCTTCTTGACTGCCGGCGTCACCGAGATAACCTCGTGGTCGTACTGAACGAGGTGCTCAAAGTGAGCCGAGCACCATCTCATGTAGTCTTCATATTCGATGCGAGCTGGTAGGAATGTGCCGAGATTGGTGAAGTCCACCAAACGGTCGTGTTGGTGAAGGTAGTTGAGGAAAGTAAAGTGTGATCGGGGATCACGAAGCGTCGCGAGATCCTTGACGAAAGAAATCTGCATCTTGGCTCCGGGAAGAAGCATACCAGCGTGCCAGGCGAACCGAGTCTGCTTCTCCAAAAAGAGAACTTTGGGAGCCGAGCCATCGGGACGGAGCTTCTTGCCGGCGGCGAGAGAGTCGTGGAGAGCCACAGCAACGGAAAGACTGGCGGGACCGAAGCCGACACAGACGAGGTCATATTCGGCATCGAGGTCGGCGGCGACTAGGTGAGGGGAGCGCTGGACAGGCTTGGCTGGGGATTTGACGCCATTCTTTACGGCAAGGGACTCGGGAGCGGCTGACTCGGGAGTGGCTGCCGTGCCGTTGGTAGGCACTGCGACAAGTTCAGGAGCGGCGGCGCCGTTGGTACCGTTCTGGTGGACGGTGGCGTCGGTGCTCTCATCGGAGCTGGTTTCTCGGTGGGGAGACATGGTGATTTGCGAACTCGGAAAATGACAATTGCTGGAGAAGATGAAGTACGGAAAAAGAAATCTCTTGAGAGGGTCAGTTATATACTAACATGCGTCGTGCAAGAAGCAAGCACATACGAAGCCAAAAGATCCTTACACAGCGAATAAAGAATGAGCTCGGTTGAGCACACGTTGGTTGTGGGAGTGGTTGGTGGGAGACAAGGTGCAAAAAGATGAAGGAGGGGTCCAAGCTGGCTTGCATGGAGGGGCAAGCCTACACATATATATTTACGGATCTCTTGGAAAGACGCCACTGATTGGCAATGGGAATGCCGGTCACCGGGTCGGGCAAGACGGGCGGCTCGCAAGAACATGCCATACGGCCAGCAGCGTCTGCCGATTTCAGCCGTGACTAGGGGTGTCTCCATTGCGCTGATGGAGCTGCTGTTTTAGTCGGGCTTTGTTTTTGGCCATTATTGCGTCTAGCTGGCACTACTAATCTCTAGGGGAGCGCATGGATGAGGGCCGGTGTGAGAGGAGCGAGGAGAGGCGAAATTGAGCAAGCAGCAAGAAAGGTACGCGGCGGCGCGGCGGGCCCGTTGTTCGGCATTCAGCAACCCCACGCGGCCACGTTTAGCCATCACTGAGTGAGTGCATTGGGCTAAATTCTCCGCCTAGAGTTTGCAGATAGGGTGACATTAAGCCAGTCGTTTTGCAGCTGTCAGGGCAGCTGTGGTCCTGGTTCTGCCTCGTCTTTACAAGCGACCCTTGGGTCTTTGGACGCAGAGTTGTTAAGGTTGTTCGATGGATCCGTCGCCCTGGCTGACAGGTTGGCCCAGTCAGTGCCTTCGGACATAGTCCATCGCTCCGCATGAGCTCGGAGAACGGCCTGCTGTGGTCATGAAAGAGAGAGACAAGGAAAGCAAGTAAGCGGATCCCCCTAGGATGCTCCAACCAGTGCAACATCCACATGTGCCGCTTGGCGGGATAGCCTGCTCCGTTCAGCTGTCCGAATTGGAGGACAGGGCAGGGGGACTGGAGGATACCGGCGACGCTTCTGCTGGCTTGTTTTGGATCTGTGTTATACGGCAGTCTCCGCCAAGGAGCCGCCAAAAACCTGAACCAAGAAGGTAGAACCCTACGCGTGGGTTCTTGCGCTGTCAGCTCCAGGAATCGCACCATGCACCACGTCGCGCCTTGGTGAGCTCTCAATGTGAGCCTATACTTGCGCAGCACACCAAAGAAACCCAAAGAAACGGAAACCAAAAACGAAGCTAATTTCAGCGCCAGAAGGAGCCACGCAGCCAGTGCCTGTGATTCTGGCGGGAGGGGCGCGAAACACTTATAATGTCCTCTCTGCGAGCGCCATGTGGGGGGTGAGCGAATTTTTATCTGATGATCAGATAAAAAAAAAGGATCTGATAAGATCCAGAACCTGGTCACCCACCACAAGGCACCATCCACCCTCTTGCGTTGTTCGCTGCACGGTCCCCTCCCGTCCCCCTGGGCCACATCATGATGAAAAAATTTTCTTCACCTGCCGCTATCTTCAGCGCTCCGAGGCCCTTGGAGGAGGGGGGGGTTCTTCCTCACGGTGAAGGCAGGCAGAGCAAGCTGTCTGATACTCCACAGTAACCCAGACTTTTTTTGATAGGCAGCCCACCGCGGCGGTCAATTGCCGGCGATGATGGGTGATGAAGATGGCCCACTCGCACCTGATTGCCCGTGTGTCCGCTCCTCGGAAACAAAGGGGAAGACATCTGGCCAAGGTTTGCTCCAGGTCGATGCTGGCAGCTCTGCGGAACCCTGGCCTGCCCATCCTGACTGTGAGGTACGAGGTGGGAGAGGGAATTCGAACCGCCGAGTTCCTGACCCTGTGACGGGGTGGCGGTGTCTACTTATTATTCACATTCTGACCATTAACTTGGCCAGGCCGTCCACAAGCGAAGCGACGTAAATCCGCTGGCCGGGGCGGTGGGACCTTTTGTCTTGCCTTTGGCTTACTACTGGTGGTTTTTCTTAGTTCAGTCCAAGGACAGGTTCTCCCTGCATGACGCCTCCTTTTTGTGCGATGGCGCGTTGCTTGCATAGGTATCCGTACCACTTGGCCAAGCTTGGTATGGAGCTTCGGGGATGTCTGGTGACTACTCCGTAGGTAGGTGAGCACCGTAACTCATACGTACATGGCTGTATTGCGAAAGAGAAAGACCGCGGGCTTGATTTACTAGTCATCTACCATAGCTTACCCGGAAGTGAGAGAGCTATGCATGTATTGCATCGAGCTGAGCGATAATTGCGTTACAATAAGTTCATTCGACGTCGCTAGCCAAGCAAAAGTCATGTCTGTGCAAAATTCAGCTTGTGTCCCACCTCGCTGACCTTGGGCCGAGTAACATCCTGTCATGTCATTCAGTACTCACAGCCGTTGGCGATGATTGGCGACGGTCGCAGGACCGTTTAGAATAGGCTTGTCCTCCGATAGCTCCACATGAGCTGTAATTTATGTACTGTATGTTGCATGTGTGATATGATGCCGCTATGCAACGGCACGGTAGTTTATTATTAGGCTCGGCGCATCGCCTCGTCATTGACTCAGTGCTGATCAGTGATGGACAAAGAGACAAAAAAGACACGTTCCGTTGTGCGTGGTTGTGTACGTACTGGTACACCTTCACGAACAGTAACTAACGTTAGTTACCACTTACCTGCATGGGACGGACCTTATGGGTAGTGATGCTCCCCGTGGGAACGCGGAAACAAAAAGTCCTGCCTGGGATTATTGAACTCGCCTGCAGCCTGCAGCAATACAAATAGTCTGGACAGAGTACTTTGTTTCGCGTCGACTTGCCGGCAACCATGAACTCGGCTGACAAGAAAGAGAGAGTCAGTTAGTGAGAGAGGCGGAAGCTCTTGTACTGTCCTTTTCGCAGACACATCAGCGCCGCCGCTATCCATAGTCAAGTAACTACGACCACAAATTACCTAGGTACAGACTGTTCAAGGGAACTTTCAGCCGCCTCGCTTCCTCCTGGCTGCCCAGCCTGCTGCGGCGCTGCATCGTCCCTCGATCTACGGATACCTCCATCTCATACAGTTCTTGTGGAGGATCCATCCATGCAAATGCCCAGCCACGCTTGCGAATTTTTGGCATCGATTCATCTCACACGAACCGAACTTAGAAACTCCACGCGAAACGCCTGTTCTCGGTGGTGCCACCCATTTTCTTGGCTTGCTTTGCCGCCGCCGCCGCCGCCCGTGCTCCATAATCCCTCCTGGCGCCCCTGTTCACCACCTGTCCTCCTCAACTCCGCAGCCTTGATCCTTCCCTTCTTCAGCCTAATCTGAACATTAACCCCGAGACCAAGGAAACCTTGAATAAGGTATACAAAGCAACCTACCCTCCCACAACGGCTGCATCGCATATGACTACCCGCCCTAGCTGCAGCCTTTCGTCAAGTGATTCACTCGACAAGCCCGTTTGTCCTGCCGTTCTCGAATCACGACCCCGCGCTGAATAATTGCTTCACTCTTACAGGTCACCGCCCGATGCAAGGGGGGCCCACACCTTCCTAGACTATACAAGCAAGCCAACGCCGAGCAGCACATCCAACACATTGCTCTGCATTCGTGATCACGAAATAGTATTTGTTATATCGCCCTCCTCATTGGCTCGCTACGTCGACTTGTCTTGCTTCTTCCACTCTGCCCGATTTCCCGAACCGCATCCACCCCATCCCTGCGATTCAGTCCTTGACAACGGACTAGGGTGGATGTGCCGAATCAAGGCAACCGCGCATGGTCCTGGCAACGACGCCTGATAATAGCATGATTTTGTTGCTCATGACCCCTCTCGCAGTTAAACGAGTTCAACTCTTGATGTGGCTTTTTTGATGAGAAATTACTGTTTTTTTCCGCGGTCCCTCTTCCTCGCATGCGTCGCTTGTGACAACTCAACGATACCCTCTACCCGGCAGCAGCTGCTCTCCCCAAGACTCCACATGAAGACAGGCTGCTCTTAAACAGAACAGTCAGGCTTCGACCTTTGCCAGGTTCAAGCCAAGCATCCATTCCAAGAACGACCAGCTACCACACCACACCAAGACTAACAAGCCTACCTGCCGCAGCCATGGACAGTGCCGTTGTCGCCTCGGGCCTGTCCGTCCTCAACCCGTCACCCGCGAGGGTATCTGGACCGGCATTACTTCACCATCTTGTACGGGACGCTTGCGAGGACATTGCACTGGAGCATCTTTGCCAAGGCGAGATCACAAAGCTCACTTACAAGTCGCTTCATCAAGCGTCAGATGCACTGGCGGCTCAGATTGCCCTGTCCTGCGATCCTGCGCAAGGCCAACTTATTGTACCGGTTCTTCTACAGCAGTCTCCGGACTTGTATATCACGCTGCTAGCTATTCTCAAAGCAGGAGGTGCATTCTGCCCCCTAAACTTAGACGCTCCTGCAGAGAGAGTTCAATTTATATTGAGAGACGTCGGTGCAAAAGTGGTTGTTACTAGTCCAGAGCTAGCCGGCAGGATACCTCAAGGCGCGGGAGTCACGATTCTTCTCACCTCTGACAGTCATGCAGCTGTTGGTCAGCAGCATGAGGCCATCGCGCGGCAACCCGTGCCTGAAAGCCACGCATACGTAATGTACACATCGGGTTCGACTGGCACGCCCAAAGGTGTCTTGATATCCCACTCTGCAGCCACCCAAGCCGTTCTCGCTCACGACCCTCACATCCCACGCTTCTCAAGGTTTTTTCAGTTCGCGGCGCCAACCTTTGACGTCTCCGTCTTTGAGATCTTCTTCCCACTCTTTCGCGGCGAGACGCTTGTCAGTGCCAGCCGGAAAGAGACGCTGAATGATCTCCCAGCGGTACTGCGACAAATGAATGTGGACGCCTGTGAGCTGACGCCGACGGTGGCCGCGAGTTTGCTGCGAAAGAGAGAGAATTCACCACAGCTAAAGCTCCTGATGACGATCGGAGAGATGTTGAATCCACTGGTTGTGAAAGAGTTTGGTGGCACCGCTGACAGGAGGAGTATTCTGTGGGCGATGTATGGACCGACAGAGGCAACAATTCACTGGTAAGTGCAAGAGAGAATAAAAGGGGATCCGCCAGCCAAACTGACCTTGACGTGAACAGCACATTACAAGGAGACTTCCAGTCGGAGTCATCTACTGGAAATATCGGAACGCCGCTGGAAACGGCGTCCTGCTTCGTTATCAAGCCAGCAACTGACGAATACGATTTATCAAATTTTGAACTACTCCCGATTGGTCAGGTTGGCGAGCTTGCAGTTGGCGGGCACCAACTTGCAACTGGCTACCTGAACGACGAGCGGAAAACGAATAATGCCTTTATTGCTTCGCCGTATGGGCGCGTGTATCGCACCGGCGACAAGGCCAAAGTTAATACAGATGGAACGCTTGAATGCTTGGGGCGCATCTCGGATGGACAGGTCAAGCTACGCGGCCAGCGTATCGAACTCGGAGAGATTGAGCATGCGGCACTAAGAACGAGCGGATGTCACGGCGCCACCGCGAGGGTGATTGGCGCGATACTGGTGTTATTTTGCGCAGTCGACGCCTCCGTTTCTGAGAACGATATTTTCGAAAGCTGTGAGCAGTGGCTGCCGCAGTTCATGCGACCCGGCGAGGTTGTGCTCTCGGAGGAGCTGCCGAGATTACCCAGCGGCAAAGTCAACGCGAAGGAGCTACAACGACAATTTGAGCAATCAAGGACCCAAAATGGCGGATCTGACGATTTTAGAAATTCTACAGAGCCGGGGCTACTACATGTGCTGGAAGAATACTTTGGGTCGCAGCTGAGTCTCCAGACCGAATTGGCTCGGGCCGGTCTCGACTCCCTGACGGCGATTGGACTGTCCTCCAGCTTACGGCAGGCGGGTTACGATACCCAAGCCGCGTCTCTGCTAAAGATGAAGAATATGGGGCACCTTATTTCTTCAATCACAAAGATTGACGCGGCTGCAGAGGATGCCGAGAAAGCTCGAGCATCAGTTAGCTGCCTTGGGAAGCTGACTGAGATTCAGTCTCAGTCTGAAGAACTCGAGCTCGAGATGGCCCACCGCAAAGTCCAAGATATTGTTCCTTGCTCAGATTTGCAGATTGCAATGCTCTCCGAAACGATACGCAGCTGCGAGGCGTACTGGAACGCGGTGGATCTTGAACTGTCCACAACAGCGTCTGCTGAGGATGTCTGTCAGTCGCTGGGCGCCGTCGTTCAACAAAACGAGATTCTCCGAACAGGATTTGTGCAACATGAGTCTACAATCCTATCTGTGATCTTTGATGTGATACATGCTGAGAGCATCGGAATTACAGAAGGAACTGGGCTAACAACACTGGACGAGGCCAACTTCAATCTGCTGCGCCCGTTGCAGATTCGCATCAGGAAAGTGGCAGCGGACAATTTGTACAACATCCAAATACGTTTGCACCACGCAATTTTTGACGGATGGTCTCTTGACCTCTTCAAATCCGATCTTGCGAAGGCTATTGGTAACGAAAGATTGCCATTGCGGGCTCAATTTCGGGACGTTCTCGCATTTTCCATGTCGTCGCAACGTGAACAATATGACGACAAGGCCAGGGTATTTTGGGCCGACTACCTCTTTGGATGGAACAAGCCTCCATTCCCTAGACTTCTTTCTAGGTCGGTGCCCCGCGGGAAGATTCAGTCCACGACTTATCGACATTCGCTTCCGGGCTTGCCCAACCATGCGTACAATGGGAGCGCCCAGGTGCCCTTTCAGGCCGCCCTTGCGCTGGTATGGGGAGGTATCCTGGGTCTGCAGGACGTCGTGATAGGATCTGTGACTTCTGGTCGAACCATTCCAGTAAAAGGCGTCGAAAACATCATGGGGCCTTGCATCAGTTCATTACCCCTCCGCGTCAATATGGAGCGCATGACTACCGTCGATGATCTCGTCAACAGCATATCATCAAGCAATCGGCACATGATGGAGCATTCTACACTGTCGCAACTCGCCGTCAAGAAGATTGCCAACATGTACGGGGCCGAACATTTATATGATATACTTTTTGTCTACCAAGAGTCTCCTGAGCAGCGAAAGCACACCACCAGCGTGGTCAGGGAGATTGCGCATTTAGACAGATTGGAGACCAAGTTGGTTCTCGAAGTACAGCCAATTCAAGGCTCTGTCATACTGCAGGCGACTTTCCACGATGACTACTTCCCGCCCGATATGGTAGACAAGCTACTAAGCCAGGTTGCCGAAATAGCTGCGGCCATCGTTGAGAACACACACTCGTCCTTGGTGTCAATACGCTCATCAAAGTCGGACCCTTCGGCTTATAATACGAGATTGGAGAAGATGGACCCCAATGCGCAGCCAGACAACCTTGCTGCTATTGTGGACGAAGCTGCCGCGCATTATGGTGATCGCTTGGCGGTGTCTTTTGCCACCGAAATATCGGCTGGTTCCTCAGAGACGACATCCATCACATATCGAGACCTCAACCACAATGCGAATCGCATTGCCAACTTCCTCTTAACTCAAAATGTTAAAGCCGGCGACGTCATACCCATCATCATGAACAAATCCATCGGCCTCTATACCGCGATCCTGGGCATTTTAAAAGCAGGATGCGGCTACCTACCGCTGCTACCGTCCACACCGAATGCACGCATATTGGAGATCTTTAAACAGTCGAAATCTCGCATCTGCCTTACTGATGAGGATTCTTGGAGGGACATTCCTCCTTCAATCTCTGTCTGCATAATCATCATCGACGAGGAGTCGATGGAAGAGTACCCTTTCGACAACCCACCCGTCAATATCGACAGTAGTAACGCAGCATACGTCATTTACACATCTGGAACAACAGGGACACCAAAAGGCGTCACTCTCAGCCACAAAAATATTGCCAGCAACGTGACATACCTCGGAGTCGAGTACCCGGACGCCGCCAAGGGACCTTCAAAATTCCTGCAAGCTTGCTCCCAAGCCTTTGATGTCTCAGTTTTTGAGATTTTCTTTGCATGGCACAAGGGCATGTGTCTCTGCGCTGCGATAAATGATGTGCTATTTACGGATATCGAAGAGGCTATTCGGACGTTTGGAGTCACCCACCTGAGTTTAACACCAACCATAGCATCGCTCATTGATCCAGCCAATGTCCCCAGCGTCGAGTTCCTAGTGACTGCTGGCGAACCCATGACAAATGCTGTCAGTGAGCGATGGAACGAATTTTTATGGCAAGGCTATGGCCCTTCGGAAACAACAAATATCTGCTCTGTCAAGAAAATGTCACCGGATGACTACATCGAGCATCTCGGACTGGTGTTTGACAACACATCTGTTGTCGTTCTGGAACCCAAGGGCCTGTCAACTCTCGCTATTGGCTGGGCAGGTGAATTCTGCTTTGGTGGCGATCAAGTTGCGACCGGATATCTCAATATGCCACGCCTGACGGCTGAAAAGTTCATTACGCATCCGTACTACGGCAGACTCTATCGGTCGGGCGACTTTGGCCGCATGCTTCCGGATGGATCCCTGGTCATTCTGGGCCGCATCGATGATCAGGTGAAGCTACGCGGTCAGCGCATAGAAGCTGCAGAAATAAACGGCATCGTTTCCAGAGTCTCTTCCGCAACAGCGGCTGTCACACTTGTCCTGAAGCAGAAGGACTCCCTGCGTGAACTGCTGGTGACTTTTTACGTCCAAAACAAGGTTGCGGAAGAGTTCTGCGTCTTGGATGCAAAGGCAGACACGCAAGACCAAGTATTTTCAGAGCTGCATACCAACCTTCTTTCGTACATGGTTCCGAGCTACTTGATCCCTGTCTCGCGCATTCCTCTCACCCCGAGCGGCAAAGTCGACAAGAGAGCGATCAATGCCGTGTTCGCGCAGCTATCAAACGACTACCTGGAGACAGTTGCGCATAATATATCCAAGGGAGACGATGAGGTCTGGAACGATACTGAGCTGGCTATTGCCTCGCTCATGGCCAGCTCGCTCAAGGTCTCCTGCAGCGACATTGGTAGATGGACGCCACTTGCAATTCTGGGATTGGACTCGCTCACGGCCATTCAAGTTTGCAAAAGCTTGACCAAGAAATTCAAAACGCCCGTCTCGATTTCGTCTGTATTGCAGAACCCGACTGTCGCCCAGCTTGCCCGGAAATTGCATTCTAGCAGTGAAACAAGGAACGGCGTTGCGGGCACCGGCGAATATTTTGATGCCAACTTCCAACAATCTGTTACAGCCAAGCTTGCAAAACAAAGCAAGGAAGCCGTTGAGATTCTTCCATGCTCCCCGCTGCAAGAGGCCATGGTCTCTCGAGGAAAGGCAAATTATTACAATAAGTCGCTGTTGCGTCTTCGAGTCGACCCCTACAAAATGAGAAGTTACTGGCAGCAAATGTGTGACCGCCACAGCATTTTGCGCACTGTCTTCTTGTCTACTAATAGCTCAAAATACCCGATTGCGCAGGTCTCGCTTGCGAAATGGGAGTTGCCCTGGCATAGATTCACCGTGACGCAGCCATCTCTCGAGGATGCTATTCGGGACCACCTTGCTCTGGTCCCGGAGCCGCTGGACACCAACTCCCCTCCTCTGTCATTGGCGGTGATTCGATATGGAGAGACTGGGTTTTTGTCATTTATTTGCCATCATGCGCTGTATGACGGTGTTGCGATGGAGTGTATATGGCGCGAGGTCGAGGCCCTCGCCCGCGGCGAGCAGCTGAAGCCCCCAATCTCCCAAGTCCCCTTCGTTAACGAGATGCTGAAGCTACCAAGTACAAGCGAAACATTTTGGAAGCATCAATTTGCTCACTTTCAGCCCTCGTTGATGTTTCGCAAGCCCCATGGCCAGTCGGTTCAGCAAGTCACGCACACGATTACGATTGAGAGATCACTTCAGAAAGCGCAGCAACAAATAAAGTCGCTGGGAATCTCTCTCCTTTCTCTATGCCAGGCTACTATGGCGAGAGTGCTGGCTATCACAAGTCAAAAAACTGATGTATGCTTTGGCAACGTCATGAACGGACGGACAATCGGCATCGAAGGAATCGAGCGTCTGGTAGCGCCTTGCTTTAACACTGTTCCTATTCGCCAGGATATGCCTGAGTCGCTTTCAAACATTGAACTAGCCAAGAATTTGCTGACTCTAAATACGAGCATGCTGGAGCACCAATTCACGCCGCTGCGCCAAGTCCAGAAGATTGCTGCAACGGAGTCCAGGACCTTGTTCGATACCCTTCTTCTCGTCCAGCAGCCCCTTCGAGAAATGGACGTCAATGTTTGGACGCTGGAAGAAGACGCGGGGGTCATGGATCTACCGCTTGTCTGCGAAGTCACTCCTTGCCCGAATCTCAACACGCTGGTGCTCGACGTCCATTACGACATGTCTGCAGTGCCATTCACGTTGGCCGCTGGCATTGCGGAACTGTTCAAGCATGTACTCTCGCAGATCCTAGAATATCCGCATGCAGTATTGGATAGAAAAAGCATTCCTGAGACACTGCTTGACCAAGTGCGCCCCCAACGACCTTTTTTCTTTGAAGAGGAAGAAGAGGGACACGACAAGGACGACAGTGACTCTGCCTGGACTGACGAGGAACTTGCCGTTAGGGGTGTTTTGGCTGAACTATCTCAAACACCCGCCAATCGAGTCGAGAAAGCCACAAGTTTATTCAAGCTCGGCCTCGACAGTATCAATGCTGTTCAGGTGGCGGCACTTCTGCGTCAGAAGGACTATTCGGTTTCTGCGTCGGATATCATTGACTGCCAGAACTGCTTGAAAATCGCAAAAATCATTCTAGAAAACGGCTCTCAACCAAAGATGAAGCAAACGATGTTCGACTTCTCCGCATTCGATGCCGAGGTGCGCCCTGCGCTGAGCATCGAGGGAGACGGGATTCAAGTCTTCCCCTGCACCTCTATGCAGTCCGCCATGCTGTCTGCTTATGTTTCGTCCGGCGGAGTGCATTATCTGAACGAAATAATTCTCGAGATGAACAAGAGAATTAATGCTGAGTTGATAGTGGCCAAGTGGACACAATTGGTCGCGGACCATTCAATGCTGAGGACGGGATTTGCTCCCGTTCGGCATGCGGATTCTGCATACGCCATGCTTCAATACGAGAGTATTCAGAGCCGAGATCTTCTAATTACTGGAACTGGCGCATTCGATTCTCGATCTTGGAAAGAGAATGCAACAGCTGGAATATTGGCCAAGTTGAGTCAGCCCCCATGGAGATTGGCTATCGCGACCGTGGATGATGTAGTCACTGTTCACTTGATCATCCACCACGCCCTCTATGACGCAACCTCGCTGCAAGAACTATTGTCGAATTTTGGAAGACTTTTGAATGACCAAGAAGCCCATCCCGTACAAGATGTTTCTGCCGGCCTCTCTATGGTGCTGCAACGGAGCACAGGAGAACAGGAAAACGCCGCTGCCTTCTGGCGTCAAGTCGGGGAGCAAGCAACCATTAATCGCTTCCCGCTTCTCACACCATTGAGAGAAAATACGAGAGATATCCTGGTTGAGGAAATTGCCTCTACACTTACGAGCTCTGACTTGCATCAAATGACAAAGAGCTTGGGAATATCCGCACAGGCGGCCATTTTAGCTTCCTGGACAAGGCTTCTCGCGGGCTATACTGGAGAAGAGGCCGTCGTTTTTGGTGTGACGTTCTCGGGCAGGACATGTGAAGCAACACTTAATACCCCCATCCCCTGTCTGGCGACTGTGCCAGTTGTTGCTCAAAATGTTGGGTCGAACAAGGAACTTTTGGATCAGACGATGCGCTCAGTCTCGGATATTCACAAGTACCAGCACCTTCCTCTGAGTCGCATTCAGAAGGAAATGGGCTATCCCGCAACACCAGTCTTCGACACTCTGATCGCATACCAGAAGATTGAAAGTGAAACGGGTGATTGTCTGTGGGTTCAAAAGCAAGATGACGCAGCTGCTGAATTTCCCGTGTCGCTGGAAGTCGAGCCCACCCATGATGGTGGCCTCTGCTTGCGCCTGACGTACTTCAGTGACGTTTTGCCGGCAAACCAAGCCAAGATGCTGCTGCGACAGTTCGACGCCACGATGGAAGATCTTCTCGTGAATCCTGATGGCCATCAGCATGATCTGCACAAGCATCAGCCCGACATCTTTGCCATTTCCCCGCCCCTGGAGCCCACCATGAAAGCGCCAGTTGAGATGCTGCACCAGTTTGTAGAAATTCAGGCGCAGGCCAACCCGAACAAGATTGCACTGGAACATGTGAGCGGATTCCGAGGCAAAGAGCCGATTCGCGAACAGTGGACGTTTGCTCAACTTGATGCCATTGGAAACACAGTTGCGAATATGTTGTCAAGCCATACCGAGGCTGGTAGCATCATTGCCATTCATTTTGACAAGTGCCCCCAAGCCTACTTTGCAATCCTGGGCATCCTCAAGTCTGGCTCCGCGTTTGTAGCACTCGACTTCAACGCACCCAGTGCTCGAAAAGAATTCATTCTGCAAGACTCCAACGCCCCTTGTCTTCTCACCAGCGAGGATAGCGTCATCAACTTTGAGGTGCCTTGCCCTGTCATTGTGATTGACGACGCTCTTCTCGGAGACTACCCGGAAACGCCGTGCGAGATCAATGGAAGTCTCACTCCTAGTAGCACCTGCTACTGCTTATATACCTCAGGAACCACTGGCACACCGAAGGGATGCGAAATCACGCACGAGAACACTGTCCAATGCATGATGGCCTTCCAAGATCTCTTCCGGGGTCACTGGGCGGACGACTCTCGATGGCTTCAATTTGCGGCCTTGCATTTCGACGTATCGGTGCTCGAACAGTACTGGAGCTGGTCTGTCGGGATTACAGTCGTTTCGGCGAAGAAGGATTTAATCCTGGATGATCTCATTGGCTTCATCAACAATGCCGACATTACCCACATTGACCTGACGCCAAGCCTGGCCAGACTCACCCATCCCGATACAGTCCCCTGTCTCTGCCGTGGCGTCTTCATCACTGGTGGTGAGCAGCTGAAGCAAGAAATATTAGATGCTTGGGGATCCAAGGCCGTCATCTACAACGCATACGGTCCGACGGAAGCGACGATTGGCGTCACCACCTACCAGCGCGTACCGCAGAACGGCCGGCCTAGCAATATCGGCAGACAATTTAAAAATGTCGGTTCATACGTCTTCCACAAGGATACTGAGATCCCTGTTCTTCGAGGCGCTATCGGAGAGCTCTGTGTCAGCGGCAAGCTTGTGGGCAAAGGCTACCTGAATCGACCGGACTTGACGGCTGAGAAGTTTCCGACTCTCGACGTCTTTGGTGAGAGAATCTACCGGACCGGTGACTTGGTTCGCATCCTCCACGACGGGTGCTTTGAGTTCCTTGGCCGTGCTGATGATCAGGTGAAGCTTCGCGGCCAGAGGCTGGAGCTTGGTGAGATTGACCACGTTATTCGTTCCGTTGAGAATATCCGGGACGTGACTACCCTCGTCACGAAGCATAGATTCAGTGGAAAGGACGTACTTGTCTCTTTTATTGTTGTTGAAGACCAAGCCCACGACATGCCACTTGCTGTCCTCGAAGACAGTACCGGTGTTGGCGCAGACGCGAGAACTATGTGCAGGAACAAACTCCCTGGATACATGGTCCCTTCTTACTTCCTGAAGCTTCCGCTCATCCCACTCTCGCCAAACAACAAAGCAGAAGCCAAGCAGCTCAAGAAACTCTTTTCTGAGTTGTCACAAGAAGCGCTGGTCAAATTTGGCTCGGCTACCGCGAAGCGCAACCTGGCCAAGGACAGCCCAAGCTATCAGAAGCTCATTTCCCTGCTCGCGCAGTTTTGCAGTCTGGACGCCTCTGTCATTGACGATTCAACAAGCATTTTTGACCTTGGCGTCGACTCGATAACGGCTCTGTCACTGTCCGCCTTCTTCGTGGAGCAAGGACTGTCCACAGCCTCACCAGCGCTGATCCTCCGCAACCCCTTCGTGCTTGATCTCGCCGTCGCGCTATCAAGAAACGCCTCCCCTGACACCTTGGCGGAGGTGAAGCGGACTAGGCAAAAATTACAGGCTTTTGAACATAAGAATAGAGCCCGTGTCTGCAGAGAATTGGATGCGCTGCCGTCGGCTATCGAGTACATCTATCCGTGCTCTCCGCTTCAGCAGGGTATGCTCGCCAAGACTGCACTTGAGGATGGCGAGGGTGCATACTTTAATGTCTTCAAGTTTTATTTGAGACCCGATGCCGTCGTTGAGACCGCGCGCGCTGCCTTCGGCACCCTCTTTGAACAGGAATCGATTCTTCGGACAACATTCTTGCACACTCCCGATGGATATGTCCAAGTCGCCCGCCGTGACATCGGTCTATTTTGGGAAGAACGAACCCTTGCTGAAGATGAGAATGTGGATCAGGTCATTAAGTCTCTGAGAGCCAGTTGGATAAGCGACAACAGTGAGCGCATGCACACGCCTGTCAAGGTCACTCTCGTCACGGGCCCGGACACGAGAATGATAGTGCTGCACATTTTCCACGGCTTGTACGATGGGACAAGCTTCGAACTGATGACGAACAGGCTCGTAGATTTCTATAAAAATGTCGAAGTCGAAGCAGACCGCTCATTTGCAGATACTCTCCTCCATGGACCACTGAGGAATCACGATAATGCAAAACAAGCCTGGCTGAGGCATCTTGAAGGCTGGTCTACCTCACCACAATCTCTTCCCCGCGAGGCGAAAAGCGCTGTTCCGATAGCCCAGATGCGAGTGTTGAGCTTACCAAGACTTGAAAAGCTTCGATCGACCAACAATGTTACCATGCAGTCCCTTCTAATCGCTCTCTGGGTGTCGACTCTGCAAAAGTACAGCCGAGGCAATGTTACGACTGGCGTCATCGTCTCAGGCCGGTCAATTGCACTACCAGGTGTGGACAAGACTATTGGGCCGCTGTTCAATACGCTTCCATTTTTTGCCAACATCTCATCCGCATCTACTTGGCGCGCTCTTCTTCAGCGGTGCCAAGATTTCAACGGAATGGTGCTCGATGATCCTCATGTGCCCCTGCAGCAGCTGCAAAAGTGGAAGGCGAACGGCAAATCACTTTTTGACAGCCTGTTTTCCTATCAAATAGAGGGTCAAGTCAGGCAGAAAGATGACGTGCCGTGGGTTGTCGAGGATGGTGGTCTGAATCCCGACTTTCCCTTGGCGTTGGAGGTGACGAAACGCCGCGATGGCACTATGCGGCTCCTCTTGGTCGCAAAGAGTGGCTTGGCAGATGAATTGGCGCTGGACAAAATGCTTGATGAATTCGAGGACATGCTCACCAGTATGGAAGAGGGTGCGAAAATTCCGGTTCAGGTTGAATCTAGCCAGTTGGATGCAGGAAAGGCAGACCAAGTGAACGGCATCAGTGTGGATGACAAGGAAACCTGGAGCCCGAATGCCGAGGCTTTGCGACAGGAAATTGCACTTCTGTCCAGTATCTCCGCTGCTGATGTTGCACCCTCTACCACCTGGCTTGAGTTGGGTCTGGACAGCATTGATGCGGTTCAGCTCTCTGCTCGCCTCAAGAGACACAACATGATGATAACTCCCTCTGCCATCATGAAGGGGCGTTCAATGGCATCTTTGGCAAAATCAATAAGGCTAATGGAGAACGGTCATGAGTCGAATGAAGTACGCGGTCTGCGAGACATCAAGTCCCAGCTCCGCCATTACGTCGAGGCCACCGGGCTTGACATGACCGAAGTTGATGATATCCTCCCAACAACGCCATTACAGGACGCAATGGTTTCTGGCATGGTCGAGTCAGACTTCTCTTGGTACTTCAATCATGAAATCCTCCAAGTTGCACCTGGCATCGATGTCTCTAAGCTCCAGGCTGCATGGTCTAGGCTGTTCGAAACGACCCCGATCCTGCGAACGGGCTTCGTGGAGCTTGTCGACCCCAAGGCGTCTGCGGTCTACGCGCAGGTTGTTTACAAGTCTTCCCCCCTAATCATCTCAGATGTGACTATCACGTCTGTGGATGAGCTGCAGACTATTCAGGAGCAAAGCAAAACTAGCGCCATCCAGAGTGCGGCAAAGAAGAACCTCGCGCGCGTTGTGCGTGTTAGCCTTGGAGAATCGATATTCTTCGTTCTTTCAATTTCGCACGCTTTGTACGACGGTTGGTCTCTTGGACTCCTTCATCAAGACTTGAGGGCCCTTTATTACGACGAACCCGTGTCCAGACCATCTCCAGACCAGTTCTTGTTCAAGTCTTGCACCTCCATCGCCTCTGAAGCCCAAGGTTTCTGGTCAAACTATCTCGAAGGGGCGCGGCCAACAATCGTCCCCCCAGCAGAGCCGGACTCGTCCAGTGTCGTAAAAGTCGAGGCTGATTCTTCGATTAAATTGGGCGAAATTGGCCAGTTCTGTCGAGAACAAAAGATCAGCCTCCAATCGCTGTGCCAAGCCTGCTGGGCCGTCATCCTCGCGCGCAAAACGCGCTCGCTCGATGTTATCTTTGGCTCCATCCTTTCGGGCCGTGACTTTGAAGGGGCCGAGGACCTCCTTTTCCCAACCATGAACACCGTCGCCGTCAGGAGTATTTTGCACGGATCCATTTCTTCGTTCCTGCGATACATGGAGGACAATCTCGGCGAGCTGCGGTCCTATCAGACGTTTCCTCTGCGCACGGCCTTGAAGGCCGCCAAGGTGGCGGCTGGGAAAGACTTGTTTAATTCTTTATTCCTGTTGCAAAAGACCCCTGGCGAAAGCGCTTCGGAGTCTCTTTTCCAGTCTCTGGAAGGATCATCAGGCGTGGACTATCCCGTGTGCGTGGAAGCGGCAACGAGAGGGGATGTTTTGGAGTGGACGGTAGCCTGCCAGGGACAGTCGAAGGACGGGAAATTCCCGCAGGACTTGGTTTCGGAGCTGGATTCTGCCCTTGAGTTTATCTTGCGTCATGCGGATGAAGACGTGGTTAAATTCTCCGACACTGGCGCCCAAATCTGCGGATCCCAGCCCATCACCCTGGCTGACGATGATAATGAAAGTCTGCAGGTTGGAAAGAATACATCGCATGAGTGGAACACGACGTGTCTAGCCATAAGGGAGGTCTTGAGTCAAGTTTCAAACATCCCAGAAGATGCAATCGATGCTTCCAGCACGCTTTACCATCTCGGTTTGGACTCCATCACCGCCATCAAGGTGTCCACGCTATTGAAGCAGAGAGGAATCTTTCTTCGACCGACAGCTTTGGTGCGCTCTACCAGCATCGCGCACATGGCTGAGCAGGCAAACACACCGCCTGAACCCGAGATATCCGCGACGGAGCCGAGCTGGCAGTCCTGGAAGGCACCGAAATCAGTCAACGTCAACGGGCTCTTGGGTGACGCTGGCATTGGAAAGGAACAGGTCGAGGAGGTCCTGCCCGCGCTGCCCATGCAAGTGTACATGATGAGTACGTGGCAAAATACTGGCGGCCAGATATTCTACCCGGAGTTTACCTACCGGCTTTCCGGGTCACACGCCGTATCGAAGATTTACGATGCCTGGGCACGCGTGGTAAAGAAGGTTCCAATGCTTCGCACATGTCTCCTCGCCACCGGACAGGAAGACCTACCTTTTATTCAAGTTCTTCTCAAACCTGGTCTATCATCCACTGGCGCACAGCCATTTGCTCACCCCGAGGTTGACCGGGCCCTTGACTCGTCGGAGACGATTCTACGGCTACGAATTCATCACGCGCTCTACGACGGAGTCAGTCTGCCTGCCATCATGGACACTCTTGTTGATCATATCAAAGGAATTCTATCCAGCGGCGCGTCAACATCGATTGACCAATGGGCAAACCTGGCAACTTCTAGAGAGGGCAAAGATAGTGCGGACTCGAGAAGGGCATTCTGGACCAAGTATCTCGACGGACACAAAACCTTTCCGGATGGGACTGACATGACCGGGCCGCGGACATCCCTTTTCAAAGAAGGAGCCTGTTCCAACATTACCGCACTTGGAGACCTTGCTGCCAAGAACGGCATCGGCCTGCAGTCCCTCATCCTCGCCGCCTATGCACGATCCATCATCCCTCGCCAGAAGTCCTCCCCCGACAGCGTCGTGCTCGGCATCTACCTCGCGAACCGCTCCGACGAGCGTATCCCGGACATCCTGCCCACGCTGAATCTAGTCCCGCTCCGCATCGCCATACACGAGCGTGACAGCCTTGCAGAGTCAGCACGGCGCATACACGAAGACATCAGACGAATCGCGGCCGACGGCCAGGCGGCGCAGGTCGGCCTGTGGGAGGTGGCGCGCTGGACGGGCGTCACGGTCGACAGATTTGTCAACTTCTTGACGCTCCCTGGCGCTGGTTCCGGAAAGGAGAACGGATTCGCTGCGTCTGGGGATACTACCACTTCCTTGGAGCTCTTGCTGAGCGAAGGCATGGAAGCTCACGGCGATATTTACGACGCGTCTGTTGCCGGGAATGCAGTCCGTCACGCCTATCCCGTAAGTTGTCTTTCTTAGCCTATTATTATTCTATACGATTTTCTTTGAAACACTTTTGCTAACGGACGGGATACAGGACTCTGTGGACGTCGAGTTCGCGGTACGAAATGGCCGCCTCGACATGGGCGTCTTTGGCCCGCGCGGGCTCGTCACCGACGAGGAAGCGCACGAGTTGGTGGATGATGTGGTGCGGAGATTGAACATTGTCATTTAAGCGGGCATCATGAGCGATTTTATTTCTGGTTTATTTTTGTTTTCTGGGGGTCTTTTGTCATTTTCATCTTCCTTGTTCTACATTTCCGGATGGATAAAGGCGTCATAGATTTCTCTTCTTGCATTTACATACACACACATACCTCGAGTCGCAAGTCGCACTACGATCTTTGTGACACGGTAACACAATCAATCCACAGATATGCGGGGTGTACAAAATGGCCAATAGAAATTGAGGGATATTTGAATGTAGAGAAGCTGCAACCACGGCACAATTGCCATGATCGAGCCCTGCATTTTGTTGGTCGTCGGCATTGTTGGCCACTGTTCTAGCGCCCGCAGCTGGTGAGAACAGAGGCGCTTCATTCACCAGTCACAGTCACAGTCTCAGAGTCTTGGATCATTCTGTTTTTTTCATTCAGCTATCCTAGCGTATCTGCGTCCAATTCATGTCAAAAGCGATGTCATGCATCGACTGGTATATACATGTACTCGTGCCTCGCGCGATCCCATGACCACCAACACGAGGGTCCTTTTTTCTTGGTTTCCAAAACATTTCAAACATGGCCGTTTCCAAAAGAACAAAAAAAAATGACGTGACGAAAAATGCGGCGCTAGCGACACTCTTACAAGCCACAAGTCGTCGCGTTTACAGGCGGGACTTGTTGGCGTCGGGCTTCCAGCCCTCCTCCATGGCAATCATCTCCGCAGCGCGCTCGCCAATGGCGAGAACAGTAAGCATGGGGTTGATGGAGGGCATCTCGGGGAAGACGCCGGCGTCGGCGATGCGAAGCTTCTTGATGCCGCGGACCCTGAGCTCGGGGTCGACGACGGCGAGCTCGTCCTTGCCGACGTCGCCCATCTTGGTGGTGCCAGCGGGGTGGTAGACGGTGTGGGCCGCGCGGCGGGCGTACTCGCTAATGTCCTCGTCGCTCTGGACCTTGGGGCCGGGGGCGACCTCCTGCTTGAGCCAGCTCTTGAAGGGCGCCTGCTGGGCGATCTTGCGGGCGGCCTTGATGCCGTCGACGAGGATCGAGGCGTCGTAGCCCTCAGGGTCGGTGAAGTAGCGGAAGTCGAGCGCGGGCTTCACGCTGGGGTCGGCGGAGGTGAGGTAGATGCGGCCACGGGAGCGAGCGCGGGGAATGTTGGGGGTCATGCAGAAGGCGTAGCCGTCGGGGATGAGGGGGTAGCCCAGGCGCTCGGTGTTGAGCGTGAAGGGGATCTGGTAGCAGTGCATCATGATGTCGGCGGCGTTGCCGTCGTTGCCAGCAGCGTTGGTGGCGTCGCGGCGAATGAAGACGCCGGCGTCAGAGTCCATGGTGGTCTGGTTGGGGGGGACAGGCTTGCTGAGCTCCCACATGATGATGGTCTCGGGGTGGTCAATGAGGTTCTCGCCCACACCGGGGAGGTCCTTGACGACGCGGATACCCAGAGACTGGAGCTGAGCGCGGGGGCCGAGGCCAGAGTGAAGCATCAGCTTGGGGGTGTCGACGGCACCGGCCGACAGGACAATCTCCTTGCGGGGGCGAAGGGTCATCTTCTGGCCGGACTTGAGGGTAATGTCAACTCCGTTGGCAACATCGTTTTCGACGTGAATCTTGGAGACCCAGGTCTCAGTCAGGACGGTGAGGTTGGGGCGGCGCTCATCGCCACGGAGGATGGGATGGATGTAGGCGACAGAGGCGCTGCTGCGCTTGCCGTCGTCGGGGTTGTAGGAGATGTTGAAGAAGCCGGCACCCTCGGTGAGTTGGCCCTTTTCGCGGATCTCATGGTTGAAGTTGTCAATGACGGGAATGTCCAGAGCAGTAGAGCAGGCCGATACCCAGTCCTTGCAGAGCTGATTGCGGTGGCGGGCGTGGACGGGCTGGAAGGTGTTGCGGAGGTTGTCAATGTGGCGGGTGACGTTCTCAAAGGTCCAGCCGGTGCAGCCCTGCTCGACCCATCGGTCCATGTCGTGACGGAAAGGACGGAAGGAGATCAGGGTGTTGTGGGAGGAGCAGCCGCCGAGGACCTTGGCGCGCGAGTGGCGGATGTGGGAGTTGCCATTGGGCTGCTCGGTGGTGGGATAGTCGTAGTCGAGTTCGCCGCCGAGGAGGGAGAGCCACTCGCGCAGGTTGAGCACCTGGGAGAGGTTGAAGTCGGAGGGACCAGCCTCGATGAGGAGGATCTTGCGCTCGGGGAGGTAGCTGGACAGCCGGGAGGCGAGGACGCAGCCAGCAGTGCCACCACCGACGATGATATAGTCAAAGTCGGTAGCCGCGGAGGCGGAAAGAACCTGGGTGGTCATGTTGGCAGTGACAATTGGAATTTCAGAGCGAAAAAATATTGTAGGAAGAGCGTCGTGAGCCTGTCACAACCGGGAAAAGCCTGAACTAAGTATAAGCACGACAGGTGCAAGGGTCCAAGGTCCGGGTGGAGAAGCAGAAACAGAGCTTGACCGGAACCGGAGCGGATATGCAGGTCGGGCCACGGAGCGAGCAAAACGGGAAGCTAATAATAGTCAGGTAGACGAGTGAACGTCACTTGGAGTTGCAAGAGGGAGATGTGAGGATGGAAGCTATTGGTGTGGTGGTGGGAGAAGAGAGGATGTCGTAGAAGAAAGATGGAGGGAAAGAGTTGGGGAAACGTGGGATACTTTTTGGAGAATTGGAGGGACGGGACCAGTAGATAAGATATTAGCTAGGTTATTTTTTATTTATTTTTCACTTTGTAGTCGTTTGGTAAGTTCGGCGCTATTATTCATGGCTCCCGGCTGGTTGGCGACGGCCAAAGAGCCAAAAACTGATGGAGGGAACATTGGCCGAGGCGGAGCATCGGAATTGCTAATTGCGATCACGCGAGTTGGCTGAGCAGGGGGGTGGATCCTGTGGGAGAGAGAGAGTCAGTCAATTTGAAGCCAAAAAAAGGGACGTCTCACCGACATTGGTTGATAGGCTGGTGGTGGTGTCGTGGCGGCAGCTTTTTGGGTTCGAGATGTGGTGATGGCAAACAGGGTATTACGTAGGGAGGTTACTTGGGAGGCACTGTGCACACTGTGGAACAAGTGGTGAGTGACATGCAAATTCACAGTGCGGATATTCTAGAGAGATGCACGGTGTAGATTTTGCGCGATGGGCGGGGCTGGATGGGCTGGGGCTTGTCACACCAGCCCCCGCAGCCTGCTCGAGGTTACTCAGTACCTGGGAGGCTGATGGGAGCTTGCAGGAATACACAGTACATAATTTTTGTTACTGTTGGTAGCGTTTCTTTCTGAGCTTTCCCGATCGTCCGGACAGGAAGATTTCTTGATTTTTCTTCTTCTCTTTTTCGTCGTTGCCCCGTTCGATACGACACCGTTACTGTTGCGGCATGCAGGTAGGTCCATGGTGCTCCAGTGGGGTGCAGCATGCAGCTCCACTGACCTCAGGCCTCGCTGTAGCCGCGCTGTGGCCGCACTGAAACCACCTGGCGCTGCTGTCACGTTGTCGTTAGTGGCTTGTGCCAGCAGTTTTTAGCTGGGCAAACATTCATTGAGCCTTGAACCCAAATACAACTATGACTTGTGGTTGGTTACCTCGTAGCACTGCAGAAGCGGTGCAGCGCCCGCTGGGGCCGGCGGAGTGCCCGACATCCAGGTATGCGGGTCGCTGATGTCATTTTGCCTGATACTCGTCTCAAACCCCGCCAAGTCGATGGATTTTTTCCTCACTTTCGAGTTCGATTTTTTTTCCCTTGACTTTCGGTTAACTAACTAGTTGTATTCCCTAAATCCCTGTGGACTGCAAATGCTAGTCAATGACCCCTTTGGGAATTCGACTCCATCCTCGGAGTGGCACCGAGCCGGGGTGCCTTTTTGGTTGTAAGTTGCCGGGCCCGACGGCATGTACGGCCGCGATAACAACATTTCACGGCAAGCTTCTTTTTCGTCGCAACCTGCTGCTCAGCTCGTGGCACCATCTCCCGGGCTTGCATGATTTAAATTCGCTGCCAGCGCCATGGTGGCTGACCAGCTGGTCTGATGGCTGGCTCTAACTAACCAATGCCGAAGCAACCCCGGCCGACACTTGAGAGATAACAAGGCCAGCAACCCCGGCCAGAAACCACCTGATCGGGCCGTGCTCCGTGTTGCGGCCGTGCCGGTGTACGAAGCAGAGAAGTTGCATGTCAGTGCTTCCGCACCGCGACTTGCATATGCAACACGGCACTGCCCCATGGAGCTCTTGTGACACGGGCTGCATGCTTTTCCAACGTCGACGAATCACCGAGTACTTGCTCTTGCATGCGGGGTTGATTGACTGTGCCTGATTCTAGCAGAGTTTTCTCGATACTTTGGAAACATCCCTGCCGAAGTTTCAGTGGTCAAAGTAAATTCTAACCATCTATTTACAGTTATCAAAGCTAAACTCGTCCCGCTTCACTCTGCCCAACCCATTCTGCTACAGCATTCTCAATATCTTGATATTGATGTCTCGTAAATATTACAATAAATGCAGCAACAATTACACTTTACAGCTCAGCCAGCAATTGTATCCAAAGTATTGCCGGCGACAGCAACGAGCTTCTTTCATAGTGGGATCCACTGTAGCCACTATGCCCAGCCACTACAGCCACTGTACAAATCTAGCCTAAAAGCTGTGCGGGCATTGAAGCCACTGTAACCACTGTAACCACCTCGCTGTAAATACCTCCAACAACCACTGTAGCTGCCAAAATCTACAATTCTCCACTACGGTGCCCGCTCCTCCGGCTTCCGCGCATCCGCCGGCCAGCCTCTTTCTGGAGCTTCCATCATCATCACCGCCAACTTAGCTCAATTGCCTTGCTCGGCAATAGCTCTCGTGCCTTTCGCCGCAATCATCACATAGCATCCGCTAACACACATAATTCCCCTCCCCGCTGTGACTCCTGCAGCGTCTTGTCCAGATTGCGTCACAGCAGCTCACCCAGCTTTCTACCTAGCACCTCGCACTGCTGGTACTCCTCCAACCTGCCCACAAACGAAGCCATCACCAACCCTCGACCGCCACCATGACCTTTGCTAAAGAGATTCACACCTTCCACTCCGGCCAGCCCCAGCCGAAAAGCTCCTCCGCATCTCAAACCTTCCAGTCTCTCGACCCCAGCACCGCCGAACCGCTCGCCACCATCTACACCTCGACCCGGCAGCAGCTTGACGATGCCGTCGCCTCCGCGCAGGCCGCCTTCCCCGCGTGGTCGCAGACGCCCGCGCCGAAGCGCGCCGAGATCCTCCTCCGCGCCGCCGCGATCCTCCGCGCGCGCAACGATGCCCTCGCGCTGACCGAAACGTTCGACACGGGCAAGGCCTGGTCCGAGACGTCGACCGTCGACGTCGCCACCGGCGCCGACGTCCTCGAGTACTACGCGCACATGGTCGCCGGCGGCCAGCCGGGCCAGCACACCCGCCTCCGCTCCGACGCCTACGTGCTCACCACCCACGAGCCGCTCGGCGTCTGCGCCGGCATCGGCGCCTGGAACTACCCGATCCAGATCGCCCTGTGGAAGTCGGCGCCGTGCCTCGCCGCCGGCAACTGCATGGTCTACAAGCCCAGCGAGGTCACCCCGCTGCACGCCAACACCCTCGCCCAGATCTACCTCGAGGCCGGCGTGCCCGCGGGCGTCTTCAACGTCGTCTACGGCGACGGCGGGAGCGTCGGTGCGCCCCTCGTCTCCCACCCGGGCATCGCCAAGGTCTCCTTCACTGGCCAGGTCAGCACCGGCAGCAAGGTCGCCGCCGCCGCCGCCGCCGACATGAAGGGCATCACCATGGAGCTCGGTGGCAAGAGCCCCGTCGTCATCCTGCCCGACGCCGACGTGAACGAGGCGGCCGACGTTGCCATGGCGGCCAACTTCTTCTCCACCGGCCAGGTCTGCACCAACGGCACGCGCGTGCTCGTCCCGGACGCGATGCTACCGGCCCTCGAGCAGGCTCTGGTGGCGCGCTGCCGCGATGGCATCCGCATGGGCATGCCGCGCGACGAGGCGACCAACTTTGGCCCCGTCGTCTCCGCCGCGCACCGCGACAAGGTGCTCGGCTACATCCGCCACGGCAAGGAGGTGGACCGCGCGCGCGTCCTCTACGACGGCGCCGCCGCCGCGCAGAGCAAGCGGCCGACCGCCAACGGCTACTGGGTGCCGCCGGTCATCTTCACCGACTGCACCGACGACATGCGGGTGGCGCGCGAGGAGATCTTCGGCCCGGTCATGTGCCTCCTGCCGTACAAGGTGCGCGGCCGGGCGCAGGACGAGTGGCTCGCCGACGTGGTGCGCCGGGCCAACGACACGCCGATGGGCCTCGCGGCGGGCGTGGTGTCGTCCGACGTCGGCCTCGCGCAGGACGTGGTCCGCCAGCTGCACGCGGGCATCACCTGGATCAACACCTGGGGCGAGTCGCCCGCGGAGATGCCCGTCGGTGGCTGGAAGATGAGCGGCTTGGGATTGGAGAACGGCGAGGAGGGCATCCGCGCCTACATGCGCACCAAGAGCACCCTGATTCAGCTGGGCAAGGGCGCCTGCGCCGGCTTGTTTGCGAAGCTCTGAATGTGTGCTGTTTCGTTAGTAGCCTGGATTTGGTTTATTCATGTATATAAAAAGCGACTTGAACTGAATGAGAAATGTATAACTATTTTCTTTTTTTTTTCCCCTCAAGTGTTGACGTCTCCGCCAAGAGCTTCCCCACGTACTTGCCCACGTGGCTCATCTTCCCTTCTTCCAACCACATCAGATACACACGACGCACGCACACACGCCATGCCGCATCTCGCCCACGTCTCCGTCGTCGTCCGCGACTACGACGAGGCGCTCGCCTTCTACGTCGACAAGCTCGGCTTCACCCTCGTCGAGGACCGGCCCGTGCCCGAGCAGGGCAAGCGGTGGGTGACCGTCGCGCCGCCCGGGGCCGGTCCCGGCGCGACCACGATCCTGCTCGCGCGCGCCTCCTCGCCGGACCAGCTCGCGGCCGTCGGGCGGCAGACGGGCGACGACCGCGTGTTCCTGTTCCTGGCGACGGACGACTTCCGGCGTGACCACGCGCGCCTCACAGCCGCGGGGGTGGAGTGGGCGCGGCCGGTCGCGGTGCACGACTACGGCACGGTGGCCGTGTTCAAGGACCTGTACGGCAACCTGTGGGATCTAATCGAGTATGCCCGGGCCTAGTGGCGCGGCCTCTGCGCTCGGGGGGATTGTCGATCGAGCCGAGGGAAGCCGGAGGGAAGGAGGGGGGGGGGGTCGATGATGATTCACGTTGATCGAACGGTGATGTGCAACGACGCAGATTTAGAGTTGCCCTAGATATTCATGCCAAGGAGATGATGACTCGTGCTCCGTTCTGCAGCCTGTCAATGCTATGCTATGCTGGTTTGCGATGCTCACTGCCGAAACTAAAAGGGGGGGCTAACGAAATCGACACTACCTGATAAAGCGTCCTCGATGCATAAAGAATCAGCGCATCACGTCCCCAAGTCAAGGAGCTGCAGGGTAGAGGTCTTGTCGGATGGATCTCCGCGAACAGGCTGCGCAGAGTGTTTGAGGTAGATGGGCAACTCCCTGGTGGTGCAGGGTATCTATAGCACGCGGCATATAAGGCCAAGGCAGGACCTGAAACTTGACAAGGAACGGGCGTGTCTACCGCGGTACGCTTTGATGATTTATTTTACTTGCTCGTGATTTCAGTTCAATGCAGAAAACAGCATGCGGATGAAAATTCATATATACTTGGTCTATGTCTATGTTTGTAACCTTGATTCATTACACATCACACTTTCAAACCCTCTGCTTCCTCAAAACGGCACCGGAACGTTGCGCGTCAGGTACCCCCTCCAGGTCGGACGGGTGCGCTTCAGCGTCGTCTCCGAGGTCAGCTGGAGGTCCTCGATGGCGCTCGCCCACTTGACCAGCTCGTCCTCGCGCCACGCCGTCTGCAAGATCGCCAGCCCGAACGGCATCCCCGAGTCGCTGCTCACGCCCACCGGGATCGTCACCGCCGGGTAGCCCGCCTGCGCCGCCTGCTGGTAGCTCTGCCCGACCGCCGGCGGCACCAGCAGGCCGTTGAGGCGCGTGCCGTTGCTCCGCAGCGCGTCGTCGATGCCCCTGCGCGCCGTGCCCTGCACGTACTCGAGCGCCTGGAAGTACGTCTGGTCCTGCACGCCGCGCGTCTTCTGCGAGTCCAGGAAGACGTCCTGGCCCGAGTAGAAGGCCGGGTGGCCCCGGGGCCAGGGGTGGCCGCCCTCGGCGCCGTCATTCTCAAAGTTGTACCGGATGATGTCGTCGACGGTTTTCACGTTGGTGTTGGTGAGCTCCTGCAGGTACGCGTTCATGTTGTTGTAAAAGTCCACCTTGACATAGGTCAGCTCCGACTCGTTGGCGCGCCCGCGCGACGTGACGCCCCAGTTCCAGTCCCAGCCGTCCGGGCTGACAATGGTCTCGTGGTCGGTGATCTCGGTGCCGTTGATGATGGTGGCGCCGGCCGCGCGCATCAGGTCCAGCAGCTGTGTCAGCGCCGCGAGCTGCTCCGCGTCGGCGAAGCGCCAGTAGCTCATCCACGGCAGGCCGAAGCGCGCGCACTTGAGCGCCGACTTGGTGCGCAGCAGGGAGGCGTAGCCGGCCGCGGGAGGGGCCTTGGCGCCGTCGGCGAGGGTGTAGTTGTCGCGGGGGTCCTTGCCGTGGATGGCGTCGAAGGCGTAGACGGCGTCGCGCACGGTGCGGCCAAAGGTGCCGACCGAGTCTTGGTGCTCCGTCTCGGGGATGACGCCAGCGCGGGAGGTGCGGCCGACGGTGGGCTTGAAGCCGACGAGGGCGTTGCGGGAGGCGGGGTTGATGACTGAGGGGTGTTAGTACATGCGTAGATGTATATACAACAAGTACATGTATGGAAGATGACGTACCACTGCCGTCAGTCTCGGTGCCGAGCGAAAAGGCGACGACGTTGGCCGCGACGCCGACGGCGCTGCCGGAGCTGCTGCCGCCGGGGTTCACGGTGAGGTTGTAGGAGCTGCGGCACTGTCCTCCGCGACCGGAGAAGCCCTCGGAGTAGTTGCTGCTGCGCATGTCGGCCCACTCGCTGAGGGTGGCCTTGCCGAGCAGCACGGCGCCGGCCGCGCGCAGGCGGGCGACGACGTGGGCATCACGGGGCACCACGCTGCCGAGCAGGGCCCAGCTGCCGGCCGTCGTCTCCATGTTGTCCTTGGTGGCGATGTTGTCCTTGACGGTGAAGGGGATACCGTGCAGCGGGCCGCGGACCTTGCCGGCCTGACGCTCGGCGTCGAGCTGGGCGGCGATGGCGAAGACGTCGGGGTTGACCTGGAGGACGGAGCTTTGGGGGGGGGGGGTTTCATGTTAGCAAGCTGACTGGACCCTGCTGCTTTCGAAACAATTGGCACAGGGGCAGCGGAGGAAAAGAATAAACTCACTTGATATACTCTTGGGTCTGAAACACTCTCGTAAGATAGCATCCGACCAGCTGGACCGAGGTGAGCTGGGTCTTGTTCATGGCCAGCTGCATCTGGTCAATGGTGGCTTCCTCGAGGGTGAAACCGTGGCAGTCGCCCATGGGAAAGAGCTCGGTCGAGCCGGCATCCTTCATGAGGGGGATCAGCGGCGGCGTGAATTGTGTGTCGATGGCGCTGCCGGCGCCGATGAGGAGCGCCGTAGCGGAGAGGATGGAGACACGCATGGTGATGTGATGTGCTGTGATGCCGATCCGGATGGTGAGGGAGAGAAAGGTTGGGTTGGTGGCTGGAAATTTGGCGGGAATAGGGAATGCAAAAGGGGAAGAAAGAGCTTCCTATTTTTGCTTTTTGCCGATGACCAAAAAAAAAAGAACTAATTCAAGTCCCTTTGGCACCACTGACTGACTGTCTCTGTCTGCTTGTAGAAGGCGACAAGATGAGGGAGAGAAGGCGGCCACGAGCTCTACATATATTGCGTCCACCACGTGCGGTAAATGAAGAAGTAAGGATGTGTCAAGTGCAAATTTACTCCATCACAGACCTCAACTCTCCCAGCTTCTCCAATGAACCCAGCCAAGCTTGCCGCCCTCCCTCGACTCGACCAGGCAGGCAATCCCTGCTGTCGCGTGGTAAAAACTCCCCCTCCCCGCGCCCAGGCCGGCAATATTCAATATCTCGGCGGGGGCTGTGGGTGCGTTGAAGAAATCTGCTTCCATTTTTTCCTTCTTTTTTACGACACCTTCTTTCCGCGGGCTCAAGGGTCCGGCGAGCCAGCACGTCAGGCCTGTTGTCGCTAGTCAGGGTTGTCAATTAATTAAATCAATCACCGGCCAACCCGGCAGACGAAATAACGGTGTTATCTAGCTCAACAAGGTGAACAAGGTGGTCGAAGCTTCCCTTTCCCCCTCTTACCTGTAATGAACCGAGTCATTTAGTTGGAATTAGCGGTCATTTTGGTTGTCTTGCTAGTGGAGAGGGTAGCTTGGCTGGTAGGCTGGTGCTTAGGCTGGTGCTTGGGCTGGTGCTTAGGCTGGTGCTCAGGCTGCGCTGCGCTGCGCTGTCTGTATAGAGTTAGTACAAGTCTGACTACAACTGCTATACAGTTGGAGAACCCAGGACCCCTAACCCACCAAAAGTATAGTGAGTTCATGTCACTGTAAATTAAGAGTGTCGCAAATTAATTTGGAGGCGCAGTAGTTCTTTGTTGACAGCTGATTAGAGTATACATTTACAGACATGCAGACGTACATACATACATACATACATACGTAGACAGAGACCTCGTATCCGTAACCACATATCCATGTACAGTACGGATAGTTATCCGGAATACACCGCCTCCATCTGGTCATCTCCCCCCCCTCACAGAGCATGAGGCCGTCCTTCTCGAACATCAAAGTCCACCTTGACGTAGATGCCGTCCGTCGACTTGGCGCTGTGAAAGTCGTCGGTGCTCGGCGAGTGGCTCGCGCTCACCGCCGTGCCGTAGCCGGCGCCGCCACCGCCGTCAATCTCGTCCTGGCTGGTGAGGTGCTGGCTCCGCTGCCGCAGCGTGCCAAGCTTGGTCGCGTTCGAGTCATTCGTCTTGTTGTTGCGCGTCCGGTGGCTCGTGGACCCGGACCCGGAGCTGGCGTCCTTCTTGCCCAGCACGAACTTGTCAAAGACGGGCTTGACGCCGGGCACCGACAGCGCGATCAGCGTGGCGCCAATCTCGGCAACCTCGACGCCGAGCATGGGGTTGTACTCCCAGGACTGTTGGTTGGGTGGTGTTAGTAGGCCGTTGCTTGCTGCCCAAACGTGGATTGCCCTCTCTACTTACCATATCAGCCTCCCATTGCCCGCGAATGACCAGAATCAGTCGCGTGATGGAAATGGCAATGACGCTGTGGTGAATTAGCCTAGACTGAACATACACGGGGACCTTGGACAGTCGCGCAATGCACTGCACTCACAGGATACCCGGGAGCAGGATGGACCCCAGCTGAATCTTCTTCTTGCGGCTCATCTCCAGCGTCCACAGCATCGCGATCGGGATGCCAAAGATGAGCAGGTCGCAGAGCAGCGACACCGCCGAGTTGACGCTGTACACCAGCCCCCACTGCAGGCACACGAACCGGTCAAACTCGGGCTGGAAGTCGTACGGCCACCAGCCCGTCACCGGCCGGCAGTGGAAGACGATCAACAAGACCTGCGGCAGGAAGCCAGCGATGAGCACGCCAAAGACCACCTGGATGACCAGCTTGAAGCGGCTGTGCATCTTGCACAGCCGCCAGTAAAAGGCGAGACCGGAGACGCGGCACAGCAGCAGCGCGACGGTGTAGATGATGTGGGCGATGAAGTCGAGCAGCTGGGTGAGCAGCATCGTGTCGTTGTCGAGGATGTACTGGATGTAGGCAAAGTGGCGGCCGGAGCCGAGGCGGATCAGGTGTATGCAGAGGGCGACGAATGAGATGAAGCAGCACTATCATCGCCGGTGGTTAGTATCTCGGCCACACGTCTGTCGCCATTACCAGGTGCCATTGGGAAACGGTGACGACGTACCAGAGACGCCAGGGCGAGGCCATCGTCAATGCCCACGCGCTTGACGACAAAGGCGCGAGACGCCAGGCGGGAAAGCACCACGAAGCTCGTCAGGATCGCGACGATGACGATGGCGATGATCGCCGGCTGGTCCTTGCTCTCGCTGAGGAACGCCTCGCTGATCTCCTTGGGCACCTTGCCGCTCGCAATTGCCGCCACGATTTTGGGATCACTCATGATTGGAATTTCGGGAATAGCGAACGACGATATCGGACGGAACCCTCGGAGAGGAGAGGAGAGAAAGGTCAAGCACAATACAGATGGGATTTCAAGACATCATCTTGATGATGGTTTTTTTTCTTTCTCTTTACAGATCAAATCGACAACGATAAGTCTTGGTCAACTAATAACCCCCCCCCCCTTCTTGACCTTTCGACCCTCCCCTCCCCCCTTGGCTCTCGACGAGGCGAAGCTCTATCTGTGTGGACTTGACCTTTTTCGGGCCGGGCTCATGAGTCGTGAACCATGCTCCTTTGGCAACGTGTGTGTGTGGGCAGGGATCCTCTGGCACCCAAGAGGTTCCAAGACTAGTTAGTTGGTCGAGGAAAACTCGCAGACCGAGGCCGTTTCAACAACAACTAGGGGAAATGAAGAAGGTCAGTTGTGGTCCTCGTGGACGGGAGGGGGGGGGGACGGAGGTTCTAGCTGGTTATTGGTTTCTTGGCCTTGCTTCTAGCGTCAACCTCTCAACTCTCTGGTGTCGCATGGAGGTGTCAGGTTCAAGCTCTGTTCACATGAACCCTTTCATCCGATCTCTTTGCGGACATGTCGTACATGTTTTGTCCATCACATTGCCCCTTTCATCCATAACTAGCCACACTACCAAACACCAAACAGGCCATCATCATCTTGCACAACAAGCCCTGGCTGAAATCTGCGACACAAAGGTGGGACGCTCTGAATGACTTGCGTCGAAAACTGCCTATTTCGGAGTCCAAGCGAGAGGGGGGGAAATTTAAGCCAAAAAAAAAAAAAAAGAAGCCACGCCGCCGCCTCGCTTCGGTGACAGGCCGCCGATCTTGCAGAGGTTGAGTTTAATTCAAAGCCAAACAGAGGGGCCTTTTGGTGGGTTGCTTGCATCTACCAACGAACTTGCGGAATAGTGTAGAAATCGCGGACAATTAAGCTCGCAGACAACATTCCTTCTAGACGAAAGTAGGAAGAAAAAAGCCCGTCGGTTAAGTTGCGCCATCCCGACCCGACCTTGTACACAGACAAGGTGGCGGCGGACCGCCCTCACTTGCCGAAGGCGCCGCCACTGGATGTCTGTGGTTGGAGTAGAATGATAATTGTGGTTCTTGCTATTTCTCCTCGAAAGCCAACTAGTTAACTAGTTATAATAAAACGCCACTTTATAGTTGAATAATTAGAACTTTGTAACAAGGGAACAGCGTACCATCATGCAAACCAAGTGGACGCGCGGTTGTCGAAACAGTAATGCGATTGATCACCCAAGCATAAACGAGTTGGTTAATACACACAGACTTATGGATCATAAACAAGTAAAGCGAAAGATAAAGATCAGGATATTTCTCACGCAACTCGTCTTTGCCTTCTCCGCTCCGCTCGGGCTTCTTTGTCCGTGAGCCAGCCACGTCCTCCCGTCCCGCCCCTCACCCTACCCGTCGGCCCTGATCACCATCATCAGCTGAGATTCTTCCACTTTGCCCGCAAATGTGCTCTGACGGTAGCCCACAAGGCACGAGGTAGCCAGACGAGACGAGACGAGACGAGGCGGACGCCTCGTTGACCGCCACAGTGTTCCGGCCGTCTCTGCTTCCTCTGCTGTCCGAAATACCCGCCTATCCCCGGCCGCTCGGCAGTTGAATCGACATCCATCCCTCCATCTTGAAGTTTCAATAGCGTCGTTAGTTAATAAATGAATTCGATGGGGAGGCCCGCCGCGTCTTGGCCGCGAGTGCATCCACTCGATTGTTCAACAGGCAGCCCTGCCGGCTTCATCGCAGACGGCAACTTCTTGCTTGTAACTATGTTTTGTAGGCGGATTCTTTCTTTAATCTCGGATAGTTCCATCTACTTGGATAGCTCCTTCAACCAACTACTCGGATAATTCTATCCACCGACTACTCACTAGACTCATCGCCATCACAGAGTTGAACGCATCAGACGCAAAAAGTCAAGGCGACGACTTGCTCTATGTTTTAAGTCTTGTGAAAAACTGCAAAATGTAAGTCCAACACCAGCTTTTCACCCTAACCCATCAGTTCAAGACAAAGGCCTCCAAAATGGAGGAAGAAAAAGCAGAAAAAAAGGAATAGCAAACAAAGTACTCACCCAGACACAGTTCCAACTCATACCAATGCACTTTTGCGAGCCGGCGGTGCTGATTCGCGAAGCAAAATACTGCTGACTTGTAGCCAGGATGCCATACCCACCGTTGGTGATGGTGATGTCCCCCATCTACAGTAGCCTCCGCTGCCATTCTCAGCGACTAAACAAATTAGCATTCGTGTGATTTTCACCAAGAACCTTTCGACTCACAGATTCCAATCTGCGTAGTTGAGGAATCATTCGACATCATCACACTGGCTTCTTCAATCGTTGTCGCTTGCGCCACTTGCCAGTGAATGCCGACCGTGCCCGCCTGCCTGGTTAGGCGAAGCTTGATTTTGATTCCGCGAATGCTCCGATAAAAGTTGCCCTGAAGGATACAAAGTCAGAATGTCCTACTCCCGCCATGGTTGCGAGGATGACTTACCGTGCTGATATACCATTCGGAATTGCCGTCGAAGAGGTAGACGTCTGCCGTGAAGACGCACAGTCCGATCAAGTTGCTTGACAATTGTATGGTGGGAGCTGTGCCTCCCACACTGCCAACTATCTGCATATTAAAGTACAGCACGATTGATCGGTCGACGCAGTAAGTACCTGTGAAATGATGAGAGTATGCTCCGACATGACATCTTGCCTCGGGTACTCACCACCGAGAAAATACACTATGGCACCGCTGACAGAGGACTCGGGGCAGCCTTGGCCTCATCGATTGCCATCTGAGCTGACCCTTAAATGGCGTCTGTGTCGTCGGTGAAGCATCCGACAGCGCCATAGTCCTTGACATTACGCCAGACCTGAACTGCATTAATTGAAGTCTTCATTGTTCTTCTTCAAGAGTTTGAATCCTTACATTGAAGCCTGTTGCTGGACGGAATGACTGTTGGGATAGCCTGTGATCTTGATCTGCCATACGGTCACTTCTATCTTAGCTGTGAGCTTGTCTCAAGAGGGCTGAGATTCTCAATGGCGGATACACATCTTGAATGTAAATCTTGGTCTCGTTCTAGTAGCGTTTCAGAGTACCACTGTTTTACAAGTTCTGTGTCTCGGCGTTGTTGGTGAGCTTCACAGCCTTGAGGAGCTCAGGGCGTGAGTTGAGGCGGAGCAGGCCGCTGTTCAGTATCGGTCGAAGTTGGGCTGTGTTGGGGTCGCCTTTAACTCCTCGACGAGGATTCACGAGACGCCATAGGTTGTACTTGCCCTGTTGGTCAATCGCTTCGTCAACCATGGCTCTTGCCCGAGAACCGGCCATGGAGCTGGTATTGGTCAACATAGTGGGCGGCAAGTTTGACTGGAGGCGGCTCAAAGCTAGTCTCTGTTCTGTTCGGAGAGCAGAGGAATTTCTTTTTGCCATTTCACCTTCCGTTGGTTTGGAAAAGTCTATGCCAAGCATAGAGAGAGGCCCCGTGGTAGGCTTTGCAAAGCCTTGGGAGCAGAGCAAAGCCGCCACGGAGAGGGAAAGGAACTTTTGTGAGGACATGGTGTTGTTTGGAGACAACTCTGTGGTGCACTGGTGGATTCTGAGCAGCGAGACGAATTGACTTATTATATACATCCCTCTGCAACTGAGATGTAGCTCCTCAACCCAAGTTAGGCTACAGGAACACAGTCTACATTGGGAGATGAGGAGATGATGCAGGAGGCCGTTAGGAGCGACCTCAAACCAATATTCTACCCGCATACACGGAGCAAGCATGCAAACATACTCTCCAGATTGTATTTTTGGATAGCATTCATAAATGACTATTTTGTCTTACAGTCAGCATATCCAGGCTGCATGCCCAAAAGTGTGCAGCGGCGGCGGATGAGGTGACACATATATGCACCTACTGTACATATTCTGGCCTTGATTCTGTTTACACAAGTTGACTGTTCTGTTTGCACGTCACACAAACAATACCGCATGATTTTCGACAACCAGCCTGCTGCCTCGAAGAGCCTTTCACAGCCCCCAAGGTTGAGATGAGAACAGAGAGGGACAGAACGAAAACATCTTATTATGTCGAGTAGACGGAAGTTCTTAAAACAGAAAATGCAAGTTTCGGAATATGAAATTTCTTTTTTGAATAAAAATACCATCCCGCTACCAAATTTGTTCCATCTGCACAACTCTCGCAGCCCAATATTTGTGCATGCAGTGCAGCAAACGAGCAGCGTTGTAAACCAGGCTGCAGAAGCGATAAACTCGCTTGGGAAATGCCACGCTTATCGGTCCGGTCTTTCAGTTCCGCGGTTTAAGTAACTAACTCAAATATCCGTCAGGTATGCGCAGCATGTTACGGATCAGACGGACACCGGGCGGCCACCTACTTGCGCTGCAGTATCCATTCGTTACGTTATGCGAGTTGCTGCCGAGTCGACGTCATTCTGCAGACGACAATGGTGACTTCTGTCTCTCAATGTACGGTAATGGGAATAGACAGCATCCCGTCAGACCATCCCATGTCGCGTTGCCGGTCTTGTGCAGTTGTGACGACAAACAACGGCACATAAACTCCGTTTGTTGGTTGTACGCGGGGCATATATTGAAACAAGCTATGTACATAGTTATACGGATGGAGATATGATTCTTTCATCCGGTTCGCTGTTCGTGGGCGGTGGAGCGATAATGATGCAAACTCGGTCACGCCGAGATTGCGACAACGGTTGATGGCCCGTCCAGGCACCAGCCGTCCGTCCACCAGCGAACCCAGGCATGATCACTTGCAATGAAGCAAGCACCTTCGCCAATTTCTCGTCAATCCTGCAAACGGGCTTGTAAAAGCCTCTATGCCGGGCCGAAGACTTGGCTGCCTGATCAGGAAGCCTGCATGCCCGTCCTCGGGTGAGGTGGGAGGGAGTCAAAGCAAACGCGAGCGATCCTCTCAAAACAAAGCGGATGCTTACAGCCGAGTCAGTAGTAGCAATTACATTGGACGACAGGGATGGACAAGTGCATTCATGGCCTCTTGTCGGAGTCTATGCCCGCGTATCTAGCCAATGTAGTTCATAGCTCAGCGAGAAGCGTCTAGCAGAATCTGACGGAAGAGAAGGAAAGTACGTGTATTAGATAGACTGAAATAAATAAAAACAATATAGAATAAATGACAAAAATCACTGGGAAATTCTTTTAGATCAAAAAAGAGAGAACATCGTCGATCGAAGCCGACCGACCGTATTAGTTGGTATTCGGAGTAGAAGTAGCCGAGCCATTCTTGGCAGCAGTCTTCTCCGTGACAGCCTCCTCCTCCTTCTTGGACTTGCTGGCCGCCTTCTTGCCGCCAAAGAGCTTGCCAAGGCCGAAGCCGCCCTTGCGAACCCTAAAAATGTAGTAGAAGAATACGGCCATGAAGATGTTGAAGATGATGTACGCCCACATGATGCCAAAGTTGCGCCACCGCTGGCCCCAGTAGATCTTGGACCCTGCCAGGAACTGGTCCGCCACCTTGTACGCGCAGTACTGGCAGTCCGCCGTGGCCCCCGGGTTCTGCAGCGTGCCCGGCGCCTGCCCGGCCAGCGGCTGCAGGTAGCTCCCGCAGGTCTCGCCGGCCGGCGGGTCGAAGATCTGCGTCTCCTGCATGGTGCACTCGACCTGGCGGCCGTGCAGCATGGTGGCGACGATGCCGCCGATCCAGTAGGTGAAGGGGCTGACGCGGTACATGAAGATCCAGAAGCCCGGCAGCGCGTTGGGCGGCTGCAGCACGCCGTTGAACAGGATGCTCATCAGCACCAGCACGGTGACGACGCTCGAGGCCGTCTGCGCGTCCGGCATCGCCGCGATGGTCATGTGCGCAAAGGACGAGGCGTACAGGAACAGCTGCACCACGAACAGGAGCACCAGCACCTGCCGGTCCGACGTCTGCACGCCCACGACGGGGTAGTAGAAGCACGCGTAGATCAGGATGCCGGCCACGATCTGGTAGGGGATCTCGACGACGATGTTGGCGAGGACGAAGGCGACCCACGAGTACGCCTTGCTCGGCCGCTCGCGCACCTCGTACAGCGAGCGTTGGGTGACGAAGAGAGGCTGGATCTGCTGCACCAGCGTCGGGAAGATGTTGGTGATCATGAAGACGGAGAACATGACGATCTGCATGCCGCCGAGGCTGCCCTTGGCGTTGAAGAAGGTGAAGCCGATGAAGAGACCGGCCGCGACGCTCAGCGCAATCTTGGCGACGACGTAGCTCGGCATGCGCCAGTACTGCTGGAACACGCGGTAGGTGACCTCGCGGACCTGCGTGGTCAGCGGCATCGCAAACTCGGTCAGCTGCGCGCCGTCGGCACTGGTCGCGGAATCCGCCGGACGGGGCGCCGACTGGATGCGGTCGAGCTCCGTGCGCACCGCCACGCTCTCCCGGCTCCCGTTCCACACCGACTGCCAGTCCTTGCCCTCGTCGTTGTACCCGCGGTTGACCACCTCGAGCATGTACTCGGCCGGGTTCTCCTCGTCGCCGCACTGGCGCGCGCCGTGGGCCTCGAAGTAGTCGAGCAGCGTGCGCGAGTTGGCCCCGATCTCGCCAAAGTAGACCGTCTTGCCGCCCTTGGCCAGGAACAGCAGCCGGTCAAACTCCTGGAAGAGGATCGCCGACGGCTGGTGCACCGTGCACAGGATCGCCTGCCCGGAGTCGGCCAGCTTGCGCAGGAACGAGCAGATGGACCACGACGACTGCGAGTCGAGGCCGCTGGTGGGCTCGTCGAGGAAGAGCAGCAGCTTGGGCTTGGCGGCGAGCTCGACGCCGATGGTGAGGAGCTTGCGCTGCTCGACGTTGAGGCCCTCGCCGGGGACGCCGACGACGGCGTTGGCGAACTCTTCCATGTTGAGCATCTTGATGACCTCCTCGACGAACTCGTACTTTTCCTTCTTGCTGACCGTCTTGGGCTGGCGAAGCATGGCGCTGAATCGGAGACTCTCACGGACAGTGGCAGTTTCGAGATGAAGATCTAGCATCCAGTTAGTCAGCAGGAGCAGTTAGAGTCAAGCAAGGGACGTGGTGTGGTCCTTACCTTGTTGCTGGACGTAACCCGTGTTGCGCTGGAAACTGGCGTCAAGAGGCTTTCCGCTAACAAGCATGTCACCAGTAATGACACCCATGGTCGTTCGTTGAGCCAGGACATCGAGAAGAGTCGTCTTGCCAGCGCCGGAAACACCCATCAGAGCAGTCAGAGTGCCAGGCTTGACCCAACCGGAAACGTGGTCTAGCAGTCTTCGCTCTCCGCCCTTGTAGGGAATATCATACACCACGTCGCGCCACGTAAAGATGTCGGTCTGCGGAGGCAGCGGGACGTTCTCGCCGTCCTCCTCCTTGTCCTTGACCGTCTCCGCGGGCTTCTTGCCGCCCTTGAGGAGGTAGTCCGGGACGTGGCCGCGCTGGAAGACGAGCGCCTCGGCAGTGCTGGTGGTGGACGAGTTGAGCTCGGTGACGACAAAGTACATGATCATGAAGGCGACCAGGAAGGCGAGGAGAATGCCAAAGTTGCGCCAGACGTGCGAGTAATAATACTCGTAGCTGGCGGCGATGAAGGCGTCGCCGCTGACCGTCTGCGAGCCCTTGACGGCGCCGGTGACGGCGCAGACAAAGGTGGTGCCGACGAGCGGCCGGTAAGGGGGCACGAAGGAGCTGGGCCCGCAGGGGAAGGCCTGGCCGTGGAACTCGTTGGCGACGAGGATCTCGAAGCCGTAGAAGATGGGGTTGATCCAGCGCAGCCAGGCGAACCAGGGGTGCATGCTCGGCTGCGGGATGACGAAGCCCGTGTAGATGACCAGGATTAGCACCATGACGCCCGAGAGGCCCATGGCCTGCGAGACGGTCCGGGTAGAAGCGGCGAGCGTGCGGAAGACGGCGCTCATGACAAAGGTGATGATGAAGGTGATGAGGAAGAAGAGGAAGAACTGGCCGGGCTCGCGGCGCAGGCCGCTCATAAAGTACAGGATGATGTTGAAGACGACGGCGGTGACGAACTTGATGGGGATGTCGGACAGGATGCCCGCCATGGCCTCGGTGGCCGGGTGGTAGAAGGCGTACGACGCCTGCTTCTCGACGATGGGCCGCTGCGCGTACAGGCTGTTGATCTCGGAGATGGCGGTCAGGGCGTTCATCAGGATGGCGATGAAGAGCACGGAGCCGCGCGCGAAGAAGCCGTCCGTCGTGTCCGGGTTGCCGTAGAAGGCGCTGCCGACGATGAGCGCGATGAAGACGTGGCTGGCCACCTGCGCGGCCAGCGCCGAGATGTCGCCCCAGATGCGCTGGTAGGCGCGGCGCGTGTTGGCCTTGATCTGCATCCACGTGCTGATCAGGTAGGGGGACTTGGGCCGGACGTGCCGGGCCTGCATCGCGTTCTTGCGCTCCCGCAGCTGCGCGACCGAGGACTCCTGGTTGACGCCGCTGAACTCGCGGTCGTGCGCGTCCATCTCGGCCGTGAGCGCCCGGTAGTCGGCCGACTGCCGCCACGCGCGCTCAAAGTCCTCGGGCGTCCGCGGCACCCGGTTCTCCCACCCCTCGCGCGCCTGCCGCTCTCCGGGATTCGTGATGGAGGTCAAGAAGTCGCCGGTCGTCTGCCGCGGCGGGCAGTACCACCCTAGCTCCTCAAAGTAGCGCCGGGCCTGCCGGGCCGGGCCAAAGTAGATCTGGCGGCCCTCGTACAGCACGGCGGCCTTGTCGAACAGGTCGTAGATGGCCTGGCTCGCCTGGTAGATGGCCACGGCGCACACGCCGTCGCCAATCTCCGTCACCATGCGCAGGCTCTCGACGAACTTGAACGCCGTCGCCGAGTCCAGCCCGCGCGTGCTGTTGTCCCACGCGCTGATCGGCGCGCCGGCCAGCAGCATCTCGGCGATGCTCACGCGCTTGCGCTCGCCGCCCGACACGCCGCGGATGAAGTCGTCGCCGACCTTGGTGTTGTACGTGTGGCTCAGCCCGAACGCGGCCATGACCACCTTGACCATGTACCGCGCGTACTCCTTGCGCGACATGCCCTGGATGCGCTCCTGTGGCGTCCGCACCGTCGCCGCGAACTCGAGCGTCTGCCCGACCGTCAGGTGCGGGAAGTGCTTGTCCACCTCCTGGTTGTACGACGTCTCGCCCTTGAACTCGGCCATCATCTGCCGCTGCGGGATCCCGTTGTACGAGATCTTGGACGTCTCCCCGAGCTGCAGCCCGTACAGCTCGCCGCACAGCGACTTGAGCATCGTGCTGCACCCGGACCCCGGCCGGCCCAGCACCACCAGCAGCTCGCCCGGCTTCAGGATGCCCTGGAACCCGTGCAGGATCTGCTTGTGCTCCTTCTTGCCGAACGAGAAGAGCTCGCCCAGCCGCAGTGGCGCCATCAGCAGCGACCCGACCGTCTTCTGCACCTGCACTGCCTCGCCGGACCCGAACACGTCCAGGTCCCGCCACGAGATGCCCGTGTTCGGCGCCGCCCGCGTCTCCCGCCGCACCTGGCTGACAAAGTGCCGCACCCACTTGCCGAGATCGAACCGGTCGCTGGCCGGGTCCAGCCGCGGGTCGTCGTCGTCCAGCCCGGCGCCCCCCAACGACGGCACCTGCTGCAGGCTGGCCACGCTGGACCGCCGCCGGCTGATCTGGCTCGCGATCCGCATAATCTCCTCGCGGTCGTTGTCGGCGATGATGGCGTTGGTGTCGCGTCGCGTCAGCGGCGCGATCTGGTCCTCTCGCTCATCCGAGTCCGAGTCTTCGAGCTTCACCGGCTTCTCCACATCCTGCCGGGCGTCGATCTGGCCGGCGGCCGGGCCAGACTGCTGCTGCTGGTACTCGAGCTCCGGTGCCACATCGAGCGGCTTCGCGGTGTTGTTGCTCTTGTTGCTGTCGTTGGTCGCCATCTTGAAGGTCTTTGGGGATGGTCTGGCGAATGCGTGTTGACAGGAAGCCCTTCGTCTACTGGGCACGCGTACGCGGGGTGTAGATCGTATGCTGCGTTTCTTATAACCCCGTCCGTATTCTCTATCTTGTCAAAGGTATTGGTGGAAGGGGGATGGATGGGAACTACAACCTGTGGCGGGACAGGAAGGGTATTTGAATGCCCTCGGGGGGCTCGCCAGGGATGGAGGGTCCCCGACACGTTCGGAAACCGGACATTCTGCTTCCAATTGCAATTGGGTACGCAATGTTTGGTTGCCCCGAACCTTGGGGACATTGGCCACCCTCCATGACAGCTCGAGTTGGTCAAGCCTGGGTAGCTCTGGGCGTGGATCAGACCACTGGCTTGGCCTTTGTCCGGCTGCGGATTTTACGCCCCCATCAGAGACAGTCCAGCCCAGTGCACTGCCGGGCCCCGCAAGCCGTAAACTACGGCCGCCTCGGGACGGAGCTCTGGTAACCCCCGTAGGCATTTGCAGGGCGGGGATTGGCTCATCGTAGAGGTGACGCTGCTAGTTACTGGTAGTTCAGTCTGAGCAAGTGTGGTCGACTGGGCTGCTTCCGGCTAGTGTTTTCAATGACGATCAAGCAGCAGCCCGACTTGAGAAAAAAACCGATGGCGTTCGCTCGCACTTCAATTGACCTACACGAAGGGTGTCTTGGCGCTCTGTCTTCAGCCAGCGGCGAGCCATGCACGGCTGGGCAGCAGCCTGGCAGATACGTAGAAGCCGACGCATAACGCCCAACTATAACAGCTAAGGTTGCATTCTGTTCTTATCCGAGCTAATCTCTGGATCAGCACATGCAACTTCAAACCCCTGGCGGCGAGGTTTCAGCGTGGGCCTCTCGGAATGTAAACAAGACAGGACCCTAACTAATACGTATACTGAGACGGACGAATAGCGCACAGGCAAGACAAGGTTGACCTTTTCTGTACTGGTTTTGCGAAGGCCATTTGCTGAATCTCCGCTTACTCAAACCCCGCCATTGAACAAAAACAAACTTTTTCTTAGTTTCTATTCTTCCCAAGTTCAGTGGCTTGAAACCTATTAGCGCTTGGTAATGCCAACGGGAAAATCCGTAAGCATTGGCAAAGAACGAAAGCGAAAACAAAGACCAGAAAAAACAATTGAAATCAAAATAGAAAGAAATGACGTGAACGTGCATCGCCACCCCTTGAATCGGCGTTTTTCGCTCCCTGGTCTCCGTCTTGGCCCTGCTGGATCTGGATCCAACAAGGTCGCGCGTCTCCCGCGTATCCGGAAGCCTCGGGCCCATGGAGCACGGTTATGCAGTGGGACAGGAGAAAGTATGTTGAAGAGGTGGGGATCAAAACTCAATGCAATTGTCATTTATTATTATGCGGCATCAGTCTGAAAACGTTCTTCTTTTGAAGAAAAAAAAAAATAAGTAGCTACAGTACTCTTGTTGCTCGTTGCTCAAGCACTCTTTTCATTATGCGACGACAACTCAAATGCTGAGACAAGAAGAATAATAAACATGATAACAAAATAGGATCCAATAACTAGTACTAGTTGTCTTTGGATCTAAGACAGTGAAATTGACTACAAATCTTTACCATGCCCGACTATTGTTCGATAGCGTGAAGCAGCCTCGCTCGCCGGCCAGTCCCCCATCCTCCGCGACCGTCATCACGGCCCATGGACACTTCTTGCGTCATCCGCGGCCTCGCCCTCAGCGATGACGGGCATCACGGCACCGAACTGAAATTTTTCTGCAAGGCGACCGCGCGGAGACAGGCACCGGCGACGCCGCTGGCTCTCGGGACGGCGACGGTCCCCGACCCCGAGTGGGCTCCGCTACCCGTGTTCGAGTCAATCCATAAATATTTTCCATCAGCTTCGTCATTTTCCCTTATCATCAAGCACAGCCTCTTCTCATTCCTAGTGTTTCATGCTTCCACGGTAATTTCATTTACTTTATCTCCGCTCTCCGGCCAGGGTCCGCCGCGGCGGAGAGTCTTCTTCTTGCATACGGTACAGTACACGGCACGCAGCGCCGTTTCTCCGCCTACCGTTTAGCTCATACCCTGTACTTGCAACCGCAGGCAAACAACCCGATCCCGATTGATTTTAACGCCACGTATGTATGCCCTGCTTGTATTCTAGAAACCGTTTCGCTGGCCCTTCCTGTTTTCCTCAACACCCCTGGCTGTTGTACTCCCTGCAGCACCGCCTCCTGCGAAACTCCGATAAGCATCTACGCGTATTTACCCAGCACCGTCTCGTCTCCCAAGCCGGTATTGAGGACAACAATGGCTCCAGCAACGACTCCTAGTCAACTTTAACCAACTAAAACATCGCAGGACCCAGGTTCTTTACATTTTGGATTGTAGAGCTCATCTAAATGACTACATATATTTTAGTACACTATTGTTTATTTGGTATCTAAACTTCTCAAGAAAGGTAGCCATTGTCCTTGACCCAGGCTTCAACATCGGCGCCATCTCGCTCTAGCCACGCGATTCTGGCGCGGATAGAATCCTTGACTTGGTTGAGAGTCTGATCAAAGGCGCTTGTGTTCTTGTCTGCAAAGAAGGCCTCAATCTTGCTCAGCTGCTCGGCCTTGGTAGCGCCGCCAGCGGCAACAGCAACGACGCCGCCAATAAGCGATGCGTTGTCGCCAACATTCTTGACGATGAGGTCCCAGTTGCCGGTCATGTACTCAAAAACGGCCTCGATACCGTGGGGGTAGGCGCGGAAGCCACCAAGAGCGGACGTGCAGTCCTGGTTCTTGATATCAGGGCCAAAGACCATGCCCAAGCTACGCTTAATGAGCTCAGGGTCCTCGGCACGCCCAAGGCATCTCAAGATAGTGTTGCGCTCGCTGGTAATCGTCGAAGCGCGGTAGATATCGATGATTTGGTCAAATTCCTTGGAGCCACCGTGCTTAAGGGCCAAGGTAAAGACAGAGGCACGGAGGTTAGGGTGGATGGCTGACTTGTCACCAGTGGCGTACTTGGCGAACATATCCTTGGCGGCTTGAATAATCTTTTCATCGCCGCTGCCTCCAGCAGAAGCAAACATCAAAGTCTTGAACTGCTCCTCGTTGTGGGTATCGGTTTCCTTAAACTCCCAGCCTAGGGAATGAGCCTTGGGGCTGACAAGCTCTCTGCGGAACTTTCTCAGACCATCCCTGATAGCCTTGTCCTCAAAGATCCAAGCAGCCTCAATTCCAGATAGGCGGCGGAGGATCTCGCTCCACACAACATACTCAGTCTCAGAGTCAAAGCCCTTGAGTAGGTTTAGGATGCCGCTCGTCTTTTGGCTACCAGCAACAGCCAGCGAGGCGGCATCAGCGATCATGCCAGCCCGATCCTCCACGGTGAGAAGACCGGCCTTGGCAGCTTCTCCGAGCTTGCGCAGTCGCTCAGGTGAGTAAGCCGTGCGGTATAAGCTAGTATGGTTAGCGTTGAGCTTAAAGAAATCATCAGCAGGAATGTTGAACTTGGTTGTTCTATCATTCAGCGTCGCGGAATTCTCAACACCATCCTTGGTACGTAGGCCAAGGAAAACAGGGTAGAGTACTTTGTCCTCTTCAGCCTTGACATCGCCAGTCCGAAGGAATCGGTTCTGAGTCACCTCAGCGGTTGAGCCGTTCTCGGTCACGGTGACGACAGGGAAGCCCATCTCCTTGGTCCAGACACCCATGACCTCGGAAACAGGCTTTCCGCTGGCAGCAGCGAGGGAAGCCCAGAGGTCACCGGTCTCAGTGTTGCCATAGGCGTGCTTCTTCAGATACTGGCGAACACCTTCGAGGAAGTTTTCCTCGCCGAGGTAAGTGGAAATCATGCGTAAGACTGCAGAACCCTTGGAGTAGGAAATGGAGTCAAAGATTTGTGCAATCTCCTCAGCACACTTGACAGGAACCTCGATGGGGTGACTGCTGCGAAGAGAGTCGAGCCCCAGAGCCGACTGCAAGTTATCGACAACGTACTCTTCCCAGACCTTCCACTCAGGGAAGAAGCTGTTGGAAGAGTACCAGGAGACCCAGGTAGCGAAGCCCTCGTTGAGCCAGAGGCCATCCCACCAGTCCATGGTGACGAGGTTGCCGAACCACTGATGCGCAAGTTCGTGCTGCACAACCTCGGCAACACGGATCTTGGTGTTGATGCTAGTCTCCTTCTCGTCGAGCAAGAGGTCAACGACACGGTAGGTAACAAGGCCCCAGTTCTCCATGGCGCCAGCAGAGAAGTCAGGAATGGCAACCTGGTCCATCTTGGGGAGGGGGAAGTCAATGCCAAATGTCTTCTCGTAGAAAGGAAGAGTCTTGGCGGCGAGGTCCAGGGAGAAACGGCCGTGCTCAATGTCCTCACTGGGAGGGGCGTAGACACGGATGGGCACGCGGTGAGCAGTGGTCTCAATGTAGTTGAGCTCGCCGACGACAAAGGCGAGGAGATAGGTGGACATGAGGGGAGAAGTGTTGAAGTGGACAGTCTTCTTGGCGCCAACCTCGGTCTCATTCTTGACGTCCATGTTGCTGAGACAGGTCAAGTGCTTCTCAGCAACGATGTGGACGGTGAACTTGGCCTTGAGGGAGGGCTCGTCAAAACAGGGAAAGGCTCTGCGGGCATCGGTAGGCTCCATCTGGGAGACAGCGAGCACACCTTCTGAGCCATCCTTGTTCTTGTATGTCGAGCGGTAGAAACCAGCCATCTTGTCGTTGAGAATGCCGGTGAACTTGATCTCGAGCTGAGCCTTGGAGCCCTTGGCGAGGGTGCCCGGGAAGTCGAACTTGGTGACTTGCTTCTTCTCGTCGGTGGTGACGCTGGCATTGTCACTATTTGCGCTGCATTAGGGGACGTCTTTGTTGAAGATGCTACCTTCTAAGCCTGAGAGAACTTACCTGACAAGCTCGCCATTGGAGGTAATCTTGCTGGAGTGGATGGTAATCTCGAGGGTGTGGAGGGAGATGGAGCTCGAGTCCTCGGCGACGTCGAGGTCGACAATCACAGTGCCGTCATATTTGAAGTTGATCAAGTCGGGCTCGAGGGTCAGATCGTAGTGCGTGGGAACGACATTGGCGGGAAGAAGCTCGCGATTCTTCGTCGGGTCCTCCTTGACGCCACCATGGACGACACCGGACTGAGTTCTGCACATGTTGTTTCGGCGGAAGGAGCACGGTCGTACTGGGCTTGTGTGTAAACGGTGAATGTGCGAGCCAGCCTGCAGAGAGCTAAGGATGGATAGAGTAGGTGAGGGACGTCGGCTAGCTAATATACTGGACAGGCTGTCAGCAGGAACTTCTGAAATCCGCAACAGCTGGTGGGGTGATGAGAGCGTTTGTGGAAGGTGGCGGTGGGATGGTGTAAATGGTAGTAGTGGCATGGCGGGGTTGGCTGTCGTGACAAGGGCATTGTGCTTGCTTCCTGTTCGTGGAGGGGCAGATGGGCTGAGTGGATCACCAGAGCAGAGTAGCAGTGATTTCGCTGCAGGTTTGTGCCCAATGGTCGCAACCTTTTGCCGACAACAGCGGAGACCAGAAAAAAGGTACTTGGATGGTGACCAGTCGGCTGTATGCAGAAATGTACCTAACGAGGTAACAAATACAAGTAATACCAGCCGTGTCCAGATTGCTGAGTCACCTCACCTCCTCACGCAGCCAACTTCATGTCAGCTGTAGCTGCAGCGCGATGCACTGTAACCTGCCGGTACCGAGCCATCACTAGCTCATTACTAGCTAGCACATCCGCTATTGGCCCAAAAACAATAGGCAGAGGATCGGCCGACTCATTGGGGGACTTGGATGCGGCGTAACAAGGCTGTGTGTGAAAAGGGTCTTTGTATGGGTGGCGTATGGGGATCAGGATGTTCGTGAATTAGTAGGTTAGTAGGGACTTACGACTGATGTCCCCCAACTGCGCGGCGCCCACAGTGGAGGAAGCGTGCTGATGCCGGTGGCAGCCGCTGAGCCGGAGCTGAGCAACCAGCACCAGCTCCCGGCCTGCAAATCCTGGCCAGCAACGTCAACCACGCCGGCGATGTCGCCGACGGCGTCGCCCTCGTCGCCACCCGCAGCGACTGCGTCCAATTGCTTGCTGCCGCGGAAGCCATGGCGACTTTGTTCCTGCACACCACACCGTTGCCAATCCGGAACGGGCGTTGCGTTAGAAAAAAAAGCTGGTTATCAGGCGCGGCGCAAAAAAAAGGAGAACCGGCATACTGGCAGTTCACGCCGTCGCTTTGCCGGCTGCTGGGGCACGTGACGCTATTGTAAAGGTAAGGCAGAAAGGCAGGTACTTCTGCAACGGGTGATGATTGGGTGACTTGCTGAGGATTACACGAGGTCCACTGTGCCTCGTTCATCTTTGCCGACAAGTGGACATGCAGCCTGCGCCTCAGGCGACGGGTACCATCTCCGAAAACTCTTCCCGGGCGATTTTGTAATTTTTATTATATACATATACACTGGCCTGGATCTAGATGGCGCCAAACCATCGCCTTTTTTCATTCAATTTGACTAGGCCGTGCCAACATATAACTCAAACCCACTATCCGCAGCATACGCACGGTATAAGACCACGTATCCCATCTCGCTGTTGCACTAGAAAATAATATCACCACCACTCCACATGTTTTGATACGCAAAGTCAACAGGCAACCCCTCCACAGGATTCGCACTGTGCTCCGAATCAAATTCCGGCGTGGTTAACACGCCATCATTTGCGATGGATGCATCGTTGGAGATGTACTGCCCGAGAGAGTCCAGGTCTCGCCATGAGAATCCATTCAACGCATCCAGTTCAATGCTTCCCTGCAGGCCACTGTCGAAGCCACCCTGAGGCCCGGGAATCGACTGCTCGAGAGGAATGTTCGCAGCCGGCTGAGCCGGCTGGTTGTTGTCTTGCTTTACGCCCCTCCGGCTCGGCCGCTTCCTCCATAGCAGGCGCAAGGACCTCGCGTATCGGTGTCCAATGCTCTGTGTGCTGCTGGATGTTTTTTGCAGCTGCGAAATGGTGCCGAGAATGGCGCGCCTTACGCCCGTGATGCCTTCGTTGCTAATGGCGCCAGCGCTCCAAGCCTGCTTCTGTTAGACCATGTCGTAGCGAGAATGCGGTGGATACGTACCTTGAAGAGGAAAACAGCAGCGTAAATGACAAAGAGCGAATACTTGAGCGGCATATACTTCAAACCTGCAATCGGATCGATAAAGCTGTTCAGGATACTGAGAAGGGAATTTGCAGCGTCGATGGACTCGTAAATGAAGCGCGCGTCCGGCGCTGCGGCAAGGTCTGCAAACAGCGGGCCTGTGACATGACCCTTATTTTTTCGTGTCTTTGCCGCAGCCCTGTTCATAGTGGCCTGGAATGCAAATGCGTTGATATATAAACGCAAAAAGTCATACGACAGGATCAAAGAAGCCTTCACATGTGGTGTGACTGAAATGGGGTGTTAGGATGGTCTCTGGATGGCGCAGATGGCAGACTCACAGCTATAGCTCCCCCACGTCATTTTCCACTTTCTTAAAACTGCGGCAAAATCGTCCTACTCGTGTCAGCTAAAGATGAAGTTGAAAGAGCAATTGGAGCAGCATACAATGTATCGAACATATTCACCGCCAACATATAGCTGCTCGCGATGGCTGGTCGAAGAGTATAAAATATCATGAGCGTTGCTGAATAGTTGGGTCAGTTCAAGCTGCGCCTGAAGTAGCAGTCCCATGTTGTCAGGTCCCAGCTGCTGTGTATGCAGGGATGGAAAGTCGACAGCGCGCAGATTTGATGCCGGGCCCGGTCCTCGAGACCAAAAGCCCTTGCCTAGACGAATAGAGACTTGGCGATCACTCATGTAGCAAGCTAGCAGCACATATTAGATTTCATCCACCAGGATCCACGGCACGGAACTTACCAGCCCAGGCAATCTTCTTGCGACTAAAGCTTTCCGAGGGGGTCTCTGGAGGCTCCTGCAGTCCCGTCTGTTCCAGTCTCTGCAGGTAGCCAAGCCTGATGGCGACACCGACTAGCATCCAGGCACCGTAGTCTTCTTTTCCGCAACCGATAGATGATATCTCATGAGGTGGCTGGGGCGCCCACTCGGCTAGGATGAGCAGCGCCTCGACGGCCCCGACCGTGGTGACCCCGCCGTAGATGAGGGGCGACAGGAGGCTCTCCATGTGCCGCGAGCAGGCCTCGTGAGCTCTCTGCCATGAAGGCTCCTCCTTTGACGCGACGGTGAGGACTGCCGTGAGGACATACGGCTCCTTCTCGATCCAATCCGAGATGTGGCCGTCAAAGATGGACTTGTAGACGATGGGGAAGAAAGGGTGAAAATTTTCGTGGTAGCTAGAGCGAGCCACATGTTAGCTCAGACAAACTTTTGCCCGCCGACAGGGCATCGGTCGGTCCCCTTGGCGACTTACTGTTGTATCAAGGCAGCGGCGTCGGCAAAACCTAGCGCGCCGTCTGATATGGGCGGGTATCGAAGATTGGTGTCGCGGGGCGTCTGCCTCGCGTTGGCTGCGCGCACCGGCATGGCGTCCTTGTCCTGGCTTCCGGGGTCCAGGTCGGCGACCTGGGCGAGTAGGTCTAGCGCGTCCGAGGGGTTCAGTAGGTCTGCGGCGGCGAGATGGCCATCGAGGGCGACAGAGCTCCGGCGCGACGCCGACTGCGAGGCGTCGGTGCGCGACGCGGAGCCGTCGCCCGTCCAGGACGGATCCTGCTGTGGTTGCGGTCCGGCGACAGCAGCGGCACCATGAGGCCACGCGTCCATGCCGTCGCGCGGCGCCGTCTGGCGTACCGGTGTCTGCAGGGACCCGACTGCCATGGGATTACCGCTCGGGCCGGTGACCGCGCCCGCGCCCGATTCCTCAAAGGGCTTCTTCTTGCGGACGCGGCGACCGCCACGCTTCGAGGTGGCGAGTACGCATTCGCGCTTCTCCTCTATGCATCGCTGGCACGGCGGCGTCCCGGGCGAGCCAGTAGAATCTCTACATTGATTGAAAAGGAAAAAGTGAGTAAGGTGTCGGGCGAGGTCGGCGCCAATGCGCGGCACAGCATTGGCCGTTGCGTCAACTTTGACTGTCCGCTTCCCTGGTGAAGAAGGGTTTGAGCGCAACGGGCAACGCAATCAGCGCTAGTGCGAGATCAAACGGGGTCGCTTACAGATCGCATCGTGTCTTTCTCGACCGGCACGATATACAGGCGCGCGATACACGCTTCCCTTTGCTGGGGTGGGTCATATCGGTTACTGTTCAAAACTCTCTGGTTATCGCGAGATGGCCGAGATGGCTATAAACTGGGGTTTGGAGGAGGCAAGTTCTGTGGGGGGCAAAAGCCGACGAGGAGGGAGTTTTGGGGGCGGGCGAGAGGGAGCTTTGGATGGCGATTTGCTGGGGAAAAAAGTATGGGGGCCGTTGCTACTAAAAATTACCCTGCTAGCAGCACCTGCTGGCAAAACACGCCACCCAGCCAGAGAGTGGCCGAGACACAGCAGAAGCCGGGCTCGACAAGCCCGGCAAATGAAAGCAGTTCACGTTCGAGGCAAGGATAAAACTACACCATATCACTCAAGGATTTAAAATCGACCGAATTGCTGTAAATTTGGAAAAGCTTGAGAAAATTGTGCAAAATTGTATCAAGAGCTGTCACATCCAACTCGCCCCCACCAACTGTCCTCCGTTGTCCGGACTCCTCCCCTACTTCAGCCCGCCTCCCAGCACAATATCCTGACCTGTCAAATAACCGGTCTTGGCAAACCTAGCATAAGAAAAAACGCATTAGTAAATCATCATCTACATAATAAAATGGAATGCAAGGGAGATTCAATACTCACATGGAAACAACGCTGGCCACTTCTTCCGGAAGGCCCAGGCGGTGAATCGGCACGCTTGCCGCGATGCCCAGACCAGGGTCCTGTTCCTTCAGCACATCGATATCTGTACCCTTGATCCAAGTCCTGCCAAATCATTAATAATAATTCCTTTTGAAACCACCTCAATAGTCGACACTTACCGCGACTTTGGGTCCGGAATCATGCCCGTCGCGCCAATCATGGCCGGTGACACCTGTGATTTCATCATTTAGCATCCCCCTGCAACGCACACACGCCGATCTCCAATTCATTGACAACTACTCACAATGTTGACGGTGATGCCTTCGGGCGCCAGAACCGTCGCCAGGTTTTTGCCCATGGAGCAGAGCGCGCCCTTGGACGCCGCGTAGTGGCAGCCGTTGATGCCGCCGCCGTGGCTCGCGATGCTGCCGACCAGCACGACTCGCCCCCATCCCTGCGCGCGCATGCCCTGCAGCGCCGTCTTGGTGACGACGAACTGGCTGCGCGCGTTGACCTCCATCAGCTCATCCCAGTCATCCTCGCCAATGTCGGCGACGTCGCGGATGCGCCGTCCGAGGCCCGCGTTGGCCACCAGGATCGACACGGCCGCGTGCCCGCGCTGCGCGACAGCCGGAAGCGCCAGCACGTTGGCGACGAGCGCCCGCGTGGCCTCGCGCGACGTCAGGTCCGCGGAGATGGTGACGAACAGCTGGGTTGGGTACTGCGCCTGCAGCTCCGACGCCAACGCATCCGCCTTGCCCTAATAAAACAATGCTGGTCAGCGACAATACCCCCAAGCCCCCGGTTCATCGCCTTCCAAAGATAAGGCGATCAATGCCCGTTCACGCACCTTGCTTGACGAATAATGCAGGGCGACGTCGCAGCCGTCTGCCGCCAAACCCTTGGCGCAGCCTGAACCTATACCGCCACTATCACCGCTCATTATTAGCAGGGGGCCGCTGGGCTGCGCATGCATGGCACGGGTTCCCTCACCTGGCACCTGTGACGAGGGCCAGTCGGCCCTGGACGCGGTTGTCGACGTTGTTGAGAGTCAGGGTCGCCATGGTTGCAACACGAGCAGTCAATGACCTGTTTTGCTTGGTGGAAGAGCTGAGGAGAGCGACGGCCCAGGCGTCGTGCGGTGAAGACGCAAACGGGTGCATCCCCGCGCCGGGCTCCCCACCTAAGCATGCCTGCCAATAGCCGCTGGGCGAGGATAATAAATGAAACGGGACCTAACCCACAAGGTTTCGCAAATTAAACGTATGCGATGGTTTTGTTTTAAAGTCGTGTGATTTTCTTCTATTTTCTATATTTGTAGCTTTTTCGAACAGGGTTATACATTGACAGAGACCCGGACGCTGGAAATGACAGATTTGGTGACGTCAGAAAGTCCAGCATCAGCATCGACAGTAATGACGTCTGTCTCAGCCACGAGTGGCTCCTGCAGACTTTCCAGCTGGCTCTTGAGCATAGAATCCTTCATAAAATGTCCGCTTCTTGCCTTGATCCTAGCCAGGAGAACCTCGGGACTGACCTTGAGGTAAACGAAGCGTAGCAGGACGCCTGCTCGGTCGTCGGATATGACCCTAATGACATCTCGGTATGCCTGTTTCAACGCGCTGCAGGAAATGACGACGCCACGGTGGCCTGCCAACAGGTCCTTCTTTGCAAGCTCTCGGAGCCTGGCCAGCCAGTCCCACCTGTCGTCGTCTGAAAGCGGGATGCCGCTGGACATCTTGTCGATGGAGCTTTGGGGATGGTGCTGTGTCTGCAAGTCAGCCAGCCAGACTCCACCAACGAGCGGCATTTTTTTGCTTTCTGGTTATGCTGCGTAGGACGACGAAAGAGAAGTGTCGTACATTGTCACCTTCGATATACTGAAACCCATACTCATCAGCCAACGCCTGTGCAACAGAGCTTTTGCCTGATGCCGCGGCGCCGCAGACGACGAGCACGGCGCCGTGTTGCAGGGGAGCAGAACTAGCGGTCATTTCGGGCTTCGGAACGCGTTCCGGCATGAAAAAGAGGATTGTATTGAGTAATAGTGGAAAACAACAAACGCGCTTTGGAAGCCGTCTGATGATGGTAATTGCCAATTAACGCGCAAGGGCTTTGAATTTGTATGCGTGACCACGACTTGGCGCCGGCTACTGGCTCGCCTCGACAAAATGTTGCTCGGCGTTTGGTTTTCAACGGCCGGCCGGCCTCGTCGGCCTCTGATCTCGTTCCCCCGCAGAATGTAATTGCCGTCACCCCACGCAGGCGGGATGAAGGAGATGGGCTCTGGGGAAGGGCGAATCCGGGGTATTTGGCCGTGATTATGAGGTTTATTTTACGGATATCAGATGGGGTTTCTTGTTGATTACATCGCGAGCTCTGGAGGCGCAACTATTTGCTGTTGGTCGGCCAGCCGCGGAGAGCCGAATGCATTATGCAGACGCAGCATGGGCATACCTGAGCCACCATAGTGCAGGCTCGGCGATGCAGCATAGACGTGGCAAGTTTACATTTTCTGCAGAGTTTCCTGCAATTTTCCGGCTTGTCAAGCAGTAGCCGAGGGATGATGGCCAGATGCAGTCGGCAATTGAACAGGTGTACGCCTCGTGGTCATCCCCTCCTTCATTAACAACTGCCGAACACGTAGATATGACGAATATCGTAAGCATCAGCCCACCCTCAATAATGGGACGAGGAAAAAAAATTCCCGTCGATATAGTTCCGATCCCCGGAAACTGTAGATGAGAACCAAGATTGAGTATTTTCGTATCTGCCATCGTTGGGGGTACTGCAGATGCACAACGACGTAGTGCGTGGGGGAGCAGATAAGCTCACAGACTGCTACATACCTTGCAGGCCAGGCATGCATTGCAGCTGCAGGAACGGAAGCGCCTGATATTAACTGCAAATCTACAGTGGGCAAGCTTTCAGCCTCTTTCCACCACCCCAGCAATCGCCTCACTGCTTGGGCCCTCTTCCAGCTGCTTTTCCCCCGTCGATGGCTGTCGTTAGTGGCCCGACTAGCCTGAAACCTTGCGCAGATGGCGCTAAAAGAAGCACCAAACTTGCCAGTCGAGCTCCCTAAACCCACTGTAACCCCCAGACTGGGAGCAATGTGGTGGGGGACGAATGTGTTAGCGTCAAGGTCTGGCCGCGGTCTCGTCCCAAGCTCAACTTGGCGCAATTGCGACGCAACCCCAACAACCAAAAGCCGTTTGCCTATTCTCAACTAGGTATAAGAAAAACGTGCCCTCTCCCATTGTCACAATCTTTTTTCCTCTCCCATGTCATCCTTATCCATCTTGCATATACCCCCGTCTTCTTCCCGCTGAACGACGATGGATACCCTCGACGACACCAAGCAAGACGTCGCCCACCACGAGATGCGTTCCACGCGCGCCCAGTCCCGCGACGACTCCAGCACCTCGGCGCCTCCGGTCTCCAAGCACGACGATGTCGCCGCCGCCGTCCTCGGTGCCGGCGCCGCGCCCGTCCGCCTGACCGAGGCCGATAGCCGTCGCATCTGCCGCAAGACCGACCGTGTGATTCTGGTCATCCTCGTCTGGGTCTACTTCCTCCAGATCCTCGACAAGTCCGTCCTCGGCTACGGCGCCACCTACGGCCTGAAGGAGGATACCGGCCTCACCGGCAACCAGTACTCCCTCGTCGGCTCAATGGCCGCCATCGCCCAGCTCGCCTGGCAGCCCTTCTCCTCCTACCTCATTGTCAAGGTGCCCCATCGCATCCTCATGCCTTGCCTCTGCCTCGGCTGGGGCATCGCCCAGGCCTGTATGGCTGCGAGCCGCAACTTTGGCGACCTCCTCGCCACCCGCTTCTTTCTCGGCCTTTTCGAGGCGGGCTGTCTCCCGCTCTTCAGCATCATCACTAGTCAGTGGTATCGCCGAGCCGAGCAACCTATCCGAATCGCCGCCTGGTACGGCACAAATGGACTCGCCACCATCATCGCCGCGGCTCTGTCCTACGGACTTGGACACATCAAGTCGAACCTTCTCAAGGAGTGGCAAATGTGAGGATTCTCGATAGAGATTTTAACAAGACATCATCACTGACACGCCGAACAGCATCTTTTTATTTGTCGGTCTCATCACCATTATATCCGCCCCCATTGTCTACTGGAAACTCGATAACGACATTCCAACCGCCCGCTTCCTCAATGAGGAGGAAAAGGCCCAGGCCATCGAACGCCTCCGCGCGAACCAGACCGGCACAGGCAACCGCGAGTTCAAGTGGAAGCATCTCCTCGAGGCCGCCCTGGAGCCCAAGTCGTACATCTGGATGGCCATGGCCATGCTGCTTAACATTGGCGCCAGCGTCGCCAACACCTTCGGCCCCCTCATCATCAACGGCCTCCACTTTGACAAGTACACCTCCAGCCTGCTCAACATGCCCTTTGGCGCGCTGCAGCTCATCGTCATCCTGCTAGCCAGTTACCTGGCGCAAAAGGCTAAGCTCAAGGGCGCCATCCTCGTGCTCTTCGTGCTCCCCGTCGTCGCCGGCCTCGCCGTCCTGTACTCGGTCAAGCGCGACGACTCGGCGCGCGCGGCCCTGCTCGTCGGCTACTACCTGCTCGCGTTCCTCTTTGGCGGCAACCCGCTCATCGTCACCTGGATCGTGGGCAACACGGCCGGCACCACCAAGAAGTCGGTGGTCATGAGCCTCTACAACGCCGCCAGCTCCGCCGGCAACATTGTCGGCCCCATCCTCTTCAACAGCGCCGACGCCCCCGCGTACAAGCCGGGCCTGCGCGCGTGCCTTGGCATCTTCGTCACCCTCGTCGTCGTCATCCTCATCCAGTGGGCCAACCTCATCATGCTCAACAAGCTACAGGAGAAGAAGCGCGTCCGCAACGGCAAGGAGGCCAAGGTGGTTGACCACTCCATGCAGGAGCACTACCACGACATCCAGTCGGACAACGAGGTGGTCAGTGGCGAGGAAGGCATTCCGGAGCAGCGGCTTGGGCAGAATGCGTTCAAGGATCTGACCGACAGAGAGAATGATGAATTTGTATATATTTATTAACGGAAATGACCTTGAGCGCTGCATTACGATATCTAGGCAAGTTTTGTATATTCTAATAACACAATGATGATCCTATCACGTGCCATTCTCAGCCTGCCCTTCTGTTATTAATATTATCATCGTGATTAAAGGGCTCATGGATTATTGACGCGTGAGTAGCATAATGGCTATGGACCACGGAGTTTGTTGCGCGGCGCTTTATTTTTTAAGGCCCGAACTTACCCGGAGCAGCCCTCACGTCAAGTACTGAGTGAATTATATTTATGCATGTCCTCTCTTCCGTGAGCCTAGATAGTTTATCACCACAGCTCCAACGACGCCGTCTGCTGCACCGTTGAGCCAGCCATGCCGCCCGTCGGCAACGCAAATTCAAAGTTCAGCTGGACCCGCGCCGCGCGGCACGATTTCTTCCTCTCGAAGCGGAGCGCCAGCCTGGCCGTCTCAAGCTTCTGCGTCGGGTCCGCAGCCGAAACCTCCAGCCGCAAGGCCTGCCGCGTCCTCCTACCCGTCAACAGGTAGACGCCCGGCGCGCCGGACGAGACCTCGAGCGTCCCTGCGTCCGCCCACCCTACTTCTGCCAGGTCCACGCTCAGCGCGCTGCCGTCACCGGCTCCCGGCCAGAATACCACGGCGAGCCCGCCCTGTCCCGCCGCGCCCGAGACGCCGCGCGCCCCGACAGGGATCCAGGAGGGCTTTTCGGCTTCTTCGGCCAACCTACGGCGCGTGGTCGCTGGCAGGAGCGCGTAGCTGGCGCTCGACGCGTTGCCGAGCGCTGTGTACGCGGAGAAGATGGGCACGGTGGCCAGGCCGGCCGTGGACGTCGAGATGGCCGACCAGTTGCCCGTGCGCTCACCCTCGGATAGCGTGAGGTCAAACGGCGCGCCGTACGCTAGATACCCGTTGCCGCCGTAGAACAGGGTCCTGCCGACCGCCCTCGTATCGTTCCCTACCTCCACGCGCGCCCCATCCACGAACGCACCGCCGTCCGCCTTGGCGCGGTTCTCCAGCACGGTGATGACCGGCGCATCGTCGTCCTGCGTCTGCACGTCGACGACGCTCACGAGCACCGCGTCGCCGAGGTAGAACCACGCCTTCCTGTACGCGATGTGGCCGTCGTACGGATCAAGATAATCCTCCACGGCGGCGCCGACGCGCCCGTCGCTGACGACGCCCACGAAATCCCGCTTGCCGCGGTGCTTGACCGCGGTCGCGGCGAGCGCGGGCCGGCCGAGGACGACGGTGGTGCCGGGGATCAGGTCCCAATCCCACGAGGCCCAGACGTCGCGGTACTCGGCGCCGTCGACGTAGGTGAACAGCGTGCCCTGGCCGAGGTGGTAGCCGAGCGGGTTCGCGCCGTTGACGAGCTCCGAGTTGGCGGAGCGCGAGGAGAGCATCTTGTTGCCGATGGTGAAGGACGGCCTGCGGTGCACCATGTAGTCGCTGGTCCAGAAGGCCTTGTTCCCGATGAGAGGGTCGGTGCCGTTGGACAGGAGCCTGCGTATCGTGTCGTTGACGGAAGAGAGGCCGGTGAAGTCAGCGACGGCCCGCGCGAGCTTGGTGACGTTGAAGTTGATGTCGGCACTGGCTTGTAAATCCTGGGTCGGGTAGCTGACGAAGCGGCCGATGACATTCTACGGATCTCGTTAGACCTAGAAGTAAACGTTTTGTTGGGGATTGACTTACGAAATCCCAGTGCTCTTGCTTCCTCTGTTGATCGGTAAAGATCATCCACTCGTCGCCTTTGATGTAGGTCGACATGGCTTCCCGAGTGGCGTCATTGGCAGCGAAACGCGTGCCGATAGCCTCGCCCTCTAGTTGAATAAAAACGTTGAGCTGGGGTATCCAAGTCAGTGCATCTACTTGGATATCAAGCTCAGTAGCTGCGCCATACCAAATCTTTACCATAATTCCCGTTGTATAAGATACCGTCGTGCTGTAGGAACGAGCCGTCCCTGTGAATACCATCTTGCCCAGCCGAGTCAGAAAACTGGACGCGCACGTTAGAAGCTTTACTGTTTCAGAAATAAAAACAGAAAGATGTACGCACTGTCATGACACTGAATGCTCGGTCCATGGCGCTTTCGACAATGGTCGCGTTGGAGGTGAACAGACCGAGACTGACGGCACTCTGCAGAACAAGAACGACCTAGAGGAGAAGCAGTTGGCACTATGATCCTTGTAATCGAAAGCACGCACTCACATTGGAAGCGGTGAGATTACCACCCGTGCCGTAGGACAAGTCGATGTTGTCGTAGGTGCGCTTGGTCAGGCGAACGCATCCCTCGCGCTGCTCCTGGGAGAGGCTTCCGTCTCGGGCCAGCAGACAGGCAGTAGAGCTGAGCTGCGGTATCAGGATGGCCTGACCATACCAGTTCTGATTCCCATATATGGTAAGTCACGAATTTTGCATGCTTGCTGTTGGATGTATTTCGGACTTACGGTATTCCACAGCCCTGGCGTGCCACATGGGCAGCCCAGCGTACTGTCAAAGTCAGCGACGTGACCTGGATCCCGGACACAACTGGTAACTCACGCATTGCCGCCATTACCCATGCACGCGGGTGGCTTGTAGTCGTTCTTGAACCAATAGTCCAGGCCGTTGGAGATCACGTCCCACGCCTCGGTGCTATTCGCCCATTTGCGCTCCGCCACCAAGCTGGCGCCGCTCCAAGCCGCCGCCAGCGTGATGATGCGGTTCCAATGCTCCTGGATCGGCCAATTGGCACGTCCTACGCGTAACAAGAGTTAGCCCTCCCCCTTTTATCCTGCAGGGCGGGAAACTCACGCGCTGGGCATCCCGAGAGGTAATTGACATCAGCCCAGGTGCCGTCCGGCCTCTGCGTGTCGATCCATTTCTGCACGCTGTTGAACCAGGAAGGGTCCGGAAACTCGGCGAGGTCGGCCACCCGGCGCCGCGACAGGACCGCCAAGTCCTCGGCGGCATCGGCGTCCTGGACATCCGCCGCCCAAGTGGTGGTCTGTAGGGTGGAGAGAGCCCATGCAAAGGCGCAGAGTCTCATCTTTGGTGTCGCACCCCTGGTTAGATCAGAAGTCGATCTGGTATGCAATAGAAAAGTAGAAAGTCGAAAACTGCGCGTTGCGGTGTCTTAAAAGCCAACATGGGGGCAGGTTTATTATAATGATGCATGCCCGGGGGTTGAGGCCGTGCTATTGGTGGATAATTACCCCAGAACATTGAACAATCATGGCTTACCCCAGAGTTCAGCTCTCGATTAATTGAGCAGCATGGCGTGCAAGAAACGGCAATTCTCGGCACTTGAAAGAAATGTGTTTGATTTCTCGCGGTTTTCTACAACGTTACTTTCACTTGCCTGTAGGTAGGTCGTCTCGTCTAACATCAATGCTGGGAAATCAATGCAGAGTGCTGGACTTAGTGCTCGTATCAACACCACCTTCCATGAAGCTCAGCTCAGTGAAACAAAAGCACGAAACTCAAACCAAAATGTACAATCATCTATTGAAGATAAAAATAAAAGACTCGGCGATTCAAAGCCGCTAACTCTTGTTGAGAGCTCGACATCTGCTTGGACCTTACTGCTTATCCTGCTTCTTCAGCTCAAAACGCAGTCAATTCGGTGGCTGTCTTTCACTCGAAAATTCGCCCTTGCACTCGAGACATCTGCAGCAGTCATGTACAAATCTATTAGGATGACTGAAAGTTTCCAAAGGCTTCCAAAGCCCAAGACTTTAGCCTTACTCCCCAGCACTAGCATCAGAGTTGTGCTTCTGCCATCAGTTCGCCCGTTGCCCATCCTGCGCCACACTTGGGCACGGTTCCAACTTTGGCACCATTGCAGGATAGACATTGAAGACCATCAAGCTGCGCAAAATATTTGGGCAGCGAAGTTATTCTTATGCCATAATTCGGCTCTAGCACTTGCCAGGTGATGATGTTGATCGAGCCAGGTCTGTCAGGCAAGGAATGATTGGACCTAAAAAGCGACCCTCAGAGCTAATCAAGAAAGTAGAAAATGTTTCAAAGTTCAACTCTAGACATCATAGAAACAACAGCTGAAGTAACCCACAAGCTGCGCCCACGGCAATCTGCACACCGCGCGCAGGTATTAGCATCATCGCTCCAGCGCTGGCGACACCAGCATTCTGGCCCAACATAGCCTTTGGGGATATGGCGTGCACTTGGATATTGTTGACAACCCTGTCTTGATCTGGGCTGTATTGCAGCGGGGCGAATTTGCAAGTTTCCATAATCACATTCATATCTGCAGACCATAAGTTAGCTTCCGAGCAAGAACTATGCAACCGTGGCATTGAACGCACCATTCTGTTGCTGATCAGCCCCGGCGATGCAGCTTGCGCAAAGAGCTGCGACTTTGGGCACATCAAAGCTCTTGTTTTGACACACGCAGTTTTCCTCTCCGCTGTTCATGTTCCACCGTCCCTGGTCCTGGTCGGGCTTCATTGTACTGGCACTGTCGCCGTCACCATCACCGTCACCGTCGCTCTCTTCCATGGCATCCATGGACGTTTTCGGAAGCTGGGAAACCGTAGGTGTAATGAATCCCGTGGGGGTTACTGTCGTCGGAGAGCCGATGTCCTCGTCGCTGGGCTGCGTTGGCGTGGTCGATGAGGGCCGGTTCGAAGGCGGAGCAGCTGCTAATGGCGGCGGCAGCGGCAGAGATGAAGACGAGGATTGGGAAGGAGGAGAAGGCGGTGGTGTTGGTGGTAGTGATGGCAATGATGAGGATGTTTGTAATGGTGACGATGGTGGTGATGGTAATGGTGGCGATTGAGGTTGTGGCGGAGGCGCTTGCGTGGGAAATATTGGCGTAGGAAATATGCGTGTAATTTTCGATCGACTCTTAGCATCGGGAGTTCCTTCCTGCGCGAGTAATGAGGATGGGAAGGACGTGGGCGCGGACACAATCACTGTGAAATCCCTTTCCGCCATATCGACGCCGCCTTTCGGATGTCGAGCCGCCTTTTCTTTTCTCTCCGCTGCCACCCCTCGATTCTCGTTTGCTGTATTTCGCCGCCTGTTGAGAAGGGAAAAATCTTTGCCTCGACCATCGCCGCCGCTGCATATTAAGGATAGCTCGACCATCGGGCCGCATATCGTCGCGCACTGGATCGGGATGCTGTCCGCCGGGAGCGCCTCTGCGAGTACACCGGCGATGAGCACGCCGTTGGAGAGCAGCAGCAGTCCCGTATCTGACGCCTTCATTCTTGCTGCTTTTTGGGGCCGCTCTCTGTCTTAAGGAGATGTGTGATGGACAAGGAACAGAGGAGGAAACGCGCGGGTGCATTGAGAAGCGTGTGTAGGGAAGGAGCACATACTCACGACATACCCATGGATAGGCCTTGGACAGTGCGGTGCCCCGGAAGAAGGAATGGACCGCTTTACAAGACGGGAAGCAGCCGCCGGGGGTTTGCAGGAAGGAGAGCCCGAATCAGGGTCAGGCTGATCACACAGGTAGCAGTGTGAAACGGCTGGCTCAAACACGACCAAGCCAAGGACACACACACACATGGCTCGACCATGACGAACTATGAAGGGGCAGTTATTTCTGGTGATCAGGCATGAAATCTATATCAGGCATGGAAACTCTAGATTCTTCCAACCTGTTGTTGAATTACTTGGGAATCCTTTGTGGCAATAACACACTGGTAACGGTCAGTGGCCTTCGCTCGGGAACACCTATTGCTTACATTGTAGGGCAAAGGGACAGGAATTCTCGAACTACACAGCTGACGAAACAAAAAAAGCGAATATACAGGGACTTCTAGCCCCTCCAAGCAACGATAAGGAGGGCAGTTCACCCGCTGCGTGAGCGGGAATCGTCGCGCGACTTTAACGGAAGGTGATGGCATAAAGCTGGAAACGTCGCAAAAGAATTAAATTCCACAACAAAGAAAGGGCAGATTGCAAGCCTTTGCTACTTGTTCGCTGCCCGACGCAAGTGGGAGGGAGGAAGAGGGGAGGGGGGGCTTTTGATGATCTGAAACGTCGTCTGCGACGCGGAGGTCTCTGCCCTGTATGATAGGCAGGAACCGGGCAGGAGGACGGGAGAAACAGCATGGCCGACATGAATCGTGGCCCGCGGTGCGAGAATCAGGGAAAATAAACCTTGGTTAATGGATGTATAATCATGCTTTACAACGAGAACTATTGCCATGGCAAAGATGGCGATGCGCAACCGGACGGGCGGGCGGACGGTACTCTGTAAATCAATCTTGTGGGGCCGGACCCGGGGGGTGCTCCGCCACGGTCGGAGCCCGGCGCCGGTAATGAACTTGGCGGCACAGCCACCGGCGTGGCAGACGACATCACTAAGGGGGGCTGCATGAATTGAAGGATGGACTCTAAGCCCTAACAGAAAGAAAAAAGAGTCTGGCAAGGACGTTCTGGAAGTCGGTTCGCCTGCCACCCGGTGAGAGAGACCGAGGCGAGCCTAAAATGCTGATCAGGGAGGGAGGGCTGACTTTTCATGTTGGCACTATGTGGATAGGGTGTGGTCAGCAGATCTGCGCGAGGAGACTCGTCATTGGGAAAACGAGGCAGACTGTCACTGGGCACTGATTTAGTTGTTTCGTGGTGTTATGGTGGGCATGTTGGCAGCGTGGGTGGCCGGCCGGCCGACCTTTGCAGAGACTCGAATTCAAATTTCTTTTTGGGCGTTATGCCACGAAAAAGCGGGACATTGAACGGCTAGCGTATCTTTCCAGGGTCTAGAAAAGTCAAGATGATACTTCGGTGTAAGTCGGGCGACATCCGTGGGTTTGGTTTCCACCTGGTAAGGCTGGCTGCATAGCCTTGAAACCCCATCTTGAGACCAGACAATAACGGATAGCAAGAGAAGAAGAAGTTGAAGAATCAAAGCCAATTTCCGACTTGGGAGCCATGCGGCGAAGCCCGCGGCACGACATGACGCCCCTGGGCGAGTTTGGATTAGTGCGGGCGCCGGCGTGGAGCAAGCCGGCACCGCGAAGCCGCTTCAGCTGGTTCGCCCTTTTCCGAATCGGGCGTTATGCCACGAAGGAACGGCGCCTGCGTGGTGGCGATGCGATTCGCGAAGGGCTGCGAAGGTGCCTGGCCGTTGATGATCATTTATGCTCGGATGGAGCCGACTCTCGTCGAATTTGTCTGTTTTGGGTGAAATGCAGCGAGGTGTGTCTTGGGACGGATATATATAGAGTCGTCATCTCGTCCATTGTCAAGGCAAGAACTTGGCCAAGGCATTGTTATTACACAAAGGGTCTAAACAAGGGCGACGCAGCAGATACAACTAGAGCCCCGCGACAGAAACAGCAACAGCAACGAAAACATCGCCAAACCGCCATCATGCTCAACCCGCACACCTCCGCAGCCATTGCGCAGGTTGTCTTTTACGCGCCCATGGTGCCCGTCGTCATCTACCTCTTCTCGCGCAACGCCCGAATCCGTCCACGTATGGCCTGGTGGCCCTTGATTCCGTTTAGTCTATGTATGTAACACCTCCCGGGCCCAGAACAAAGGGGAAAAATAAGACCAATGAGATCCTTGAGCTGATACAAGTCGCGAAAAACAGTCCGTCTTGCTGGCGGCATCGTCACCATCATCGCCGAGAAGAAGCCCGACAACGTCGGTCTCTGGATCGCCGCGCTGACCCTCCTCAACGTTGGCGTCGTCCCCCTCATCGTCGCCGACCTCGGCCTCACCCGATTAATGTCCGTCCTCCGCCCTTGACAAGTAAATATGTATGCTGACCACCAGCGCAGAATGCAAGACAACCACGCCGCCAACCCCACGTACGAGAAGCTCGCCAAGGTCCTGCGCCTCACCTTCGTCGCCGCCATCCTCCTCCTCGCCGCCGGCGGCGGCACCGCCTCCGCCAGCGCACACATCTCCCGCGCGCTGACCCTCGCCGGCTACGTCGTCTTCGCCGTCGAGCTGCTGCTGCTCGTCGCCATGCAGGCGTGGTTCTTCGCCCGCAGGCGGGAGCTGCTGCGGAGCAGCCGCAGGGTGCTCTTCGCCGCGCTGGCGGCCGCGCCGTTGCTGGCGCTGCGCACCGCGTACGGCCTGCTCGAGGTCGCCGCGCAGGGGGACGCGAGAAGCGCGTGGAACCCGCTGACGGGGTCGGCGGTTGCATTTGCGCTGATGGCGCTGCTGCCGGAGTACGTGGTGCTGGTCGGCTGGGTGCTGATGGGATTCTCGATCCCGCCGAGGCGCGAGGGTGACGGCGTGCCGGTGGACGGTGACACCCCCAAGGTCTGAGAAAGCGGCCGCGGGCGATTGCGTGAGGTGGGAGTCGTGGTGTTGAGGATTGGAACTGATACCCTGGGGCGGTTTTCTGCTGGATGTCCCTATTTGGCAACCACATCAATTTCTCGTTCTTTAACATGAAAATGTATGTTGTTGGCTTAGTAAAAAGTTAATTGGTTTTGGATATGCATCTATTCATTGAGAAACCTGTCTAATCCATAAAACTGGCAGACCATGCCATGCCTTTCAGACTCCAATTACGTTCGCCATATGCGTGTTAATCTGCGACAACGCAAAATGGCGAAACCAAAACCTGCATCGCTTAATGTATAGATAAAATGACAAAGAAGAGAATAAAAAGCAAAAGTGATTCCATCGTCTTATTCGTTAAAAACGGTGTTGACGGCCAACACTCTCGACGCGCACGCCCAGCTTGACCATCTCGCGCGAGTCAATGACACCACGGCCGTCAAAGACCCAACGTGGGATGGTCATCGAGTCAGCGATGCGCTCCCAGTTAAGTCGCTCCTTTGACTTGTACTCCTCAGCGCTGCCCATGCCCGTAGCGTGGCCAGTCTCCTTGCTCTCATGCTCCTGCTGGCAGTCGGGGCAGGTGCTGTCGCACGACGGCTCCGTGTTGAAGCGGTTGAGCGGGTCTTGGCCTTGCCGGCTCTCGCGCTGCGTCAGGTGCTTGTGGAGAGCCAGCAGGTCATTCTCAGAAGGAATGGCGGTACTGAATGGGCGAGGATCGGCCTTGGGGTTAGGCTTGCCACCAATCAACTTTGGTACGGTCGTGGCAGGGGCGGCGACAGGCTTGGGGACGGGTTGATTGCGGAACTCGTCGAATTCTGTGGCAATGACAACGGCAGTGGCATCGTCACAGGCATCGTAGGCATTGCCATAGACGGAGATTTTGCTGGTCTCGGCAAGGGGTCCAAGGAGGGATCGGATCTCGTTCTTGATGACCAGCGGGTTGCAGCAAGGGTCGAAAACGGCAATCTCACGCGGGCGCTCCTCGAGAAGGGTTTTGATCATTTCCAGAGCCGGGGCCTCACGGGTATCGGAGGTGTTCTTTTTGAAGGCATAGCCGAGAATGCAGACCTTCTTGCCGACAAGTGTGTTGTTGAGGCATTTAATGACGCGGTTTGTGAAGCGGTCGCGAGCGTACTCATTCATCTTGACCACCTGGCGCCAGTACTCGCCGACCTCAGGCAGACCCATGGTGTCGGCGAGGTAGACGAGGTTGAGAACATCCTTCTTGAAGCAGCTGCCGCCGAAACCAACACCGGCGACGAGGAACTTGTTGCCGATACGGGGATCGACGCCAACGGCGCGAGCAACCTCGTCGACATCGGCACCGGTCTGCTCACAGAGGGCGGAGATGGAGTTGATGCTGGAAATGCGCTGAGCCAGCATGGAGTTGGCGACCAGCTTGGCAAGCTCCGACGACCAGACGTTGGTAGTCAGGATGCGCTCGCGCGGCACCCAGGCGGCGTAAACGTCGACGAGAGCCTCAGCAGCCAGCTTCCCGGTTGGAGTCGGGGCCGAGCCGATGAGAATACGATCGGGGTAGAGGAGATCGTTGACAGCGGTGCCAGCAGCGAGAAATTCGGGGTTGGAGAGGATTTCGAAGTGGGCGCCCGGACGATGCATGGCAATCTGTAAGTGGTGTTAGTGCTGGCTGATAGGAAGCGACTTGGCAAACGAACTGTCTCGGCGACGAGCTGGGCAGTGCGGCAAGGAACAGTGCTCTTTTCGACGATAATGGCACCCTCACGGGCGTTCTGGGCAACAACGGCAGTAACTGCCTCAAAGGCTGTCATGTCGGTGGCGCTGCCGGCACCGATACCGCGCTCCTTGGTGGGCGTGTTGACCGAGATGAGGACAATGTCCGCCTCGGCAATGCTGCCTGCGACATCTGTGGTGAAGAAGAGGTTGCTCTGGCGAGGTGCAACACGGACCTCGCCAAAGTCCGAGTTGAAGGTGTCGGCGTCGTTCGTGGCCTCGTTGGAGAAGAAGGTTTCGCGGCTGCCATCACGAGCGATGCGGACAATATCTTGCAAGCCGGGCTCATAAATGGGAGGGTGTCTCGAGTTCCAGCGCCGGATACGGGTCTGGTCACGGTCGACTACTGTAACCTTGATGTGAGGATTTTGAAAGGCGAGGACCGCCGCGGTAGGGCCGCCTGTGAAGATGTTTTGTCAGAATGCTTAACGTGTTGGCGCGGTGAGATGTGATGTATGGTTTAGCCGGCGGAGGGGTGCTCGTGTGAGGAACGTACCGACATAGCCAGCACCAACGCAGCAGATGTTGCGAATGTTGAATTGGGGTGTTTGGGAGGCATTCGACGCGTTTGTTGAGCTGTTGAGGCTCAAGGCTTTGACGGTGTCGAGGATAGGTGATGACATGATGAGTAGCCGCTATTTGGGTGGTATTAGTGAGGGCCGGCCGAGTGCTGCACAGTCGCTGTGTAGTTAGGTGGGCGGCTATAGACGAGATATGGAGAGGCAGCAAGCAGCTCGGTTGGGGAGTGGGAAGGCTCGACAAGTGACGGGTAAAAAGGAAAAACGAAGGCAAAGATCTAGAATCGATAGTAGAAAGACAACGAGGGGACAAGTCGAGTACAAATAGCAAAGAAAATGGAAAGGCGGGTGGTAAAAGGGACTTGCTTTGATCGCCCGTGGCATAACTACAAGTCCCGTCGCCCCCAATGCGCTGCCCTCAACGGCACCCCAACGGCTCCGAGCGCCTAGGATAAAATAAAAAATAAAATGGAGACGAAAAACAAAATAAAAATAAAAATATATCCAAGAAATGCAAGCTAAAATAAAAGTTAGTGTCAGACTGGAGATGCTCTCTCCCTCTCTGTTGGCGCAAAGATGGCTGTCCTGTCAAGGGGGCAGGAAGTAAACGTGGGCAAAGCGCTTGGCGCTGAAGTGGACGGACACTAGGGTGGCCGAGCGAGGGCGATTGGAGTGGGTTCTCCAGCGGGAAGGGGGCCTGCTCAGGTACCTGCCTACACAAGATACACGAGGAGGTACCTACGGAAGGTGACCAGCCGGTTGCAGAGCTGCATTGCTTATAGGCCACTGTATATAAACCGTTGTAGCACAGATCCAAGCGAGGTTTCCCTGTTGGATCAGTTATCCGTTACAAGTGCGAGCTGCCAAGTCGTCAAAAGGCACAATAAGATAGCACGAATCTCGCTTAGCCTCTCTCTCTACTATCCATCTAGCTAACCTCGGACTTTCCATCATTTACTCCGGGAAAATGCTCAAATTATAAATGGACCGTGGCTGATGCCAATTCCTTCCGTTTTGGCATCTACATTCAGCAGCAAACTTGGCGTCGTCACTGCCAATGGAGTGGGCTCTGGCTTGTCGCAGATTATAGTGCTGTCCCGCTAAGAAACCCCAGATCCTCACCAACAACCGCTGCAAAACCCGCCGACACAATCCCTGTTTCCCTGCCTCAGGCTTCCACCCAGTCAGCACCTTCCTTGCTCAAGTGGCACAACACAAACCTCGCCAAGACTCTACTCAATGCACGCGATAACTAACACACAGAACACAGACATCTCCATCAATCCTTCATTCCCGACCCAATTCCCCTCCTTATCTACGACACCATATCCAGTTGATGGTCTGCCCCTGGCCAGCCACTCTTCTCCTTGACCGCGTCGGTGCCGATGGCTTCTAGCTTTTTTGTGGCGTCGGCAGACCACGCCCATTTCCGTACGTGACGACAGCATCTTACGACGACTTGGCCTATCCAGCTCTCAGCTCAACCCAGATTGACGGCGCGACGGCATTTCTCTGCCGATCCACAATGTTTTTAACAAAGGTGCCCACTACCGGGGATATTGTGACAGGTTGCACCAAGGCCGCAGATTGCGCAAGATTGCCTAAACCCGGTGACACGCGCGCACAGCGGACACAGACACAGACACAAACACCGCCGCGGAAAACAGGCCATGGGAATTGCGCAATGTGCAGAAGAATCCACTGAAGGGGAAATTTTCAAAGGTATACCCGGGTCTTGAGTAAAGCCACATGCGGCCAAGCAATTCCTAATGCATGCCCAAGAACCGGCATCTGCTGGGGATTCCTCTTGGCCCTCCTTGGCACGCGACAGATGCCACAGGGAATAACGGGAGAATAAGACAAATTCCGCTGGTAGAGAACCACTACAGCGACCCGGTGCCCAGCAGCCAATAACGTCTTGTAGAGGCTCGGGATAGAGTTCGCGCCAACACCATGCCTGCTCCGTATCGGCTCCCCTGTTCTGGCGACTACACATGAACTTCGCCTTCTCAATACACGACCAGTCTGTCAGTTCAATTATTGGGGCCTGATCGCGAGAGTCAGTCTATACTGGTTGCATTTGCTGCAACGAATCGGTTTCAAACATAAGCTTAGTTGTGCATTGGTGGTTATGGTTGACTCGTGGCAACTGAGCACGGATGCCTTTGCATTGTTGACTGTGAAAGCGGATCAGATACGCCACGGATTCACACCAGTCCAACCTGGTCGGAACAATTCTCCCGCATAACTGGCCAGGCAAGGAAAAAACGAATTTACGAGGAGTCTTTCTGACGTGGGAGGTAGGATACCGCAGCGATGCCAAGTCTCTCTCGCACTAGCAGGCTACTCAAACCACAGCTTTAACATGTGCTCCTTGAACAGAAGGGGAAAAAAGAACAAAACGCTGCCTATTTTAGGTTTGCAGAATTGGGCCTGTCCTGTTCTAGCTTGCTAGTGTGGTGGCATTTATGGTTCAGCGCCAGTCAAGCCGCCCATCTATTCTCAGCTTCTATGCACCACCACTCTACCCGCCTACTGCTGGTGCTGGGTTTGAAAAAGGTGGGTGGCTTGACACTCAATTTCTGCGCAATCACCAATGCAGCCTGGTGTCGTGTGAGCACAGCAACAGCGTAAAAGCGAAGCAGGTACCTCACTGCCGATCAGACCCTGCATCATGCTTCTAATTTGGGTCTTGTCCTGGACCGCCATACAAATCCGCATAGCACATCCTCGAGCCTATAAATGCTTGACAGTGCCCTGATATTGTGCGTCGCCTTTATTCTCGCCTATACCCCTACATGACCCGGTCCGGATGGGACTGAATACACTAACTGTACTGGGTAGTCATGGCGAAGCGGTGAGCCAAAGAAAGGCGATAAAAGATAAAACAAGGCCTGATGCATCCCTCTGCAGTTGTCACGAGTGCACCTTTGCAGCGCCCATCGCCAGGCCCATATCGACTCGGCTTGCAAGAATCGCTCATTTCGAGCAACTGGCACGCCCACGGGGTCTGAAGCCGAGCTGCTCATTCGGCACGAACTATCCCAGCCATTCCGCCCTCCATCCCATGGTTGTTGGGGGCTGCGACAGTGCTGATGCCATCCTGTCATTGGCTGCGATGGAGAATGTGGTTGGGATCTCGTCTGTGATTGGCTAGATCGCCGTACAACCACCCGATTGCGGCAATGCGGTGATGAGCGAAAGGCATCGGGCAGATGCGCATCTGAATAGCCAGAAAAAAGATGGTTCGTCTCGTTGACAGCCATGTTGAATCATTGGGAAGCAAAGGATGCAGCACTGAGTGCTGCTCATGGGCGTGTTGCGAGTACCTCACCTACATCAGCGCACAATCGTCTTATAGCGCACTAAGACGCGCCCCAAGGCTGCCCGCGATAGCGAACGACTTGATCTTCGACATGGGGAACTCATTACGCTATATTCCGATTTCAACACCTTCATCTGCATCAGCTGCAGGGCCGCAACCCCTCCCCCGCTACTCGAAAGGGTCGGTTGCCCCTCCTCCCGCTGCCCACTCAGGCAAACCGTCGCGATGCCCGTGGCTATTCTCGCCTCGTCATTGCGACAAAAAGACACCATGGACCAACCAGGGTGTTCCGAATGATACACATGACAGGGCTGCTTCGCCCGCCACTTTGCCTATTTTCCCCTGCTGCATACATGTGCCTCCGACCGCGCCCTGCTTTGGGTAAAAGCACACAAAGTCATTTGCCCCAACAAGTTTACTTTTAAACCCTTTTTTCGAGGGAAGCTAGGACCGTTTTCTGGGCAACATCTGCGTCTCGCGCCGACACGTGCAGCCATCCTGCCTTCTCCTATGCGCGATGGTCTCTCCCGCGGTCGGCACCCGACGCCTTGTGCAAAGAAACACACCGCATTGTGTCTCTGGCTGTCCATTCATATTCCTAGTCATGTGCTGACCGGCTGATAATCCCAGACAAACAACATGTCCGATGTCTACCTGTATTGCATGCAAACTTTCCCCTCTTTGTAATCTTCTGCTCCATCTACTCTGTACACTCGTTTGGCAAAGTCCTTGACAGCACTCGATTGCAGCCAAAAACCTTTTGCAATTGTCAGAGGGCTTCGCCACCGTCTATTTTATTACCCCAACGTTCTTGTCACAACCCAGGCTTAGCGACGCAGCAGCTTCTTGGCCTTCTCCCGCGACACAAGATGGCTTCCTCTCCGACCCCCGCGACCGGCCGCCGGTATCCCGAGCACGACCTGTCGCAGTTCCCCAGCCAGCTGCGCGGCAAGCGCATCCTCCTCTGCACCGAGTCCTTTGGCCCCGTCAACGGCGTGAGCCGGACGACGCTGATGCTGGTGACGCACCTGCGCAACCACGGGGCGCAGGTCGCCGTCGTCGCGCCGCACAACCACACCAACCACAACACCTTTTCGCCGCCGCCGTCGCCAAGCCTCTCGCCGCTCGACCGGCAGCCCGAGGTGCGCCTCACCGGCTATCCGCTGCCCTTCAACCCGGAGCTCTCCGTCGTCTATCCCGTCCGCAACTCGACACTCTACGCCCGCACCTTTGGCGCCGACGCGCTGCCAGACCTCATCTACCTCGCCTCGCCCGCCAGCCTTGGCTTCCAGGTCATGCTGCAACTGCGCCAACAGCCCCGCGCCCACCAGATCCCTATCCTCTGCAATTTCCAGACCGACCTGGCCGGGTACTGCGACATCCTCTTCCCTGCCCCGCTCAGCCACGCCGCCGTCTTCGCCTTTGACGCCGTCCAAAGTTACCTCTTCCGCCACGCCTCGGTCCGGACCATCTTCTACCCCTCGCGTTTCGTCAAGCGCTATTTGGTTCGGCAAAAGGTGCCTGCCGAAAAGCTCGAGCTGCTCACCCGCGGCGTCAACGCCGAGATGTTCAACCCGATCCGTCGCAGCGAGCGCCTCCGCAAAGAACTCGCCCCCAACGGCGAGGTCATTTTTGTCACCGTCTGCCGCATCGCCGGCGAAAAAGGCTTTGACTTTCTGGCCAAGGCGGCCAAGGAGATGGACGCGCGCGGCCTGCCATACAAGATGGTCATTGTCGGCGGCAACCGCAACCCGGACGTCGAGAAGGAGGTCCAGGAGCTGTTCGACCCCCTCCGCGATGAGGGCAAGGTCGTGTTCACCGGCTTCAAGGTCGGCGAGGAGCTCGCCACCTACTACGCTAGCGCCGATGTCTTCCTGCACTGCTCCGTGACGGAGACGTTTGGGCTTGTGGTCCTCGAGTCCATGGCCAGCGGTGTCCCAGTCGTCGCGCGAGACGAGGGCGGGCCGTCGGATATCATCGCCCACGACGACACTGGCTTCCTCGTGGTGCCCGAGGACGTCGACGGCTTCGTGGCCAAGGCCGCGCGGTTGGCGACGGACCGCACCCTGCGCGCACGTATGGGTCAAGCCGCCCGCGAAGCCGCCTGTGAGTGCACATGGGACAAGATCAACAACAAGGTCGCCTGGCGAATGGCCGACACCATTGCCGAGCGTGCCGAGGAGGCGGCGCGCGAGGGGCCTGAGGTGGCATCGCGTACACTGTCGCAGGATGCGCAGCAGCTGGTGCCCCTCTACGGTTGGCTCATGATGAACAATGCCATGCGCGAGGCCATTGTCAGCCGCATCGTCGACGCACGTCTCGTGGGCGGCCTCGGAGTCATCATTTCGTTCTGGATCATCACCGGCGCATACATGATGTTTATCGAGTCCATCATGTGGACCAAGAACCGCTTGAGAGGCGAGCGCCGGCCGAGCATTTCTGCATGAGTGTTTTTGCTTATTGCTTGGTGCGTTTTTAGCCTTGATAGTTCACAATTTGGCGAATACGGTGGTTTTTTTGGGTTCCTCTTCTCTTTAGATGAGATTTTGTGATGTTTCGGCGAGTCGTGTATTGAACCTGACTCAAGCCCATACCTTGGTTTGGCAGCGGTTTCGTCCTTTTTGTCCTATTGTTTGCATCTCCTTTGTATCTCAGCGCGCAAAGTAAAGTTAGTATTATGATGTGGCGACGTAATGACGCACAAAAGGATTCCTTGGCGTGGCCTCCCTCGAGAGTGTGCACACTCTCGGTTATACCCCAGATTGGATAGGTAAAAACAATAAATCTCGATTGAATATGTCTAGGTATGTCGTAATGAATGTGTAGATCCAACGCTGGCCAGTTATAAGGTCTAACATGTCAATCAATAGCAGGAGAAATAAAGGAGAGTATATCGAAGTTGAGAGAAGAAGAAGAAATGAATGTCTGCGCATTGAGGTTGAGCAATTCAAAAAAAAAAGACCAGCTTCGCGAGTCAGTCCCATCTCCACCCACCAAAAAAAAGTCCTCAAATCGTCTTGCCGCCGCGGCTGCGGCTGTTGTCGAAGCCCTTGCGCTGCTTGTACATCTCAGCGTACTGGATGCGCTCAAAGGTGCCCATGCCGTAGGCGACCAGGCCGAGGAAGAGCCAGATCGAAGTGATGATGAGGCCGACGGGGAAGATCATGAGGTCGACGCCGGGGAGGACAAAGGCGGCGGTGCCGTTGTGCAGGGCGGCGAGGGCGTCGTCGACGGCGGCCTGGGCGGCGGAGAAGTCCGACAGGACGACCTCGCGGGAGAAGACGCCGTTGAGGAAGGTGGCCTCGTTGAGGCTGACGTTTGTGGCGACGCGGATGCCGCTGGCGTTGGTCGCGGCGAGGGTGAGCGTGGGCATGACGAAGGTTTGCAAGGCGGCCCTGTGCATTGAACGTGTAAGTCAACGGGGGGGGGGATTAGTTGTAGGGGCGCATGTCCGCGGGGCCGGAACTTACATGGACATTGAGTCGGACATTTCCTTTTGGTCAATCTGGCCGACGAGCATGTACGCCTGCAGCAGCTGCGGGTTGTGGTCCTCGCGGCTCTCCAGGTCGCCGCGGCGCTGCTTCGGGGCGGCGCCGGTCATGCCCTGGCCCTTGAGCGCGTCCGGGGTGACGGGGCTCGCGCTGGCGCCGTTGTACGCGACGCTGACCTTGATGGCGGCCGGCTGGATGCCGGTCCAGGGCCCGCGGGGCTCCGAGACCTTGTAGAGGCGCAGCTCGGCCTCGAAGACGCCGGAGGCGGTGTCGAGCGACGGCAGGTTATAGCAGATGCAGTTGCCCGAGGGGTTGCTGGGGCGTTGGATGGCGCGCAGGGCGGCGACGCAGGCGGCGTCCGTTTCGGTGTCCCAGGCGGTGAGGTTGAGCGCGCCGTCGGGGCGGAGCTGGATGCCATCGGTGGTGTTGGATTGCCGGCGGAGGAGGGCGGGAGCGCGGGCGGCTTCGGCGGAGAGGAGGGAGACGTAGGGCGTGGAGAGGACGTCCTCGGCGCGGACGAGGAAGGCATCAGCGAGAGAGGCGGTGGCGGACACGGTCCTCGCGAGGAGGTAGCCCGCCACGAGGGAGGCTCGGGCCATCATGGTTGAGTTGAGGTTGTCGATGGCGGCGGCGGCGGCGAGCATGCGCGCGGGAAGGCGAGGAGGAAAGAAGGGAGAGAGAGAGAGGACCCCTCGTCGAGAGAGGTGGTTTAATTATCGTGGATTCCTGTGGCCGGCACGCTGTATTAAAAAATCGATATATATTACTGGGGAATTCCTCTTTGGCGAAATGAAGTGTCAGGCGGGAGGAGCTGCGCAGCAGCCACGGACTCTCGCGGGAATAACAAAAGCGAAAGGAACAAAACGACAACGATCGATGCCACGATTGAAGAAAAGAGAGACCATGGAAAACATGAAGAGACAGACAATGCAGAGAAGGGCAATTGGGACCCCGGAAACAAAAAGAAACCACACCATGCAGCAAGACAGTCAGGCAACTCGGTGGCCTGATACCGGTCTTGTTTCCTCGACGAAGTCAACTCTGTCCCTTGCTACAAAGTACAAAGGCCACAAAACCCATGGCCAGGCCCATCCCGCGAGATGAGACAGCTCTTGTCGGCGTGACCGCGCCGACTTGGCAGCTACCTAATGACTGGGGTTGTCAGAGGCGCGCCCATCTTGGCGGGACAAGATGAGCCATGGGGCCAATGACCTCGTACAGATGGGATTTGCTTGCTCCATCATTTACCATCTTGGGTCACGGGAAGAAGAGAGCCGGAAGGAACGGGGGGGTGTAAGTTGGGCGGTGGGCATAAGTCTCGTGGTGGTAAAACTCGTAGGGGGTTGATTGGAGACGGAGGCGTGACACTGGTTGTTCGGGAAGTTGTACTGGTAGTTTCTTCGTAGTCGAGGGAGAGAGGATAAAAAGGCCCCCCAAGCCCCCCCCCCCCTTTTTGGCTGGTCGGGACTCTCCAACTGGGCGGGTTTCATGGTGCGACAGCCAAGTGGAGGCTTGTCGCGCCGAATTGCAGCCATACGCTTGTCATTTCATCATTTGACAGAGGATAAGAAAAAAGTCGTCGTCATTATGGTATTCTGTTTTGCGGTTGATGAAGGGGGAATTCCCTCATCGAGACCCAAAACATCTTCCTTGGTTATCGTGATTGCAGAACTCCGTTGTCGGGACGTCGTCTTCTTATCGTGATCGTATAGTACCTGTTAGGACTCGGAACGAATCGCGTACCCATTCAACTGTCATGAAAAGATCCACCACGTGGCAAGGCAAATTTCTCAACCGCATAGTCTGTCGTCTCAGGTCGTAGTATACCTTGACTATAGCACAGCCATACTATGAAGAACTGTCTCTTTCTGCCACTTTGCAGCCGCGCCACCACTGAACCGACATGAGACGGCCGGTCGCTGTCCTTTCCTCCTGCCCGAGTTTTTCAAAGCCCTTCTTGGCAGAGTGACTATCGACTGCCACCCATCTTCTCCTTTCCTTCCCTCTTGTCCGAGTCATGGGAGGAGACACTCATTGGTCGATCGACTGCCGATGCTTTGTTCCCCTGTGTCTTGGTCCGGAGAATAAACCCATCATTGGCTGATCTATGACATTTCCTCTGGCCCGAATCCTACCAAACTAGCCTCTATTAGCAACGACACGGTGGTAGATGGCGGACAGGGTTCCCCGCGCTCCTTTACCAGAAGCAACGGCCACGGCCACTAACAAGTTAGTTGACAAACACCATGCCAGCCCGAAGCGTATGCTGCTAACTAACTAAGTTAATGGACTAAGTTACTTGGTAAAAAATCCAAGTTGGAAGTTTATGTTTTTTTTTGTTAATCGACACTTGTATGCTGAGACTTTTCACAGAGGACAAGAACACATGATGGCAATTTCATGCGGAGGCAGTGACGTGCTGATCCAAGGGTAACTAGAGATAACACGACCTTGCGCAGCGACTTCTTATCACAACTCGACCTCTGCCAAGCCGCTCCCAATATGCCGTCGCTCCCCAATAGCACCCCGAATGCCGAAGTGTCAATTATCTTGGACTATCAATGATGCAGGTCTCAGCCTCGACATGCGGGGTAGAAGGCTTAGGTGTTGATGCCGCTCAGCAACGAGAGAGGGGAGGGAGGGAGTATGCGACCTTCCCCGCATTCGGTGATTTTCTATATAAATCGGCAGAGAAGTCGCGTCGTTGAATTGATATTTCGTCTCTTCTCAGCATCCTCATAACTCAGGAAATTAAAAACTCACACCAAGACTTCTTCCCATTTACCAGTCAAGCTTTGTCAACATGCCCGGCAAGATTCGCACTGCCCAGTCCGTCTCCTTTGACGTGCCTGCTGATCAGCAGCCGTATCTACACAACCGCTGGCACCCAGATGGTACGTTGCAACTCTTGTTGCAGACATGACGAAGCCTTGTCAATCCAAGTTCTGACCCATGCAGTCCCCAGCATTGGCAAGATTGAGCCCGGCGAGACGGTCAAGATCGAGTGCCTCGACTGGACCGGCGGTCAGATCGGCAACAACGACAGCGCCAACGACGTGCGCGACGCCGAGCTCACCCGCTGCCACTACCTGACCGGCCCCTTCGACATCACCGGCGCTGAGCCCGGCGACCTGCTCGTCGTCAACATCACCGACATCCAGCCCTTCGACCACTCCCCCTGGGGCTTCACCGGCGTCTTCGACCGCGCCAACGGCGGCGGCTTCCTCGAGGACCACTACCCGCGCGCCGCCAAGGCCATCTGGGACTTTGACGGCATCTACTGCTCCAGCCGCCACATCCCCGGCGTGCGCTTCCCCGGCTTGATCCACCCGGGCATCCTCGGCTGCGCACCCTCGGCGGAGGTGCTGGCGGAGTGGAATCGGCGCGAGGCCGGGCTCGTCGAGGCCGGGGTGGAGACGCATCCGGGGAAGACGCTGGCGCACTTGCCGGAGGGGAAGCACGTGCACGCGACGACGGCGGGGGGGGAGTTGAAGGAAAAGATTGCGAGGGAGGGCGCGAGGACGGTGCCGGGGAGGCCGGAGCACGGCGGGAACGTGGACATTTGCAACATCTCGCGCGGGAGCAAGACGTACCTGCCGGTGCACGTGGCGGGCGCCAAGTTCTCGGTCGGCGACTTGCACTTTAGCCAGGGCGACGGCGAGATCAGCTTCTGCGGGGCCATCGAGATGGCGGGTGTGATTAGTATCAAGTTTGACCTGATCAAGGGCGGCGTGGAATCGCGGAGCATCCCGCACCCGGTGTTCTTGCCGGGCGAGGTGCAGCCGCACTACGGGCCGTCGAGGTACCTAACCTTTGAGGGCTTCTCGGTGGACGAGCACGGAAAGCAGCACTACATGGACGCGACGGTGGCGTACCGCCAGGCGTGCCTGCGGGCCATCGAGTATCTCAAGCAGTTTGGTAAGTACTGGGGCCTGCAGGAGTGGACCGGTGACGGTGTTGCTGATGTGGTGAACAACAGGATACTCGGGCGAGCAGGTCTATCTGCTGCTGTCGTGTGCCCCGATACGCGGCACCATTGCGGGCATCGTGGACAAGCCCAACGCCTGCACGACTCTGGGCATTCCGATGGACATTTTTGACTTTGACATCTCCATCGAGTCCGTGCCGGTCAAGCGGGACCTCGGAAGCTGTGCGTATACGAGCTAAGGCAATGTCAAGAGGAGTTTATTGGTTGAATGGCGGCGTGGCGCGGGGGGGGGGGCGTTGTAGTTGACTGAGTGGCCGAGTTTATGGTTGTCACAATGATTCGTTTTCCTATTACTATCTTCGCAGCAACGAGGCACAGTTCAAGTAGCTTCTGGAGGCACAAATTGACATTTGAGAGCTGCTTCTAAAGTTACTCCTCCCAGGTCTCCAACGCTGTCTCTTGAGTCGTCTGTCTCGGCCTTTCGAGCGTGTCTGTTTATGCCTTTCGGTACGCTGCTAGCCATCGGCGATGGAACGGCATACGCGCGTCATCGTTGACAACATGCTCACCCTCTTGTACAGGCACCTCAACTTTCTCGCCGTTGAGTCCGGTGTTGGTGACTGCGTTTTGCTGCTTACCCAGATAAAAGTCAGGCATGAAGAAGCAGGCGATGAACGGCGGAGCGGCGAGAACGAGCGCAGTGACGGCAATGTGTCCGTTTACGTAGGCGTACGCGCGGATCGAGCCCTGCCGGATAGGGTCGTCAAAGGCGTAGTCATGACGCAGCTTCTTGATGCTGCCGTAAATCTTCGCAATCGTCTTCCCGTCCACGTTGGGCAGCTCCCGCCGCAAGCGACCCGGCATCTCGTTGGTCCAGATGGCCGAGGCGATGGCGCTCCCGACCGACGAGCCCAGCGTCGACCACAGCGTCAGCAGCGAGATCATCGAGGCCATGTCCTCGTGCGGCACCGACGCCTGGCTGCCGACGCGGGCGCCGACGACGTTGAAGGAGCTGAGGCAGTACACAAGCTGAGCCGCGACAAGGCGCGCCGTATCCTGCGTCATGCTACCGCTGCCGCCGTCGATGAGGAGGCCGTAGCCGGCAATCTTGGCGGCGGCGCCAAAGACCATGAGGGACTTGTAGCGATGGGTGCGCCGCTGAACGAGGCCGACGATGGGGCCGAGAAGGCACAGGCCCATGGTGGTGATGCCGAGGAAGATGATCCACTGGTACTCGGTCCACTGCTTGATGATGTACACGTACGAGGCCAGGTACGTGTTGCGGACGGAGGAGGCCATCTGGTTGAAGGTGAAGATGACGGCGGAGGCGACAAAGGTCCGGTTGTCCATGATGCGCGGGCTCATGACGGGCTTGGGCGACAGGAACCTTTCGTACAGGCCAAAGACGACGAGGAGCAAGAAGCCGACGACGAGCATGGCGATGATGCGGGGACTGCCCCAGCCGCCGACGGTGCTCTTGGCGATGGAGAAGGGAAGCAGGATGAGGGAAAAGGCCACGCCGAGGATGATGAGGCCGATGATGTCAATGTCGATGAGTCCGCCCCGTAAGAGATGAAGCCAGTGTGCCACGCGACCGCTGGTGCCTGGGAGCTCCGCCTCGGTGGCCGTCCCCGTGCGGACGCGCTTCGATGCCGCCATCGTGACCATCCCCAGCTTCTCGCCGCGCCGCTGCATCACGTAGAGCGTCACGATCGCCGGGGCCAGCAGCACCGGTATCACAATCGCAAACATGCCCAGCCCCCAGCGCCACCTATCCACCATCGCCGCCCCTATGAACCCGTTGATTGGCACCGTCACCACGAACGGCAGCGACAGCACGGCACCAAAGAACCCGCGCCACTCCAGCGGCGTCAGGTCCCCGACAATCACGTCGCTCAGCAAATCCAAGCCGGACTTGCCGACCGCAGTAAAGCAGATGCCGACCGTGTAGGCGGCAAAGGTGGAAGAGGTGGCGGCCACAAGAAAGCCGAGGGCGTAAAAGGCGAGGACGACGAGGTAGGTGGTCGGGCGGGAGGTGATGTCGGCGAGCTTGCCGATGAAGGGCTTGCTGACGGCGCGGATGACCTGGCTGGCGACGGCGACGGCGCCGAGCTGCGAGTGCTGCCGAAAGGTGGAGGAGGCCATGGTGGTGAAGACGGTGGTGGTGATGCCGAGGTCGAGCGCGTAGGCGAACATGGTGAGGCCGATGGACAGGCCGAGGAGCCACAGGAGGATCTGCCCGGCGCGGCCGGACTGGTAGAGGACGCGGTTGAAGGCCTCGACGCGGCTGACGCCGGCGGCCTGGGAGGGGGAGGAGGGGGAGGAGGGCTTGTGTGCGGCTTCGGCTTCGGCGTCGTCGACGGCGAGGGACGGTCCGGGCTTGTCGGCCATGATGGGAGGGCTCGCCTCGGTCTCGACAGCACCCGGCGGAGGAACTGGCTTTTCACTTGAGCCTGACATGCTATCCGCTCACTCTGTGTCTGATACCTGCGTTCGCTACCTTGTTGGACCAGGGCGGTTCAAGGAGTCAATCTGCGCACCGTCCTTCCTGACGCCGAGGTACAACGGCGTGCAGAGGAACACATTTATACCCTGATTTTTTTTTTTTTTTTCGCAAGCGGAAACTTCATCAATATACCCGAAAGGAAGAAACACGCTGCTCAGCCTGATTTCGACACATCCTTGTCGAGGAAGAACTCTTCCGGTCATTGCAGACGGGTCACGCCCCATCCGTCGCTTGCTTCATCGTTCCACTGCGACACGAGATGATCAATAACCACAAACGGAAGTTGGCCGTCCAAAGCTGAGAGGCCTACCGCAAGACCCCAAGCGAGGATATAGCGCGCGGGCAGGTACCCAGAGCCTGCCGGAGACTTCTGCTTGTCACAAGTTGCACCGGCCACAGCATCGCGCTGTATAGGGCAAGGCTCCCAGGAGATTGATAATGGATGCCAAGCATCTGATTAAAAGAGGCGGAGAAGCCATGAAGACAATGGCTAATAGCAAGAGGCGACAGTCCACACCTCCTCCACTCAACCCACCTACCGGCCCGTGACCATCGTTTGTATATTTCCATGATCGGCGTTTCGTTGGGAACGCAAAGAGTATATGCCTCATAGGAGAACGGTTGCCCACTCACTCTATATTAAGCTCATAAGACCATTAAATAGCTTGCGTCTGGAGCGGCCCAATAACTGCTCTGGGAGGCCCATCTTCTGGTGCGATCAAGTTCGATAGGGACTGTTGTCCAACTTACCAATAGACCGAACATGGGAAAAACTTTCGACCTCAAGAAGCCTTGAGTTGGATGCCGGATGCACCCCAGGACGTTCGCAATTGATTGTAGGGATGACACGGCCACCGTCGACTGTCTCTTTATTATGCTTGAGGCCCGGCTTCAACATGGCTGCCAGCAACCAGTGAACTCTAAACTGGACGCGTCAGGGTTGCATTGCGTCCTCTTTCCACTTATTATTATAGGAAATAAGCGCGGATATCTACATCCAGTTGGAATCAATGTACTGCCAGTGAGGTGATACAGAGCCAATGTCTGCTGCTCAGCCTTGTTTGACACGCCAGACGTGATGATTAGTGGCTGCAGACACACACTTCACAATTGACATTTCGCCCCTAAATCGCACCGCCTTGATCCGAGCTGTGTTTCCCGCTCGAGACACCATTATTCGATTCGTGTTTCCGCAGCCTAGTCTACACGCGCGATCAGCAATCAACCATGCCGTCTCTCTACAAGGATGCCCCGTCCGTGCCGATTAGGGCTACAGCCATCCATGGCAGAATCTCAATGCTCGTAAAGCAACGATACAAAGCAGACATGCCCCCGTGGTGGGACTCCCTGCGCGAGCTCTTGACAACCCTCCTGGACGTCGGCTTCACGGTGTCCGGCCGCCCCAGTGCCGATGTCGTGTGGAACAAGCTCCGAGAAGTCACGGAGGCTTCGCAGCACATCAGCGTCATCGAAAGCCAAATCAACACTCAACTCTCGCGGAGCACCCAAACTCTGGCGCTCGATCCGTGCGCCACCCACCGCACACCTGACGTACTTCCTCGGTGTCGTGGATGGGTGGCTTCGTGCCTGCGAACAGTATGCCCAGGAGTCCAAGAGATTCGGGCATGATTTCAGCGCCTTTCAAAGAGTATATGGGGCAGCTAGAAGAGGCAGCCGGTCGACACGTCCCTAGAGACCTCTTCAAATACTGGAACCTCGTCTGCTTCTTCGATACCCTAGAGAGGGCTGACGATATGCATCGAGCTCTCGGGATTGCAACACCGGCCTCGAGCTACGACGTAGAAGAGCATTCTGGGGCTTAGGCATAAAGCCACAGGCCCCCCCTTGGTTTCTGAGAACCTCTCGACGGAGGAGATCACAGGACGCACCCACTTCCGTACCGCACTGCATGTAGCGTATCCTATAGCAATAAATCGTGAGCAGCGGGACTGGCATAAAGGTGAACAAGCCTCGTCATTCTAGCCGATAGGGTTAATAGACCTAGGCACAGGAACATAGAAGAACGAGTTAATGAATTAACGAAAGTACTACTTAATATACCTATTACTATACTATAGTAGAACGTTTTCCTAGTCTAGATATACTTAGACTACTTCTAGTTAATGCTCTTACTTATTCTATAGAGTATCAAGGTGATATAGAAGTAATGTTAGGTGCTCAGCCTTGTTTAACACACTAAAGATGATAATTGGTCACTGCAGATTCACTATTCACACTTGAAATTCCGCCCCTAAATCACACCGCCTTGATCCAAGTTGTGCGTCCCTTTCAAGACACCGTTATCCGTGCATCCATCACCACATCACCACCACCATGCCGGATGACGTTCCCCGGGCGTTGTTTAGCAGATTCAACTTCATTAGCGGCGGCGCGACGGGATGGGTCCTTTGCCGCCGCGCCCGGCATCGTCCTCAAGTACGTCTGCGTCGGCCGCCTCGACGAGTTCCACGTCGAGAATGAAACGTACGACCTGATTGAGCGACACAACCCTCCCCCACATTTCATCCGGAGCTTCCTCCGCCTCCCCTACGCGCACTTCATGCAGCGGCCGCCCGAGAGCCTCGAGGAGCGCCTGCGCGGCAACCGGCGCGTGGATCCCGAGACCGGCCGCTGCCTCGAAGGTGCTGCGGCTGGAGCCGACCGTCCGCGTCGGGCGCTGGGCCGCGGAGGCTGTCCGCGGCGCTTCGCCTGGCTCGAGGGCGCGCTCGGCGTGGTCCAGGGCGACCTGCGCATGGCCAACCTCCTGCTCGACGCCGAGGAGCACCTCAAGGTGGCCGACTTTGACTGCCGCGCGGGGACGGCGGCCCGTACGCGCCGGGCAACGAGCAGTGCGCCTTTGGCACCTTCCTGTACACGCTGACTCGCGGCGCGGAGCCGTACGAGGGGGGCGGGTTCCCGGAGATCCGCGACCTCTGGCGCGGGAGGGAGTTTCCGGAGCTTTCCGGCTCTCTGACGCTTCGCTGCTGGATGGACCAGTTTGCGACCATGGCCGATCTGGCCAGGGACGTGCTGACGCTCGAAGGCGCAGAGACGGCCGCGACGGCGAGCGCGGCTGCTGCTGATGAGTACATGAGCAGGCTGGAGAAGACTTGTGAAGAAATCGTGCGTACCAAGTTGGCAGAGCTGGGTGATGGGTTGCCTCAAAGATACCAAGGCTAGCTAGCATGGCGAGCGAATTTATTCGGAGAGGATGGCACGCATGCTTTGTCTTGGTCATGGGCATCCGTCAAAATACCTCCATGTTTACAATGCCTGCTCTTCTCGTTCAAGATTCAGCAAGACATGCTTGAACCTGTCCGCCAATCCCCACGACATGATGCCCATCCGCTGCCTGAAGATGGCCAGACACTTGGCACTCGTGAGCTCCCTCAGCTCGCCGAGGCCTTGAAAGTAGACCGCGCCGCCGTTCTTGACCCATTCGCCCGCATCGTCACAGTTGGACCCTATTCATTCATTAGCCAGCGGAACACGGTCCGGACCATGATCGCGCAAGAACGTACAAAAGATGGAAAACGGCCTCTGTCTTGCGCCGCCCCCAGCACCGCCTAAATCGCTCGAGAACTTGAGCAACGCCCAGAACGTGAGTGCGACGTCCAGACACAACACCGTCTCCGCAGGCGCACTGTTCCGTCCCGTCAGCAATGAAGGTGCTCCTGGTCATAATCTGGAGAGGCGTGACAAACTCAAAAGGATATCTCGCCAGCAAGGCGCTCAGCTGTCCTGCCTGGGCGAGGATGAACCTCGCCCCTGCCGGGTCGTCCTGGACGCGCGACCGGATCCATGCCCGCGCGCCGGCCTTGCTCTCCTCCGTGCCGGACTTGCCCGCCGCGACCTTTACGGTGTTTAGGAAGCCCGGCCAGGTGAACTGCACGTGGCCCAGGTGCGACAGCGCGCACACGCCGATGGAGAGGGCGTTGGGCAGGGCGGTGAGGGAGTGGCAGGCGACGGCGAGCTCGTCGAGGAGTTCTTGCGGGTTGCTGTCGTTGGTCAGAAACGCAGTCATGCAGGCTTTCGTCACGTACTATTTCAAGGTGGGTGGGAATTCGAGTCGATAGCGACGGTCGCCTGGGCTCTGGGGGGTCGTGGTGAAGATGGCCTCGACTGCTGCGGCGTCTGTGCAAAGTCTAACATTGTCAGCGCCTTTTTTTTTTTTTTTTTTTTTTTGAACCGGTACAGCGTGTGTGCGATGATGGACAGACTGAATGAGCCCAAAGGATGCTGCAGCTCTCCGGTAGAGAGCAGTGCGTCGAGTACGGCTCGGAAGCTGGGCGGTGATTCCGTGCAAGACTGTGAACTCGACGTCCCATCAGCGTCAGCCGGTAGAGGCACGTTGATCTCGGAGATGGAGAAGAGCGGCGGAATGTTCAGCAGGGCGGATATCTGCATATCGTAGAGCTATTCTCTGCTCGTCAGCCATGGTCCGTCATAGATGAAGCGTCGGAATCCCCTACATAGACCCCCCATCCCAGATTCCGTCTCTCGTCATCCGCGGCCGCGGCCGCCGCCATCTCCATCTGCCGCCTCTTCGGCTGCACCCCCGTCTTCTGCAGCTCCTGCACAAACGACAGCCCCGGACGCAGCAGGTGCATCCTCCGCGCCGCCGTCACCAGCCCGCCCCGACTCACCTCGGCATGCTGATACAGCATGCGCGAGCCGCAAAACAGCCCAAACACAGCCTGCAGCAGCGCCGCCTGCACGAACGGGAGGCCAAACGCCGCGCCGCGGTCGCGCTCGACGGCCCGCCGGGCGAGCTCATTGAGAGCCGGCGCCAGACTGCGCAGCGCCGCGTCGCGAGAGTAGGCGGCGCCGACGGCGGCCACGGCGAGCAGCAGCACCGGCGAGGTGATGGGGTCCAGGCGGCGCAGGATAGGCAGGGTCTCGTGGAAGTGCCGAAAGTACAGGTTGACGCACAGGGAGAGCGTGGAGGAGGAGGGGAGGCAGGTGGCGTCGACGGCGGGCCAGATGGGCCGGTGCGTGGCGTTGACGAGGGCGATGATGGCCTGCCGGCTGGGTTCCGTGACGGGGCCGGGATGAGGCTGCAGGATGGAGGGGGGCGTCTTTGGCGCGGCGGGCGAGAGGTTGATCTGGGCATCCTTTTCGCTGGGGTGATAAACATGCGGCTGGATCGGTCAACATCTTGATGGACATCTTGGACGGAGCTCATGCATACCCAGGGAGTATCGGGGGGCTGGGCATCCCGCATAAGCTGCGACGATGGAGATTCGGACTCGTCGCTGTCGACAGGTTCTTGCACGGGCTCGGTGGCCTCTTCGTTGGCTGCTGCCGTCGGAAACCATTCCAGAAGCGACACGTTGAGAAAGTCCATGTCGTCGGAGCCGACGTCGCCCACGTCCCAGCCAAAGAAGCTCTCGGACGGGTCTGTGCTAAAGCCTTGGGAGCTGTCCACCGGGAAGGCTAGTATCGGTTCTATGGGATATAGGTTAACTTCCGTTCCCCTTGGACGGTCCAAGTCAGCATCTCCAGTCTCTCCATACCTGAGATGCTATTCAGGGTCGGCACTCCACCATCCACAGGCAAGGCTGGGAATGCAGTGGCCGTGCCAACAACACCGCGCGCGTCATGATGAGAGGCATGGCCGATGGGGTTGGGGGATAAGACGGGCTGCATGCTAGCCTCCCTCATGCTTAGATCCGTCGAGGCTAGTGACTGGTCCGTCTGGTCCGGAGCGCCAGCCGGGGTCGGGTCATCCACATGGCTCCGATACTGGCACGGCCGCCGGGCAGCCTCACATCTCCTGCAGGCACTCCCCGGCTCTCCGTCACATCGGACCTTGAGCTTGACGCATGAGACACTAACAAGACCGGTCAAATAGGGCGCTCGCAACTGCGCAGCTGGTTCCACTTACCAGGACACCTTGCGCGGCCGCTTCCCGACAGCCCCGTGCAGGGTTGCGTGTCGGGTCATGACGTCGCTAGACATTTCCATGTTAGTAGAGATCAATACAGTTCAGCCGTTGGAAATACTTGCCGTCGAACAAACCCCTTTCCGCATACTGGGCATTCGTGCCGGACATCTCTAGCATCTGCCCGAGTGTGTTAGTCGAGAGAGTTGGTTGTGAAGCAGCTGGATGGGCGGCCTACGGCTTCGCTCATGGCGTCGCAGATGCTCGCGCTTGCCAAACGATCGGCGGCATCCGGTCCAAGTACAGATAAAAGCGTCGGGCTGTTGGGGACTGGCCATCTAAGCAGATTCTTCGTTGCGGCGGCGCTTGTCTTGCCGTGACATGTTAGCTAGTGATGTGAAGGATGCAAAGGGCGGAGCTGAGGTGGGAAGCACGGAGGAAGGTGGGAGATTATGAATGTTAGTCCATGACTCGCGAGTCACTCGCCAACCAACTAACTACCGACTTCCCCCAGATTTTTACCTAGTTTTCTTCTCATGAATATTGAATAAATCTGCGGGTCTTTTTACTCCGCATTCTTCGTCCACAGCGACTCCGACAAACCCCATCGGAGTCTCCACTTCCCCAAGTTTCGTTTCCTGTCAAGGAGATCTGTATATATATATACCCGTGGAATTAGACGTATTGTTGAAGAATCCGGGGAAACCGTTTCAGACATCTTCAACTACCCTAGATTATGGAAATGGATAAACAAAACGCAACTTGCATCGAGGATGCCGTGGCGGTCACCGCCGACCAGTTCGTTGAGAACCCAGAACTAGAGAAGAGGTTGGTTCGGCGATGCACGGCCTAGTATCAACGTCATCGACCAGACTCTAATGCGCTTCTAGACTGCTTCGCAAGATTGACATGCGACTTCTTCCACCCCTGTTCGTCATGGTATGTGCTCCTCAACACACACAAGCGACGACCACTACTAACAGTTGGCAGTATATCCTGAACTGTACGGCCACGTCTCCTTTATTGTTATTAAATATGCAATTAAATACTAACCGTCTGTTTTTCATCAAAGATTTGGATCGAAACAAGTCAGTAGTATACGCTACCTTAACTCCTACATGCGATGCGACAGACTCGACTAACCCACCCCAGCATCGGCAATGCCAGAGAGGCTGGCATGGCAAAGGACCTCAACCTTACCTCCTCCAACTACTCCCTTGCAGTTTCCATCTTCTTCATCGGCTATCTCCTGCTGGAGGTGCCCAGCAATATGATCCTCAGTCGAACAAGGCCGAGTCTCTTCCTGCCCGGTCTCATGGTGAGCATTCCCGGCTGCCCCCTCATTGTCCAGCAGCTAATCAACTACAGATTGTCTGGGGCGGCATGGTGTAAGTTTTTTTTTCTTGCAAGAAGAAAATCCTCCTTTGATGCTAATTATATCAAGTATTGCCTATGTCGGCGTTGATACCAAGGATCATCTCATCGCCCTCCGATTTTGTCTCGGGCTCGTCGAGGCTGGCTTCTTTGTGAGAGGACTTCCCGACCTATCTTGTTTCTGCTACTGACTCTTTTTAAGCCCGGTGTACTTCTACTTCTGAGCAGCTGGTACAAGAAGAGCGAACTCGCGCGTCGATTCTCTATTTTCTACTGCTCGTCTCTCCTGTCTGGTGCAGTCGGCGGACTCATCGGTACGAGCAACCCCAATCGCAACATCTCCAGCCTCACACAACTAACTTGAGAGTAGCCGGCCAAATCACTCAGCGTATGAAACATCACGGCGCCTTGCCTGCGTGGAAATGGCTATTTTTAAGTACTGCACCTCGTCCTCTCATGGCATCGCCCCCGCTAACCCTACTCAGTTGAGGGCTGCATGACGATCGGATTCGCCGTCATTGCAATGTGAGTTTGCATGCTGCTTCTGACCAAGATTATTGATGCTTATAATTATTTAGCTTTATCCTGCCCGACTTTCCTGCCACGACAAGGTGGCTCACACCTGAGGAGAGGGAGTACGCCATCAGACGTCTTGCGAAGGATAACAACTACACTCTACTAGAGGCACCCGGGCATTGGCAGAGCTTCATGCAAGCCGTCAAGGACTGGAGGTAATGTTTTTTACTTGAAAAACTTGGAATAATCATCCACTTCGTTACTGACGCCTGATAGAACTTGGGTCTTTGTGCTGGCTCAGAGCCTGTGTACTTGTGCAGGCACTATCACCTACTTCATTCCAACCCTCATGGTCGCGCTGGGCTATGAAGGTCAACAAACCCAATATGTGAGTCTCTCGTCTATTCTTGTTCCATTTTGCCCTGCTAACCAGGTTTAGATGACGATTCCTATTTGTGAGTGAACTAACAGCCTCGTCCACAGCTTCTATCGCTAACAAAGTACAGACATGACCGCCCTCGTCATCGTTCTCATCAGCTGCTTCTCATCCGATCTCCAAAACGAGCGCCCAAAGCACATCATGGCAATGGCCGCCCTCGCCACCTTGTCCTTGATCATTGTTGCCGCGGTCGAGAACTCTCGGGTTCGATACGCGTTTCTCTGCTTTGGTATGTCAAGGCCACCCACTTCCATTTCGGCTCTGATACTAATGCGACGCACTCAGGCGGTGCCGGCATCTGGGCATGTAGTCCCTTGACCTTGAGCTACCTCTCAAACACCATCAGTCAACCAGCCGAGAAACGCGCAGTTGCCATTGGAATCGTCAAGTACGTATACTTTTGTCACATTCTCATGCCGGCTTCTACTAACCGCGCTACGCATCTTGATAGTGCACTCGCCAACCTGTCCTCGGTGTAGTAAGTTTGCGCAATCCTCGTCGTCTGATCGCTGGCTGACTCTTTCCAGCGGCTCATATATCTGGCCGTCGAATTCGGCTCCCAAGTATATCGCCGGCTTCTCCGTCAGCATCTGCCTAATGTTCGGAGCAATTGTGACGGCGTTCCTGCTCAAGGTTTTGCTCAACAAGTTTCCCTACCCATATGAATCAGAGCGCCCAGCTGAAACCGATCACAAGCTTCAAGCTTGAAATATGTAACAAGAAATATTAGGTCTATTTAGTAGTTTTAGTGAGCTCTGGTTGAATGCATGTCTCCACTTCTTATTCGAGCTTGTTTTACCACATTTTTTACATCGCGATAAGACGCGTTGCTCGTCTCCTGCCGTAGAGAGGCTCCAACCTAAATAGGCAGCGACAAGGGGAAGACAATTTTGTCGTTGCTCATCTCGTCGTTGGTTTATTTTATTTTACTGTTTTGTTTCCTGTCGATTTGAGAATATATATGCCTTTTAGCATCTGAGATCCGGGGCTGCACAATGCGACAGGAGTCCCGAGACCGGAGCTGGCTGCCCTCCACTTCGTCTCCGGTCGGCTGTCCACATGAGTCCGAGGGACGAGTTCCGTTACTTTACATAAAGAGAAGTGAGACAGACTACCAGCACTGCATTGAAACATGTTCTAATTGAATTGAGATATATAAGCAAGCAACTACAGGCCCAACTACTTCCATCATCCGTCCACGACCTGCTGCACGATTCCCATCAACCCAGTGAAAATGGCGACACCGACGCACTTGAAGCTCAACACTGGAGACTCGATTCCAGCAGTCGGCCTAGGTACGCACACTCTCGCTCCGTATCATAAATTATGAAAAGCCCTCTGACATGATTTAGGAACCTGGCAAGCTGCAGAGGGCGAGGTCGCGCGTGCGGTCCAGCACGCTCTGCAGAATGGCTACACACACTTGGACTGCGCACTGATTTACCAAAATGGTTCGTGGCAACGACTCCTAGGCCACAACGCTGAGTTGTGCTAACTTCCCTTTAGAAAAGGAGATCGGCGAGGCTATCAAGGCGTCTGGTGTCCCCCGCAAGGATATTTTCATCACGAGCAAGGTGTAAGCGCTTGTCTTGCCAACCTACAGGGTACCACAATCACTAACACGGTAGCTCAGCTGGAACACCTACCATTCCAACGTCGCCGAGAGCTTGGAGCAGAGTCTGCGAGATCTCCAGACGGATTACTTGGATCTTTACCTGATCCATTGGCCAGTGTCAGTATACCACCCATTGATGCCGCTGCCTAGGCTGCTAACCCACGACCCAGCCGTCTTGTCCCGTCTGCTGCTGAGCCGCTGTTCCCCAAAAACCCCGACGGATCCCGCGCGGTAGACCGCTCCTGGGACCAGAAGGAGACCTGGAAGCAGATGGAGGCCCTCTATCGCTCCGGCAAGGTCAAAGCCATTGGCGTCTCCAACTTTAGCATTCCCTATCTGGAGGATCTCGCCACCATCTGGACCGTCGTCCCAGCAGTCAACCAGGTAAAATTCTTTCGGGCAAGATTATTTAAGAGGCCGCGCGCTTACATGTTGTCTTAGGTCGAGTTGCACCCTTATAACCCGCAGCACAAGTTGAAGGAATGGTGCAACAGCCGTGGTATCCTTCTCGAGGCCTACTGCCCTCTCGGCTCTACCGGTGCGAAACCATACTGAACATCCTCAAATCCTGCGTCAACTAACGACCGTCTTAGGCGCGCCCCTGCTCTCAGACGAGACGGTGACGGAACTGGCCGCAAAGCACGGCGTCTCGCCCGCCACCATCCTGATATCCTACCACGTCAACAAGGGATCCGTCGTCCTGCCCAAGTCCGTCACGCCCAGCCGCATCACCGACAACTTGAAGGCCATTTCCCTCTCAAAGGAGGACGTCGCCGCGTTGGATGCGCTGGCCGCGAATGGAAAGCAGAAGCGAATCAACACTCCCCTCTGGGGGCATGACCTTGTAAGACCGAATCCCCGTACACTTTCTAAGGAGTTGATGCTGACTATATACTAGGGATTTGAGGACTGGTACGGACCTAATAAATAGAAGAAACAATGCCTAAAATAGAATTGTTTTCCTCTCTCTAGAATACTGTGAACCGCTGCGCAAGGTTAAAACAAAAAAACACCGAAAGTCCACGTGTAAACTCTGCAAGTGTAACCCTTGCAAACTAACGGTCTAGACTCGGCTCTAATAATAAATAAAAATAAAAATTCGACCAACGCGTTCAATCTTGACGGCATCAAAAATGAATATAAAAAATTCTGCCTCTGCCGTACAATCACAGGAAGCGATGGGCGGGACCCTAAGCGTGCCAGTATATGGGGTATCAAAATTCCTCAGCTATCTTCAAGTATCAGCAAGTAGCCCCCCCTTCTACTTTTCTTTTGTCAAATAAACCCAGCTGTCTTTTGTAGCCGTGGCCGGTTCAATGCGGCCGGCTCCGGTTACCGCCGTACTGTGGAATCACTGGCCGAGACTCCTCCTCCTCCGTCACCTTGTACTTTGGCTGCACGTCAGTCGCGCAGGGCTTCTCTTCTTCGACCTCTCGAGAGTCTTCCTCTTCCGCCTTTGATGCCTTCTCCTTCGGCTTGGGGCCGGCCCCCATGTGCTCCTTGATCCAAGGGATGTACCGCCCGATGCGGGTGAACACCGCCGGCGCCTCGTCGCAGATGTAGAGGTCCTCATCCATTACGTTGAAGGACGTGATGCCAATCACCTGGCCAGTCTCCTGGTCAATGAGGGGGCCTCCGTCGTCGTGCTCGCAGGCGCCCTTGGAGTGGGTGCCGGCGCACACGATCGTGTCTCTCAGTTGCACGCGATCAACCAGGCCGCGCACCTTTCCCTTTCTGCATTCCGCGCGCTCGAGGATGGGAATGGTGACCTTGGTGAGGTTCCCGAGCACCTCGAAATGGGGACGTTTCTCGCGTTCATCCCTGCCCCTGTTGTTCATTCTCTGTCAGCTTCACTGCAACGGCAAAGCTGGAAAAGCCTTTTTTCGCGTAAAGTGGTGGCAGGGCACTTACCAGCCTGCGACGATAGCCATGGAACCGGGCACGGGATCCGAGTCTTCCTCGGCCAGCGTGGCGTAGCCTATATTCTTCTCCTCGCTCGCCTCGATCGGAGTCGCTAGTTTGATGATGCCAATATCATTGTTCATATAGGGTTTGATCGTGAATCTTGGGTTCATTCTGTATCCGGGATGGTACTTCTTAGACGCGAACTTGGACACAACACCGCCCTTTTTACGATGCTAAATAGATGTTGAGTCAGCTTTCCTGCTATCTTGATGGAAGGAGAGGGGGTAGATGCATACCAGTGAGCCCGCCCTCACAGTAAGGACTGCAGGAAGGCAGTGAGCAGCAGTGAGCACTGTAGTGCTATCGAGCAAAATGCCTCCGCAATGACCGCTGTTGAGGATGCTAACAACGAAGGTGAACTCGCCCTCATGGACAGGATCTCCGCCAACGATTCTCTTATCGAGAGTCGTTGCTGAAACAGCCAAAAGCGCGACGATCAGTGTAATGGCGGCCTGGTGTAGCATTTTGGCGTTTGATTTCAGATATCGTTTTTGATGAACTTTTAGGAGAATAAGAAAGCAGTTGTTGGTGTAGGCCGTGAACGACATGAGTTGACGAGCAGCTTCTACATATAGTTTCGCGCGCCTCTGTGACTAAAACTGACCACGGCAGATGAATGAAAAAAAAAAAAATGCAGCCAAGTTTTTATGGCTTGAGAGACGTACAATCTAATCCCAAGGTTAATAGACTAGACTCGACTCAATGAGTCTGACTTGTTCACTGGTCTATAAAACTTTGAATGGCCGAGAACACTCTATAATAAAGACTGCTTCCTGCTGGAGTCTTGACTAGGAGTTTACAGTTGGGTTGTTACTGCACCGGCGCCATGTTAGCTTGTGGCGCAATATCATAGTGCTCCGCGGCCGTGCTATAGTTACTAACAGCTTAATACTCTCTACCAGGCAGCATCAGTCTGTGCCCTCTGTCTCGAGCAGAGAGACTCCTTTGTAAGAGTGGGCTGGCATTCGTCCTCACCCCTCGCCACTGATGGTTGCTTGCGCTGACGTAGTCACAGCGAATAAGCTTCTCAACTTGACACTCTGATTGATACTCTTTTTTACTGCAGTAAATTGAATAGAACTAAATAGAGAGTTAAATTCGAGTCTCTTCGAGTCATCTTTCTTCTTGGCCAATGTTCTCAGCAGCGTTGAAGCTCAAGCTGCTCTACGAGAATGTTGTATTGACTGGTCTACATGGCCCATGTACCAACCAAGTCCTGCCATTTATGGAAGGAAGCGAGCGAAGATAATCTATATCATTAAAGAAATTTCAAGCAAATTAAAAAAAGAAAAGACGGGGAAATCCTACTGCTGCATAATTCCTTAATCGACTCCGCACGCTCCAAAAGAGGCCTACGTGGCGGCCAGCGGACAACGGACTCCGCCAGCCCTCATCCGGTCCGGTGAAAATTAGGCTTCGGCGATAATGGTGATAGTAGCCTTGTAGATCCGTCGCCCCTAAACACCCGGCACTACCAGAAACCCTACTATAATTTATTTTATCCTCTCCTTTCCTCCAATCCATTGAGAGTCTTAGCATCCTCTGATCAAGTCATCCGTACATACATACACACAAATACACCCACGCCTGCCTCGAAAATGCATCTCATCCTCACCGGCGCCACCGGCCTCGTCGGCTCCGCCGTTCTTGAGGCCATGATCAAGGCCGCCGACGTCACCCAAATCACCGTCCTCAGCCGGCGCCCCGTGCCCCTCGCCGACGCCGCCCGCAGCCCCAAGGTGCGCGTCCTCCTACACCGCGACTTCGCCGCCTACGACGACCCGGACCTGCTCGCCCGGCTGCGCGGCGCCTCCGGCTGCGTCTGGGCCCTCGGCGTCAGCCAGACCAAGGTCGCCCGCGACGAGTACGTCAAGATCACCAAGGACTACGCCCTCGCTGCTGCTACTGCTTTCTCCGGCCTTGGCGGCGGCGACCCGCCTTTTCGCTTCGTCTACGTCTCCGGCGAGGGCGCCACGCAGACGCCGGGCCGCTTCTCGGCCGTGTTCGCGAGGGTCAAGGGCGAGACGGAGAGCGCGCTGGCGGACCTGGCGGCGGGTTCGGGGGGCGCGCTGCGGGCGGACTCGGTACGGCCGGCGTTCGTGGACGCGGCGGGGCACGAGGCGATCAGGCCGTACATACCGGACCCGGGACTGCTGTACCGTGCGACGGCAGCCGTCTTGAGCCCCGTGGTCCGGGCGGGCATGCAGGGCAGCCACTCGCCGACGCCGATGCTGGGCAGCTTCCTGACGCAGATGGCCACGGGGAGGAAGGACGGCGGCTTAGAGGCGACCGGCGCATTTCGCCTGGGGTCGTCGTGGATAGTGCCCAACGTGGCAATTCGCAAGTCCATGGGCTTGTGAGAGAGAGCCGATGTTGGATAAACGGAATAAATCTGGTATTCCGGATGCTATCGAACAGGGCGCTGCTCGAAATTATTGCGGTGCAAGCCGAAAAATGATTGATGGTGAATCCAAATCAACATTATATTTTACATAATAATTATAATAATAATGATCATAATACCAAGACCCGTATCCCCGGTGGCCCAGTCTAGTATGTGACACGAATCTTCTGTGGTATCTTCGGGGTGATATAGGATGCTGTGCATCGCACCCTCACGGCCCAAACGCCTCACTCACAACCTCGCCTTCGTCCGGCGACACGGCGAGCTCCAGCAGTTCATGTGCCGCCTCCACAATCTCGCTGTCGATGCCGGCCTCCATCACCAGGTCCTCCTCCGCAAACGTTAGCCGTCCGAGCGCCAGCAGCTGCCGCTGGCTGCCGCCGTGAAAGACGGACAGCTTGCGGCTCACATCAGCTGCGTCGGCGGTGTGCGGGTCCGTGACGAGCGCATGCAGGAGGAGCACGCACTGCGAGATGTTGCGGCTTAGCTCAGGCGTGGCGCTGGCATCGTCGTCGCCCACGCCGGTGCCACCACCTCGGGCGGCGTTGACGTCGTCGTCGTCGTCAGCCGTTGGGGCCGGCGGTTCGGGCAGCAGCGCGGACGAGACGGGCTGGTCGTAGAGCTCGTCGATGGACGTGCTCAGGCAAGTCATGAGTCTCGGGATGGCATTATCGTGGACGGCAAGCTGCATGGCGCCGAACGGGTATCGAGCAAAGGCGATGAGGGTGCGGAGGGCGGTCGTCCGTATCGTCTTTTTCTGGGTCTGCGTATGAGGTGATCGCGGGCCCTCGATGAGCCTAGCAGAGACGCGCTCGATGATTATGCGAGCGACAAGCTGCGCGTCCTTTTCCTCCGTTATAGGGCCGATTGAATCCGGCAACGATGACGTAGATAGCAGGTCTAGCATGTTGACAATGTCGTGAAACCGCTGCTTCGGTGACAGCAGTATGACCACCATGTCCAGAGACATGAGCTTCCAGTAAGACGAAAGGCCATGCTCCATGCCGTTCTGCCCATCGTCGTGCGACGTCGCGCAGGCAAGCGCGCACATGTGCAGCAGAGCCATGGCCTCGGCCGTATCAATGTGCTCCTCGTAGTACTTGTACTCCTGCTGGTTGGGGAAGCTCCCGTCCGGCTGACGCGACTGCAGGGCGTCGGCCACGAGGCAGATGGTCGACTGCGCGACGGGCACGAGGTCGCGCGCCACGAGCGGCGCCACTGACGTGACGTGGAGCTGAAAGGTGAAGGACAGCAGCGGCATCAGGTACTTGACCGGCGCCCAGTACTGCTCCTCGAAGCAACGACTCCACAGCCGGATGACGGTCTCGGCAAAGTCGACCTGCAGCTGCATGGACTGGTGCGGGTTGCCCATGAGCGGCAGCCGCTCGAAGATCTTGGAGGCGAGGGACGCGGACGTGGTGTCGGAGGGGAAGGAGAAGCGAGACAGGATGTCAAACGTGGGTGGTTGCTGGGGAAAGCAGCCGTGGTCAAGGATGAGTTGCAAAAACTGGAAACCATGATTAGAAGCCATTCGATAAAACAGTCTGGCACAGGAGAAACAAACCTCGTACGGCGCGGCCGGAGGAGCAGCTGCGACATGGTGCTGCGATGACTTCGAGAGGTCCAACTTGTCGTCAGCCATAAAAATATCCGCGGTATCAACCTCCAGCGCCGCCACCGGACTATCCATCACCGGCCGCTTCCTCTTCCCCTTCGTCGGCGTGCGCTCTCCCACATTCGCCGCCACGGACCCCGCCCCGCGGCCGCCCCTCCCCCGCCCCTTGCTCGGGCTACTCATCGCCACGTCCATCTCGTCGAACCCGTCCGCGATGCCCCAGCTCCTACCGCCCGCCTTCTTCGGCGTCGTCGCAATGTTCCCCGCCGCCGGCCCGCCGCCGGCGCCGTCCTTGCGCCGGGCCCTGCTGTCGCTAATGACCTCCTTCATGTCCTGCTGGAGGAACTGCAGCTCCGTGTGGGCGGACCGCTCCGCCGCGACGGCCGCGTCCACGGCGCGCCCGTGCGCCTCGAGCTGCTCCGCGTTGGCGCGCTTGAGCCGCGCGACCTGCGCGTCGAACTCGCGCTGCGCCTTGACCGAGTTGGCGCGGATGATGGACGCCTCGCCCCGCGCCGCGTTGAGGTCGTACTCGAGCGCCCGGATCCGGATCTGCAGCGCCGTGAGCACGTCGCCTGGCTGCGTCTGCGTCAGCAGCGGCGCCTGGCCGCCGCCGCCGCCAGACGCAGCCTGCGAGGGGTTGAATCGCTGGGAGGCGGCGGCAGCCGCCGCGGGGAGAATGCCGGCGCGAGGGGGGTGCAGCTGCTGCGTCGCGTTCGGTCGAGAGGCGTTTTGCGCTACCGTCGGGTTCCATTGCGGGTTCGGCACGGGTGGGATCGGTCGCCGTGGCGGGTTGGGCGGCGGGATCGGTACGGTCACGGACGAGGTCTGGGGGAAGCCGCCGGGCCGCCGCCCACCGCCGACCGGCACGCCCGCGTCGTTGACGACCTGCGCCGTGTCCAGATCATCGTCCTCTTCCCAGCCGTAGTCGGACTGCTGCGCACGGGCGTCGACGGAGGACCGCGGGTGGTTGTTCTGAGTCAGCTGGGCGTGCTGCTGCGCCTGCGTGAACTGGGTCGCCTGGTTCTCGATCTCGCGGAGGGCGTTCTCGGGGAGGTCGTCGAGACCGTCGTCGGAAAATTCATCCAAGTCCATGCTGGAGAGGGTGATTGCCAGCAAGATATTCGGCCATCTAGGCCGCCGCCAGTTGGTGAGGATATCAAGAGGTGATAGAAAAACTCGTCTTCTGGACGAGCGTTACCGCGTTCAGCGCGTTTGAGCAAGGATTGAGCGGCCAAGCTGAGCTTTTGACGCGTCGCGGTGTCACGTGTAGCATTTTCCGCCGGAATCGGAGGCGATACTTTCATCAGAAGATGATGCCAGCAAGTGATGAGGTCAGAAAAAGAAGTGATACCGTAAGCCTGTTTATTTTTGGCTACAATGCATGCATGTTTAGAGTTGCATGACGTTTTATCCCGTGAAACAGTGATCGTCCGATGTTTGAGCCCATCCGGGGCTTTTGAAGTCGTCATGACTAGCCTGGGTATGCGAGGCTAGCTTCGGAAGTCAGCCATCGATAGTGCCGCAGTCATAGTTTTCACAGCTCGGCAGACGTAGAGTTGGTAAGAATTTAGGTTCATTGGTAGATATTCAAATGCCGCACTCCAACTTCTGTACGCACCACACTAGCTCTCCCTCTAGTCATCGTCTCCCGCTACATGCTTCCAACGCCTTCAACAACGGCAGGTCTAGCCCGTCCGACTTCGCTCCAAAATTTCCTTGCACTTTCCAAAACACTTAGTTTCCAAAACACTTTTCTTGCAATACGCAGACAACGCAGGGCGTAGTTTTGTTTTTCGTTCTTCTATCCATCCATTCGATCTGACGGGGAATCTACTCGTCGGCGAGGTTGTAGATCTTCTGGACCTTAGCAAGCATCTCCTTGAAGTTAATGTCGAGATCCTTGAGGAGGCCGTCTTTGAAACCAAATACCCAGCCGTGGACGATAGGGTACTGGTTCTTCTTGTAGGACTGCTGAACGGCGGCCGTCTTGATGACGTTGCGGCACTGCTCGACAACGTTGAGCTCGACGAGGCGGTCGTAGCGCTTCTCCTCGTCGGCAATGGCGTCAAGCTCCTCCTCGTGCAGACGATAGACGTCCCGGATGTTTCGCAGCCAGGGGTTGAGGATGCCGAGATCCTTGGGAGTCATGGCGGCCTTGACACCGCCGCAGCCGTAGTGTCCGCAGACGACAATGTGCTTGACGCCGAGGTGGCGGACGGCATAGTTAATGACGCTCATGGCATTGAGGTCCGTGTTGACAACCAGGTTGGCAATGTTGCGGTGGACAAACGTCTCGCCGGGCTCAAGACCAGTAATCTGCTCGGCTGGGATACGCGAGTCACTGCATCCAATCCAAAGGTAGTTGGGGGACTGGCCGGCGCTGAGGCTGACAAAGTAGCCCGGGTCCTGCTCCTTCTTCTTCGCAGCCCACTGGCGGTTGTTCTCGAAGATGCGGTCGTGGGACTGCTGGAGGTACTCCTCGACGTCCTTGGGGGTCGCGCCGGCCATGATCTTGGGTTTGGAGGTTACGGGTGGGTGAGGGTGGTCGGAGCCGTTGCAGCAGGAGCTGGCGAGGCGTGAGGCGGCAGCTAATCGGTTGGGGAGGGCAACGGTCTCGCGAGGTGCAAAGAAGGTTTGCCTTTTCAGTGTCGAGCGCAGAGGTCGAGCAAAAGTGCGAATGGGCAGCATCAAGTGAGAGAGGGGAGAGGGAAGGGGGTAGGTGAGGGATGGTGGTGGGTGAGCGGGATATATATGCAAAGCTGTTTGTCAGAGGTCGGGCGTAATCGCGAATTTTGTAAGAGCAAGTCGAGATAGGTGCTACTCGGGGTCGATCTGCGAATGACGTTGGCGGGAGTAAGTTGAGGGGTGGATGCGAGTGGGTTTAGGAGCTTGGCTGGTGCAGTAGCGGCAATGCGTGTGTTTGTGACTGGTTGAATTGTTGGGTGGATGGTTATGCGGCTGTAGGAGGGATTGCCGTATGTAAGAGGTGAGAAACGAGAAAGGGTCGGACGGGGGCAGGGTCTGGGGTCTTTTTGATGCTGATGATTGGGTGTGTCGAGGGGTGGAGGGGGTTGATGGCACAAGATTGATCGAGATGGAGGTGTTTGCTGGTGTTTGCTGGTGTTTGCTGGTGGTGTTCGTTGGTGTTTGTTTGGGGGATGGGGGGAATGGGGAACGCAGCCTCTCACCAGCCTTATTGGGGATCGCAATTCAAGCAACAGGGAGGGGATTACAGCGCATTTGGCCCAGCACAAAAATTGACCACTGCACTGAACCAGTACGCCTTCGTCCTTTTAGCAACAGTGAAGGCACTGATTCAGCAGTTTTTACAGGAGGAAGTGCAAGTAATGCACCCTGTGACGGCTGTAACCAAATCATCTTGGCGCAACGCGTACGGAGATGTATTGCAGCATGTATTGCATGCAACCCATAGTAACGCATGCAGCAGCTGACAGCATCATGTATGCCACGTCCTCCTCTTACACTAGAAAATAAGGATATATTACTCTGTACAAAAGAGGGGCATCCATCCATGTAGTGGCCGTAGTCGAGATGTGATGGATTTGCTTGTTACCCGCCAAATCTTGTTGAGCAGATGCACACATGCGGCTTTCCCAGAAGTACACAAGCCTCTCCACAACTCCGCAGTGCACGAAACTTTGCCTAGGATGGCTGAGAGCGGCACGAGACAGCGTGTGCGCAGATGGAGATGGGGTTGTACGAAAAATTTCGTGGCTTATATCAACATTGATGACGAAGAGCATTTCCCTTGTTTGTTTTCCTTTGCAAGTCTTATTATCATTCTTCATCCCCTCTCTTCCTCAACGTCATGCAGCTCCCCCGTCTTCACAGGCCGAGAGCTCCTGCACCAGCCACCTCCAGCCCCAACCGCGCCCCACATCGAGAATGTTCCCTCGGCACGGCACAACACAGCGAGCCGTTGACAGAGTTCCAGCGCATCTCCAGCACATAGCTCCCCTGAAGGCTTGTTGAACGCCCCACCCGCACAAGCCACAATGCGCTGCTACCTCGACCCAATCGGCAGTAAATCAGAGACCTCAAAATCTTGCACGGTGCTTCCTACTGCAAAAAGTCAAGCCGGTTGCTCCGCCGCATATGCCCCGTCCGCCCCAACCTTACCTTGGCTTGAGCTATTCGGGAAATAAACTCCCCCAAGACAAAAACTGGAACGGGGTTAACTAGCCAGCGCCGCTGGAAAGCCACGAAGAAAATCCTTGGTCAGCGCTCCAGCATCTATTTCTCGACGTCACAGAACCTTCTCCTTCTCTCCTTGTCCGCCATCCCTACGTCGACTTTCTCTCCGCCCGGGACGACCTACCTCCTCGATCCTACAGCAGCCGCCGCCAAGGGCCCTGCGTTGCCACTTTGCTGCCACCGCCGCTGCCGAGCTCCGCTTGCTTGCTCTTTTTCTGAGCTTCGGGCTGAAATCGTCATCATTCGCTGTCGCCTTGCTTTGTCGACGCCAACCCCCCTCTCGTCGTACAAACGAAACCAGCAGCCATCCCCGATCGCGAACGGTTTCTTGTCATTCATCATCCAAGAATAGCATAAACACGCAGATTCTACAGCCATGACCAGACCAAAGCGCGGCGTTCGCTTCTCCCACAAGTCCAGCAACGGCAGCGGCTCTGAGGGCCGTCGGTCGAGCTTCAGCGACCTCAGCGAGGATGGCTCACCTTCGCGCAGCAAGGCGCATCTGACGCTCGAGACGGTCGAAGAGGTATGATGTTTTGCGTCCATCGTCACAGATGCGCTAACCCTTTCGTCCTCGATAGAAGCCGCCCACCCCCGAGGAGCAAAGGGCCGAGTACGAGAAGAAAAAGGCCAACTTTTGGACGCGGACGTTATGGACCTTTGTCATGATTGGCGTCTTCTTCGGCGCCCTCTTCATGGGCCACATATACATGATCGCCATCGTCACCGCCGTCCAGATCATCTCCTTCAAGGAGGTCATCGCCATCGCCAACGTCCCCAGCCGCGCCCGCTCCCTGCGATCGACCAAGAGCCTCAACTGGTACTGGCTCGCTACCACCATGTACTTTTTGTACGGCGAAAGCGTCATCTACTACTTCAAGCACATTGTCCTGGTTGACAAGGTGCTGCTTCCGCTCGCTACCCACCACCGCTTCATCAGCTTCATTCTCTACGTTTTTGGTGAGCCCATACAGACCCTTCGACTCTAAACAAAAGTCGTCCGCTTGCTTGCGCTCTCGCCATGCTAACCAAATCTTACCCAGGATTCGTCTTCTTTGTCGCCTCCCTCAAGGCTGGCCACTACAAGTTTCAGTTCACCAACTTTGCCTGGACACACATGGCCCTCTACCTCATCGTCGTCCAGGCGCACTTTGTCATGAACAACATTTTCGAGGGCATGATCTGGTTCTTCCTCCCCGCCTCCCTCGTCATCACCAACGACATCTTCGCCTACATCTGCGGCATCGCCTTTGGCCGCACCCAGCTCATCAAGCTGTCCCCCAAGAAGACGGTCGAGGGCTTCGTCGGCGCCTGGATCATGACCGTCATCTTCGGCATCTTCCTCTCCAACCTCATGATGCAGTCCAAGTTCTTCATCTGCCCCGTCAACGACCTCGGCGCCAACATCTTCACCGGCCTGCAGTGCAACCCCAACCTCGTCTTCCTCCCTGCCACCTACGAGATCCCGCAGTTCTTCTTCCTGCCGCAGCACCGCACCATCACCCTCACCTTTGCGCCGATTCAGCTCCACACCTTCATCCTTGCCTCGTTCGCCTCCCTCATCGCGCCGTTTGGTGGCTTCTTCGCGTCGGGCCTGAAGCGCAGCTTCAAGATCAAGGACTTTGGCGACTCCATCCCCGGGCACGGCGGCATGACGGACCGCATGGACTGTCAGTTCATCATGGGCTTCTTTGCCTACATGTACTTTCACACCTTCATCGCCGTCTACAAGGTCGACCTCGGCACGGTGCTGGAAACCGCCATCACCAGGCTTGGCCCTGACGACCAAGTCGAGCTCGTCAAGAGCATGTGCCGGTATCTTGGCAACCAGGGTATCGTCCCTGAAGCCGTATGTGACACCCCACCCCATCTCCAGATCTCTCCTCTCGATTTGTTTACTAACTACGTCTATGCTATAGCTTACCGCGTGTATTGACCACGCCATGGCCGCCAGCCAATGAGCAGATGCGATGAAATGACCAAATTGTTTTAGTTGCTTCTATTTTTCTCCTCCCCGCCCTGAACAAAAAGGCCTTGGTGGTGACCACTTCATGAATATGCCCTCCACTATGTATTCTCCCTCCATATATGCACAAGCATATATATATGCATCGTTTTTTACACACAAACCGGCGGATAAAGCATCAAATTAGCCAATCTAGTACGAGCTCAACACTCGATACCAACATTGGGGAGTTGTCGATATATAAAAGAGTTCTTTTTTCTTTCTTCTTCCACATTTCCTCTTCGTCATCTCACAACAAGAAAATCCATTACACGTGCGATATGAAAGAGAAAAACCTGAAAATAATGCCCAGAAAGAAATAAGAAAAGAGGCTCCCAATATATGTTCCTCCACACGCAAGTCCTGTATCTCCGGGTGCGTGGGTATTTCTTTTGTACTTATAAGCGAGGCTTGAACCCGCCAACTGCTGGCCACGTTTTTGCATCAGTTACCTTGTCTTGAAGCTATTAAATGCGATCGTTTTCTACGCGTGATTCGTACCGTTATGGCCGCTGGTGCCGTTTAACCGCATCTTGCTCGCTGATTCTTCGTAATGTTCATTCGTCGTCATTACCTTGCTGTGATGAACGCGGCGCGTCCAGCCGCCCTCTGCCTCGAGGAGCGCTCCCACCGGCGCCGCGACGGCGAGCAGCTGCGCGTCCCTGAAGCGCGGCGCCAGCAGCGACAGACCGATGGGCATGCCGTGTGCGCCCTGAAAGCCGGGAGTGTTGAGCACGGGGACGTGCAGGGCGGACCACATCTTGCAGAAGAGGTAGCTGCCGGTGGTGGCGCCCTCGGGGGCCTCGTCCGGGGCGCTCGGGGTGAGCGCGGCGTCGTAGCCCTCAAGCAGCGCGTCGAGGCGCGGCCGCAGCGTGGCGATGCCGTCGAGCGCCTCGAGGTAGGCGCGGTGCGAGTAGCCGCCTCCGGTCTCAGCGTAGCCGACCAGCAGCGCGCCGAGGTGCGCCCGGTGCGCCCGGTACTCGGGCAGGAACGCGGTGCCGCCCTCGCGCGCCAGCACCACGTCGTACCACGCCGGCAGCCGGTCGAACGCGGCCGGCAGCTCCACGTCCTCGACGACGGCGCCGCGCGCGCGTAGCAGCGCCACCGCGCGGTCCATCGCGGCGCGCGTACCGGGCCCGGCGTGCGGCCACATCATGGTCCGGAGCACGGCAAGCCTCAGCCCGCGCACCGAGTCTAGCGACGGGGATAAGGACGGCGAGGGCGAGGGCAGCGAGGAGTCGTCGTGCAGGCCAAAGGCGTCGGCTAGCAGCACCAGGTCGTCGACGCCGCGCGCGAAGAAGCCGAGCGTATCGTAGGTGACGGAGAAGAACTTGAGGCCCTCGCGGGAGATACGGCCCCAGGTGGGCTTGAAGCCGTACGTGCCGTTGAAGCACGCCGGTCGGATGACGGAGCCGCCGGTCTGCGTGCCGAGCGCGACGGGCACCTGGAAGTCGCCGACCGAAGCGCCGGAGCCGGAGGACGAGCCACCGGGCGTCCGCGACGGGTCGTGCGGGTTGCGCGTGGACGGGCCTTCGCCGGTCGCGGCGAACTCGGTCGTCGTCGTCTTTCCGATGAGCAGCGCGCCGGCGGCCCGGAGGAGCTGGACGGGCGCGGCGTCAACTTTTGGGAAGTCGCCCTGGTAGGCGCTCGAGTTGAACTGCGTCGGCATGTCTAAGAGGGAGGGGGGTGGCTGGTTAGCGAGAGCCGAGGGGGCCGGGGTCCGAGATCCTACGCGGGTTCTCGGGAATAACAAAAAAATCGGGACCTCACCTTTGGTGTAGATGACATCTTTGACGCCAATAGGCATGCCATGGAGCGGACCGCGCTGCTCAAAGGGCACGGCGTCGAGGGCGCGCGCCTGCTCGAGGACGAGGTCCCGGTCCAGGTAGGCCCAGGCCCGGACCTGGGAGTCGCGCTCGGCGATGCGATCCAGCAGCGCCTGCGCGTACTGCTCGACCGTCAGCTCGCCGGCGCGGATGTAGCCGAGGACTTCGGCGGCCGTGAGGAGGTGAGCATCGTCGGCGATGGAAGGTGCCTGCGCCGCGCCCATGATTGCAGTAGACCAGCTAATTCAGGGCCCTGGGAGGGAGAAGGGCTTTTTCTCTTGGCTGCCAATGGCGAAAGAATATTGACAACCGGCGTGATGTGAGTGGGGGGGTATATCCGAAGCACTTGGCGAATCCCCTTCTAATACGCAAAGTAAATCAGACGACGTCGCGGCGATAACGAAACGAGGGTACTATAGACGGCCCTGCTATGCTATAGCGACGGGCCCCGTAGTCGGAAGCGGCTGGTCTGGAGACGAGGAGACTCGGGGAAAGAGGGGGGGGATAGAGAGAAGGAAGGATTGAACTTCGAAGGAGGCGGAAGCTGAGGACCAAAGCATAAACTAAAAAAAACGGCGGCGGCGGCGCAGAAAACGGACCGTACCTATCGTTAGCTTTTATGTTCCCGAGAGCAACTTCCCCACTGCGCATACGCTAGAGTGACTCGCCCTCGTCTCTTCTCTTGCTGTCTTGTCAGGAGATAAGCGGAATCGGATGGATTCTAGACGACGGATGTTGTTTTGTATGATCCTTGGCGAGTGGCGAAGAAGGAAGCCGAAAGACGGAGGAAAGGGTGTATGTAGGTGGACGGAAGCGAAGCGAGGAAGGTGTCAAGACAGATGAGGAAGGAAGGGGGGGGTGAGGTGGCACGGAAGATTCGTTAGACGACGCCCTTGTGTGAGGTAACTGATGATCTTTGACAGTCCTAATAGACCAAAGATCCCGTCCCCGTCTAACCTTGGGGATGCTAGTGTCGTGTATAGGCCGTCAGTCTGGAACCACCTCCGAGATTGTGTTGGTTGGGTCAAGTGGATGAGTTAGCGGGTACACCTACATACACCACCACAGAGAGAGAGAAGCGGGAGGGAGTGGCCGATTGTTGGTGCGTACTAAGGGTAATAAGGTTTCTCGGCTTCCCAGGCAGAATGACGACGTATTGGGTTGTTGTCCAAATGTCTTGAATGTGTCAGGCAACCGAGGGAGACAACTTCGTCGTCGATAGGTTGTTTGTCTTGGGACCCTTGTTAACTGCTCAGGTGATTCAGACCATTCAGATCTCAGGTTTCGGCCAAGGCTCCTACAATGTCTTCCAAGGCTCGTATATATAGCTAGCGGTATATAGCTAGCGGTTCCCGGGAGCACGGTTTGCGCATTGCATGGGGAGGGGCTTTGTTGTACGCTTGGACCCCGGTAGACGTGGACCGGTAGATCAAGAAAACGGCCTACGTCAGAAACGAATGACTGGGCTGGCGACATGGGATATCGTATGTATGAGGCGCAGCGCCAGAAGTAGAAAGGGGGAAGGCAGAAAAAAATAATTGGGACAAAGTCTGCCCTTTTGGCTGGGGCTACTGCTCTGTGTGTGCATGCAAGGCAGGGCGTGGGTGTATGTATGTAAGTGTGTGTTGTGGTGTATGTATTCGTATGTACATAGGGATACAGGACAGGCTGATAAAGCATAGCCAAATTAGTTAACGACCGACTTGCTATTTCGGCGTTTCTTGGAACAAGTGTCTCAAATTCGGGGCCGGGTATGTCTCTTCTCTTTGCCTAGTTGCCTAGTAAGGTAGTCTTGCGCAAGACAGGGGTGATGTGTGCCATTTCTAGTCTCCTAAAAAAGAAAGAAATCCTCTAAAAATTTTCTCAGTCTCTCCCTTTTTCCTGGCTTTCCGGTATGCAGCTCTGTCCTTATTCGCCTGCACCAACTTTACATCCCAGCACAGGGCCAGGCAGGGGATAAGGCATCGTCCAATCAGGTACCAGTTGGTGAGCTAAAATCGCCAGCTAGCAGGGTTCTTTGGTCCTGGAGCCTGGGCCAGGGGTTAAAAAGGAGGGAAGTCCCCGGTTGGGCACATTGCATATCCGGAGATGGGTATTCTGGAAGCTTTGGGCTGGAACTATGTACAGATGCATGTACTGGTATACAGTGCATGGAATAGGGCGTCATGACATGCCATCCAGCAGGCAGTGATACTCTTTCTCACTCGTTGCCAACCCAACAAGTCAGTTTGGTGGTGAAGGATGCGAGATGCATGGACACGTGTCGTGGCCCTATCTGATGAAGACGACAGCGAGAACCGGGAGGGAAGGAAGAGTGGAAAAGGCAACGCATGAACGAGAAGCCCTCCAGCCGCACCAGAAGAGGGCTCTTCAAGACAATGACTCCCCTATTAGAAAATAGCTCATAAGCTCGTACGAGTGTACGAGTTGTACGGATGAACGGCCAGATCAGCAGAGTTGCTTATGCTACGTACGAGTCAAGCAGATGCCCGCTCGCCACCTTCGCAGACGCACATGAGCTGTGCCAAACGCGAAGCATGCAGACCAGGAAAGCGGCTCCGGCCCAGGAAATCGGAAACAGGGTATAGACCGGTTTCACTGCGGGATGTACAACTCCACTGTTTCGATTTGAGGGACGACTTGTTTACTGACCACTGGGTTGAGAGAGGACAGCGAGAGAGAGAGAGAGAAGGACACACGCGGAGATTCGAGAGAACAGAGGGGACGAACAAAAGTCATGTTTCTGCGTGGCTCGGCATGAGAAAAAGCAAACATGCATGACAAGTGCGCCCAACCAGAGGGCGTCTTGTCAGCCACGACTGGCGGGGAGGGAGGGTCAATCACTGATGAGCCCATCGAAGACCGCCCGCAGGCAGTTCATAGGCCGGGGTAGTCTATTATATGTGCTTTGGATGGTACGGAGCAACTAGTTAGTTAAATAGAAAAGCACGCAAGAGCGGTGTGTGTAAGTGTGTGCGCGAGTGAGTGCGCGAGTGAGTGCATGCCTCAAGCAAAAAGCCTCACGAGGACATGGCTGGACCGCAAGAATGGCCTCTTTTCGGTATGAATTTCTCTCTCTTCGCAGGAAGATAATGACAGCTGCATAATTGGGCCTAAATCGACAACCCTTGCAGCTAGTTGTTTCCTCAAGCAACTTCCCGCCTTGCTCTCAAGAACGGTTGGTCCGAATTACATCGGTGGTGGCAAGAGGTTGATTGCTATTTTCGGGAAACACACGGAAGAAGCAGAACGAAAGAAAAAAAGAGAAAGAAAAAGAACAAGAGGCGGAAGAATCATGTTTGGATGAAATTACCACAAGTTTCCTTCCTCCACCATTCCGACACACACCCTTGTTCATGATCAAAGTGGCGCTGGAACAGTGCATTTCAAGGGACCAGGACACGTAGGAATTACCGGGCATCATTATCGGAATGCAGGCTGCCACGCTGTATATAGTAGTCCGAAAATTTCACTCTGCATTGCCATTTTTACCCTTTCATCGGTGAGAGCCTGTCGGCTCCTTCCCTACCTAATCTCTACGCAGGCATCAATAATGCATGCATCATCATGACCTCTGCCAGCTCCCCTACCTACATTGCATTGCACTGGCACATATAAGATGTGACCCTTGTCCAGTCACTTGGCCGCAGCAACATCCCCCCCTGCTGCCGGGACACTTCCCGACCAAACGGCCTGCCTATCTGCGGCCTATGCGCCATTCTACAGTCGGGCAACAGACTGCATCGGAAGCAGGCAAAGCTGCTTGCCCTGCCTGATACGCACACAGACCGAAGACGCAGACGCGACTCGTGCATCTTACATCTTGCATTACTCTCTTCTCTGAGCTGGCGGCGGTGTGTCACGTCAGTGCAGAAAACGGCCCTGTGCAGACAGCCACGATGATGCATGGGTGGGTGATGATATGACGCTTCGGCAAAGGAAGTTCAGTGCCTCATTCCTACCTTTTCCTTGTTCTAAGAACGTCATGGATAGTCGTTGTCAGGAGTAAGCCAAGTGGGCGCGGACGATCCTCCCCGGATTTGCTGTCCCTCACTTCCCTTCACTTCCCGACGTGCAAGTGATGGACGGCACAGGGACTCATCTCAGTCAGGGTGACTTGGCGTGCCAAAGAGCCAACCCGTCATGGAGATGGAAAAATCTTGGCGGCCCGCCGCCGCTGTCTCATCACTGATGTTCGGCAGCCTTCGTATCCGCCTCATGCCTCATGCCTCATGCCTCCTGCCTCCTGCTGTGCCACCCGACCGACCCAACGACCAGCCAGGCCTGACGGGGAGATTTCTGTCTACCTGCGCATGGACAATATTGTTCCACGCCCGGCATCCCCATGTGATCTATTTTGAATGTTTACCAAGTTTCGACATATCGGTAGTTGCCTGCCACTGCCCGGTCGGCAGATGAGGACGGCTTGCTTCTTTGACAACAGGTTCAAAGGGCAGCATCGGCCGTGCATCGCGTCAGAAAGCATCGGCCCGTCATGCACAGTCAAGTAACTGGAGAAGATGTGGTGCCATCACGGCACGGTTGAAGACCAAGATTTGAAACAACAAAACATGGGAATATCAAGCTAACTATTCGTAAATACAGAAGAAAAGCCATCCTTGCCGCCCAGTCGACCGCTTTTGGTCGTGGATGCATATGGCTGCATTCTATCCCGTACCGTTCAACGCCACAATTCAATCAATCAAGCAACCCTTCAATGAGACAAGATGAAAATTTCTTTCGTTCATCTGACCACGGGCCGTCAAGACCGCATGCTCTTGCCGATCTCCGACTGCCAGCCCTTGGAGCGCTCGAAACCGTTGGCGTGCGTCTGGAAGTCGGTGATGGCCTGGACCACCTCCTCCTTGGACGTCAGCACGAACGGGCCGTACTGCACGATGTCTTGATCTAACGGCTGGCCCGCCACGATCGCCACCCGCGCGTCCCCGCCCGCGTCCGCATCGTTCTCCACGTACACGGCCTCGCCCTCGACGTTGAAGACGGCGTTGTAGTACTGCCCGACCGGCTGCCGGTTGCCCTCGCCCTCCTTGCCGAAAACGACCCCGTCGCCCTCGAGCACGTAGGCGAACGCGTTCCAGCCGCGCGGCAGCGGCTGCACGACCCGCGCGCCGGGCCGCAGCGCCACGTCCAGGATCCAGACGGGCGTGTATGCCAGGTCCCGGACCGAGTCGACGCCGTGGCTCTGCCCGGAGATGACCTTGATGGTCGCCTTGCCGCCGTCCACGTCTACCTGCGGGATCTCGGCGGCGCGCAGGTCCCGGTACCGCGGCTCGCAGTACTTGAGCTCCTTGGGAAGGTCGACCCAGAGCTGCAGGCCGACGTTGGGGCTCCCGTCGGCATTAAAGTGGGGCATTTCTGCGTGCTGAACGCCTTTTCCAGCTGTCATGAATTGAAGATCACCGGCGTTGATGGTGCCGCTGGAGCCGGTGAAGTCTTCGTGGTCGACGGCGCCTTCAAGGAGATACGTGATAGTCTCCTGGCCGCGGTGGGGACTTGAGGTTTGGCGATGTTAGCGATGGTGGTTCATTTGGTGGGGGTTGTGGGGAAGCAAACGGGAAGAAAAAAAGGGAAAGAAGGCAAAGAAGGCAAAGGTGAATTGAAAAGGATAAAAAACTCACTGGTCGGGAAAGCCAGCGCCGGGCTTGACGGAAAAGTGATCGAGCATCAGAAACGGCGTCAGGTTGCGCAGCGCCGGCGTGCCGATGGAGCGGCGCACCCGCGCGCCTTGGCCCTCGGCCTGCTCGACCGCCAAAAAGGCCTTGCGGATGGTCCGCGGGACGGGAGAATCGGTGGTGGTGGCGCTCATCGAAGCGGATGTGTGAATCGCCGCTGTTCTTTTCTTCTGGATGATGCTGGACAAGAGGGAGCTTGTCAGGAACTGTTTGGTCGCGGAGAGCTTCGTGGACGCAATGATGGCGGGCGTGGGCTCTGCTATGTAGATGTAGACGAGACTGGAGAGGAGAGCAAAGACGACTGCTGTGACTATGTTGTTGATGAGTGTGCTTCGAAGCATGGGAAGTCTGGGTACTCGGGATCGAAGACGGTGGTTATATAGACAGAGACTATGTGTGGTGGAAATGTTGCGAACGTTTTGGACGAATCTGGCACTTATATTGCTTCCATTCGCATTCGAGCTAACTCAGAACGACTACACAAATCAAGGGCTTGTTAACTAATAGCTTTGCGGTTGCTTGCATAATTATTAGTGACCATCCCAAGACGGCTCCAAGGCGGGGGACCCTCGAGACCCTATCCAGTCAACAGCGTCGTTTTTTGCTTAGATGCACGTTACATCAGCACGCTGTAATCGTCAATTGGGCCAGACACTCTGATATGTGGGACATTTTGCGTTGGTAGGTGGCGTTGTCAGTCTGGAAAATGCGGTTCTGGAAATAGGGCGGAAATGCTTGGAAGTCTTTGGAACGCAATGAGATATAGAAGGTAAGCAACAAATGCGGCGATTATTTAGGAAGAAATCTTTAGATGTATTAGGAACAAGTTAGAAATGGCGATATGAGATCTTTAGTGGAATAGTTCAACACGACTTGACAACTTGTCGAATCCATGTCCTCCTCCACACGTCAACATACCAGTCCATGCAGCTACCCTGCAGCCAGAGCATCACTGAATGCCACGGAAACGCAGCCCATATCAGCTCATGTCAGAGATCTAAAGTCTAGGCCTTTCTCCTTGCAGTCAAACACTCTCAACTTGCCCATCTACGCCAACTCCTCCTTCACAACCTCCACCAACTTGGCTGCCGCCGCCCTCACCGCGTCCATCCCCGGCTCCTCGTCCTCCAGGAACAACGCCCTCTCAAACAAGTGATCCCTCCCCTCCGCGACCAGCACCGTCACCCGCTCCCCGCCCATCACCTCCCGCAGCCTCTCACTCACCGCCAGCGGCACTGCCTCATCCCTATCCCCGTGCACCACCACCGTCCTCGGCCACCTCCCCCTACGCTCCGTCTCCCAGCCGTCCCACTCGCGCCCGCCGTCCAGCGCCGCCGTCATCCCCGGCCACTCGTTCCCGTGCACCAGGTACCGATACAGCAGCCCGCGCGCCTCGTCCACCGCGCGCTGCCCCTCCGTCCGCGCGTCCTCCACCACCGGCGGCGTCCACGCCGGATCGCGCGCGCCGTCCTCGCGGAGAGCAGAGACGCGGAAGCTGGCGGCGCCGTCGTGCCCGTTGGGTACGGAGCGGCCGACCATGAGCGGCGAGTCGGGGGAGAGGGCCGGTGCGACGGCGGAAGGGGGCGTGGGCGAGGGGGTCAGGAGCACGGAGGAGCGGTAGAACGGGTGCGTGAAGGTGTTGATGCCCGCGATGGAGAGGAGCGCGAGCGGCGGCGGGCTGGCGGCGCGTCCGAGGAAGGAGGCGAGAAAGAAGCCTGTCATGGGAAGTGTACAGATTAGTCAGGGACCGTAGTTTTTGAGAGTTTTATCAGAGGGGAGCGACGCACCTGCGCTGGCACCCACGACAATGACGCGCCGCTTCTTCCTCCCATCGTCGCCGCAGTCCCAGTTCTGCGCAAAGTCATACGCCGCCGCCACGTCCTCTGCCAAACCGTCGGTGCCTGTCTGCGGCATCAGCCGGTAGCTCGCGCTGATGAGCGGCCACCTCTGCTTATAACAAGCCTACTCCCCACGACAAAGTCAGAGAGGAATTTCATGCAAGTAGAAAAAATAAGAAAAAAAAAAAAAGGCGCAACCCAGTAACAAAGTTTGGATTTTGAAACCAAGTCTCAGCCTCAGAGCAGAAGCAACGCACCTGGACCAGCCATGGCGGGACACAGTCTCGGCCCCATCCCGTCAGCGCACCGGCATGGAAGAAGAGCGCGACGGGTACGTCCGGTCCTGCGGGGGGCACGGCGGTGTAAACGTCGCATTCGATGGGCATGCCATGGTTTGCATACACTTTTGTAATCTTTTCGAGCATCTCTAGGTAAGTTTTTGTGTTTGTGTTGAAGTAGCGGCTGTTGTGTGTTCTTTAACTAGTTGATGCGTTGTTTGTAGAGCGGCTTGCGGCTGTTGCACCGATCCATGGGCGGGGTTGGCATCGGAACGTAGCCGCAAGCTGAAGCCGTCGCTGCCTAGAAGGCGGCAACCACCCATTTCGTGCGTGCGTTTCCGTTTTGCCCTCAATTAGCGACGACCTATGTTTTACTGACATTGCAAGCTATGACCTTCCTGAATACATATTATACTAATAAAGCGACATTTATTACCTCTGCCTACAGAGCGCTACGGGCGGGACAATGGATCGGGAAGGCTACGAAAACATGTCCGATGAATCAAGAGTCCTGAGTTGCTACGCAAGGCTTAAAATGCAAAAAATTACAAGTCCGCGTATGTATACTACCTGGTTTTCTAGGCGCTTCTTAGTAAACTCGTCAATTATTAGCTCGGTAGACTTTGACGCAATGGATTCGGATAGTCCTTGGTTCGGCACTGCGTACCTGTAGGCACCTTGGCTCTGTCAAACGACGTAAGCAGGGCACAGTCACAAGTTAAGCTCTGCATATAGAACAAGGAAATTGCGGAAAGCTAGAGTTTATAAAACCAATTATTATCTATTAATGCCTATGGTGCTGGACGATTCCAACGACCAAGCCAGGCAACGAGCAGGTTTATATTCTTTTAAACACTTGTGGCGTAAAAACCACACACTGAGAATCCATCTGTCCATTCCCCGTCGTTACCATTAGAACAAGAACAAGATCACTAAATCATATCGACCCTCGTGAGCCTGCCGAGCACCGCGAGAAGAGTTGGCAACCGAGTGCCACGCCATTGCCCAGAGTGGCCATAGTAGCTTCTTCCAGTTCAAATGCGACACCCAGTGACCCTTCCAGTCGATACATCAGGCGGGGTATTATGTGGCAAACATGTGCATCATGAAGAAAAAGAGATTGCAAACAAAGGCTCGAGTCCTTTACAGGAAGAAAGCGGCGACACCAGCGGCGGCAGCAACGGCACCGACGGTGGCCTGGGCGGCGTAGTTCTTGGAGCCGGTGGTGGAGGTAGCACCGGAGCCGTTACCAGTGGAAGACTCTCCAGAGCCGGAGCCAGAGGAGGTGGGAGCCTGGGTGGTCTCGGAACCAGAGCCAGATCCAGTGGAGGTGGCCTCTCCGGAGTGAGTGGTCTCGGAGCCAGCGCCAGTGCCGGTGGAGGTAGCCTCGCCAGAGCCAGTGGAAGAGGCACCAGATCCAGAGGCACCAGATCCGGAGGCACCAGATCCAGAGGCACCAGCTCCGGAAGTCTCAGAGCCAGAGCCGGTGGAGGAGCCAGCGCTGTTGGTACCGGTGGACTCGGCGCCAGAGCCGGTGGTGGAAGCACCGTTGCCGCTGCCAGTGCTGGTGGCGGCAGAGCCAGAGGATGAACCACCGTTGCCGTTGCCAGAACCCGGGTTGATAGTGACACCCTGAGCCTTGCAGTACTCAACACCGTAGTTGACAGCCTGCGCAGAAACGTCGTGGCCGCAGGCCTCCGAAGTGCAGTCACGAATGCCGTAGCCGAAGTTGACGTTGTTGCAGAGGCACTTGGCGTCGTTGGCAGAGCAGCCAAGCTGGGAGGCCTGGCCGAGCATGGCCTGGATACAGGTTTGCTGAGACAAAGTTAGACTTGCCCACAAGTAGTCTGGCATTGCAGTCGACTTACACCACAGGCGGGTAGGCTGGAGAGATCCTGGGCAGTGGCGATAGCGGCCAGAGCGCTGAGAGCGAAAACGGTCTTCATTGTGATGGGAATTGTGGTGGAACACGGGGTCTAGGAAAGGGAGAGACATTAGCAGGTGCTCCAACACGGTCATGGTGGAAGGCGAGACTGCATCGCAGGTTGTAGCAGAGTGAAGGCGATTTGAGTGTGCTCTTGCGCCAGATCACATTGTAAAACCCTTGCGAGTTCATATGGCTCTCGTTCAAATTCGAGATGAAAAGATGACGCTTTGTTGAGCGATGAAATTGGCATCGGCGGCCGGTGTAAGAGGAGGAGTCTAGACATACTGTGAAGCAGTGTTTGAGTCGACGAGACAAAGCACAGGGCTGAGAGGTGCTGCAAGGAAAGCTTGGGCGAAACACTTGAGAGGAGAAACCGGTGGAAGTTGAAGCGTGAGAAGAGAGGAGAGAAGACGGGATCGCGAGGATGGAGGGTGGGAGGGAGGGCAATTATTAGTAGTGCAGCGAGAGACCGTGTCTAGGAAACGGCAAACGGCACCTAGGGCGTGACCAATTGACCAAGAGGACAAACTCTAAATGTGGGTTGGCGATTGGTGTCTGCCAGCTGGCGGGCTTGGGTGTGTGGCAGCTGGCAGCTGGCAACAAACGGAGGAAGCAAGGAGGGCCCATGACGACCTTCCCCTTGTCCTTGGATTTGGGAAAGAGAGGTTTGTTGTTGATTGTCTTGCCTGCTCCAAGAGGCTAGCAGATTAGCGCAGGACGGCTGCGCGCGATGGGCCATGCATGGTATGGAGGTACCGTGTACTTCGCGTTACAAGCGGGTACGTGCAGTCTAGCTTTTTCAAGCTGTTCTTGCCTTTCGTGGCTGGGACTGTGCTGGGCTTGGGTAGCAAACCGTCACACTGGTCAGGTACCTCGAGCTTTTTCTTTCGTCGTCCAGTAATCACGGCGCTGGGCCGGCTTGGAGGGACCGACGCGCTAAAATCGGGCTGCCACTAGCCACACAGGCGAACAGGGGTGGCTGAGAGTGAAAGGGGAAGGCGAGTGGGGTCCAGCTCGTCATATCTCGCTCCCTCGCTCTTTTTTCTGGAGTTGGATCTTGTGGCTCCTTGAGAGAGCAGCGGGGATTCCCAGTTAGCTGGAAGAAATAGATAGGCTATTAACAAGTTGACAGGGTCGGTTCAGCCCAGCAAGGCCTTTGGGTATCTCCAGGTGCGCAGCTGTCGTAAATCTCGCCACTGAAAAGCTTCTATGACAGCATCTTGCATTTATCATGTAAGAAAATCCAACCAACTGCAGAAGAGCTTCCAAGCTGCCCTCCATTAAGTGGTGGTTATCATGCGTTTTCCTTGTTCCTTTTGTTCCCTCCTTGTTTCTGGCACCTGTGCAATAATTGGATTTGGTCCACACTAACAAACCACAGGCACAATGGTTCTCTTGGCTTGGATCCTCCTAGCTGCGCTTTAGCGGGCTTTTAGCGGCCTCTCCCACTGTGAGATGCGCCCCAGCCTCCTAACCCTGCTAAATCGTGCCGCCCTCTAGTGGGGTTGAGCGCCTGAAGCGAAATGAAGAGGAACTCGCATCGCACGACCAGGAGCCGCTCACCCGAATAAGCTCTTTTCCTGCAAGTCACTTGATTGATTCTAGTGGCTATCTTTTTAAATTGCATCGTCTGTTCTGAACCTCCTGCCATATCGTGTAGAAGCCATGGCTCTGCGCTGGAAGTCAGCAACGACAGATGAGCGGCGCCCGAACCTCGGCCTTGCTCAACGCAAATTAAAAGTACGTAAACGTAAAGTAGGTAAAGTAGAAGGCTGTATGATTCCTACCAAACCACTTACATGCATCGACGGATTCCTCCTGGCTATGGGGAGCCAACTGTCCCCAACACTCCCTCCTCTAGCCACATCCTCCCTTCGCGACACTGTCTCAAGCTCCGCTAGCTTGAATGCGGCGGAATCTCCCTACTTTTGGATGATAATTAATTGGGAACCCCTTTCTCTCGAAAGGCTGAGTTAGGGAATCTCATCCGAGAGCATGGTGCACCCGTATTCAATCCGCGTCACAGGTTGAACGGTATGCAGTACTGGACCAATGCAGTTGCTCGATCTCCTCCACGATCTCATGTCTTGGAACACGAAGAGCCGACGCTAAGAAAAATTTCGGCTTTTCCGAGCTTCACGGGGGGTTCATTTTGACCGATGTTGAGTTGTCACAACTTTCTATGCCTTTGAAAAACAGCTGGCCCTATGAGCTGCACAAAAAGCTCATTGTTGGTAGTCACTTGCAATGTACCAGAAGGCAGTGGTCATGAGCCAACTGATTTGTTGCACCAGTACCATGTCGCTGAGCAGACTCCCTCCGCCAGCCCTATGCTGATGCATCAATAGATTGCAGAGCCATCTTGTTTCGGAAACCGCCTATTGTTGAGGAGTAACATTACGGATGCCACTATGCGATTGCATGCCAAGGAAGCAGACAATTGTGCTTTCCAAGTAACGCGTCTTGCTATTCGATATCGGCCTCATACTCGGTACGGTAGAGCAAACTCTCTCAAACCCGTGTCGCGCCAAGACGAAGCGATGTCCCTGTTGCACAACCTCATTCCAGGCCTTCTTGGGATCTCACTCGTCAAAGCAGTGCTACCAAGTGCCCCGCAGGCGTGTTTCGCTGGAGATTGGATTAAAACATGGTGTGTGCATTGTTATATCCGATGAGCTCTTACGACGATCGACAGTACCACCCGAATTCGACTGACTTTATGGTTGGGCTGATGTTCTCCAACTGCTCACGGTACAGTAGCCTCACTGCATTCTGTCAAAATTGACCTCATTGGTTCTTCCTTGGTTAGGTACTTGGAAAGGGAGAAACCGACCTGTAAGTACCAGTAAATCCCCAAAGGAAAATGTAAAAGATCAGATAGGGCTCATTTGCTTGAAACATGTAATCTACAGCTTGGGCCAGTGCGCTGGGCCCCGAAAGTCTAATTATCCACGAGTTCTGAAAGACGCGTTCTTGGCGCGATAGTTATAGCGGCTCAAGTCGCTGCCATCAATAGGCCAACTTTCACATGCTCGACATGAAAAAGACGCATTTAGCTGGACTCAATAGGCAGCTAAACAGTCAACATGAGCACATGGCTCACGCAGAGGTTGAGAACCTGGACTGAGCTTCAACGGCAGCACGCTTTGGCGCAGGTGGTCCTCTACCTGTCATCTCAGCGGCCTCCAGGCGCTATAGCGCCCCTAGGAAAGCCGCTGGAAGGGCTTCAGCATCCCGCTCCCCCCGAGGTGGAGACGCCACAAGCAGCGTGCGCCACATTGAACAAGCTGGAAACTTATTGGGCTGCAGCTTCCACCCACCTCCAACATGCAATTTTGTCCGAACAAGCCCGGCACCAAGCTTCTAAGCTGTCAATGTCTCCATCTAAAATACTTCGATTGTACGTAGACTCGAAGACAAGTTGGCCAAAACGCAGGTCAGTACACTGTCTCCCTCCCACTTCGAGCTCCGCTGCTGCGTTTGCATGGCTCAAACTTCGCAAAGAGCATCTGGACTTCTCGCAACAGTCCGATTGCAGAGCGCTAACTACTTTATCCCTTCAGAGGAGAAAGTTACCTTGATCGATAGCGACTTGGCGAGCAGTGAGCAGGGCCATGCATCCCCAATGCTCCATCCCGCTGTGGTTGGGCGTCGGAATTGCTTGCTCTCCTCGGATGCCCCTCCCGCGCTGGCTCCCCTGCTCAGCTGGGCTCCCAATTGCGCTGATCCACACTGGCATCCAAGCATCCATGCATGTCCAAGCTGCAGTGCTCTCGGTTCGATCAACCCACATCCCTCCCCCTGGCCAGGACTCAAGCCACAATGCATCTTCGACGTCACCGTCTGCTCCGTAGGCCCAGCTTCCAGCCCAGTCAAAGCTGCTTCGATGCGACGTTGCCGTCGCGAATCCCCATCGATAAAACCGTCAGCAACAGATTACCTAGCAAGGATGCCATCATTTTATTCCGTTGACTCTTTACGCCCCAAATTCACTCATTGACTTGATGTTGTTGTCTCTGATCCCCATGCACATCTCGGCGTCCACAGCGCCACAGAAACCTGCAGTCCCGACTGGCCCACAGCGGCAATGCACCCGCGATAGCCAAGTGCATGGACAGGTAAGAACACGGCAAAGTCATTGACCGCAATAATCTATTACAACGACTTGATGTTTAAGTCAATTGACTCGCAGCTATAATTAGCCCATTTTAGCATCCCACAACTCCCTCCGATTCTGCAGTCTGGAGCAACATATTCCTCAATATCTGCCAGCGTTGAGCCCGCAGCCACATTACCTCATATCTGGAAATCCCGACACTGTCCGATCTACAGCCATCAGCCACAATCCAGGTCTCGTCGGCCGCCAGAAGCAGACCTAATTAGATTATTCAGCCACTTTGCTGGCTTTCCACATCAGCTCTGGGCAAATCACCCAAACTCGGACTGGCTGAACACTTTTTGGGAAGTTTCGCGTCTGCTGTCCCCATGTCTAGCAAGGTTTGTCTGACTCTCCCAATGGCGGGGTCCAGGAGGGCGATATAGACTCCTGCCAGTCAGTACACAAAGGTACAGAGACGTACAGTACAGGCGGTCACTCGCCAGTGACCCATGCCATGCGAAGAAGCGATGCCCGATGCTTTCTCCATGACCATGCCCTGTACGGATACACGGCTTTCTTTAGCGGAACTAACAGTACTCATCACAAAGGCCCCGGCCCATGCAGGACATGGAAGTCCATCATTGGGAATATTTCCATTATTCATACCTTGGCGGGCCGGCCGACTGGCCGAGCAACCATTGAGACAGCCGAGGCCGGTGCCAGTGAGGGATGCAACCTCAAAATGATATTGCAGCACTATTGTCTTAACCATCACTCAGTCATCAGCCGCACGCTCTCGCTTTACAAGAAATACGACCTTGACGAGTACAAATCGGCGTTAGCAAGGTTTATCACTGCCATTTACACTTGGTTGACTTGCAGCCTGGACGACAGACAGAACTAATATGTCCATTGCCCTGCTTTTTTTCTTCTTTTCACAAGAAGTCAATTGGCCGTGCTGCGAAGATTGCCCCAAAATTTACAGTTTCTCGTTGCTAGCAGGGGGCGCCATTTGGCTTCTTCATTGGCCCAGAAAAGAACGACGAAGCTTGCTTAAGCTTGCTTGGTCGGCAGCCATTTCTAGATGAAAACGACGTTTTTAGCTTGCCATTCGAGCCTCTGCACCGGGCTACCGCTGCCGAGCCTCAAAAAAAAAAGAACGCATCGTACATTCGCCAAACGTCGGCCTCCGCCGTGCTAGAAAAACTTTAGAACCCTAGTTGAAAGTCAGGAAAGGCTTGTTAAGAAAGTCAGTTCACAGTGACGCAACATATCCCTTGCAAGTGATCGGTCATTAATTGTTACCCTTTGATCGTCTGGTGGTTCAATGTTTACCGAGGAGAGAGGTGCAACAATAACAACAGCACACCGCATACACGATGATCTGGGCACCTGCACCCAACCCACCACTCTTGGCCGGGAACTGGGTGCATAATTACTACGGGCCGCAGCCTGCATAACACTAGTCTGGCAAGCCCAGTCCGCATGACATATTGGTACAGGTTGGACGGCATAAGAATATTATACAGGTCCTTTTGAGGCTGCTTGTTGCTCCGTGACGCCGCCATCCATGCAGCTCGGTGCTGTCGCCTTGGGTCCGTCGGCACGCCGGGCCACCGGCCTGGTTGACTGGCCAGTGTTGAATCATCCGATCGGGACCCCCCACCACAGATCTTCTCTCGCCACCTCGGAGCGCAGGAGAATGATGGGTTTACTACGCAATCGAAGCTGTTGCTTCCAAGGCATGAGGAGAGAAAAAAACAACCCGGTAAGCCGGTAAGCGAGTTGAAAAACAGGTAGGCTCGAGCTTCGACAATGGTAGCATCATCGAGCCTCCTACTTCGGTAGCCCGAGTAGTTGGCGGTCTGGCTCATGCCGTGTTCCCAGTCATCGGCATTCCATTGCGAGCATAGTCACAAGTCGGCATGGCACGATTCCATTATGCATGTATGATTGATTGACATTAACAAAACAATGAAAGAGTATACACGCGCACTAGAATAGGATACTCATCATCTCATTGTATGAGAGGCAAGAGAGAAAATAACACCAAGATATCATGACCATCAGAACAATGAAGCAACAATGAAATAAAAACCCATAACCAAGACTGCGATATTACCCACCATGAAAAACATATTGCCCTTTTTCTCATCGATGCTTTGCGAATAGTAGAAAACCAAACAGAACCCCCATATGCCTATTTATCTGCTTCCAAAGTGATTGGAGTCACAGTCATACACTCGTGTCTAATATTGTTGGAAAGCGGTCATGCTCTAACCGCTGCACATGACGCAGGACTCAGGGTTCTCGATGCTGCAAGCAACGACAGCCTCCGAGTAAATGTCACGCTCACGGTCCTCGTTGCCGTCGCCGTCCTCGTCCTGGTTGCTGCTGCGCTTGCCGTCGGCGAGCTCCTCATCAACATGCTCCGAAGGCTCGGTGGCAAGGACCTTAGGGCTATCGCCATCCTCGACGTCCGCCTTCATGGTGTTGGGCTTCTGGGGGGAGGAGAGCGGGCCTCTGGCGGTCATGGCAGGAGGAGGGGTGGTGCTGGGGGTAGGGATGCCGTTGCTGAGAGAGTTGCCGGCTTCCTTGGGGGCGACAGACGCTCTGGCCATGGGCGAGGCAGACGACATATAGCTGCTGCCGGCAGGAGGAGCACGCTTCTTGGGAAGACGCTCGCGGGCAGTAGCGGCATCAACAACCTTCAGGGCCTCCTGGTCCACGGTGAACTGAATGGGAGCAGCAGCAGCCTGCGTGCGCAGGTAGTACATGCCAGTCTTCAGACCAAGCTTCCAGCCTGCAAAGTGCATGCTTGTAATCTTGCCCATGGTCGGGTCGCGCATGTGGATGTTGAGCGACTGAGACTGATCAATGAAGGCACCACGGTCGGCAGCCATCTGGACAACCTGGCGCTGCGAAATCTCCCACACAGTCTTGTACAAAGCCTTGACGTCTGCAGGGATATTGGGAATGTTCTGGATAGAGCCGTTCTCAGCAATGATGCGGTTCTTCATGGCGTCAGACCAGAGACCCATGTCGACAAGATCCTTGAGCAGCCAAGGGTTGACAACCTGGAATTCGCCAGCCAGGACACGGCGCTGGTAGATGTTGGAGGTGTACGGCTCGAAGCACTCATTGTTGCCGAGAATCTGCGAAGTACTGGCAGTAGGCATGGGGGCAACCAAGAGCGAGTTGCGGACACCGTGCTTCTTGATCTGCTCACGGAGCTCATCCCACTCCCAGAGATCGGAGGGCTTGACGTTCCACATATCGAACTGGAGGATGCCCTCTGACGTGGGGGAGCCCTTGAACGACTCGTAAGGACCCTCCTCCTTGGCAATCTCCATGGAGGCAGTGAGGGCGGCGTGGTAGATGGTTTCAAAGATCTGCTTGTTGAGCTCACGAGCCTCGGGAGATTCAAAAGGCATGCGCAGAGCAAGGAAGGCATCGGCAAGACCCTGAACACCCACACCAATAGGGCGGTGGCGCATGTTGCTGTTGCGAGCCTCAGGGATGGGGTAGTGGTTGACATCAATGATGCGGTTCAGGTTGCGGACGACGACCATGGTGACCTCGTGCAGCTTCTTGAAATCATAGACACCTTGGTTGTAGTCAACGTAGGCGGGAAGGGCCAGGGAGGCCAGGTTGCAAACGGCGGTCTCGTCAGGGGCACAGTACTCAATGATTTCAGTGCAGAGGTTGGAGCTGCGGATGGTACCAAGATTCTTCTGGTTGCTCTTGCGGTTGCAGTGATCCTTGTAAAGCATGAAGGGGTTACCGGTCTCGGTCTGGGCTTCCAGGATAGAGTACCAGAGCTTCTGGGCCTTGATGGTCTTGCGACCCTTGCCCTGGCTCTCATACTTTTCATAGAGCGCCTCAAACGCCTCGCCGTAGCAGTCGGCAAGGCCAGGGCATTCGTTGGGGCACATGAGGGTCCAGTCACCGTTCTTCTCAACACGCTTCATGAACAGATCAGGGATCCACAGAGCGAGGAACAGATCACGGGCGCGAACCTCCTCCTTGCCGTGGTTCTTGCGGAGGTCAAGGAACTCAAAAACATCGGCGTGCCAGGGCTCCAGGTAAATAGCAAAGGCGCCAGGGCGCTTGTTGCCACCCTGGTCAACATATCTGGCAGTGTTGTTGAAAACACGGAGCATGGGGATGACGCCGTTGGAAGTACCATTGGTACCGGCAATATAGGAACCGGTGGCACGAATGCGATGGACGTTGAGACCGATACCACCTGCCATCTTAGAGATCATGGCGCAAGACTTGAGAGTATCGTAAATACCCTCGATGGAGTCATCCTTCATATCAACCAGGAAGCAGGAAGAAAGCTGGGCCTGGGGAGTACCAGCGTTGAAGAGAGTGGGTGAGGCGTGGGTGAAGAACTTGCTGGACATGAGGTTATAGGTCTGGACGACGCGCTCAATATTGTCTCCCCAGATGCCAACGGCGACTCGCATGATCATATGCTGTGGACGCTCAACAATCTTACCATTGAGCTTGAGGAGATAGGAGCGCTCCAGAGTCTTGAAGCCGAAGTATTGGTAGTTGAAGTCGCGGTCGTAGACGATGGCTGAGTCGAGCTCCTCCTTGTGTCTCATGACGCATTCGTATGTCGACTTGGCGATCATGGGGGACGCGCGGTCGTTCTTGGGGTTGACATAGTGATACAGGTCACTGATGACAGAAGACCATTGCTTCTTGGTCTGTTTGTGGAGGTTGGAGACGGCGATGCGGGCCGCAAGAATGGCATAGTCGGGGTGGGTGACTGTCATGTAGGCGGCAGTCTCGGCAGCCTGTCGACGAGCCTGATTAGCGACGAAGATGACCAATTGCAGAGTAATTGGACGCTTACGAGATCGTCGAGCTGAATTGTGGTAACACCACCGTAGACACCGGAGATGACCTTTTGGGTGATAGCGACTGGGTCGACATGGTCGGTGTCCAGGCCGTAACACAGTCTGGAGACACGAGCAGTAATCTTGTCAAACTGAACGCGCTCCTGGCGTCCATCTGCGGTGGGCATCAGCGGCTGCATCTCAACATCGCATGGGTGCATCGCGACTTACCTCTCTTCTTCACGTACATGGCGGCGACGTGATGGCGTCGACGAGGCGACGACTGTGAACTGAAATGACGAGGCGAGGGGAAGATTTGGTTGCCGTTGAAGCTGCAGGTATCAACCAGATTACACACAGCGTGTCGCGGGGTAGAAAACCGTTGCAAGTGGCGGCTTTGATGTAATGCAGAACTGAAGATGAGAAGAGTGAAGAAGACGCGTAGAGAGAAACGGTGGAACGGGCTTCTTATGCTCGAGCGCGTGTTTTTGCTACGCGACGCCAAAAATTAGCGCGACAACAATGACAAAGCCTGGGAATCCATTAAAGTGGTGGGCCAAGGACAAGGGTTGGGAAAGGCTGTTCACGGTGCCGGGGAGCCGTAGAGGCCGAATTTTGGCGGTTCAAAACTGGGAATATTATCTTGGGGATGCAAATAATTCCTGGAGCCCTTTAAACTACGATAAAATAGCTTTTTTGTCGCACCTTTGGCGAGTTTTGCCTGCAAAACCAGCTCGACGCAACCACTTAAAGTGGCTCGCCAGGCGCGTTTTGCACTGTGGCGCGGAGTCACGTGCACCGGGTCGATGCACTTAAAGGCGACGGCGACCGAAGGGAATCGAAGGGAATGCGAGACAACGGACGCTTGTACCTGGCTAATGGAACGATTATTGACTTTTTGTGATCCTCACCGTAAATAAATCAAGGAGCGTTTCAGTCCATTGGTCTTCAGTTGGTAGGCAGTCTCGTTGCTTATAAACCAACGCCGAACAATGCTATTTATAAGCTAACCAAAGTCAATCGAACAACTTGCTACCTCCTCAAGTATCGGCCAAAACGTTGGTAGTCTAATTACATCAAAACCGTTTCTCTCAGCGTTTCAACCCTTGGTAAGCGTGGCTGTGGCAATGACAGGGGACGCGTTTCACTTTGACGCGCAATCACGTGCAACTTACGCCTCCTAAATTAACACGGGCTTGAAGAAAGAGGCTGGTTGTTCTCTTCGCATCAACTGTGCAAAAACAACCCTGGGCATTACCATATCCCAGCCACTTGATGCGTATCAGCCGTGAATCTTGGCTCTGCGGCAGCGTATTTGCTTCACGCAGCCAAGGAATGTACTCACCCTGACCACGGCTCGCCAGGGATATTGGGCTCCATCAAACGCCGTCCGATGTGCGACGCTGTGATTTCCGATCTAGGCTCGGCCACGGTCGGAATCCGATAACCACAGAGTTGGCTTTCCTCTACTCTGTCTCCTTTCTTACATCTAGATTTCATCCAGGCCTTCGAATGACTTCAATCTCGCTGACGCGCCGCCTGTGATTGATCAGGCTGTCGAAAATGAAGCTACACACTAGTCTCGCAACTAGCTCTCGGAGACTTTCCATGTTGCTGACAGTAATTATATAACAGGTTTTGGCCCTTGCATGTTTCGGGATGACTGCCATCGTATCTCTTTCCGCCAACCTCACAAACCATGGCCGACCGCACAGCCGCCCCGACTCCATCCTTCGCGACCGGGCAGGGCATCATATGCGCCGGGCTCCCGCGCTCCGGCACTCTGTCGCTGGCCACGGCGCTGGACATTCTTGGCGTCGGCCCAATCCAGCACGGGCTGCGCGACACCGACACCCGCGAGGTCTACGCGTGGACGCACGCGGCGTGGTGCTCGTTCCCCTTCCTGCGCGCCACCCGGCTGACCTCGCGCGACGGCCGGCTGCCCTTCTACCTGCCGCCGTACGACCCACTGCTGCCGTGGACGCGCGCCGACTGGGACCGGCTCGTTGGGCGGTACCGCTGCACCACTGACGTTGGGAGCATGTTCAGCGAGCAGCTCATCAGTGCGTACCCGGACGCCAAGGTCATCCTCGTGGAGCGGCCCGTCGACGAGTGGGCGCGCAGTTACGGCCGCGTCCTCATCGACAGAACCTACTACGGCGTCGGCGGGTTCATCAAGTCCACGCTGGGGCCGTGGGCCAACGTGACGACGACGACAGCCTATTCCGACGTGTCCATGGGCTGGCTGGGGGGCAACTCGAGGCGGGAAGCCCACAGTCTGCTGCATGACCGCCACCGTCAGCACCACGACGTGGTGCGCAGACTCGTGCCGGCCCAGCAACTGCTTGAGTTTGACTTGAAGGACGGGTGGGAGCCGCTGTGCAAGTTCCTCGACCTTCCTGTTCCAGATATGCCATTTCCACACGTAAATGAACAGGCGCAGTTCCTGAGTATGCTTCGCAGTCTTGATATTATGATACTAAAAGGCATTGCCCAAAAGCTTGCCTGGGCTTTGCTCAGTGTTAGTGTCGCCGCTTTCCTCAGTCGAGCGGCGACGAGGCGAGCTTTGGTCGACATACTCAAGCGCACATAGGCGTAGGTCAAGCATTTACATAGGAGCCTCATACTTGGTTAATCCTCGGATTATATTTTTCAATGGATGCATATTTTACTTTTTTAAATATTTGAAACTGTATTATTCAATCTAATGATGATGCTGGTAGTCGTCTGTCTGTCTGCCTTACACAGCGTCAAAAACACCTGACCCACCTGAACAGAAGCCAGCGCTTTGCCTCAGTGAAACTAAAGCCACCACAGCGATCTTTGATACTTCACTCAACCACGACCTGGTGAGTCAGAGCTGGTGTATGACTCTGCCATCGCCTATACCATTCAACTATAAAGAAGCCAATGCTCAGCCGGCCAAGGTGAGTCGCTACTTAGCCTATCTTTATCCGTTTAAGCGTCAAAATTTTGACAGTACCCGCCACAGACCACGTTTTATCCAGCAGTCACTATTACGTTGCTTTCCATCACAGCGATTCAGAAATCCAACGATACACAGCATGACAGCTCAGGAGCCTATTGCTGAACCTTCAGCACCGACATACAGCCCTAGATATGTCGATGTAAGCAGCCAATCCACGCGACCGAGCGGGGACGACGACTGACCATGGCTAGATTGGCATCAACCTCGCAGACCGCGTCTACCGCGGCAGCTATCGCGGGAATCAAAAGCACCCTGATGACCTGGACGCCGTCGTAGACAGAGCGAAGCAAGTAGGATGCACAAAACTAATGGTCACTGGCTCGGACTGGCACAGCATCAAAGATGCCATCGACCTCGCCAATGAGTATCGTGAGTCTTGACCAGCACATGAGCGACGCCGCTGTCCCACCTACTCACACAGCAGTTTCGCTCCCCCAGCTGGGACCGTCTACTACACCGTAGGCATTCACCCCTGCAGCAGCAGTATATTCGGCACCGGCCCGTCCACCACTGCCCATGACGATGCGCACGTGGCCCCGTGTGACCCCGACCCCTCCGCGCCCATCCCCGACAGCGCCGTGGACCTCGAAAAGACCGCCGCCAACATTGCGCAGCTCAAGATGCTCATCGCCGCCGGCGTCCAAAAGTCGGGCTCCGGCGGCTGCGCCCCCCTCGTCGCGCTCGGCGAGTTCGGCCTCGACTACGACCGGCTGCACTTTTGCAACAAGGCGGTGCAGCTGCACAGCTTCGCCGCGCAGCTGCGTCTCGCCGCCGCGCTGGACCCCGCGCGAGGAGATGCGCGAGCTGCTGGAGCTCGGCCTGTACGTCGGCATCAACGGGTGTAGCCTGAAGACGGAGGAGAACTGCGAGGTGGTGCGGGGGTTGCCGCTGGACCGCATCATGCTGGAGACGGACGGGCCTTGGTGCGAGGTGCGTCCGAGCCACGCGGGCTGGAAGTACCTCGTCGAGGCCTCGGCGGCGTCGTCGGCAGCGGCGTCTGCAGCCGAGGAGACACCGTCTTCATCAGCGGTGTCGACGCCCGCCGCGGTGTCGGACGCCTCCGGCACTGGGAAGCGGCCCAAGCCCCAGAAGCAGCCCAACCATGGGAAGAAGAAAAACCAGCGGGCGGAGCCCGAGGTGGCCTCGCGGTTCAAGGCGACCAAGAGCTGGCAGGAGGGCTGCATGATCAAGGGCCGCAACGAGCCGTGCACGATTGAGCGCATCGCCACGATCGTCGCAGGCATCAAGGGTGTTTCTGTGGAGGAGGTCTGCGAGGCGGCGTGGCGAAACACGAACAAGGTGTTTCACCTCGACGAGAGCGCATAGCGATTGAATTCGCCAAGAATTACAGCGACTTTTGGGTAGAAAGTAGAAGATGGAGAATAGACGAAAGCATCATTATATTCCCAGGGGTATCATTATTCCAAAGAGGACATCTATAAACAGCGCTAGATGATGACAGAATGCAGAGGGCAATAGAAATAAAAATCGTAAAACTTCATATCCCTGAGCCTTTGTTGCCTTTGATGCGTCCGTGGCGTACGACGCCGGCCGTAACGCCCTCCTCACCCGTCATCCAGCCGGGCATGCGCTCGCCGTCGACGATGCCGGCCTCCACCAGCTGCCTTATGCCAGCGAAAACGTGGGTGCCCTGAAACGTCACCCGCACGTTGGGCGTCCACCGCGAGCCGGCGCCTCCATTAGAAGCGTTCACGTCCTCGCCATCTTCGTCCAACATGGTGTCCAGGCTTCTCCGGCGTCCTCTCCTTGCCCCCGCGGTGGCCGCCGCTCCATCGTTCCCTTCGTCGCCCGAGTCCGGCACGTCCACGCCGTTGACGGACGGGTACGGATCGCGGATGATGACGTCGAGGCGCTCCACGCCCTTGCCGTCCGCCATGATGGCCGAGTCGCCGAAGCGGCCCTTGGCCACGAGCCTGGCGCGCTTCGCCTCGCGGCGCTGCTGGGTCAGCGGTGACGCGCGCTTCCGGCTGTGCTCCGACGCCGCCGACAGTGGCGCCTGTGGCAGCAGGGGGTCGAGCGGCGACTTCTTGTTCTTGTCGTTTGCGTAGATGCTCCAGCCGCCGGCGGCGGCGTTGCCGCGGCCAGGGCCCCTGCGGTCGAGGAGCGCGTCGAGGTTGCGGCTGGTAAGGCCCGTGTTCTTGAGGGCGAAGCGCTGGCGGGGCCGGGACAGCGCCTTGGGCACGCCCTTGACGATGAGGCTCTGCAGGCTGCGCGACTCGCCGTGGGCCGAGGCGCCGGCCGACTGCGACTTGGAGATGTAGAGGTTCGGCGAGCCATCTGGGAAGGCGAGGTAGACGGTGCGGGAGGAGGTGTAGTTGGTCGCTGCGCCGTCGCCAGCGCTGCTGCCGGCCGCGGACAGGGCGAGCTGGCTGTTGTAGGGTGAGTCGATGGCGAAGACGCGCAGCAGGAGGACGGGGTAGTCGCTCGGGCGGTAGAAGTGGTAGTGGGCCTTGACGTCCGGGAGGACCTGGTCCTGGAGGTTCTGGAGGAAGGTGGAGGGGTGGAAGCGGGGGATCTCGAGGCTCGCGTCGTCGACCTTGAGGGCCTCGTCGGTGTCGGCGTCGTGGGAGGGGTGGGCGAGGGGGAGGATCTTGTAGGCGGTCCACTTCTGCGAGGCCGGGTGCTCGTCGAGGTAGGCAAAGTCGACCATGGCGAGCTGGTAGAGGGTCAGGCCGTGGCGCCAGTCGCCCTCGAGCACGCGGCTGACCACGTCGCGCTTGGAGCCCCTCTGCTCCTGCATGTCGGCGTAGAGCTGCTGCAGCTCGGCAACGGTGCGGCAGGGAGGGTAGAGGTCGTCGCCGTCGGGCTCCTCGTCGGGCCCGCGCCGATCAAGGTACGGCGTGGCGTTGGCGACAGTGCCCTCGTCAAGCCAGTCGAGTGCCAGCGCGAGCAGCGATTCACGCGACAGCCGGTTCAAGCTCTTGATGACGACAATGTTGGAGGGGTCGACGCGCAGTGACGACGGCAGCCGCGCCGTGGTCGGGATGGAGAGTCGGGACATGGCGACGGCAGGGAGGACGGTGCCATACCCCGGGAACAGGACTGGTGCGGTTCGGTAAAGGTCAATCGATTGGCTTTGAAAGGGTGGGCGGCGATGTTGCGGGAGATTTTGTTAAGCTGGGATGCGTTTGCTGGAGGCGGCTACCTTATCATTCGCTGGAAGACGCGTCGCGCGACGTGGTGCAGGTACAGTAAAAGTACAGTTGTGGGCCTCAGCGTCCAGCGACTCGATGGGTTCATACAGCAAGAACTTTACGATTTTATTAATTTAGAATTTCTTTACTTAATCATTCAGATTTTTCTTTCATGGGAGAGTGTTTTCGAAGTTTATTTATATTAAAATATTGTGTCAAGAATTCGGTGTACAATAGTTTAGTCGATCATACTTGATCGGGGCGATCGTAACTCGAAGGCGCTCTACGAGACACCTATTTGATGACTACGCAGGTATGGCAGGCACGCGAAGGCGGACTGCGGCAAAGATACTGCGCATGCGGGCAGTTTGACCGGGAGTAAACTCGTTCCTGCAGCGGCTGGTTCGCGTTAGTACGCAAGATTCGCGCCAGGGTCAGCACATCATCACTCACTCGGCCGAGTAGTCCATGTAGTTGTGAATCGGGTCCGTACCAAACAGCTCGGGGCAGGTGTCGCGCTTCCGCCAGCACCCGGCCTTGTTTGCCGTCTCCTCGGCCGGGGTGTCAGCCACGTAGTCTCCCCCCTTCTCGTCGCAGCCGCCCTCGAACGTGTGCAGCAGGCCGAACCAGTGCCCGACCTCGTGGACCGCCATCTTGCCCCTGCCGACCATGAGCGGGCTGGTAGGAACCGTGTTGTGCCGGAGCATGCAGCCGTCCAGCGTGAGCCCCCTCTTGGTCTCCAGGTGCGTTAGGGAAGGGAGCCGGCAGGTGCCGGCGACGCCGAGTCCGGGCACGAAGTAGAGGTTGAGGACGCGGGCGTCACCCCGATGTAGTGTCCTCTTCATGGCCTTCTCGTACTTGCCCGGGTCATCGGCCCAGAGATCGTTGTCGGTGTAGGTGGTGCCATCAAGGCCGAAGGAAATGTTGCTGGAGCGAAATGCGTTGTTCAGAACCCTGAGCTGCTTATCTAGACGGTATTTCTAACCTGGGTCTTAGTTTCTTATGTCGTCTTCTTCGAGGAAGGGCACTTGAAGGAGTCACGCGTACCTTTATGTAACCTTTCATTCGGCGTTTCTTGCTGTAGATGACGTGGAACCAGGCATTGATGGTAATACGCTCACCCGTATCACGCTTCGTGACGTTCATGCCTGCAGGACTGCCCTGCAAGCCGATCTCGCCCATACGGAGCGTATTTTGCATAATTGCATGGCCCCTGGCAATCTCTTCCATGGTGGCAGGGTCTTCGTTGGCGATACGCTCATGAAGGGCTATTAGGCTAGGCGGGGGCGTGAAGTAACAAGACACTTCTGAGTCTTTTGCATCATCTGTGTAGTTGCCTTGAAGGTCGGGACCGTGTGCTGCTACCAAGGGCAGAACAGCCAGGACGGCAGCGATGGCCCTGAAAAAGAAGTACATCCTTACTGCTGATGACGAACTTGATACAAACGGGCGTCTGGATAGTGCCAAGTATTAAAATCGGTGCGGTGCTGTCGGTGGCCGGGCCCAGCGCGTGGCGACTTGAACTTCACCAGGACAACACAGCGATCACAACAAAAGCGCATTATTCCAATTCAAGCCCTCGTGGGCGCGGCGCGCGCGTAGTAAAGTATGAGACGGTAATTGTTGTAACTCAATCGGCTCGCTTGGGGTTTAGCCCTAGCAACGGCGTCTAAGAATTGAAGAGCCCTTTCACGAGCCAAGGTAGTGAGTCGCTTAGTATTTCTTTGACCTCTTTGAAGATCCTCTTGCTCTTAATCCGGCAGCAATAACTGGCTAATCGCGGGCGACAAGGAAAGTGACATGTTCTCTCGCTTCAGGCAGCGGCGGCTCCGATCCCAGGTCTAAGCGCCACGAGGCGTGTCTTGCCTCAACATTGCTAAATGTCTATTTTGTGCAAGGTGGCGAATCGCCAGTTACCTATAGTGACTGTGGCTCTCTTTAGGAACACTGCTTGCTTTTACACTGTCTATTCACAAACAAGGTCGAGATGAGAGGACTTGGTTGCTCCACGCACTTGGCCTGCCTGTCATGGAGAAAGCTAATCTGTTGAGTAATACAAACGAGTAGACAGTATTCTTTTTACTTTTCATAAGCATGTACAATTTTATTCTACTTTGATTATCCCTGGCCTATGTAATATGCTGTATAATACGCGGTAGGTTCAGAAGATGGCTGTTTTCCCACCTGCTACCCTGTTCCTGGGAGAGCTTCATCTACATCTCCACCCCGCCTCTGCATGCTTGGCTGGGCATCTTTCGTAATTGCCGCAACTAATCCCCGGCAATGAAGAAGGTACGCCTTCGGACATTTCCATGACCGAGTCCACCAAGATGACTGCCGGACTCTAGTCTTCCCCGCAACAGCTGCCACCTACCATCTTTGGACGATGCGCCGACAGGCTCTTTGCAAATTTAGAAGTCGGCAGATATCCGCCGGTCGACTAGCTGAGCAGCCAAAAGATGGGGTAGATGCTATTTTTGTACAATTTCAGGAACAGCTTCCGCCCCAAGATATCCCAGAAAGCCACAGCAGCACCAAGAACAACAATCATCTCGGATGGAGGTTTCTAGCGAGTGCGGAGACTGTGGCTCTCCTTTCTAGATGAAACTCGTAGAACTTCATCTTTTGACGGACATGTCCAGGTTATACCTTTCAACTTGTCACTTCCTCAAACAAGTGTGTTCCGGAATGCGCAGATCGGCATGCCCGCATATCACTAGCTGCTGGTCCGCATCCAACCAGCTTCCACTTTTGACCGACAAGGCAGGAGGGCAGATTGATTCTCATGGATATAAATTATTCGAAATGGTTTTATTGTCCCATTATCAGGTCGCTTAGTAGTTCACGTACGAGTCAGGGAAGTGATATCATTCGATGCTACATCACCACTCCCCTGGAGGCAGATAGGACAAGTTCTTCCGAAAGGTACGGCTAGAATCCATCTGATTAGTTATTGCATATTTTGTGTGGGAAAAGAGATATGGCCTAGTCGTATTATCGGAACCTTTCAGTTGTCGTTGTGAGTACTGTGATGACTTGTCAAGCAAACAGGTCGCGAGAGCGACAACGAGCTGTGAAAATAAAGCACAAACAAAACTACGAATTGTCATTGAAGCTGAACGAAATACCGATAATGCGAAAGCGATCGTCCGACGGCATTCGTCAATGGAACTGTCAAGCAACTAGTGTGCCTCCTGCGGTAGTCTGCATTAGGCAGGTCATGCAGCCATATTTGAGTATAAGCACAACTCTATCACGATACTCAATCTGCATGAAACCATTCTTTGTGTAGTTTAGGATGCTAAAAGAAGGAAACAACACATTAATGAAAATGGCAGCTCCTGAAAAGCATGATTTGATTGAGGCCTTGTGAGGGGTGGGCTGATGCAAAGCAGCCCCGAGTTTCGAGCGGTGGAACAAAGAAGAATCCGAACCTCATCACCAATGTGGCCCCCAAACTTGACATGGTAACTAGCGTTCCGGCGATACATGGGCGATGGCCTGTGCAGGCCAAGAATAGCCGGCTTTCGAGTCTGGAAAACGGTTGCTGCGGTGGCGCGCATCCAGGCATCACGTATCTCCGTAGTGCTGACATGGAATTGGACAGTTCGCCAAGACGGTCTTGGCGATTTGAGGCAAGTCACATCGAATATAATATCTTTGAAATGACTTAAAGTGGCCCTCTCAGTCTCTTGGTAACAAGATCGGCGGAGTAGTCTTCCGTGAGAAAACAGTGGCTGCCAAAAATGGAAGCTGCTCGGGCAAGTTGTGTGAATAGCGTCGTAGCAGTCTCATGAGTTGCTGGCCGTCTCGTAGCTCTGTCTAGACAAGAAATTGTCTATAAGAGCTCTCGTTCTGCCCGCTGTAGAAGAAGAATTCGTCCATCAAGGTGCACCGCATCAGCCGTTACTCAAACTTCCATCAAGACCCCAATTCTCCCGTCTCCCTCTCTTCACAATGAAGTTCTTCACCCTTGCCGCTGCTCTTGCCTCTGTGGCCGCTGCTGCCCCGTCTGCGGCTCCATCTCCTTTGGACGTCAAGATTGAGTCCGCTGGTAGCTCGGGCGAGGTCAAGGCGACCATCACCAACACCGGCAAGGACAACCTCAAGATCTTCAAACACGGCACCATCTTTGACAATGCTCATACCGAGAAGGCGACCATTGAGGCCAACGGTAAGCTACCTTGCACGCATGAAAAGAGATCAGCACTGACCTGAGTCAAATAGGCAGCAATGTCGAGTTCCAGGGTCTTCGTCTCCGTCTCAGCACTGAGAAACTGACCGACGAGGACTTCCAGAAGATTGATGCCGGCCAGTCGATCGAGGTCACCTTTCACCTCGCCGAGACGCACGACCTGTCCGCCGGCGGCAAGTACTCCGTATCCTCTACCGGCGTGCTGTCCTACGCGACCGAGGCCGACAACAAGCTGATCGGCTCCGTCTCGTACACCTCCAACGCCATCGAGGCCGAGATCGACGGAGCCATCGCCGCGGCCGTCCACGGCGCCATCCAGGCGCGGTACGAGAAGCGCACGCACGTGCAGAGCGACTGCACTGGCAGCCGCCGCACCGGCACCATCAACGCGCTCAAGAACTGCGTCGCGCTGTCCACGCGCGCCGCCGACGCCGCCCGCTCCGGCCCCGCCGCCAAGGTCGAGGAGTACTTCAAGTCGTCCTCCTCGAGCACGCGCAGCACCATCGTCAACGTCCTCAACAACGTCGCGCAGGAGTGCGGCTCGACCGACGGCGGCGCCTCGCGGTACTACTGCACCGACCAGTTCGGCGGCTGCGGCGACCGCGTGCTCGCGTACACGCAGCCGTCGCGCAGCCTGCAGGTCTACTGCGACCTGTACTGGGACGACCTGCCGGCGCTGACGAGCGCGTGCCACCGCCAGGACCAGGCGACGACGACGCTGCACGAGATGACGCACCTGCGCGAGGTGGCGGGCACGGCGGACAATGGCTACGGCTACGACAACATCAGGAAGCTGACGACGGCGCAGAGCCTGAACAACGCGGACAGCTACGCCATGTTCGCCAACGCCATCTACTCGGGCTGCTGAGGATGGCGCGATCAAGACGAGGGATTCTGGAATGAGACATGATGGGCGGGAGAGGAGCTCAAACGTGAAAAGGGAAGGTAGAGGCGATTGCCGTGGCCGACGGCCCGCTGCTGGCCTGGTACATATAGTACATATGCACAAGAAACATGAATATAAGTATACAACACCTGAACTTTTAGCTTCATTATCTTCTTTGCCGTGACTCAGAGAGTGAGACAGAGGAGAAAGGCCTTGTTTATGCTGTCTCATGCGTTGCAGCTGCAGTTGCTCGATGCGACTACACGAAGCAGCCTCATAGGTTGGAGGCTATCACGAGGACGACCATCAGTAGGTCGATCATTTGGCACCTCGGACCCCTTTAAGTTGAAGTTTTTTTTCGTTTAAATTACGTTGGAAAATCGAAAACCAGCCAGAGCGGGATCGCCGCCATCCAAGGATCCAGCAAAGCGTCTTTGCATGGACGCAGCGATGGCGCAATCGCGCCATCGCGACCCGACGACTTGGAAGATAGGGGTTCCGCGGCGACCCCATCTCAGCTCACTCCACAGTTTTTCGAGCGTAGATTGAGTTTATGCAGAGTTTTCACGACTTATTCTGCTGCGATCCATCCAAAGTTTACATAGGATCCTCCGCGTCGGTGCATGGGTGGTTGGTGAAGCCGTCAACAACCGAGACGAGTGACCCGCACAGACATGCACAACTCGCCACCGTGATGCTGGAAAAGCAAGAAACGTGAGAGTGACACGTGCCGTTGATTCTGCGACTGGACTGTGACCACGATAGGCACAGAGGTCGGCTTTCGTGGTCAGCGCGAGTGTTATGATAGCCGTATGGATCAGCCTGGTGGGAACGTTGTGTGTTGTAAGACATGCAGGCAACTATGAAGCATCGATAAAGCTTATTGTTATAAACTTGGATCACATGGTATTTGTGTTATTTCACATTCCAGCCCCCTTGCACCCCAACTTGGAGTAGTCGAACCACCGGGCGAGGACTCGCAACCAGCTGCCCGGACCTGAGAGCGACTAGTACCGATTAATTTCAGAGCCGATACTACTCGTGCTACTTCTTTTTATTAATCAAATGTTGCGTATTATTGGATGGAAGCTCCAAGCTCCTCCCGGCATCGGGATGAACCTGTGGCTCTCAATGTTACCCAGCCACACGGAGATCCTCCGACAGTGAACCCGCTTGCAAAGCTGCGCGGGACTCTGTACCATCCGATGAAGCAAGATTTCAGCAGTAGGGCGCAATCGTCAATTTGGAGAAGAGCAGGTTTTCCCCCAGTCGTGGCGACTGGGAACTGAAGTAGACACTGCACGCGCGGACCCAGCATGGGTCAAGGGAGCGTCTCATGTGAAGTAGGGGTTTAAAAACAGAAAGATAAATTTCATATTCTTGCAAGATAGAATTGGGTAGAAAATCGCATGCCTCATGGTCGCGCTATGTAGGTTGCTAGACGCAGTTCCCAAGCTTCCGCTCTCAAAGCTCTGTTGCCATGTAAGCAAAGCTGTTTCTTTATATCATGGAGATATTCAACTGGGACATTCTCCCACGACATTTGCAAATCAGTGCACTGTTTGATGTCAAAAATTTACGGGCTTTGAGATGTTGCACATTGGATATTCCAAATTGAACGCTCTCAAGGTCCTACCTAGACTTCTCAACAAACCTGGTGTTGGCGTTTGCACGTCGAGTTACACAACATGAAAAGCCATTCGCTACCCCGCTTCAACCAATTTGCCAGCTCAAAGAGAAAAGCGCTCGAGGTGCCAGATGTGCGGGAATACTTTGCTCTCTGCACAATGTGTACGTTTCAACTCATGTTCTCCTTCAACTAAAATTCCATCTATCACCGTGAAAGAACGAAAAGCTCTATTGTCACCATTTGGCTCAGGCCGCGTGGCATGGAAGCAGGATCGTGCTCCGGCACACCTCACCTGAAAACGAAGGCATCTTCGACTTCATCCTCCTACTACACAAAGCATGTGAGGGGACTGGTCTACGCTAGCCAACAAGGACGGCGTTGGACGTCAAGATGTCAACAGTTTTCTTGACTACGCTGGGCAGTTCCTTGTACACTTGGGTAATTACTACGTAGGTTCGAAATGCGTGGAATGACAGAAGAACCAGTTTTAATAGAGCATAGGCCGATGGGAACTGCAAGGTAGTCCCGCGAGTTTCCGACTATGCCATTCGCAAGAAGGCGAGTATCTCGCCTGTAACGACTTCTCTGCTTGACAAGATTATCCACCCCGTTCTCGCCACACACCGAACAGCTTAGGCTATCCGGGTCCTGGCACACAGTCAACGAACTACCTTGGTCCCGAAGGTACCACAAAGGGGGAGATCACCGCGATCGCCGAGATTATGGACAAGAACTCGATCGAGCCTGAAAACACTCGCCTTACTAAAACAGTCGAGGGGAGTGCTCCCATCCTCCATATTCTACAGGCATCCGCCGAGACCTCGTCGGCTACCACTGAGTTGCCTGGAGGCGACCATGGGCTGACCGTGCGTGTTGCACCTGGAGATCACGCAGCCGAACTCTTCAAAGTCTGCGCATCTCTCCAGGAGGCTGCCAAGTACACGTCGAATGACACGCAGGTGAAGATCCTGAGCGAGTACGTCGAGTCCTTCACCACCGGGAGCATCGATGCGTACCGCAAGTCGCAGAAGACTTGGGCTACCGATTTATCACCCAGGGTCGAGAGCATCTTCGGCTTCGTAGAACCGTACCGGGATCCACACGGCGTACGCGCCGAATGGGAGGGGATCGCATTTCTCGGACAACAACTAACATGGGCAGCACTTGCGTGTTGTGCGAGCGTTGTGTGGGATGGTGTCAGTTTGCCGAATGTATGAGTCCTTCCAGCTTACCCCTACTGAAGCTTGAGCCGGGCCTCTGTTGTCAAGGGCTCTACTGACCGCCCTTACAATATAGCGATATCCGCGAGACGTGTGGCTTGGAGGACGAGGCCAGCATCCCAGATTGTCAGCGCAGGTCTCCCCTCCACCCCATAAGTGTTTCCCTGATCAGTAACACCAGTCATCTATTACGTGTACCTGACGATCGGGACCAAGGGCATCGACGCCCTCGCCTCATTCAACGCGGAAGACCAATCTTGGGGTGACCAGCACGCCAGGGTAAGCCCGCTCCCCCTGCTCAGCGACCGGACCGAGACCACTAACAAAATCTAACACTAGGGCTCGTTCGCAATTCTGAGGCACTTGCTGGAGGATGGTGGCTGCACCATCGCCGTCGATCACTCGGAGGGAAACCTGCACGTCCGCGTCGATTGCTCCAAGATCCTCTCGCACGGCAAACCTTCGCTGGGCCGGCTGCTGCTTCGCTTGCACGTTTGGCGCTGCGCTGCGGACAGCGAGGCGTGCAGGGAGTTCTACGGACGGTTGAGCGCCGTTGACGGCCCGTTTGAGGCTTGGAGGCAGGCCGCCATAGCAGCGTGGTCGAACGAGAGCTCATCGCTCGTGCAGTTAGAGCCTGGATCGAAGATTGTACAGCCAAATACCATTCTTGAAGGGGATGGCCGAGTGGTGTTGAAGTTGTATGACGCCAGCGATGAAGACATCATCCAGTAGTTCGCAGACAGAGATATTTGATGTTTTTAGGATTCGGCTCCTACTTCTAGTGGTGCGGTTTACCATGTTAGTTGCATTTCATGGGACTACCCGCCGGCACCACAACTAGGAGGTATGTAAGTGAGGCCGGTTCGCTTCGGCAGGCTATATTTATCCATCTAAGGACACGACGCTTTTCTTCGACAATTTCCGACGAGATATTCACTCCTTCCTTCCTAATGTGCATGTCGATGGCCATAACGTAAAATTGAAACTTAGGGCTAAATCCTGCGGGTGGGCTACACGGAAATGATCGCGCGAACAAGGTACGATGTTGCGTGCTTCTACCCTCCAGCAAATCACCGCCTTCCTTCCGCATTTCCGCTCTTTGCCTGCATCCTCCGACAATCAGGCGGGGATCACTATGCAGACAGGCCACAACAGACGATCGTGGGCTGGGGCAGGGTTTCTGTAAGACCCCTTTGTTGTTTGGCCGCCTCCTCCGAGCCTTTCCTACATCCCCCGTCAGCATCATCGAAGCATCTGCCTGATGGCTGCCATCTAGTCTCAACGCCATCATGACGTGATCTATCGGCATGCCAATTGGAGATATCCGACCCAGCTCTCGCAGCACATGACGGCTTCGGCTTGCATCCTGCATCGAACTATTGCCAATGTGCCCAGACTATGGCTGTGGGCGTAAATTTCCGACGACGCGAACCCTGTCGTTTCGAGGCTTTCTCATCCAGTCCCTCGCAGGACGTCTGCACCATGCAAAACGTGGTAGCCTTGTCTCAAACAACAATCACGAAACAGGGAAGTCTTGGTAATTTCGGTCAATTAAAAAAAGGTCCCGCCTACTTGGTACGAATATCGCGCAGCGCCACGGAGTATCGCTGCAAAAAGGGAAAAAAAATCAGGCCGTACAAGTCATGAATTTCTCACAGCGAAGCTACCACGCCAGCTTTGTCCTGCCCTCCTCAATGTGAATGCCAAACTGCTTGCTGGCCAGCCCGTAGCTCTGGCCCACCGCCTCGCTCCCGTAGACGCGCATCTCCTTCTCGTACGCCGCCGTGAGGCCCTCCGCAAAACCCCCTGCCTCGCCAATCAAGCGACCCAGCAGCGCCGAGTCCCTCAGCGCCGTGTTGGCGCCCAGCCCGCCCGCCGGAGTCATGCTGTGCGCCGCGTCCCCTATCACCGTCACCCTCGGCTCGTTCGGCCACTGCGGCACGCCCGACGGGCTCGAACACGTAATCTTCCAGAAAGCCGCCTCCTCCTCGCGCATGCCGTCCACCAGCGCGCGGAACCGCGGGTGCCAGCCCTGCGTCAGGTCCTTGGCGATGGACGCCGCCACGGGCCCGACGATGCTGTAGTCGTCGTTGGGCGCGCGGATCGTCCCCGGGCGGCCGGTCATGGTCCACCCGAACACGAGGCTCGGGTCGTCCAGCTCGCCAGGCCGCACGTTGGTGATGATGCTGACGCCGTCCGGCCCGCGCAGCGAGAAGACGCCCTCGCCGAGGCCCCGGAACGACGTTGTCGGCGCCTGCCCGTGGATGCCGCGCGCGCCCGTGTCGTACGTCTTGAGCCGCCCGCCGGACACCTGCTGCGCCACCTTGGAGTAGATGCCGTCGCCGGCGACGAGCAGCGCGCCCTCGTCTGACTTGCTCCCATCCTGGAAGACGGCGCGAACGCCGCCGGAGGTCAGCTCGTAGCCCGCGACTCTCTTGTTCCACTGGATGTGGCTCTCCAGGCCCTTAGCGAAGATCTGTCGCATGTCGCCGCGCGCCATGCCAACCACCTTGCCGCCGCGCGAGGAAAGCCCGCTGCCGACGGTGAGCGTCTCGTCGATGGACTCGCCGGTGACGGCGTCGAGGATGGAGAGCCCGGCGCCGCCCGTCTTGCCGCTCTTGCTCCAGAAGAGATCCCAAAGCTCGGGGCTGAGAACGGACTCCACGGCGTCGAGGCCCTCGACGGACAGCCGGAGGCGGTACCCTTGCGCGCGGAAGACGAACGAGGAGTCCCGCTCGAATATTTGAAAAGGGATTCTGGAGCGTAGCAGAGATTGGCCGAGGAGCAGGGACGAGAGGCCACCGCCCGATATGAGAATTGGCTTCGCCATGGTGAGTTCAGTGTGTGTTGCGTGACTTGTTTGCTATGTTGTTGTGAACTAGAAGTAAAAAATGAAATCTACGGCTTGGGAATTTATATTAGAAGCTGGAGATTGATTTATCAACCAACTCGGACAACTTTTCGTGACCCGGATCCGGCGCGGAGAGCGAGCACCGATGGGTGGCCTTGGTGGGTGAAGCTTAATTGTAAGCAGCCGCGCGGGAGGGCAGCTACAATTGTCAGCCAGCAGCATGCTTTTATTAGTGCGTTGAGAGCTGTAGCTTTGTACTACGCGTCGATCTGGAGGCATTTCCGTAGATTACAAAGCCAATGTCAGAAACTTGACAGATATGCTTCTTGTTTCCTTGATTTCTCGGCTATCTACCTACGAATGCGTTCTGCGTATCGTCATGGTAGAGTCGACAATGAGGTACTCGCGACTCCGAAATTGACAGCAGCCATGGGGCCTCTCAGTCCGAACTCAGCTACAAGTTTCCTGCGAGCCAGGATGGAGACCGCCAAGTTGTGAGTGTACCCACACTGCTTCCCTCAAACACTGAGGAACAGGGCAAGGTGCTTGATCTATCTCGCGAGGTATACATTCGTGGAGAGGCTAGAGAACTGCTCGACACGTCCTCTGCTCCGAATGCATGGGTGACCAAGCGCGCAGCCAACCATTCAACGGTGGATGCATGTTAAACATGGGGATGTGATGTCTTGGCCAGGACAAGGTTGAAGCCGTTGTGTGAATCTCCGACCCCTATTATTGGACTCCATCATCAAGCAACATGTGTGACTGTGGGTTTCGGTTTGGCTGCAGCAGGCAGAACAAGAACAGGTGGACAAGAAGGTTGGCAGGCTGGTATGGAAGGAAGGCGCAGTGGGGGCCAAGATAAGGTCATGCAAGTGGCGGAGGGCTCCTCTGATTGGCTAAGATAAGATAGCCACATCCCGCTATTGGTGCAATTTAAGGCTACGCCCATATTTAGTACGTAGCCCCATCTGCAAAGCAAGCTGGTGATTTCTAAGCAGGCATTCCGTGTACCCATTTGCGCGTTGGTAGGGCGTAGAAGTACCGCACCACATTGTCTCGGTCCGCCAAAACACAATGAAAAAAAGTGACATCGCTACGTTACCACAATACCCGCTGCAGGGCCCACCCAACCCAAGCTGTCCTCGTGCTGTTCGCGGCGGATAGGGCGCTGCGGCCGCCTGGAATCCTCGGCAATACTCACTTGGTACCACCCCCCAGCCTATGTAGAACGGTATCGGAGCCCCTCGGCGAGCGAAAAAAAATCCGCACCACCAAGACACACAGCATCCCCTGCCGACATACTAAAGTTAATCCACCACCACGCCCCGCGTTGACTCTCTCCGCAAGCACCCACGAACGCTTTCTCTTCCACCATCACAATCCAACAAACACGGCATCTGACGACCTCTCCGCCACGGATTCCATCTCGTCGATTTTTATCACGGATTTTCTGTTCTTGCAACACGATTGCGACCGATAAATCCGACCCGGCCTTGCGCGACCAGTAACCGTGCGACCCTACAGAACTTGAGACAGTCATTGACAGGCCTGATTTGACGTCTCCCATCCCCGACGACAATCCATCAATAATCATCCGAGAAAATCGTCAAAAATTACCAATCCAGACGCAAACCACCATCACGACCAAAATGTCCAACTACAACGGTCGGCACGGACCTAACGTGTCCCATTACCTTCGCGACCTCAACACCATTTCTCCCCAAGAAAGCTCCGTCGACGAGAACTTCAACATGGAGAGTGACCTTACTCTCTTCACAAACACCGAGTTCTTCGACTTTGAGACGGGCCAAAACACCGATTTCCAGGCCCAGCCCGTCAAGGAGGTTGCCCATACCACACCCTCATCCGACGATGTGAGCGCTGCTCCGTCTGTCATGGGCGATATGCCCAACTTGGACTTTATTTCCAGTATGTATCTTTCACTTTTACGTCTGTTTTTGTCATTTTGATTTGCATCTCTATGCTTTTTACCTTTCTTGCCCTGTTCAATCATGGTTACGCCATATCTACTGCCCAATTTGGGCCTGGCTCGTCACCACTGTTAGCGCCTCAGAAACCTGGTTGCAAACTGGGTGACTGGACTGGTTCAGCTTCAGCTTCACCCCTCCACTTGCAAATCAGCCTACACCACGCCTGCATCTGTGCCTCTGGCACAATATCCCCGCCTCTTTGCAAATTGCGACATGGCACTCCGGCGCGCCGTTAGGAACAGCCAGCTGTTCCTACCAGCCTGTCAAGAGCGTCTCCTGCGCTGCAAGTGGGGCAAAGAACAGGGAGTCTGGGGCTTACAAATGGCGGGACCGATGGTGCAATATCTCGTGATGCCGGGGCCCCTCAGTCAACACCACCCAATCTGGCCTGGGCCGCACGGCCTCGGTGCGATGAACGCAGATCGAGGGCCGTTGATAAGGTTGTCATCTTGCTATAGCCTTTTCTTCGGCCCCCGACCTGTCTGCTATCTACTGCTTTTTTTCCCTTTGCAAACATCTCCCGTCTTCTCTCTACTCGCAATTGCGGTGCTTGCCTCTGCGGCGGCACAATGCTATACACCACAGATCGCAGTTGACTAACACGGCCGCCTCCACTAATAGACGAGTTTGCCTTCAACGAGTTCAACAACACCTATGCGCCCCAGATGAACACCTTTGCCGACGCCAACCACAACTTCCAGCCTCTGCAGCCCAACCATGGCGCCCAGATGCCTCACCAGAACCCGCAGTACCACGGCGCTCCCGCCCGGACGGCCGAGGTCAAGCACAAGGCCGAGCCCATTGCCCCCCAGACGCAAGCCATAAACTTCGAAGAGGCCTCGCGCGTTGCTGCTGAGGAGGACAAGCGCCGCCGCAACACCGCCGCCAGCGCCCGCTTCCGCATCAAGAAGAAGCAGCGCGAACAGGCCCTCGAGAAGTCTGCTAAGGAGATGCAGTCCAAGGTGACGGACCTTGAGAACAAGGTCTCGCAACTTGAGACGGAGAACAAGTGGCTGAAGAACTTGCTCGTTGAGAAGAATGAGGGTAACGAGGACATTTCTGCTCTCTGGAAGGAGTTCACAAAGCAGGCCGGCAGCAAGCTCAACAAGTCTACGGGGTCAAGTACGGCCACCTCCGCAAAGGAGGAGCGGTAGCTTCGCCTATCCGTGTAGTGGCTTGCCTGCCTCTGCACACCGGACGTTGCAGAAAAGTTAGAATGCTTTGAACCTTTGCTACAAGGACGAAAGCTGGCGTTGTTTTCCTTCTCGGTGGATCCTTCTGGTTTCTCGCTATCTTTTTTCTTTATTTCTTTTATATATGGGAAGGATGTTTGATTTATGTCTCCGGAAGGACGGAGCTTTGGTCTCATCGGTGCATGAGCTGGGCATGGGGCGGTCATGGGTACGCGACAATGGAGTAGACTGAGCAGCGGGCGGTCTGGCTTGAACAAACTGTGGGACAACTATGACGATAGACTCTGGTTGGCAGTTGTGGAACGTGTCTAGATGAAATATGTCTTATGATTTGATTGCCTACTTTTTCATATATACGCGATATATATACGTTTATCTGTCCTCGGACTTCTGTGGAAGGTTGTTGAGAGGTGAATTAGATGCAAGTGAGGAGAAAGAATACAAGGCATCAATTTTTAGTTACTTTCATTATTCAACCTTGATACACAGCTCATGTGGTGGGCTACATTCATGGTTTTTTTTTTTCAACATGGTGAAGCAAAGAGACCGTAATTGTCTACAACAAAATATACATGCATGCCCATACGAGGTACACATAATAATGCCTTTGTACAAACACGTGTATTATCATATTGTCTTTATCAACATGAAACTGATAAAATGACAACTGGTAAGCTACATCTAAAATTCTCATTTTACATGTTTGTTCTTGCAATCATGGAATTATCAAAACCGCCGCCCGGTAATGAAGCCAAATATCAGCCGCTATTCTAGTATACAATGCATCATTAAAGGGTTGTTTCAATCCTCACGGTTTCCATTCGCGCCCACTCCTATCCGTCTGTCCGTTTTGGATAGATATCTCTTCCCATCCCGGCATGCACTCACAAATCATTGCGCGCCGCCGCCCGTGCCCTCCTCCTCCTCCTTGCGCTGCTTGAGCGCGTCCAGGCGCTGCTTGTTGCGCCGCCCGACCATGCGCACCGTCGTCTCGCGCTCCGCCTCCGTCATCTCCTTCCAGTTGGCGATGCGCGCCACGGTGCCGTCGACGTTGACGACGAGCGGGCCCAGGTCGGAGAGCTTGACCGTGGAGCCCCCGCCGCTGACGTCGAGCGTGATCGGGGTGCCCTCGCCCGGTGCGGGCAGGCCCTGTTGGCTTTTCGCGGTGGCGGCGTCGTCGCCCTCGTTGGTGCTGTCCCTGGATGACGACGACGAGTACTGTGTTGCGGTAGACATGGTGAAGCGGCGAGAGGGAGGGACAAAGGGGCGGGGGCGGACGGCAGACGGGGTGGCACAGCGCTGTAGGGAGTGCCGGGCGAGAGCTACAAAGATGGCGCAGGGCATTGGGCAGTGCGATGATGTTTGGACTTGGCCAGAGCTGCAGATTGAGAAGTGGTCTACTGCCGTGCGTGCTGTTCTGCCGTGCGTGTGTTGTGTTGCCTGTGGCAGTGATGTACCAACATCACAACATTTGAGGCTGGCAGAAATGGAGCAGTTTTTTTCCATGGGCTTGGCGATTCTTAGCTGCAATTGGTGGGTTGGGTTAGCTGCCCCGATGCGCCCCCGGCAGCCAGGGTCCGAGACAGGCTGTTGTTGTGCAACCTCGAAGAGCCATTCTACTTCTGCGTTGCAGGATGATATAAGAAAGCCCAAGGCTCAAGGGGTGTTAATTGGTACATCGTCTCACTTGTAAGAGACTGTTTCCGTCTTTGTCTGGCTGTTTTGTGCAACTCTCTTGGACCAGCCACGTTGTCATTCATCCGATGCGATGCCACCAGTGAGACTTGCAGTGGAGCAAGCTGGGGGTGACCTGCAGTGCTTCTGCAGAGCTTCGGGATATATGTGAGGGGCGCAAGTCTGTCTGTGTGTAACGTCGTGGCTTTTTTCCTGAAGCATAATGACGACTCATATAAGACAAGGCTCGCCGTGTTTCTTTTGTACAGAGCTATGGCCAGCCCTTGGCGTCATAGGAGGCCGCAATGTGAACAAAACAAAGGTCGGATGGAGCTCCCCGTTTCGAGCTTTCGGTGTACCAGACAACCAGCATTGGTACTGTCCTTTGCTTGCGCGCTCGGGTCGGAGCTTTTAATGCCTCAAGCAATAGCATCGTGATCAATTTCCGGATTGGCCCGAAATCGTCTCCAAAAGGTCTGTTATATAGCCTCAGCCCCTTTTAATGAGACCGAGAGGGTTACCGTAGGGTCCGGATTCGCCATGGATGCACCCCAGCTTCGAGGGACCGGCCCGCGGATGGCGATCACCACTTGTCATGCAGCTAGGCAGACAGCTAGGGTAGGTGAGAGGGAAACAGTGAGCCGGTTTTGTCACCGAACGAAGCCAATTCCCGTCCTTGAGTCCCCGATGGCGATGGGTTGTTTGTCGCTATTTGTGTCTTTCAGCTCTAGGTTCGGACCATTTCGCTAGTCATTAGTTTTGGACCAGAATGTGGCGTTGTGCATGCTCACCCGGTTGCTTTTGGTCCGGGCCATCCTGCCTGTCCCGTGTCAACGGACCCTGGCCGTCCAACACGTCCGACCCCAGCATTGGTGGGTGCCGAATTTCCGAGCGGTTTTGTGTGTGATACGGAGTACGTATACAGAGTGTGCTATGGCAGATAATTGGATGGTCAGTTTAGACGTGCGTGCGTATACGTGTGAGAAGAAGGCTAGCTGATGTTTGCGCTGTGCCATGGATATGACAAAAACAGCGCATTGTGCAGACGAGGTCCATCATCACTGGTTGGCAGCTGGCGGTTAGAAGCTGGCAGCTGGCAACGGCTCGCGTTTGATGCTTTGGAGGGGCTCACATTAGCAAAGCCCGCCTAAAAAAAACTACATGAATAAATAAAATAACTAGACCGCCCTCCCCCATCTTACATCGAGCCACCCTGGGCCCTCACCAGCGAGCGCTTCTTTTTTTCCATGACTCGATTCCCCGCGTCCTCCCGTCAATAAACCTCTGTCTCCTCCTCTATTTCTACGTCGTACTTTGCTTCTTCATCATTACTTCCGTGGCTCTCTTAACGCCATCTTACTTCTGACCTTGTCTCCCGTCACCCCAACAGTGACGCCGCATCGCGAAACGCTCCAAACGCACACCACCGCCACCACCACCATCGCCGTCACTATGTTTAGCGGCCGCAAGTTCTCCTTCAACCGTCACACCGGCGCTCCCAAGCCCATGGCCAGACGTTTCTCCAACGCTGAGCCCGGTTCTAACGGTACGTCAATCTTTTCTACAAGGTGTTTTTGTTTCCGCGCATTGCGACGCCCGACGTTGCTGCCCAGCCCACCACGTCAAATCGGCCTTCGTCCAACAAGCTACCCCGCCAAAGCAACTGCGCAGACAACGCCACCAATGCGACGCAGGGCGAGGCAGCCACCAATGTCTCCCAATGCAGCCCAGTCATGTACAGAAAGTCGGCGGAATGATGCTAATATTGTCCTAATACAGAGGTTCAATCCAAAGTCCACCGCCAATTCCGTAATGCCCACGAAGGCCACATGCCCCATGCTGGTCTCGACGCCAGCCGCGCCTCCACCGGTGTCGTTTGGTGCACTGAGCGCGCTTGCGAGTATGGCTTCATGGAGCACCCCGAGGAATGGGCCAATCTCGGCCAGGGCGCCCCCGAAGTCGAAGATGACATTGCCGGCTGCTTCCCCCGCCCCAACACTATCGACATCTCCATGGCTGCTCGCGAGTATGGCCCCACAGCCGGTATTAAGCCTCTCCGCGAGGCTGTCGCCAAACTCTACAACGAGTCCCACCGCAAGGGCAAGGAGAGCCAGTACACTTGGGAGAATGTCGCCATTGTCCCCGGTGGCCGTGCTGGTCTGATCCGTATCGCCGCCGTCCTTGGCACCTCGTACCTGTCATTTTTCTTGCCCGACTACACGGCTTACAATGAAATGCTGAGCTTGTTCAAGAACGTATGCCGAGCCTCATCTATTTATCCTGGCCATGAAGATCACACTGACAATATTAGTTTGCTGCCATTCCCGTTCCTCTCTCCGAGGACGATGGCTACCATATTCACCCGAATAAGATTGCCGAGGAAATCTCTCGCGGTACATCCGTCATCCTTACATCCAACCCTCGAAACCCTACCGGTCGTGTCGTCGCGAACCCCGAGCTTGCCGAGATCCAGGATATTTGCCGTGGCCGTGCCACCTTTATCAGCGACGAGTTTTACTCCGGCTACAACTACACCAGCAACTGCGACGGAACCACCATCTCTGCTGCTGAGAACGTCGAGGATGTCGACGAGGACGATGTCCTGATTATTGATGGCCTTACCAAGCGATTCCGACTTCCTGGTTGGAGAATCGCGTGGATCCTTGGTCCCAAGGGTATGTAAAACCTCAAAGGCCGACTGAGCATGTGCTGACATATGACGATAGAATACATTAGCGCGTTGGTAAACCCGTCATCTACAGAGACTTCGTGATACTAACCATTTGTAGCATTGGCTCTTGCGGTAGCTACCTTGATGGCGGTGCCAACCACGCATTCCAAGAGGCTGCTCTGCAGTTCCTTGACCCTAACCTTGTCCAGCAGGAGATGGTGCACCTGCAGCGTCACTTCCGCGACAAGCGTGACTTTGTCGTCAAGCGCCTCCGCGAAATGGGGTTTGTCATCAAATACGTTCCCGACTCTACCTTTTATCTGTATGTTCTTCACTTAGGTCGACGGGGGATACTGGATCTCATACTAACTTTACACTACACAGCTGGCTGAACCTGGAGGGTCTCCCCGAGGCCATCTCTGACGGTCTCAACTTCTTCCAGGCCTGCTTGGAGGAAAAGGTCATTGTTGTACCTGGTATCTTCTTTGACCTGAACCCTTCACGCCGTCGTGATTTGTTTGACTCGCCCTGCCACCACTTCGTGCGATTCTCGTACGGCCCAAGAATGGACGTCCTGACCAAGGGTCTGGACAGGATTGAAAAGGTCGTCACCAAGTATGTCTCACACTCTTCATGCCACCGCTGCTACCGCAAGTACTAACGTAACCTGTAGGTTCAGGAAGCAGGCCGCGGAGAAGCAGGCTTAGGCTTCGACTTAGACTAGATGGCGTGTGAGGGGGGATGGAGGACCGACCGCCTGTGATGAGTTTTATGGACAAATGAGCACATGTTTGAGTATGATTGACTGTATTTACGCCGTCATATTTTAGTATATGAAGCTGCAATTGTCTCAACATTGGAAACCTCGTCGCCCGCTAACAGACATCATAGCTCAGCCTCACAAACACCGCCTAGCCGCCCGACCCAGTCAAGAACCCCCTCTGCCCTACTAGACTACCCAGGCGGAAATAATGGCAGACTGTAGCATCTCACAGGAATGCATCATCCGTGCCAAGCCAGAGCGAAACTTAAAAAAAATTCCACTTCGGCCGCAAGGCACACCGAGAGATCTGGGGCGATGCAGCCTTCGCCCCAGGTGCCTTGGTGGCTGTGCATGCGCTGTGTCATGTGGCGCATCCGGTCAGTCACACAACACAACGACGAGGCATTCAACCAAGAAAAACAGAAATGCCATCATCATCATATTAATCATGTTGATACTGAAAGGGGGGTAGGTGTAGCTTGTTGTCAGTGTAACTGTAGCGGCTTCTTGTCTTGAGGTGAGTCCGGCGCGTAGAGGGAGGCTGTGCGTGTCAAGAGTTCGTGGCGTTGAGTTACACATGAGGTCAAAGTGGCAGCAGCTTCCCGCATGTCTTGTTTGTAGAAGGGATATAAAGTGCACTTCTTCCATACATCCATGTCGAGTTTTCTTCAACCCACACTCATCAGAACATCAAACCCGGAGCTTCTTCAACATCTTTGCCGTCTGCAGTCAACAATCTACCTCGTTCAACTTCAACTTGACAAACACCAGCCCTCACACACCACCAGTATAGCTGAAAAGATGAGCGAAAAGAAGAGCGGATCGTTGACAGCTTTCTGTAATGCGGCGCGGAGACGTGGTAAGTAGAAAGATGTTGATATTCCATCTAGTATTATCCACTAACATTCATCAAAAGCTTCTTCCTTCAGAAGCAATGGCCCTTCCGCCAGCGATCCCCCTCCCGTCGAGAATTCAGCGCCGCCCCCTGCCTACACGCGAACGCCGCCCGTCGAGGTGCCGATGACGTCCGTCAGCATGCCAGCTATTCCCGCTATGCCCGCCATCATGCCGGTGGCGTCTCCCGCTTACACGCCTGTCTCTGGCGACGACGACGAGCACGCCTTCCTCGCCAAGTTCGACACCGTCTTTCTCATCGACGACTCAGGCTCAATGGCCCACCCAAGCCGCCCCGGGGCACAGGCCAGCCGTTGGGATGAAGTCAAAAGCTTGCTGTGTGCCGTAGCGCCCATCTGCACCAAGTACGACAAGGACGGCATAGACATTTACTTTCTCAACCACAGGAGCCCCTCACGGTCTTTTGGCACCCATCAGGGCGGATACTCCAATGTGTGCAGCGCCAAACAAGTAATGAGCATCTTTCAAGGTATCGGTTACCCAAGTGGCTGGACGCCGACGGGCGAGCGCCTCGATGATATCCTGTCTCCGTACATGGAAAAGGTGCGGGCTGCGGCAACCAGCAGCCAAGGTTTTAGCAAAGTCAAACCGCTCAACGTCATCGTCATCACCGACGGCCGGCCCTCGGACGACCCGACCGGCGTGCTGATGAACGTCGCAAGGGAGCTGACGCGGCTGCACGCGCCGGCGTCGCAGCTCGGCGTCCAGTTCTTCCAGGTCGGCACGGATGCGAAGGCGCGCGAAGCGCTGGCCCAATTAGATGATGGCCTGGTGGAGGAGGCCGGAAGAGACATTGTCGACGCCGTGACATGGGACAACGGCGTGGGCACCCTGACGGCAGACGGTGTCTTGAAGGTCGTGCTAGGTGCTGTCAATAAGAGGCTGGACCGGAAGCCCATGGCGGGGAACCAGGCTAGAAGATGATTGAATGTCAGGTACTGAGTGGTTGCTACATTGTAGCGGGATGTCGGGAATGGTGATGGGATGGATAATTTGGGCATCTTGTGTCGAATTTACATCTAATTTTCACTTATCTGATTGGATAGAGTGAGTGACAATCGTTAGTTTCTTGATAAAGCATGTTGTATTTACTCTTGTCCCTTGTGCATTGCGAGGTCGTCCTCGACCATTTTTGTACTCCATAGAAGAAAACTGTCTGTGTCATAATCCGTCCTTTCCCATCTTGCAGTGTTCTTCACTGTTTTATAAAGAAATCAATCATAGTCTCAGCAAAGAACCGAATCCTTCTCTCCAATCATCTCCAAGGAAGTCACTTTTCCTAAAAATAGCTGCGTAACCGATGCGACGTCTGCCCAAAGAAAAAGAGCACGTTTCATAACCGAAGGCCGTTTTGCTTCAAAATCCATAAAAAACGTAATAAAGGGGAAGGACAGGGAGAAGGAAGATAAAGTCCTGTAAAGAAAAGCAGACTTGCTTGCAGTAACACAGGGCCGTGTGGCTTCGCACCTCTCTCTGCACCTCGGCCAGGGCCGCCAGGAGGAGAAGACAAAACACGAGGCCCACTCTAAAGCAGCCAACCTCACTGATCAATGCATACAAAACACGTCGGCCAGGGAGACCGAGTGCGCCGAGATATTGGTGCCTGTGTCGTTGCGACACGTGATGACGGGCGTGGTGACGAGGGCGACGCGCCAGTGCTTGGCCTGCAGCTCGTACGGATCCATGCGCGGCCAGATGGGCAGCATGGACTGGCTGGAGAAGCGGCTGCCGATCTCGGGGAAGCGAAAGTCGAACGTGAGGCGGGAGGTGAGGATGCGCGACGACAGCGCCCACGCGTGCTCGGCCACCTGTGCCATGTCGCGGCAGGCGTCGGCCGGGTTGGCCAGCCGGTTGAGCAGCGGCTGCAGGTTCGCGAGCAGCGTGCCGGCCACCTCGTCCACCTTGCACTTGTGGAAGGACGAGTCGTGCTCGTGCGCGAGGATGCCGTCGATGATGGCCGCCTGCCTGTCGAGCAGGGGCTGGCGAAACGCAGAGGGTTGGCCTGGCGGAAACAGGTCAACAAGTCCAGGTCTACAAGAAGAAGAGAGAAAGGCAAATGAAGAAAAAGAAAAAAAGAAAAAAAAAACAAGACTCACCCAGCATCCTCTCCATGTCCCGCTCCAGCTCCATCAGCGAGTACGTCGACTCGTCGTCCGCGCCGCTCCAGGCCGCGGGCGTCCACACGCGGTTGACGATGTAGTCGATCATGACGCGCGTCACCAGGCATGCCTTGGAGTTTTCGTTGCGCAGGTGGTACTCGAGGTACGACGCGGCCTCGGCCGGCGACAGCGGGTGGTACGTCGCCAGCAGGATCGGCCAGAGCCCCGTCGAGCTCATCTTCATCGACGACGCGTGGTCCGGTTGGCTGGTGTGGCGCTCGACGAACGCCCGGATGACGGCGTAAAAGTCCATGATGCCGTCGTGCCACGCCGCCACCGTCCGCTCGTTCATGTGCACCAGCGGCGCGATGGTCGGCGCGGCGGGGACGAGGCAGCTGCTCGGGACGCCGTTGTTGTTATTGTTGTTGTTGTTGTTGGGGTTCAGGCTGACGCCGCCGCCGGGGGTGTCGGAGCCGCCGGCGGACGGAGGCGGGGCTTCCTGCAGACGACCGTAGCGGCCGCGAGACGCAGCGGTCGGGGTGCGAGGATAGTAGTCGCGCGAGCTGCCGTTGTTGTTGGGACCGGGACCTGCAGCAGCGGCACCGCCACCGGCACCAGCACCGTTGCTAAAGGACGGCATCGACGCATGACGCCCACCACCACCGCCGCCCCCGGGGTGGTTGTCGCTAGAGGACGGAGTAGGGTTCCACGGGTAGAACTCGGTCGCGTTGGGGCTAAAGTGCGAGCCGCCGCCGCCGCCGCCGCCCTGTTGGCCCGGCGCTGTCCTGCGGCCCAGGGAACCGGCGCGGCTAAACGACGACAGGGCGAACCGCTCTCCGCCACCACCAGCACGCGGCGGTGGTGGTGGAGCGGGAGGTTGGTCCCAAGAAGAGGAGGCAGAAGCGGAGGCAGAAGCGGAGGCTGGGTTGCCTCGGCGAGCCACGTACGGCGCCGCGGATGGTGGACGTGCCGGGCCACGAAGGCTGCCGCCGATGGGGGGAAGCTGCGCAGAGGGCCGTGCGTAAAAGTCAGGCGAAGTGATGCCACCGCTGTCCACGTCGCCGCCACCAGGACGGCCGTAGTCCTGACGCACATCACTGACGTTGTTGTTATGGAAGCTGCTGACCCGAGTGATGTTTTGTCGGAGAGAGATGAGCGCGTTCTGGGCGACGGGGAAGCCGTCCGCCGAGTCGCGCATCGTCTCGATGGCGCGGGCTAGCGACTGCTCGTCCGGGTGCTTCATGACCCAGAGGGCGCGTCGCCCGTTGACCTGGTCCTCCAAGTGCCTGTTGGTATCCTTGAGGGCCTTTGCCCCAGCCTTGTCAGCATCTTACAAGAAAGGGGCTCGAAACACCATGTACTAACCTTGATGAGCTCGTCTTTGTTGTCTTCGTGGCTCTTTCCACATTGGCTCTGTTCCGCTCTGCCCTCCATCTCCTTGATCTGAGCCTCCAGCTTCTGGATCGTGTTGCTCTGGTTGTCGATGCGGGCCTTGGCGATGTTGGCCTCGATGCTCATCCGCGCCACCGCCTTGTCCGTGTCCTCCTGGTCCAGCGTCAGGTTCATCACCGCGTTGACCAGGTCGCTCGTCTCCCGGCTGATCACCTGCCCGACCTCCTGCAGCTGCAGCACCATTTCGGACGACTCGGCCGACGACACGCCCGGCATCCGGCGCAGCGACTGCTGGATCTTGACGAGGATCTGCTGCATCGCGCGAGACTTTTCAAACGCAGCCTGGGAAAGCTCAAACGTCAGCGCTAGGGTTTATCGGGACGGGCTGTTTCTTATAGGCTGACTCACATGGTTCTTGGACATTTGCTTGATTTTTTCGGTGCGCGCTGGACCGGCGAGCGGCGTCGAAAAGTTCATGGAGAGCATGTTGCTGGCAGAGTCTGGCTTCTCGGTATCGTCACCGACTTGGGAGGCCGGCTTGACCATGCCACCGCCGACTGGCAATTCGTATTCTGAGCCAGTGGTGGTCGACTCGGCCTCGCTCATAGTGTGCACGAACTCGCTAGGTGAACGACGGATACGGAGTTCAAGGCTCGAGGTTCACGCGTGCTCTTTTTACGCGGGCTGGGTGTAGCAAACACCAATTCTCATCTTTGAGCGTAAATCGATTCGCATGAGAAAAAAAAACGTCCGTAGAAAGAAGAGCAGCACAAAGGGTTGGTTGATGAGGATGGATGGGGCAATACTTGCGATCGTGATGACTGTGCAATTCTTCACGGCATGCGAGGGTGAAAGGCGGGGGACGAGAGAGCGGGCGATCAAGGGGCAGAAAGCTTCGTCGTGTGGTAAGAAGAGCAGCGAGTCATCATCCGGTAGATAAGGATACTGCATGGCTGAGTGAATGGCCTGTGCCAGGTGAGAGGAAATCACAGGAGAATGTGAGCATCAAAATTGTCAAGCAGGCGCCAGGGCAAACGGGCCGAGTACTTCTTTGAGCAGGCTCTCAGTTTCAGACCAGGAGCTTGCAAACGACACGATTTACTGCTGCCGAAAGACAAGTAGCATAGTAAAGTTGGCATCGTGTCTTAGGAAACATATCATTTACTTACACATTTCGAAGGCATACACAACAGGAGAGCACATGGTTTGACAACAATTCTGCTAAAGATTAATCATCTTATAAATACAAGGCAAATAGCATCCAATTTTTCAACGACTTTTTACCAGGGAATGCCTATCGCGACTCCTGCCGGTCAGGAGCCTGAATTGGCTGTCCTAGGACATACAAATCAGTACGGGAGACAAGGGCGAGGCAAGTGTAAAACCTGTGTGCTCGAGCTGATGTGAGATCGAATCCAGAAGGCGTATATGGTGGCCTTTGAGTCGTCCAGGGTGCCATGGGTACCGGTTGCCAGTCCTGGGACGCGGACAACTTCGGCTCTCTCTTGAGACGGAGCAAGGTTGGCGGCGGCCTCTCCTTGTCGGATCCTATAGTGAAATAAGAATATCGAGGAGCTCATGATTAGCATTCAGAAAGCCCTGGTGCGAGAGAACAAACTGCTGTAGACTGCGTCTACAACAGGGGACGCGTCGATCATGCGCCCACCAAAGTATCTGCCGTTCAGGCCGCGGATCGCGTTTTCACCGCCCTGAACCTTGTCGAATTTCAAGTAGATGTCTCCTTTGGAGTTGGGATCCACGGAAATGTGTACCACATGGCCGTACTTTTCCTCGGCTTCCTGGCGCACGTCGTCCTCCAGCTCTTTGACCCAGTCATCGCCTTCCTCCCTATATCGTCTGTTAGCAGGGTTCAGTCTTGACAGGATTGGGGACAACGTACTCATCGGGATCAAACATGTTGTGAAGGACAACACAGCGGCTTGCAGTGTTGACGTTCATGGGGAGCGGCTTCGTCTCAGTTCTAGGTTTGAGAACCGGCCTCTCGTCCGCGCCCTTGTTCGACTCGTCGGTTCTAGCAAGCTTGCGCATCAACGCATCGCGACTATAGTTATTAAAATTTACCCCACCGACGTCCGTGTCATCTAGGGCGCTGGCACCGCCAGTCTTTTCGTTATCGCGCGCGCCGGCGCGATCAAAGTTGGAGTTTTGCCCTCCACGACCACCGGCTCCTGAAAAGTTCGAGCCCTGGTGGTTGGCGGCGTTCTGGCCCGCAAATCTCTGTAACATGTTGGCAGTGCTCTCAGGGGTAAACTTATCGTTGCCAAGGCCAACTCGGATAGGACGGCCGGCCAAATCAAAACCGTTCATCTTTTCCAAGGCCTCACGAGCCTGGCCTGCATCACGGAACCTTACTATATGTTAGTAAAAGCAAGCTCACTGTCATAAGTCTGTGACGTACTGTACAAAGCCATAGCCACGGCTACGACCGGTCTCATCCTTTTGAAGCTGGACAAATTCCAGCTCTCCGAAAGGGTCGAAAACGGCCTGTAAATCTTGCTCGGTGACATTAAAGTGAATGTTTCCGACATAAAGGCGATGGAACGGAACATGGTTCGGGTGGGCGCCGCCAGCTTCTGTGTTGCGGGCCTGACGATTCTTCTCTGCTTCCGTTACTTGGACAATGACAGGTATACCTAGTAGCTTCTGTCCAGTAAGCTGAAGGGCGAGGGCTACAGAATCTTCGTTCTTGAATTCGACATAGCCGACGCTATAATTTGTTAGTACAGTTGTTACACGATGCTGGGCAAGACGTCTTACCCCTTCGATCGCCCACTGATGCGATCTTTTACGATCTGTGCTTCCGTGACAGGACCAACTTTCTCGAAGAACGCTTTCAACTCACGACTCCGCAGCCGGGCTGCAAGTTGCTGTACAAACACTGTTCTTCTGTCCCTTTCGTCCTCGTTCAGGGCAGGCGTAGCGTCTCGCCTGTCGCGTGGGTCATCATCGCGGTTTCGATAACGGCGATCGCGGCGATCCTTGTCCCGATCATCCCGACGGTGACGGCGCGGGGAGCGTGAGCGCGAACGGCCGCCTCTGCCGTTGCGGTAGTAGTCGCCGTCTCGATTGCGTCGTGCGCGTCGGTCATCATCACGACTTCGGCTGCGGCGTCGGCTTCGATGGCTGCCTGCTTCACTGCGAGGCGTACCCCCATCTGGCGTTTCTCGTCTGCTTCTGTTGCCTGGGCTAGCATCGCGGCGGTCTCTGCGGCGGCGGTCGTGATCTCGGTCACGGTCCCGATCACGGTCTCGCTCTCGGTCTGGGTCGGAGTCTTTGCGGTCCGGCCGCTCATTTCTGGGAGCATCTTCAGCAGATGGCCTGGCCTGGGCCTCCTCGGCACTTTTCGCAGTAGCGTCGAGCAAGGCTTCCACATCTAAGCTGGCCATGGTTGAAATTTCGAGAAACTGCTATAATGACTTTGGGGCAAGTTTACAGTGTCACGAGCTCGGGGGATTTGAAACTGATTGAAACTGATTCCAGGAATAACTAATGACGGTTGGGGAGATGGTCAGGCAACAAGAGCGGCGGCGAAATTTGGGTCGGTAACTGGTCACGTGAAGACGTGGCATTGTGTTCTACAGCCAGACAAGGCAGCCACAGGAAAAGGACAGCCAGCGGCTGAGGCGCACGCTTGCAGCTCAGTTTCTTCTAAAGCCTCTTTCTTCTTCTGCTTTTCATGTTTCTGTTTCTAGTTTGAGACAATGGTTCAATTAAAATGTTATAAACTAAGTTACAATTATCGAATGAAGAATAATCGTTCATGCGCATCTTTTGAGTGCTCTTACAGTCAGTCATGTCGTAGGTTTTCAATTCTGCCCAGCAGCTGCACCTTTCACTCCGCTCGCTTCCATGCCTCCTCGTAATGCATGCAATCACAAAGTCGTTCACTTGGTCTTGATGGATGTAGTCAACTCGGTCCCAAAAATCGTGTCCCAGAACTTGCTGGTGACACCGAAGCCCAGCTCGTAGTCCAAGAAGTGGTGCTGAAGGTGGTACTTCTTGAGCTGCTTATACCACAAAGGAAGGTTCTCGTGGTGCAAGAAGTAGTGGGTAAGATCGTAGCAAATGTAGCCAAAGATACCGCCGCAGTAGACAGCAGTAGCAGCATACCAGCTATAGGAGAAAAGGGCGTGCGCCAGGCTCCAGAAGGGGGTCGCAAGGACGACGAAGAGGGTTGGTGGCATGACAAGTCGGTACTTGTCCATGGGCAAGTAGTGGTGGATGCCGTGGAGCAGAAAGTGAAGGGTGATGAACACGCGGTTATCTGGGAGATAGCTAAAATTCTGTTAGCAAGGGGTCGAAAATGCAACTATTGCTTTAATACGTACCCATCAAGATGGAAGAGGAAACGGTGCAGGCAGTATTCGATAAAGGTCCAGAAGAAGACGCCAAACACCCAATAGCCGGCAACATGCATAACCGGAAGGCCATCAGCTGATTTATAGAGCCCAAAAGCAACAAAAGGTAACCACAGTGTTGGAACTACCCACCACGGGGTTTTGGTGAGAGGCTCCAGAAAGTTTCCAAACAAGGGAGCCGAGTCGCCACCCCTGTAGTGGCGCGGGCGATGGACCTGATCAAGATAGAAATCCTTGGAGAAGCCACCATTCCAAACTTGGAGGAACAGCGGCTTGCTGAGATCCAAGAACTTGTGTTTTTTATAATCCATGCCGATGTCTGTGTCCTTGCTGAGGTCTTCCGCGCAAGACATGCCAGTACGAGGATGGACAAAGGCGCCGTTCTGATCGGTGTTGGCGGACCCGTTGGCATCGCCATTTGGGATACTCTTCTCCGTGACGAAACCGACAAGTGAATCGTCCAAGACTTCGTAGGCAGCCTCGGAGTGCTCATGGGAGGTAGGGTCCTTCAGAATGTCGGCAATGTCCTTTCCCGCGTATTCGAAGACAAGGCTGCTGCCACCGGGGTGATCGTCGGCAAAGTCAGTCACATCGTAAACCTTGTTACCGATTGTAACATAGCAGGAGTCGGCAGAGCTATGCGATTCGACTTCAGCTCGCGAAAAGGTAGGGAGGGTTCTGGATGGCATCTTGCAGAGATCGGGTAATCGGGAATGCTATCGGGAGCGTCGGGTATCCTTGAGGGAGTCGCGACAGCGGCAACGGTGCGCCTGAGCTGTCACTATTTGCCAGAGAGGCTATCAAAACAAGTTGAGAAGGTCTAGTGCAAGGTATCAGCCATGGAAAAGAAAATCAAAGAACGTATGGACGCAGACGAGAGAGTAGTGAAGAAGAAGGGTTTTAGGATCGGGCATGACGGAGCCAAAAATTACGATGGAAATACGGAGAGTAATAAGTGGCCAGGCCTTGCTGGAGCTGCAGCCCGGGCCAGACAAGGCAAGGCCCCTTAACTTTCGATGGCGGCGCCGGTGTTAGCGGATGCCGAACTGTGTTAGTGGCGTTACTTTGTGTGCTTTGGCGGTGACAGTCACGCCAGTTGCGACCGACTCCACTCCAGGCGCGGATTTTCAGAGGCAAGGGCCGGCCTTTCAGCGCACTTTTTAATTGGTCTGCCCCTGAAAAGCCGCTGAAGGAGCTGCCTGTCGTCGCACTTGCATCTGTTAACCTCATCATTTTCCCACTCTGGTCGGGCGTTCATCGTCCAAATCGTCCCGAGCTTCCGGCGAGCCGTTGACCATGCTGAACGCGCGGCTTGGCCCAGAAAATGAAAAATAAGCATATGAAGATTGGACAGCTATGTATCTCGTAGCTAGGTAAACTCTTCATTCACAGTGGGTGGCAACATTGTATGTATTTGTCTCTTGTCAGGTACCTATCTCAGCTAAAATGCCTAAGAGAGGTGAGATACCTTCAGGATAAAGACAGGTACATAGGTGCCACAATCTCAGGCGCTTTCGAATCGTCACATGCAATTCGCATCCTTCCTTCAGCCTATGTATTCGTGCAAACGTATTGATCACACGGAGTAGACAACATCTATTTTTGTCGCCTCTAAGCGCCACAGTGCTGCGCCATAGCTAGCTGAGAGCCTGGTGGCGCAAGCTGGGGTTAGACTGCATGGGCTCCCTCTCACCAGCCTCTTGGTACTTGCTTCTTCAGACAAAGCTTCTTTTAACCCCACCTACCTGCACTCGTTGCCGCGTGCTTTTCTATCGCAGGAGGCCGTGAACGCACTCTTTTCTCATTCAAGCCATCTTCTTGAGACATAACTAACTGCCGCTTATTTTTTGGTATAGCTCCTCCAACGGGCTTCGGGCACAACTAAATACAACTCTGCTTCACTTGCGACCCCCCACCATGCCGTCATTCCTGCTTTCGCGGGGTACCTTTACCCTGCTCGTGGCGGTCCTTTGTCTGGCCTACCTCCCTGGCAAGGTCGCCGCATTTGGTGCGGGAAACATCCCATCCATTGCGCAGGTTCGTGTTCTTGCTCAAATTCTCAATGTTCAGTTTCCTAAATTGACGCAGGTAGAAGGGTTCAACTGGCGACATGGAGGTTTGTTGAGCCCCGCACGCGCAACCGCCGGCAAAACAAAAAGCTAACACGATGACCAGATATTGAGGACATGCTCACGAGTCTTGCGTTTTTGCACGGCAAGAAATGGAGTTCAATGAATGTGAAACGTGTGTACTTTGGCAACTGGCTCCGCGACTACTCGCAGGCCGTCGACGTTGGCAGTCTCAAAGGTGTCAACGCCGCAACCATTCGCATTCTTGTACTTTGACCCCGCTCTTCTCTTCTGCGCAATAGACGTCTAACAGGCTCTCATAGGTTTGGGTTCTTTCTTTCATGGCTCACGGATATGCTACCGATGAATTCGAAGTCACCGACGAACGCCTTGGCTGCTACCGACCCGAAGAGCACATTGACAACCCCCTCGGGTATGCCGAAGGTGTTGATGCTCGCACGCTTGATCCACGCCTAAGAGGACCCGTTAGACCTGTTGAAACCGAAATTGATATGGAGACTGGCATGAAGAATTACATCAAGAACGAAAAGGGCGACTGGGCGACCAGTGCTGGCTATCTGCGATTCAGCATTGCTCGCTGCATTCACTTTGGTCGCATCTATACCAATGGAGACAAGGGCAAAGGAAAGGAAGAGAACCTTTGTGAAGCTCTACGATGCCTTGGTCAAGCCTTGCACTGTCTGGAAGACTACAGTGCTCACAGCAACTATTGCGAGCTTGCTCTTCGAGAACTGGGCCACCACAACGTGTTCCCTCACTGCGGCACTCAAGCTGAGATCAACGTTCGTGGCAAGAGAATTTATCCTATCATTACTGGAACTTTTGGGGGTGTTGACTTCCTTCACTCTGTCATTGGAGAAGCCAATGATCACTTCACCCAGTCCGAGGTCGACGAGGTCGACGTTGCTTTGAAGAACGCCGAATCTGCCCGAAGCGGTGGTGGTGGTTCAACCGATCGCGGCTTTCTCGGTGTTTCTGCGCCAAATGATTTCATCTCACTAGTTTCTAAGCTCCCCGGCGAGGGAGACAGTTTCGCTGCTCAAGCCAGAGAGCTCCAGGCTATGTCTGACGCTCAAGATCAGCAGAACCGGTCCATGGACCGAGGCATGGATCGAGCCAGAGCGGAAGGAAATACCAACATTGTTCCGGGTATGAGCCCCGACTTTGACCCTGTCAAGACTGCGAGACAGATTTACCCGATTCTTCAGTTCAGGGACAGAATTGTCAAAACAATCAGCCGAGGAATCGCCAAGATCCCTGGCCTTGAGAAGCTTCTCGAACACATCAGCGAAACTCTGACCGCGTTTGTCCTCGGACTTCTCGCCCCCTTTATCCGTCCCATTATCAACCAAGTGTCCAAGGTCCTCAAAGATGGTTCTTCGGGCATTATCTCGGCTAGCTCCAAATCTCAGCTGGAGCCCTGGGACAATCCTCTTTGCTCGGATCCTACTCACTCCATGTTATCGAAGGATCATTTTACCAACATCCTCAACTCTTGCGCTGGTCGCGTCGCTGCAACCTGTCTGCAGTATTCTGTTCCGTAAGTTTCTCGCCACGCCTTGCCAAGTATTTGTATTGACAGCCTTAGTCGCATTCTCTTTGCCTGGGACAATATTGGTGTGCCCACCGACGAAGTCACCAATGATATTCTTCGCGCCTTGCACCACCCTGCCCTTCGCGATGAAGGTATCGAGATTCAGCGAGACATGTTCAAGACTGTTCGAAAGTGGGCTGACGAACATCCTCGTCGCCATGAACTGGATCGGCTCTTGTCTTCCGAATCTGTCAAGGCCGGGAAGAACCATATTCTGAACCAGCAAGGAGGCAGTGGCAAGCGCGATATTCACTCTTGTGGAGGCGGCTTAGACTCAGCACACGCGGGCCACGGCAAGGTTGCCGGCTCGCTCTGGTCCCAAATTCAGACACGAGACTTGGCCTCGATTCAAGGAGGCGATGGAAACGCCAGTGAAAACTACATGTCGCACTCGCCTGCGCCACCGACAAGTCGCCCGCCTCCATCGGACGGATACAACTACAGCCAGCCAACATCCGGGCCTCCAGGGGGATACAACCAACCGCCCCCGAATCCAGGTCAATACTTCTCTGGATATAGCCAGGGACCTCCCCCTCCCCAGCAAGGTGGCTATGGTGGCGGGCCTGGATATGGAGGTCCTCCCCAGGGTCCTCCCCAAGGTCAATGGGGTGGTCCGTCGCCGCCCGCCCCCCAAGGGTACGGCGGCCCTGGCTACGGCGGAGGCGGTTACGGTCCTGGACCTGGCGGCCCTCCCGGCCCTGGCTATGGCGGTCCTTCATCGCAGCAGTACCCGCCATACGGGCAGCAGCCTCCTCCGGGTCAAGGCCCACCCAACTCGTGGAATCAGTATCCTGGACAAGGGTCTCGGTACTAGACAGGGTGCTACAGTGTTGCTCATTTAAGGATAAGGATTCTAGTGTCTTTTTTTTTTCGTAACGGTGGGTGGTGAATGGAGTTTGGGAGACGAGAGGGATGCAGTCATGCAGGATATCCTTGCAAGGGGACATAGGCCATTCATTTAACGGTCAGCTCTGTAAACTGCAAAGCTTATTTAGGAAACAAGAAATCTATCTAAAATGCCAAGTTTCTAGTAATGATAATGGTGCTAAGATGTCGTGTAGAGAGCGCAGCAATAATAGTAAGCAAATGCAGATAATACAAAAACTGATGCCAGGGACGCATGAAGTATTTTCCTCCAATACGCATTCATTAGTTTGTATGCCCTTTCTATCCTTTTTTTTTCTCATCGCTTTCCGCGTCGCGGATCCAAAGCCTCCTTCCGTCGAGCGTCACGCACTTCCTTCGTGCCAATCGGGCCGAGGCCGCCCTCCGAGCGGCGCTCCCAGCCGCCGAGGCGGACGACCTGGCAGGTGGCATTGTCTCCATCGTCCGAGACCTCGGTCGCGTAGTCGACGACGGCACGGGCGCCCTGTTCCGGGGTGCGGGCCTCCTTGACGACGTCGACAATCTCCTGATCCGAGAGGGTGCCGCAGACGCCGTCGCTCATGAGGACGAGGAAGGAGTACTGGGCGGGGCCGAGCTCGACGCGGGTGACCTCGGGCTCGGCGGAGACGCCGATACGCTTGCTGCGAATGTCGCCAAAGGCGCGGCTGTTGGCGAGTCCGGCGATGCGCTCCTCGCCGAAGCTGTCGCCGGAGACCATGGAGCCGGCGGGAGCGTAGCGGCGCAGCCGGCGGCTCTCGGTCGGCGTGCTGGGGTGGTGGTCCGAGGTGAGCGGCCGGGGCAGGCCGGTGGCGGTGTCGCAGAGCAGCACGCGGCTATCGCCGACGTGAGCGACGAGCAGCGTCGACTGCGCGGCCGGGTGCCAAAAGGGCGCCGGTGTCGGCGTCGAGATGAGCGCGATGGAGGCCGTCGAGCCGCCTTTGAAGCGCGTAGCGCCGCCGATGCCGTGGCCCGAGGGCGTCGCATGCGGCGCGCCAAGAATCTCGTCGCTGTTGACCGGCGAGTCGGACGCGCGCAGGTCATCCGGGTCGGCCTTGCGCGCCTGCGCTGACACGAAGTCCAGGTCGGCGCGCAGGAAGGCGTACGTGAGCGCCGACTCAAACGAAACCACTGAGTTGTGCGACGCGTCGTCGGACAGGTCGAAGTGGTCCGGGTTGAAGCGTCGAAAGTAGCCGCCGATCGTATCGGCGTACTCGGAGACAAGATCGCGCTCGAGCTGCACGGCTTTTGGGTAGTCCTGCAGCTTGGCCGGCACTGCATCCTCGCTCTGCAGCGGCTGCCCGTGCTTGGGCCCCTGGCGCATGGAGGCCGTGTCGGGGTCCTCAACCTTGTCCTGGACTTCCTCAGGCTTCTTGAGGGGCACGGATTTCAGCGCCTGTTCCTTGGTGAGGACGCCTCCATCCGCCTCGCGGCCCGGTTTCCGCTTGCGCAGACTGCTCTGCAGACCAAACGTGCTCGATGCCTCCTCAATATACCCATGGAGCTCGTCTCGGAGGAAATCCGAGCACTGCGTGCCACCGTGCCCATCGAAGACGCCAAAGTAGAAAATCTGCGGGTCACCGGACTGGCTCTCGGCCGGGGTGGCCTCGCCAGGCTTCTGCTTAATGCTCATGGGAGCACGCTTCGCAAACGCTGGGATATCGACGATACCCGCCTGGTCGGTATCTTCGTTGTATGGCCGACTTCCTCGCGAGCTCGCGGAGCCAAAGTGGTGCTTGGCTCGCCGGAGCGGGATTCGCACTACCGTCAAGTCGCGGGAAGAAAGGTTGGGAATCGCGACAGCGGGGCCGGCGCCCGGGCTCGGCGTGTGAGGTGTAGATGCATCACGGGGGAGCTTGTGACCACCTGCTATTCGTCTCGCATCGGGGTGCATGGAGGATGAAGGAAGGTGAGTGACGAAGTAGGTGTGGAAGCCCCGTCGCTTCGATTCGGGGTGCTGGGCTGCAGGCTCTCGAGGCGCGGCTATCGACGTTCGGCGGGAGGGGCGGCATGGCAAGTTGTGATGTCGTACTAAAGAGGAGGTTTCTCTGTGTGAATCATCGGTCGTATCTGAATCTCTACTGGATCTGGAAGGTCCGATGCGCAGCTCTGAAAAAGCTCGCGCTGTCCGTGGCCGGCTAGCTAGGGGCGGTAAAAGTCTGGCACACTCTGTACAAAGATAGGCGGCTCTACTCGGGAGGCGGCACGCGCTATGCACCATTGAGGCCATTGTTTATCGAATCCGTGTCGAATCCGGTGATAGTTTCTGTTATTGTAGGGTGCCAGTCGGCATGTCGAGTCGGATTGGCCGTACGGCGACGCTGATCTTGTCTCACGATGTCAGTTGTTGGGTGGCCTAGCGGGGGCGCTTGATTGTTGGCACTCACAGTTCAACAAGCAGCAGCACAGCGTATATCAGATGTAGAGCCTCAAGAAATATTCCCCCGAGAGGAAAATTTGAGACGGTCACAGGCAGGTTTCCGAGACAAGGGAATGAGGGGGTGGTGGAGCTTGAAGAGAAAGCCAAGTGGAAGTTGACAAGAGCGAACTGGAGACGAAGATAAGATCTGTTGAGTTAGTGGCCAACGCAAAGCGTGGGCGTGGGGGTACGGATAATACTGGGATACAGTAGGCCAGGGCTCAGTCAGCATCCGAATTTCAAGACAAAAGGACGAATACAAGGGTGCAAAGAGGGAATAGAAGCAGCGATAAGGGTTGGCTATTTACAGAAATTTTGAAAAATGAACAGATTTGTTATAAAAAATCGGCCTCATCACAGCCCTGCTCTTCGTCACTCGCCCACAGCCATGAGCCCATCCCCAGTGCACCTAACCCATTTTTCAGCGGTTTGCCAGGGGCTAACATGGCGCTGTCGGAGTCAAAGCCCCGATGCTGGCCCCTGTCTCCAGTTCGGCCGAGCAACTTAACTCACCTAAAGGCACCCACTACTGGATGCAACCTCTCACCCGCATCACCGCAACTTGGCTGTTCTGGCATCATTATCCTGTCCCTCTAGTTACACTACCACAAGCACGATACCAACCTCTACGTCCGCAGCAGTTCCATGTCCGAATGCCCTAGATCACAGGATGGGAGAGTCCGCCGATGCTTCTGCAGACGGCGAGGCTTCTGATAGCACAACGGCGGATGGACGCAGGGTTGTCATCGTGGCTGCCGACGGCGACATTGTGCTGGACGTGACCTTTGAGACGTCTCCCGAGACGCTCAAGAAACATCGACGAGCCGAGGCGACAGCGCTACGCAAGCCGCGGGTGCCCAACCAGCCAGCCCCCGACCGGGGCAGCTCGCGTGTACAGGTGGCGTACCGGCTCAGTCTTGAGGTGTTGAAACGCAGCTCAAAGTACTTTGCCAACTTGCTCTCCAACCCGCAGTTTCGCGAGGCCGATGCAGTGTCCAGCGTCCATGCCAAGCTGCGCTCGATGAGAATTCAGCCCAAGGCAGCCAGCGTAGACGAGCTTCCATGGGTATCTGTCGTCGAGGACGACGATGCCACCAAGGCCGCTGGCCACGAGGTCGCGTTTGAGGACATGCTGCGGATCCTGCACAAGAAGCCGGTCAAAGAAAGCCGAGCAATCATGTCGTATGCTACAACCATGGCCATTATCGCTGACCGCTTTGATTGCGTCGCTGTTGTTGCGCGGGCTCTCAATACAGATCTCAAGTTCAAGTGGCCGCTGACCAGCACAAAACCATTTGTCGATGATGCGGGCCGGCCTACTGATGTCGAGCAAGTCTTGCGTCAAAAAGTGCTGGTTTCGTGGTTACTAGGACAACCCATGAGGCTGCAGCAGTCGTCGCGCGAGCTCATCATGCGCGGATCCAGTCTCTGGAGTGTGTATCATGAACCAGATGGGATCTCGACAGCTGCCTGGTGGAATCTTCCTGACGGTATTGAAGGTAAGGGGTGACTTGGCTCATATCCTGAAAACGCGCTATATGCTAAGGTTTCGCAGACGAGCTTCGGCACCGTCGAGAGTGCATTCTTGACACGATTGCCTCTGTGCAGAAACATTTCCTCGATTTATACTCGACTCGCGATAGACAGTGTAAACTGGGGTACGACTCTAGTACAGCGTGTGACTCGTTTCAACTGGGACAAATGATCAAGTTTCTGGTGTCAAAGAGTCTACTGTACTTGGTTGACTACAGCGCGTCATCAATCAATGGTGTGCCTGACGGCTCCTCTGTCAACATTGAGGAACTTATCAGCACTCTGAGGCAGTGTCCCAGCTATCAGATCGATAAGCATCACACAAACTGCGGTCCACGGGTGCGTTTAGGACCAATCCTAGACTACATTCAGTCGATGCTCTCGGCGAGCGTCGTGTCATTGTCTCACGCCGACTGGAAAAATCGGCGAGATAAGGCAGCCTGGGTCCCGGAACACAACTCAAACACGGCAAGCGGCGATGAACGGAACATCACATTCCTGTTTACCCGATCCGTAGCCAACGACCAGCGCTTGCGGTATGAGGGAGCGCTGTACGTTGACAAAATGGCCAAACAACTGTTTACCGCTGACTCGTGGAACTGGACCCCGGAGGCGTGAGGGCAGCTCCTGGTCAGTCCGTCATTTGTTTTCTATATATTGATACATGTCATTGAATTAATTTTTCACTTATCAAAAACTACGCACACATTGCTAGCTAGATTGGCGAAATTCAAAACGGTCAGCCTGCAGCTTCATATGCAGGACATTACTCGCACTGAACTACAGAGGCCCACCTCTGTTGGCGCAGAAAAAACCACTTAGAATGTTTCGTTTATTTATTTATTTATTTTCATGTGTTTCTTGACTACTATTTTAATGATGTATTTATCGCCGACCTCCGGATATAGGCCTGGCAGTGTTTTACGCTTTACCGGGGCGAATGTGGCAACGGCACACGAAATGAGCCCAGTCTGCATCCCGAACACTCCCATGTGAGCCAGGGACCAACAGCAGCCCAGATGACGCTGTCTGGTACCACCCGAGTGCTTGCGGAGAGACAAGCAACAGCGCAATCAATTTGATCGCGGTTTAGAGTTTGGCATTAGATTTTGGCTGTTACAATTCTGAACCTTGAAGGACGTTGGCAAGCAGTAGGCGAAGTACCTCGTGATGACGCGAGCGCAGCTGTGGCTTCAGGTAGCCCCGCTGTCACGCGCCGTGGTTCGCGCCACGCCAAAATTTGAGAGGCCTGTCCCCTGCAGCAGCGCTAGAAGCAGAGGCCTCACACCTAAAAAAACGCTCTGTAGATTCAAAAAAAAAAAAAGTACCAGCGGATAGTCCAACGACAGACCCTCCAGGCGATGACAGTCACAGTGACTTTGTTTTACTAGGAACCTACACCAAAACCCCGCGTAACTCACACTCAGGCCTCGCCCGCATCCGTCGCGCCCAGAACGCCAGAGACGCCAGGAGAGCAGACCGCGTAACCACTTGACCCGTTCAAGAGTTCAAACTTTGAGGTCGGGCATCACGGGTAACCTCTTCTTCCTTTCAATTCTCTTTCCATCTCACACGGCTCACTGCTTCTCACTCGAATTCTGACGCGCTCCTCTGACTATTTCGCTTATATTTTGCTTCTCGCGTCCAGTCGCTGCATGACCTCCCCACGAACGGCTCCTCAGTCCCGCGTGTTCCCACCACGACCCTCGCTCTCGGTCTTGTCCGGCACGGCCCTCTCTCTTCACCACGGGCGATTGCCAGGCCGCCGACACGCTTCTACACGCCAGCTGCTTCGGCCCCCCGAGCGCAGATTCGAATCATATCTATTTTTTTACGCACCTGTGTTCTCCGCATGTCCCAACCCGGCCGGGAGACCAGCAGCGAGGCGGCCCTGCCGTCGTCCTCTGCGTCGTCGAGACGCGACGGGAGCGACCTCACCGTGCCGGCCACGCCGCCCATCGCCCACGCACGTGCCGACGCCGGTGCCGCATCCACGACGCGAAACATCACCAACCTTGTGAGCGGCTGCTCCGACGTATCGATAATGGCCAAGGCTTCCTCATCGTCGGCGCTCGATCACTCCGCGACCGCGCTGCCCCCGTCGACGCCGCACGTCTCGTCCCAGACCATACCCGACTCGCAAGAATCCGCATCCGCTGACATGCAGCACAACGGGGGCGCAGACTCCAATGGCCAGCGTGATGTGCAGATGACGGGGCGGTCAAATATCGCTTCTGCAAAGGACCCTTTGGACCACCAGGACGCCGCAGCCAGCTCACGGAAGCGCACAGCTAGCGGCCAAGTCAAGATACGGAGCAGGAGCAACAGTCCAATCAAGGGCCATGCCAGAAGCATCAGCGCAATCAGCACAACTTCAAATGGAAGCCATATCGGTGACGTACGCAAGACATCACTTCACTTTAGCCTGTCTCACTGAATCTGACACACGACTTATAGATATCCGCGGATCTCAAGACGCGGCTGAGTTATGCCATGCTCAAGGTTAATAACGGCTGGCAGTCACGCTCTTTCCCCGAGATCGAGTCTCTCGCCTCGCAAGCCGCCTCTCCTGTCTCAAGCAACTCCACTCTCCATCGCCGCCAATCTTCTTCCACCAGCCCGCGGCCGCTGCCATCAGCAGCGCAAGTTCACTTTGCAGCCGATCCTGTAGAACCTCGCCGCAAGTCTCGTTCACCTCCAGAACCTTCTAGCAAGCCGTCTCTCGCTCCTCCGGCGCCCATCCAGCCCTCTCTGTCGAGAGAAACTTCTCAAAACCGCCGACGTCGCTTCTCAAGGCATCCGCCCGCGCTACTAACACACTCACACTCTGCCACTGCTGCAAGTAGCTATTCACCGCGACAATACTTGGACGCTTATGCCATGTCGTCGTCACAACCGTCGCGCCCTCCCGAAGGCATGCTGTACTCGCCGCCCCAAAACATGAAAGAACAGGCCGCTATCGAGACGCTCTTGTTTATGAGCAGCCCCAACAATTCTGCCAATCTCAGACATACCTTCTCCCCTTCCGTATCACCGGGGCCTGGGCAAGGGCCCTTGCACGAGAACGCAAGCCGCCACACTTCGTCCGGCGGCTTCCGAAAGGGGCTGCCCGGCCAGCGGCCTGCCCTTCCGCAACGGCGGGTCGGCTTCGACAAGTCGCCCGCCATGGGACCACCCGGCTCGCCGATGGACCTGGACTCACTGCAGCAGCAGCAGTCGCAACACATGTCACCAAATGGCTGGTCACCCAAGCGTCGGGCAAACGGTGTCAGCGGCCATTTACGCGGCGCGCTGTCTTTACCCAGCGGCCTCGGCCTCAGCAACGGCCGGGCGAGACAGGTGCTGCGCGATGAGGACATTGAACGCATATTAGACCATGCCGCAGCCGACAGCTCAGATGATGATGGGGACATCAAACTGCCGCCCAGGACAAACGGTGTTGCTGGCGCGGTTGGTATTTGAGGAGGCTAAAAAATACCTTTTTGGATGATAATATACCCCTACTATCTATTTTCTTGGCTCGACATTTGAAGGCTATATACATGACAACATTTATGAATGATTGTTTCGACCGCGGTGTCGTTGGATTTTGAATAAGGAGAATGTCGACGACTTGTTCATTCTGCTCGGCTTTTTCTCATGGGGAACGGCGTTGACTTGTCATTTACTGCATGCGTGTGTATTACCATGCTTCGCTTCTTATGCACATTGTTTTTGTCTTGGGTATATTTGAAGGGAACCCTATCGTGCAAATATTCTTACATTTGTTTCTAATTAGCTCCCGCTACAAGCAGTAATGAGATGTCTTTCCATTTTCATTAAGCCAACCATATCCTTTGTGCCTTCCTCCTTTTTTGTCATCCTATGCCCGTAACTATCCCTTTGTCCTTGAAGCTTTTAGTGCTTCTCCTCCATGGCCAGCTCTCCTACCAGTGACCTGCCCTTGCTCCTGTCCGACATCCACTCTTCAGGATGAAAGAGCTCAAACATGCCGACCTTTTGCAGCACCGGCACCGCGGCCCGGATCGCCGCCGCGAGCGTGTCCTGCGCGGTGGCGTCACCGGCGGCGGCGGCGTCGTCGTAGGCCCGAATGTTGACGAGCAGCGCACCGACCGTGCCGGTCGGAACCTTGTCGCCGTTGGGCAGTGTGACCACGGGGAAGGCGTCGGCGGACGTGCCCAGCGTCTTGTTGTTGATAGCCTGTAGGCTCTCTTGTTGTGTAGACATGATTGGGGTTTGTGGCTGGGAGGAAGTTTTGTAAAGAATAGACTGTGGAGTATGGGTGAACTTGCTCTTTGGTGTAGATTTCTGAGTGTTGAATGAATTTGATATGAATGATTGAGAGGGACGTTTACAGTTGGCTGTTTATACTTTATATAGATTCTTCTAGTCACGACCAGGCTGTCAGCAGAGGATGCTCCACGGACACTCCGTGGAGCGACCGGTGACCTCGCGACCAGCAAAAGCCGAGCCATAGTGCCATGAATACATGTTTTCCATTGACTGGGCATGTAGCTTGTTTGAAAGGAATATCCTGGGCTCAACTGGGGTTGTTCTTGCTACTTCCAAAGTTGCCGCGCCCCGTTGCGCATTGTTGGGGTGATATGCTAGGGAAGTTCAGATGTCACAGCCTGGATGTCACATTCACATGCTTCGGTGCGATGAGCAATCAAGAAAAAAAGACATAAAGAGGAAAAGAAGAGGTGGTAAACACCAATAACCTAACTCAATTAGCTGACAACTAGATTCATAAATCCTCTGCGCTTGACATGGAGCCGTAGCCTCAGTCTACAGGGTAGGACCAGGAGCCCAGTTGCTCGGCTTTGGTAATTGTAACCTACGCGTCAAGTTACGCCTCGACGCAAGCACAGATGCGAGCAAGGACGGATCTACATAGACCTGAGCGGCGATCTCACACCATTAATTTAAAACGCAGCCGAGAAGCGTGGCTACGTCAACTAGCTGAGGAGAAGAGGTCAACAGACCTGTGGCGTTGGCATGCCAAGTACGTACTTTGGGCACATTGGGGAGGAAAGTATGATGCGCGCAATATTTTTATTTTGCTATGATTTCAGCATACTATTTATTTTATTGGTATTGTCTGTTCGCTTTATCTTTCGTGTTTGGTCTACCCGTCAGTCTGTATGTTACTACTGCCGTCTCACTCATACGGATTCTAGAACCAGGCACAAGAGTACCTGAAGTGTAGAGTTTCAGTCACTACAGAGTAGCATGTAATCACACTCGACACTTGGTAGTCCCGGGAAAACGACAGGATTCTCTGACCAATAGTTATAGTATGCACGGATAGTTGCATCAACGTCATGTCTGCTCTCTCGGAAGTACCGTTTTTGTTTGTCACGGCGCGTCTCCCTGTTTTATCTCGTCAACGCGACGGGGCTTTTAATAATAGAGGTGAGACACGGCTGCCGAGGAAGCAGGAATCCGTAAAGCAGTTAGTTTTTTGCTACGGCGTATGGAGCCGTGTTACTTGGAATGCCAATTTTATAAGTACTAGCTAATCGAAAAAGGGACTCGGTTTGTTAAAACGAGGTCAAACTTGCGATGCCACTTGTTTGAGGCGAGGGAACGGGAATCATGTTGTACGGTCACAAGGTCGGCACGGTAAGACTTCTTCATGTAAAGGAAAACATCAAATCTTTTAGCCCCAAAATCAAGCAAACAGCGAGGAGGTGCAGATGCTGATCTCTATGATGGGCGAATGTATGTCTCAGGGTGATGCTGCCAATTGGAACTCGGCGGCCCATATCCCCTGGTCAAAAACAAGCTGCGTTTGCTCCTTTAAAAGGGATGCCAGCCCCCCCTCGGCCACCAAAGTTGGGATATCTCAACAGTAATAAAAGGCCTTCTTTTGTCCGGCTTCGCTTCTAGCAACAGTGTCTTGCTTTTTGACAGCCATGTTATACAAGCTGGCACTGGGGGCGGCGGTCTTCGCATGGGCGTCGCTGGCGGACATTTGTGTTGAGAAAACGGCCAGCCTCCCTCCAGGATGGATGAAGATCAGCGATCAAGTCGACCCAAACGAGCGATACTCGTTTTCAATTGCGCTCAAGCAGCCACAGATGAAAGGTCTACAGAAGCTTCTGACCTCGGCCCGAGCAAACATGCTATCTCTGGCCGACACCACAACAATGCGTGCTCCGACGGCAAAGTCGGTCAGCATGGTGCAGGGTTGGCTGCGCAGCCACGGTATCCAGGACATCGAGACCAAGGGTGACTGGGTCAATGTCCGCGCGACAGTCGGCCAGACTGATGCGCTTATCGGCTCTGTCCTGGAGCACTACATCTACGATGGCGAGGACACGCCTGTTCTCCGGACGACGCAGTACTTCATCCCGGACGCTCTCGAGGATGCTGTCGACTTCATTCACCCTGTGTCCAACTTTATGAAGCCCGTCCGCTCCATCTCCAAGATAAGGTTCCTTGACGAGAAGGACCTGGCGAAGCGCGACCCGCCGTGCACCTCCATCATTACCCCCAAGTGCGTGCGCGACGCGTACAACTTTCACTACAAGACGCCCGACGACAAATCGAGCGTCACCATGGGCATCACGGGTTTCCTCGAAGAGTACGCCAACTACCAGGACTCGGACCAGTTCCTGTCGCAGCACGCGCCCGAGATCGCGGCCAAGAAGTACAACTACACGGTAGAGCTCGTCAACGGCGGCGAGAACCCGCAGAACCTGTCGCAGTCGGGCGCTGAGGCGGCGCTGGATGTCGACTACGGACTGGCACTGGCATACCCGGCCAACCTCGTTTTCTACTCGACGGCTGGGCGCAGCGAGCTCATCGGCGAGGATGGGCGGGCCGACTCAAGTAATAAGTCGACCAACGAGCCATTCCTGGAACTGTTCCAGTACTTCCTCGACAAGCCTGACGGTGAGATTCCGAGCGTTTTGTCCGTGTCGTACGCGGACGACGAGGTCTCGGTGCCGCGGCCGTACGCTGAAAAGGTGTGTAGCATGATTGGCATGCTCGCCGGCCGTGGCATGACGCTGCTCTTCGGCTCCGGCGACGGAGGCGCCCAGGGCGGGCACAACTCCAACTGCCGCACGCGCGACGGCTCCAACAAGAAGATTTACATGACGACGTTTCCCTCGACGTGCCCGTGGGCGCTGGCCGTGGGCGCGGTCTCCAACACCAAGAACCCGCCCGAGGCGGCGGGCTTTAGCACCGGCGGCTTCTCGCAGTACTTCCCGCAGCCCTCGTGGCAGAAGGAGGTGGTGGGCGCGTACGTGAGGTCGCTCAACGGCTCGCTGGACGGCTACTACGAGCCCCGGAACCGCGCCATCCCGGACATCTCGGCCGTAGGCACCAACGTGCTGGTGGTGCATAAGGGCCAGCCCGGCCTGCTGCAGGGCACGAGCGCGAGCACGCCGATGATCGCGGCGATGCTGGCTATGGTGAATGACGCGCGCGCGCGCGCTGGTAAGCAGCCGCTCGGCTGGGCCACGAGGCTGCTGTACGGCAAAAGGGTGCGAAGCACGCTGCTGGAAGTGACGGCGGGGGAGAGCTTCTCTTGCGACTACGACGGCGAGAAGCCCGGCGGGTGGCCGGCGAAGAGCGGCTGGGATGCCGTCACAGGGTTGGGCGTGCCAAAGGACTTTAACGAGCTGCTCGACGCGCTGTTGCACGGGGACGATTAGGATGGTCCGCCGGGCGTGTGCGGGTGAGATGGCGGCGAGGTGCGATGGAGGCCGTTTGGGGCCACCGTTGTGAGCTGAACGATGTACTAGTAATCAAGCATAAAGAGAGCCAGGCTAGTAGATGAGATGCGCTTTATACACAGCGTATCCCAGAACAACGTACCAAAGACGCCACGACAACATCAAACGAGAGGTTTAGAGACTGAATAGACGTACGCATGCTGGCACTACGCAAACCATTGGGTGGGTGAACTGCTGCAGCCACCCGATAACCGTCTCGAGTCCACTAGCAGGCACCTGGCAGTCCGCTAGCCTGCCACTAAAACCACCTCGCCAGCGGGTCGTTCCAGTGGCTTGATGGGGAAAGCCGCACAATCAGTGGGAGCCCAGACCACGCTAGTCCGCCATGGGCAGAAAGAAAACAAGCTGGGATCAGCGACCAGTTGGACTCGCGACTTCAACGTAGTGGCTGCTCTGTGTGAGGCGCGTCACAGCTTGTCAAACTCACAGCAGCGCTGTACAAGACAATTGATGCTGCTGTGACCCTGATCCCGGCACCATTTTTGGATAATTTCTTTTGCATCTTTTTCAGTGTTCCTTTGACTTCGTTCTTGCCGTTGCATCTGTTTCGCGCCTCGTCCGCACCTGCCACCTTCCACCATTATTACCTTTGGAGAATTCGCGACACACAGGGCGGCAAAATTCGCAGCCAACAATCAAAGGACTACTATTAAATACCGAGAAAGCCACAATACGATGGAATGATTCTCTCTCTTCAATACTGAATCAAGTCTTGGTATCGCTACTCCCTGTGGGGTGCGACGCGTTGCTTTGCCTGCTTCGTTGCGTCTCGTCGATAGTCAGCAAACGGGAGACCATCGAGCTTGTTTGTTCCTCGTCCGCAGTCAACCTCGCACCAAATAATCACCATGCCGACCGTACATGTCGAGCCCAGCTCCGGGGAGCATCTGCAGGACATTGCCGATTCGCTGCTCAAGGCGCGCAAGATTGTCGTTGTGACCGGTGCGGGCATCAGTACCAACTCTGGCATTCCGGTAAGCAGCCCTAGGATGCACGCGCTGCGCCTGCTCCTAGGCATCCTTTAATGCATTTTTTGCTAACCACGGTTCGTTCTCTGCAGGATTTTCGATCCGAAAATGGCCTCTACTCGCTGATACAAGCACAATTCGACGCGGCCGCCAAGCAGGTGGCGCAGAAAATCGACACGGAGGCGACACGAGACGGTGCAAAGGAGGATCTTGAAGACCGTGACCGCCCGGCGAAGCGGCGCAGAGCGTCTGATGCCGGCTCGCCGAAGAGGGAAGAGAAGGAAGAGGAAGGAATCGACAAAACGGACACATTACATGAGCAAAAGCGACAAGAACAGCTTGCTGCCGGCTCGACAAATGAACCAGAAAGTCCATCATTGCCAGAGGCAAAGACTTCAATGGCTGCACCCTACTCTACCCCGCGTTCGGCGCGCCATCCGCTCTCCCTTGCTCTTGGCCAGCTTCCGACCTCACCGCTATCCTCACCACCGCCTGACGAGCAGATAGTGCCACCATCTGCTTTTCGCTTCGCAGGCCATCTCTCGAGACTCGACGTTCCTCACAGCTCCTCGCCGCTCTCCTCCCCTCCAACCGTCCTGTTCGACCCTTTTGAATCTAGCTCTGCGTCAGACACAGACTGCAATGAACCCAGCAACACGAGCGACTCTGAGTCAGAAGACCGCTCTGCAGCGCGGAAGTTGTTTGCATCCTCGCAAGGCTCAAGCTCTGGCCGCAGCACGCTGCCTAATATGAAGGGTAGAGACCTGTTTGACGTATCGGTTTGGGCTGACCCCGTCCGCACTCAAGTCTTTTACACGTTTGCCACGTCTCTGCGGCAGAAGATCAAGGACGCGGAGCCGACGGGCTCACACCGGTTCATCAGTCACCTCAGGAATCGTGGCAAGCTGGTGCGCTGTTATACACAGAACATTGATCAAATTGAAGAAAAGGTTGGCCTGTCGACATCACTGATTGCTGGCCCTGGGAGCCGTGGTAGATTTTCGCGTCGATCTACGGCCAACAAGGACCAGCTGGCCAAGATGGTGGATGAAGCATCGAGCACAGAGCTTCCTAGCAGCCAAAATTCTTCATCCGAAACCTCTACACCGGAGTCAGTCACGCCGCAAGCATCGCAGGCCTCAGTATTAGATGCCCCGCCATCATCACAACCAGATGCCGAAGCATCGTTCAACGTTGCTAAGACAGACACGCCGCCTGCAACCCTGAAAAAGGAGCCATCCCAGTCTGGTGTCGAGTGTGTCTTCCTACATGGGTCTCTGGAATTGCTACGCTGCTTTCTATGCGGTCAGGCTTGCTCGTGGGACGATGAGGACCGCGAGACAGCAACTTTGACAGGGCAACAGCCTGAGTGCCCGAGATGCGCTGGAGCGGCCGCGGAGCGCGAGGAGAAGGGCAAAAGAGCCCTCGGCGTGGGAAAGCTGCGCCCAGATATCGTTCTGTATGGAGAGGAACATCCGAATGCCCACCTAATCAGCCCCATCATCACACATGACTTGGCTCTCTATCCAGATATGCTTCTTATCCTTGGCACAAGCTTACGAGTTCACGGGCTTAAGGTCATGGTTAGAGAATTTGCCAAGACAGTTCACAGCAAAGGCGGCAAAGTTGTCTTTGTCAACTTTACCAAACCATCAGAGAGCTCGTGGGGGGATGTTATCGATTTTTGGATACAGTGGGATTGCGATGCTTGGGTCAACGACCTGCAGGCTCGCGTCCCGAAACTCTGGCGTGACCCCTCACCGAAGAAGCCGCGCCCACCAGCTGCGAATCCAGTGGCTATGCGCGATTCCAAAGTCACTGGGGCTTACTGCACTCTGAAAATTCTTAAAGAATTGCGAAGGATCACCGGAAAAGAAACGCCGGAAAAGGCCCTTCGCCGAGCAACCATCACCGCTGACTCAGCCCCATCCTTCGCCATTCCTCCCGAGGCGGAGATGCCATCAATCCCGGCCCCGAAGCTGTCTCGACCGAGAGCAAAAGGTCCACGTAAATCCGCCCCCGGCGCCCTCGAAAAGGCCAAGAATCAGTCCTCCACGCTGAATCCTAATCATGGTCGCAGTCGTAAGAGTGATGCGGCTGAGATGGCCATGCAAGAGGGGCCACTGAATCCCATGGCACAACAAGAACAGCAGCAGCAGCAGCAACCCCCGCAAAGCCCGGTGTTGAGCGACCCTACCAACGAAAGCTCTATACTCAATTCTGTCAAGTCGAACCCTAGAGTTCGCAAGCGCAAGATGATCGACGGCGAAGAAGTTGTGCTGCCCACACGCCGTGGCACACGACAGAGCAAAATTGATCCAGGCGTGACGTTGCCACCACTGAGACCTGGTCCTGAATCTCACCCATTCGGCAAGCCGCTGCCTATGGAGCCTAGAAGTCCACCAACTGGGCCGCTTACTTCCCTATCACCGAATCTTCGCTGGTTCAGTTCATCGCATCGCCCAAACCCGTTTTACATTGATGACCCTCTGGTTGGATTGCTAGAGCAACCGTCTCTGGTAGCGCCCGAAACAACACGAGAGCCGCATTACTTGGTGCTATCGCAGCAGCGAAGCAAGCGAACCACGAAAGCCACACAACCCGAAGCCGATGCGGCAGTGGCCCTCGCTGATCTGGGGACTAGCCCACTGCTACGGAAAGCTGCAGCCTCCCAGATCGGCACCAGAGGGCTAGAGGACCAGTTGCAGCACTGGGGCGCCCGTTGGAACTGCAACAGATAAGACGCACGAGTCAGACAGTGACTGCACTCCAAACTCATAGATGACGAATATATGACCTTGTTCAACACTTTATATTAGGGCTATTGTAGCTACTGACTTAAGTACGGAAACCGGAGCGGCGATTCTGTACCGAACGGCACCCCGTGAAGTGATGAAGTCGATTATGCTTTCTTGCGACGAGCAGCCAAGAAGTCATCAACGCCACGCCTTTTCTCGTCGGTTCCAAAAGTGCTGTAATACAGGTTCCTCTCAAAGGCATCATCGCGACAGAGATCATCCGCTGCACCAAGTCAACACGTGCCAGAACGGCGGGGCCTCGCTTATCAGGATGTGATAATTCTCACCTCTGCAGATGGCCTGCTTGGCATAGGCGATAGCCTGCCTGTTGCCAGCGGTGAACTTGGAGGCCATCTCCAAGCAGTATTGGGTCAGGGTGTCCGGGCTGACAACGCTAACGACGAGGCTGGCGGCCATGGCCTCGTCAGCAGTCATGGGTTGTGCGAGCAGGATGCTGCACATAGCCTGGCCGAAATGGTTAGCTCTCCTCGCGTCGACGGCGCACGGCCTCCCGTTGAAGAAACCCACCTTGTATTTGCCGATGGCCACCGTCAGTCGTTGTGTACCTCCGGCGCCAGGAATGAGCCCAATCGTGGTCTCAGGGAGTACAAAGTAGGCTGACTTGGCCGAGACGATGAAGTCGCTCTTCACTTGGTTAGCACATCGCATCCAAAAGCAGAAGGGAAGGGTGCACATCAGAGGATCAACATTACCATCAATGCAATCTCGAACCCGCCCCCGAGCTACTTCAACGTCAGCCACTCGAAGTCTATGCAGTCGCGTGGGGAACCTACAGCAGGGCCATTCACGGCGGCAATGATGGGCTTTGTGACGGATGCAAAGCCAGCACAAAGGTCCTCGAGGTAGCGGGTCGCTCTCGCACCGGCTTCGTCGAGATTGGCAATGTCATTGAGGTCCGCCCCAGCTATTGGTTGTCAGAAACTCCATCCATCCATCCCATCGGTCATACTTGGAACAAGGAATGAGGTGTTGTCGAGTCTGGTGACACACTCACCACAAAAAAAGGGCCCAATTCCGGTTATGATGATGGAGAAGATGTCCTTGTCCGCGGAAGCATTTCTGAGCTCGGAGAGAAAGGCGCGGATGAGAGGCTGTGACAACGCATTACGCTTCTCTGGCCGGTTGAAGCGAAGTAGCCTGACACCCGGAGCGGGGGTCGACGACAAGACGAGCTCAGGCGTAAAACAATCCGTCATGGTGTGATTGATTGTGTGTCAGTGTAAGGGTGGGCTACTAATATGGCCGAGACGGAGTTGAGTGTTTGCTGAGAGATGGGTTTTGATGGATGGGTTGGGTGATGGGTTGGGTGATGGGTTGGGTGATGGGTTGAGTGATGGTTTGGGCTGAGTGATGGCTCTTTGGATCTCTTCAACACAGGTCTGAGTTCGGATATAGCACGGTACTCGCAGGCCAGCAGATGGAGAAGAAGCAAGGACGAAAAGTGTCGGGAAGAAGAGAGAGCCTTCCGGCGGGGTGACGCACCGGCCACGCCAATCACTTGGGAAGTCGGTCGAGGCGATCTGATCAAGCCGGCGAAGAGATGCGACAACCCTTGTCTTGTCGTAAACTAATCTACGACGGGCACGTCGACTGCTGTCACTCCACTTTTCGAAAGTGACAGGGTGATGTTGACTATGAGTTTTGCTTTTCCAGATGTACGTACAGACTGCACTGCGGGTTCATCGCAGGTTTTGATGATGGTGTCGTTTTTCCTGCAAATCTACAGATTTCCGCCTTCCCAGGCTCCCCTCCCACACCGGAAACCTGCCGAAGAGATGCATTACGCTGTGTGATGGGAGCTGTATGAATGAACTGGGACACGTTTCTGCGAGAGGAAAAGACCCAAGACAGGGCTAACCCCGAAGAAACAAAACATACGTCTGTGGGCTGAAACCCCCAAGAGGCCGTGCAAACCCTGTTCGCTCGACAACTCCCGGGGGACATGGACGGAAAGAGATCAGGATAGACAGAATGGGGGCAAGGATTATGGACTGTGACGAAAAGAGACACACAGAGAGAAACAGAAACAGAAACAGACGGGACAGCTTCTTTCTTGCTGATGAAGAAAGTGACGCAAATCGGACCCAAGGCCGACAAGCACACACCCACCACACCCCCTTGTCTCGGTAACAACGATGTCCACACACCTCTATTCCCTTCAGCTCGTCGTGTGGTAGGCAGCAAGAGTCGAGAGGAGGGAGGTATATCCATTCCTCATCGTCTCCGCCCAGCCTCGGCGGAATGGTGTGAGTGATTCTCGCCCAAATTTTGGTATTCCATCTTTTTGTTTTGGAAAGAAAGTTCATTCATGGTTCTGTGTTCCAGAAACATTAGCGGCTGTCTCGAGAAAAGAGGCAAGAAAACTAACGCTGTTGTTGTTTTCAGCTAGTCAGTCCATCTCTTCCTCCCATCTTTGACTGGGGAACCGGCATCTGCATGACAAGAGAAGGACAGCACGGCTGGCTTCAAGAGGCCATAGTCAACCACCTATTCATTCGTTCAGACAAGCTGTCTGAACATACGGATAATTGGCCCCTGTCTCCTCTTCCCTTCACCGCATTCACTGTGGGTTGGCGTGCATCGTCAAAAAGACGTGGCTGGATTTGCATCGCGACCATGTTCGGATAGCAGACAGGCTGTCTTTTTTTTTTTTCTTTTTCCGCCTTGCTCGATTTCCTTATCGTCAAGCCCATCGAGGTCATGTGCGCGGTGCGTCGCGTAATTCTGCGAACCGCCCGTCGCTGGATGGGCCGACCAGGGGTTGGTGGTGAACCTGTGCTGTTGAGTGAGACATTGTCATGGATAGCCCTGGGCAAAAAGAAAACTCAAGATACAAAACTAGGCTCGCCTCGTGCCAGTGCCCTGGGTTTAAGCGGATCGACGCCACGAAAACGGTTAAATAGACAGGGCCGGGTTCTTTCTTTCTGGCTGCAGTTACCGGGGTGGTGGTGAGGCTGGAATGCCGCCTCTTCTGGCGATGTGACTTGTACAATGCATTGTGGTGGCATTTTCTCGCATTTTCTCCCACCAAGCCAACCGGTCGCTCTCTAACCGCCCAATAGACGGTACAAACGAGTCGCAATCAATCATCCCTCCCTCACTCCCTCTATTGGCCCGTCCCCGCATGCTTCACACCCACCCCCCCGGGAGCTCAGCGTCGTCCGGTGTGGCGAAATTCCCGCCGGTGAGCAAAGGCATGTCTACCAACCTGACGCCTTCCGTGGGCCGTGTGACTGAGAAAAGACGCCTGATTCGGAAGAATTTGGGGAGATTGGATACTTGGTAGAAGCCAATGTTGCCGTAGAGATCCATACAGGCTTGCATCGCCCTGTGCAGGCTGGCTGCATGGATCGGGCTTGCTCGGGCTGCCCTATTTCTGGGCGGTTGGGGGCAAACTGCCAAAAATGTTTATATAGATTGCCCGCCCCGAGCTGTGGAGTGAGGAGAAAAGGAGGACTCGCCATATACCACTCATCCCAAGATTATATCTACTCTCTAGGTGCATCCAAGGACGTGGGTCAACTAATATATCATCATGATAACCACGATGATGGCCACAACCAAGAGCACCAACGCAGACATGGATAACATGACATTTTGCTTTGGCCAAGCACGCGAGGCTCAGTTCTACACGACGACAGCTGCCCTCGCCCATTTCGCCCTCACACACCCCTCGACTGTCGCCGTGCGGGATCTATCCGCTCGAGTCACACGACAGCTGACATATGGTGAGCTTGCTCGGCAGGCACAAGCGCTTGCTTGGCACCTTCGAAGCCTCGGTGTGCAACCTGGGCAGAGGGTGCCTCTCGTGGTGAAGCGCAGCCAGGCCATGATAGTCGCCATCTTTGCCGTACTGCTCTGCGGCGCGCAGTACGTCCCGCTGGACGGCGGTGTGGTGCCCGATGCGACACTACGCCATGTCTTCTGCGAGAGCGGCGGTAAAGTACTCGTGTGCGTCTCCGCGACGGAAGCGAGGGTAAGGGAGCTGCTTCCGGATGCTCTCGCTGTCAATGCAGAGGAGGAGTACGCTGCAGAGAGTGATGGCCCTCACCCCACGGACGAGCGGTGGATGGACCAATCGACTCCTACGAGCGGATGCTACGTAATTTACACTTCAGGCAAGCACATTGGACTCGAAAGCAGGGATCTGTTCTAATAAACTTTCAGGAACCACTGGGAAGCCGAAAGGCGTCGACGTTACACAGGCCAACGTAGCCAACCTTGTCTGTCAGGCTCCGGGAAACCTCGGTGTAAGTCCAGGTGTCCGCGTGGGCCAACTTCTTAACATCAGCTTTGATATGGGTACGCACTTGAAACCATGATCTCACTATTCAGGAAAAAGCCTTTTGAATACTTATACAAATTAGCTGCTTGGGAAATCTTTACTTGCCTGTGCAACGGTGGCACTCTTGTCATCCGAGGATCAGACTGGGAGCCTACGATGAGCCAGGTATGGAGAACCTCAAACACAACCCACAACGACAACGAAGCAAGGCTGGCTGACTACTCAGATCGACATCCTTATCTGCACACCAAGCATACTAGCCAAATACCCCCCTCAAAAATACCGCAACATCAAGGTTGCCGCAACTGCCGGGGAGCCAACGACCCAGTCGCTGGCGGATCTCTGGGCTGCGGAAGCGGAGTACTGGAACTGCTGCGGACCAACTGAGACAACGATTGTCAACACTATGAGCAGGCATGCTACCGGTGACCCCATCACCATTGGGCGGCCAACGCCCAACAATAACGTGTACATCCTTGACGAGGCTATGAGGCCGGTCGTCGGGCCCGGCGTGACGGGCATTATGTGGGCGGGGGGATGCGGCGTGTCACGGGGTTACATCGGGCTTGAACAGAAGACCAGGGAGTCGTATCTCCCAGATCCGTTTATGAATGATGGGTAAGACACCGGAGCTCCGCGGGGGACAAGAGGAGAACAAAGAAAAAGATTTGGAGCGGAGACTGACAGGTTCTAGATCCCAAATGTATAGAACCGGCGATCTCGGGCAGTGGGATGTATCTGGCAACATTCTGATCCTTGGCCGTTGTGACGATCAAGTCAAAGTTAAGGTATTTCTATCCTCTATTCCGCCTTTCACGGAACAGCAAACGGTTGGGTGCTAACTGCAACCAGGGATTCCGAGTCGAGTTGGACGGCGTTTCCTCTTCACTTCTTGCTTGCCCGGGGGTCTCCCAGGCCGTTGCTCTCTTCATCGACGGGCAGATTCACGCGTTTGTGTCGCCGTTGAACCAAGACGAGGGACGCATCCTCGCCGCCGTCGCCGAGCGCCAGCCGTACTACGCCGTGCCGTCGGTCATCCACCAGCTCGCCGCCTTCCCCGTCACGGCCAACGGCAAGACGGACAAGCGGGCCCTGCGCGCCGCGGCCGAGGCCGAGGAGAAGCATAGACTTGATAAGTTCACTATGCTGGAGAAGGACGCGACGATGAGTGAAAAGGGCACGCTGGTCGAGACGCGCTCCGTGTCGTCGGCCACGACGGCCTGCGCATCAGACAGCGGAGCCTTGTCCGTCGTCCTGGACGGCGACGTGCCGGAGAAGAAGCTGCCGAAGCCCTGGCGCGGGCTTGCCTACCGCATCTTCATCATCTATCGGACGCTGTTCTCCTTTGTGGTGCTCCTCAACGCCGGCACGCTGGCGGCGCTGCTTGTGCTGAAGGCGGACGTGCAGCTGCTCAAGCTCGTCGTTGCTGCCAACCTTGCCCTCACAGTCCTCGTCCGCCAAGACGTCGTCATCAACGTGCTATACACCATCTGCTGCTCGGTGCCAAAGACGGCGCCGCTCTGGATCAGGCGCCGGTGCGCCAAGATTTACCACCTTGGCGGCGTCCACTCGGCCGCCGGTGTGTGCTCAACGGCCTGGCTGCTCGGCAGCAATATTTCTTCAACTGTCTCCTACGCACAAAGGAAGGAAGGGAGCATTGACTCTCTCGCATCCATTGTTGTGTCGTGGATGGTCTGCGCGCTGTGCTGCGCCATGATTGGCTTTGCGTACCCGACATTTCGCAAGAAGTACCACAACACCTTTGAGCAGATGCACAGGTTTATGGGATGGACTGCTCTTCTTCTTTTCTGGATCAAGACCGTCCTCAACACCAGGGACGCGGCGCTGCCAGGCGAGGACCTGGGCTTGCTGTTGGTTCGCAGCCCTGCATTTTGGCTGTTGGTCGTTGCCACGTGCAGCATCGCGTCATCGTGGATGTTCCTCCGCAAGGTGCCCGTCGAGACGGTGCCGCTCTCCGAACACGCAGCGGTGCTCTCCTTTACCTACACAGTGCCCGTAAACGGCACCTTCACGCGCCTCTCCACGCGGCCACTGCTCGAGTGGCATTCCTTTGCAACCATCCCGCAGCCGGAGCCTAACGCGCTCGCCAGCCAGCGCGGCTACTCCCTGGTCGTGTCCAACGCGGGCGACTGGACCAAGTCGTGCGTTCAGGGCGCCCCGCGGTCATTGTGGGTGCGCGGGCTCCCGACGTGCGGCGTTATGCGCATCGCGACGCTCTTTGAGCGCGTCGTTGTCGTTGCGACGGGGTCCGGCATCGGTCCGCTGCTCGGCCACATCCAGAGCCCGTCCTGCGCGACGCAGCTCATATGGTCAACCAAGAACCCGGAGAAGACGTTTGGCAAGGCGGTGCTCGACACCATCTACCGAACGATTCCGGACGCGGTGATCCACGACACGGCGACGAAGGGCCGGCCGGACCTGGTCAAGATGGCGTACAATTTGGCGTCCTCGTTTCGCGCGGAGGCGGTAATCGTCATCGCCAACGAGAAAATTACGAAAAAGTTGGTGTACGGGCTGGAGACGAGGGGAGTACCAGCCTATGGCGCGATTTGGGACAGTTAGTACACACGACAGTATTCTCGCACATGATTTGAGGGGCACGGTGTTATCTGGTATATTTCTTTTTCGGTTTATAGGTCTGATATAATAGGGATTATGTATTTATGGGCGTATTTGGTACTGAGTATAATGCATCCAATGTTGTTTGCTACTCGAATCATGTCATGCTATAGGTAGATGATCTGTCAAGGAATGATTCTATGTTAATACATTTATATTTATATTTCAAGATGATTTTTTTATCATTGAACCTAATGTACTTATGCAGAGATCATTGCTTCTGCAGCTCTTCAATTCTTGTACTCCCCATTGGAAACGCGCGCAACCAGCTCTTTAAGCACCTTGGCCGCATACTCGTAGTCCTTCATGTCGAGGTAGATTTGCGCGCTGATGCGCACCCACATGCGTCCACCCATCTCGAACAGAGGCATCAGCGTCCTGTACTCGTCCTTCATCTTCTCCATGATCCACTGCCGCACCAGCCCGGCGTCCTCCCCCGGCAGCACCACGTCGCCCTCCTTGGCCCCCTTGTCCGCCTCGCCCTCCCCCTTGACGAACCAGATGGGCAGCGCAACGTTGCCCATCGCGCAGTTCGTCAGCGTCCCCCTTCCATTCTCCAGCACCTCCGTCCCCAGCTCCCCCGCCACGTACTCGCTCCCCTTCTTGTTCAGCCCCCACAAGTACGCCATGATGCGCTCCTCGCCGCCGCACGCGTCTCGTCGCCACGCGATGGCGTCCTTGGTGACGATGTCCTGCGAGCGGTCCTTGGTCGCCACCAGCTCGAAGCCGCGGACGAAGGCGGGCTTGGCGTTGGGCGGGAGCACCTCCCGCCGGACGGCGGCCCGGGGCACGTAGCCGTGGCTGGTGGCGAGCGTGGTGGTGACGAGGTGCTGGTTGCGCGCGGGCACGTAGAGGAGGGCGCAGCCGCGCGGCGAGTGCAGCCACTTGTGGCAGTTGGAGGTGAAGAAGTCCGGGTCGGCGGCGGCGAGGTCCAGCGGGACCATGCCCACGCCCTGCGCGCCGTCCACCAGGCTCAGCACGCCGAGCTCCGCGCAGACCTCGGTCAGGGCGACCCAGGGGAAGACGACGCCGGGGTTGGACGAGACGACGTCAAAGGCGCAGACGCGGGCGCGCTTCCCTTGCCTTTCCACGTCCGCCACGGCCTGGCGGAAGAGGCGCAGGATGTCCTCGTCCTCGAGCGGGTAGGTCAGCGGGATCTCGTGGACGCTGACGCGGTCGGGGCCAAAGTAGTCGACGAGGAAGTCGGCGGCCTTGGCGCAGGCCGGGTAGATGGTGGAGAAGAAGAGGATGACGTCCTTGCCGTCGGGGTTCCACTGGAGGTTGCGGAGGACGGTGTTGACGGCCTCGGTGGCGTTGGTGACGAAGACGAGGGTGTCCGGGGGGGCGCGGACGAGGGCGGAGACGGCGGCGCGCGCCTCGTCGATGAGCAGGCCCTGGTCGTACCGGATGTACTTGTCCGGCGCGGCCTCGGAGAGGTCCTGGTAGGCGCGGAACTTTTCCCGGACGGCAAGGGGCATGGTCCCGTACGATCCTAGGCGGCGGCGGGCGGTTTAGTTGTCGGGATTCAAAGGGGATACGGATTGGCGCGCACCGTGATTCAGGTTGACCCAATCCTGGGATTGGGGGAACAGCTTCTTCAACTCTCCGCCAAACTCGAGATACTTTCCTCGAGTAGGGAGAGCATCACCCTGGGGAGTGGAAGCGTCGCCGGCCATTGTAAGAGGGAGAGAGGGTAGATGTGGTGTTGATGCAGCAATTTCAAGACCAGCGAGGGATTAATACCCCGGTTATATAAATTCCACCTCACAAGGCGGGGAATCAATTATTTATAAAAAAGACCCTGCGGTAATTCTTCCCTGCAATTGCTTTATAATATCATAAATACAGTGAGTCACTAGCAGCTGAACGACGATGGATCCGACTTCGGTTTACGCCAGATCGTCCATACTGACAAGTCATCCGCGCCCTTTACATTGCCCATCTTGTCAGCCGCGAAAAGCCGCAGTTGCTGGGAATGCCCGAACAAGAATTGAACTTGAACAAGAGTGGGCACAGGAACCCACTACGCAACGCCTTGGTAGAGTACTGGCCACTTGGTGAGTGTCTGTGCAAGTTGTCTGTGAATGCTTTATTATTACATGGCAACTCTGTTGACTCATTGATGGTTATCAAGTCTGGGGTAAGCTTCCAGGTTCAGGTGTCGCAATACGTATGTTGCATATACAAAATACATCCTATTGCGCCATCTACTATTTCTTCTTCTTCTGCTTCTTCTTCTTCTTCTTCTTCATTTTCTGTATTTTTTCTCTTTATTCAATTACTTCTTTTCATCTATTCTTGTAGTTTTGATCACTTTGCCAGGCTTGCGTAAGTGCAAACTAACTAGTTAGTTAGCTAACTGGTTCCTAAATCCCTCCGCCTGTCGTCTCCAAAATTCAGTTCGTCTTGCTGGTGCAGACAACTCTTCAACGATAATGTGTTCTGCAGGTCTGATGAGGTATCAACTCTCGAGGTAAAGTAGTGCGGCTGAAGTTTCGGTGCAAAACATCGTCGCAGCGGGCTTGTCGATGAAGATCACCAAGGTCGGCCGATGCCCACTGGACGATAGCCTAGAGTCAGCACACATACGCCTTGCCTTGGTAATTACTAACCAAATTGTTAACAATGCTCGTCCCGTTGAGGCCAAAACCGCACGGGAGCTCGCACAGACCGGCGTCCGGCCGAGCAGAGCAAGCTCGGGGCTCCCTAGACGGCATCTCCGAAAATGCCGTCCCCGGAAGCAAGCCAGAGCCCGGCCAGAGAGCGAAACGATGGGCCGCCAAGACTAGGACCGGCTGTCTAACTTGTCGGTGCGTCTTCTCAAAAGCTGACGATGACCGCGCTGAGATGAGGTGGCCGCTGATGCGATGCATGGCATTACAGGGAGAGGCGCGTCAAATGCGATGAGCAAAAGCCTTTCTGCAAAAGCTGCTTGGATTTCGGCAAGGAATGCAAAGGCTACCAGCTGTCCAAGGACATGATGCTCGTAGAGTTTTCCATCCCCGGCGCTCCCGACCACGAATCCCTCAAGCTGGCCGATGTTCTCTTATACTGCAAGTATCGCCGCAATACGAATTCTGCTGTGTTGTATCTAATGTCATGTCTTGTCTGATTCGCAGTTGCTTTGAGGATACAGCCCAAGGTCATCCGGCAAGAACAAGGCTCCGGCGCGTTCCAGTCCACCAGGCCGTCGGTCAAGACGCACATGGTCATCCTCCCCGACGCCTTCATCATGAGGACCGTCAACCACAACATCGTCACCGCCACGCAGCAGAGCCGCTGCCTCCCCAAACATGGCACGCTGCCTTCGATTGCCCACCTGTGGTGGCTGCTGTACGAGTACGTCGCGTCGACGATGCGGGAGCTCAACCGCCTGATCAGCGCGGGCGACGACGTCGACATGATCCTGCACTACATCCTGTCCATCTTTGCCATCGAGGTACGTGTGTATCCCGCAAAATCCTCTCCTCGGATTGGTAATACTCAAAGTCTCTCAAGGGGACCATTATCGACTCCACCTGGAAAGTCCACGTCGAGGGCTTTGCCTCCCTGGTTCGGGTTACCTTAATCTTACAATGGGGTGTTGAACAAACGAACAGTCAAAGGAGCTGCGGAAGGAACTGGAGCTGCTCGCATCTACGTCTACAGGGGCTACTCCCTAAATAATAACCCCCCCTTTAGTCCCTCGTAGTTAGGTTAATCGAGCTTCTCTTAGTACGCAGAGACATCTGACTGTTTCTCCGTGAGTTCCTAGTGAACACCACGTGGAGGTGGAAGCTTATTGTCCACGCACGCAAAGTGATGAATGGAGTTAGCAATTTCCTATTTTCTCATATGAGAAGGCTTTACCGAAAGGGAGCGGCCTGAGTAGCCCGCGAGGCCCTAAACGAATGGTAAGAGCTCAGGTGAAGTCACCTCTGTGGCCAGGCCTCAAACGAATGGCGATAGCTAAAGTGAGTAACCTGAAAGCCCGCGAAGCCTTGAACAAATGGCCGTAGCCAAAGTGAGTCACCTCTATGGCCCGGGCCATCAAACGCGAAGTGAGTAGCCTGAGAGGCGTCAAACAAATGGCAAAAAGGCCAAAGTGAGTAACCTGAGTGTGAGTGCAGGAGGAGAAAGGAAACCGGGACAAGCAACTGGCATGACAGTAGATGTTTGTAGCATTGCAGCCTCTGGGAGATGAAGCCTCTCAGGATCATTCAATACGACCCAGTGTCTAGTGATGTTAATGCCTTCTAATCAAGATGGTTTATACACTAATCATATTGCGAGATACCTAAAAGAACCCAAATCAGATAGATCTTTATAGAGAGTGTGTTTAGTGCTATTTACGTAATTAAATTGCCTGCTGAATACTAAAGTCACATCGTCATATTCGTTGAATAGGACACTGGGTATGCGTCACCACGCGTAAGGGCCTTGCCCTGTAGAAATTAGATGTCAGCCAGCTTGTTGCAATCCGACGTATTTTCCACCTGAATAATTGCAGGAGCCGCAAGCGTTGAGCCAACAATATCATCGACGGTTTGAAAATCTTTTGCCGTCGTGAGTGCAGCGTGGCTAAGCCCCACCATGACATTCTTCTGGAACGGAAAATCAGCTTCGAACGAGATTTTCTTATCGTTCCACTTGACGTTATCAGTCGCCACAGAAATCGGCTTCTGCTGGCCGGTCGTGTAAGTGAGCCATAGCTCCGCGCCATCCGAGCCCGCAAACGCCGTCGCGTTCTTCGCGTCCGTCAGGTCCGCCGCGAACGAGAGCCGCTGATCCTTGGGCTCAACCGTCGCGATCAGCCCGCCGTTGACCGCGAGCGGCGGCAGGATCGGCAGGTCAATGTTCGTTAGTGGGTAGGGGCACGATCCCGGGACGATGAACGGCTGGAGCGCGGAGAAGATGAACGCGGCGGGTATGGCCGTTAGGAAGGGCGACTCGGACGGCACCTGCTTGACGAGGTGGCGGTAGAAGCCGTTCTGCTCGGCCTCCTCCCCGATGACGGACGAGACGAGCTGGATGGGGACGGCCAGGTTCTCCTTGGCGAAGGCGACGTTGGCGCCCTGCAGCGAGCCGAGCACGACGGCGGTGAAGGTCGAGGCGAGACGGATCGCGCCGGCGAGGTCGCTGGCCGGGAACTGGTACTCGCAGGCGGTGGGTGAGAACTCGCCGGCAGTCTTGAGGGCGGTATCGGCGGCGATGGCATGCTGCTTTTCTTGCTGGTTCGAGGATCAGTATCGGCCTAGGCTTCAAGGTGTCCACGAACAGCGTACCGCTTGTATAGTTGTTAATATCTTGGTGATGTTCTCAACGTGTCCGTTGATTTCATAGCCTTTGTTGCCCTTGGTGACGTTTTGGACTAACGAGTTGAAAAAGGCAACCTCAACAAGCTCGGTAAAGGCAATAAGCTGGAACGTGGTCCTGCTTCCCGGCCCTAGCTTAGTCGGCAACGGCAGGTTAGGTAGTAGGCCGCCTGCCTCTTTGGCGATGGAGAGTACTTGCTGTGTGTTGGGCTTTAGGAAGCTGTCATTGTTGGGGATTATTGCGGCCGAGACACCCCCTAATAAGATAAGGATAGGCGCTAAAGATCTGCAGAGAAGCATCCTGCTAGGCAACGTGTCACGTTTCGAGCCGGCCGGTTGTGGTTGTTTATTTTTATGCTTGGCGTGTTGATCGATCAAATTTCATGCGGCATCTCGTGCATATATATGTATACGTGCGACGGACCTGCAAAACGCCCGCCCGCTTACACAGGCAAGTGGTTATGCCGCTTCACTGCCATCACACTCTATTCACCAACCCGGATTGTAACAGGCTGGGAACCCCAATTCGATGTCGGGTAGTTTGCGCTATGATATCTGCGGCCTTGTGAAACATTTGATCCATTGGTTGGATATCTGTTCTCCTGGGGAGGCACGCTGGCAACGGTTCCCGTTTCAAGCTGGTCAACCCACCTTTTGCACAGCTCTAGAACCCTGAATTCGCCTTCTTAGGATCAATAGTGGTATTTCGGTCCGACAAGGGGGCATTGTCTATCCCAACTCCGCGAAACAAATATCAATGGAGAAACGTAGGCTGCGGTAAGCACTCTTGTAAGCTTCAGGAGCAAAGTCCCGTGTATACGCTATCAATTCTGTTTGACACACCTGCCAAGGAAGCTGCCATATATTAGCCCCTACTTACCCTGGCTGATGCTTAATAGACAGGGAGCGAAATGCATTCCGAGGTAAGCTGACCCTGACAACCTCGCGAACGGTTGCGCTGAGCTACAACTAGAGTACGAATTAGAGGTACAAGATTTATCTTACATCGTCACGCGTCTGGCATAGACCAAACTCAAGCAAAAAATAGGAAAACAATTGATGTGTTTCTTAATAGCTTCATAGAGAACAAATTTGTGACCGTCTAGGATTGGCTGTCCATCGACTGTCAGGCTTGTTTTTTGTGGGTGGTTTATTAGCAAATGCTCTTAATAGCTGTCCAATCCGAGTCCACAACGGACCTGTGATAACGGAGTGTTCTGACTTCAGTCCAACAGCTGCCAGTCCTGATTATTTATTAACTACGCATAAGAGAGGAGGTGGGGGGTTCTATCGAGCTTCCTAGCCTGATTTCAGTTTATGCTATAGAAATAGCTGAGCCGTGTTGGACGTAGAATTGTTTTTTTTTGTTACTGTGTTGCAAAGCTCATTCATTGTACAACAACTGGAATCGTAGCGCGTATCTTAATATTCAATTGCACCCTTTGAATTTCAATGTATAGAGTACCTATGTACAAGCTGTACATCCGCGCTCACCGTTCTGCGGAAAATGTGTACCACGTGCCGGCTCGCTTAACTGGGTAGGTACTAAGATTGTATGTTTGTTTTCTCCTTTTCATCCTTCAGGCTACATGTCGACGTTCGCTAAATACAGCGGCCACTCAATTCCTCGTCCTTAGTATCTACCTAGGGAATAGAAATGACATTACCAGCTTTCTAAGTACTCGGCTTCCCCCTCCCCCCTCCCCCTCTCAGCCACACTCTGGCACTATGCTTCCTTGGCCCGTGGTCCTAACTCGCACGGCTAGCAGGTCAATCTTGCAAGACGCAGCTCAGGAGATTCACCTCCAAGAACTTGTCACCTTCGGCTCCGAGTTTCAACAATGGGATGAGATACACTGCAATTGCCGGTGTCGTCGCTCGCCACGCCATGTTTTTGGTGGCTCGTAACTGCCCGCGACGATGCGCCAAGTCTAGAGAGCCCGCCCACCCAGCATCTCTTCAGTGAACCGGCCCTTCTGGAGATCAGATAATGCGCATGATATCGCAAAGCGCGTATTCTTTTCGCGTGAAAAGTGTTTCCGGGGTCAACAGATACGATGGAACTCGACTTGGCTCCAACCCCTTGTGCGAGGATCGGTTCATCCATGGCAAATTCCCTTCGCCGTGGAACGATGGCAACCAGTGGATGACCTGGGCTGTTTTCGACGGACATGCAGGTTGGCAAACAGCAGACTTACTAGAGAAGCAACTCCTATCCATCTACATAGACGCGCAATGCCCTTCTTATCCCCTGCTTACATGCAGGTCGTATCAGCGTCTAGCCAATTCCAATCAAGCCTCCATTCACACTGGGCCGCCTCGGCGATTCGGCGAACTCAAGGATCCAATCCACTGGCCAGCCTAAAAACAGCCCCAGAACAGCCCCAGAACAGCCCCAGAACAGCCTGATCAGGGTTCTCTTGGCGCCGAATAGCGGGTTGCGTGGAGACGCTGCGTAATTTGCGAATAATACGGCTAGTTGTTACTTAGTACAGCCTCACTAGGCTCGCCTCGGAGCTCCGACCGTTGGCAACTGATCAACAAGTTCATAAGCAGTCTATCTGAATGCGCCGCTCCAAGAGATTTCGAGGACTCAATTCATCTTCCCATCGATAGCCAATCTCTGGAATCTCTGCATCATCGCCATACTCATCCCCCGATGTCGCCCGCCGCCATGGACGACCATGCGCCGCAGCCTCCTCCGCCACGGCCTCACCTCCTCTACCGCATCCTCTCTGAAGTCGGCCTCGTCACGCTCTTCCGCTCCCCGCGCGACATCAAGCTCCTCTGCCTGCAGCGCTTCGTCCGGCTCTTCGCCTACGGCGTCACCACCCTCATCCTCGTCGCCTACCTCCAGCTCCTCGGCCACTCGCGCACCCGCGTCGGCCTCTTCATGACCCTCACCCTCGCCGGCGACGTCGTCATCAGCTTTTTTCTTACCCTCTTCGCCGACCGCCTCGGCCGCAAGGCCATCCTCTCCCTCGGCGCGCTCCTCATGACCGCCAGCGGAGTTGTCTTCGCGCTCTTCTCCAACTACTGGGTGCTGCTGCTGGCGGCGGTGCTCGGGGTCATCAGCCCGGCGGGCAACGAGATCGGGCCGTTCCGCGCGGTGGAGGAGAGCATCGTGGCGCACCTGACGCCAAAGGAGCAGCGCGCGGAGGTGTACGCCTGGTACACGCTGTTCGCGCCGGCGGGGAGCGCGTTTGGGATGGTGGCGAGCGGGTGGGCGATCGAGGCGGCGCGGAAGAGGCTGGGGTGGGAGCTGCTGGGCGCGTATCGAGGCGCGTTCGTGGCGTATGCCATCCTGGGCCTGGTAAAGTTCCTGCTCACGGTCATGCTGTCCCGCGAGGTGGAGCTGGAAGAGGTGGTCGTCCCGCCGGCGCCGGCGCCGACGCCGACGGAGGCTGACGAGCGCGCGCCGCTGCTCAGCGGCACGCCGGAGCCGGAGCAGCCGTCCAAGAAGAAGAGGAGCCGGCTGGCGGCGATGCTGCCTCACATCAGCCCCGAGAGCAAAAAGGTCACGGCGATCCTCTGCATTCTCTTCGCTATTGACTCCCTGGGCTCTGGCCTAGCCTCGCTGTAAGTGTCGCCAACAGAATTATGTAGTGGCCGCCGTACCTCGCAGCAAGCCTAACCAACTCTTCCAGCTCATGGGTCACCTTTTACTTCCGAAGCCAATTTGGTATCGAAGAAGGAAAGCTGGGATCTCTTTTCTTCACCACCAGCATCATCTCCGCCATCACGGTGCTGGTCGCGTCTTCCATCGCCAAGCGTCTCGGAAACGTCAAGGTTCATTCCCCCCTCTCTGTTCCCCAGCCCGCAAGTCTGCTTCTTGCTAACCTTGCTCTAGACCATGGTCTTCACGCACCTCCCGTCCGCCGTCTTCCTCGCCCTCATCCCGATCCCGTCCGACCCCAAATACGCCGTCATGTTCCTCGTCCTGCGCGCCTCCCTGCAGAGCATGGACAGCGCGCCGCGGACCGCCTTCCTCGCCACCATCCTGCAGCCAGGCGAGCGTACCTCGGTCATGGGCGCCGTCAACGTCGTCAAGACGACCGCGCAGAGCATGGGACCCCTCATCACCGGCGTGCTGGCCAGCCACGGCCTCTTCTGGCTGACGTTTGTGGTCGCGGGCTCGCTCAAGGGCACGTATGACCTGCTGCTCCTGGCCGTGTTCAAGAACTATGGGAGGCATCGGACCGGCTGAGACGTCTGGCGCCTCAGAAGCCCGCGTGCCGCGATGATCAGCGCCAGGGGAGGCCTGACTTGACGGGCTGGGGAGGTACGTACCACCAGAGGAGAAACATTACATAGATGAATGTGGCAGACATGAATCCAAAAGTCACGCTAAACTCGACCAAACGAATGACCAACCTTTGGAGTAGGGGCCGGCCGTGAGATGATCAGGATCACCACCTCGTTCGGTCATGAAAGGCGCGCTTTTTCGTCCAACTTGTTTACTCGGTCGTGTCAAATCTCATGCGTCTCAAACCCAGTTCCAGATTTCTATTCAAGGCCTCCTAGATTTGCATCCTCGCAGCTCGTTGACTTTTCTCCTGTCGGTTTGCAGAGCAAGTTTTTGAAACGTCAAGCCCCGTGGTGGCCGGTTTCATCTGCCAAGCCATCCCTACCCACCCAGCGATCGACTATCAATCGCCAAGAGAGGTTTGCTATCGTTGCCAAGTTGCCAAGCTAGATGAGAGTTATATTGATCTTGCATTTCTTCTTCTTCAACAACCGGGAAAAATACTACCCGATGGTTGCTAATTTTGGGTATTCGCGGAAAGGCCATGGTGCCGAGGGAACACTTCAAGCAAAGTTCGTGGAGGATTGACGTCTTGAAACAGATGGCATGATGAAATGCACCCTCATTCCAAAATGCAACTCAAAATCTTTTTCGTTTACTAGCCTTCGAGTCAGCGTCGAATGCCATTGAGCCATCTTGCAAATCAGCTTTTGCGACACCCGACTTCGCTTTTAAGCCGGTGATGCGCGCCGGCGTATGATGACGCGAGAGAAAAATCAAGCCTGGAGGAGGCGGCAAGTGAAGCCTTGAATCATGACCGAGTTGCGGGCTGATGTCTATTATTAGCGCCCGGTACAGAACATCGACACGCTAAAAGTTTGGGGGTTTGGTTTGGTTGCCTGGCGATCGCTTATTCTCTTAGTTGGGTTGCTACATTTGCGGGCGCCAAAGGAACGTTGATTCCAACATTCAGGCCGCCCCCCCCACTTCTTGTGCCTGCATACCTGATAAAAACCGTCAAACCAAGTAATCATTTCCGGTCTTCTGCCAATTGACACTTGGCAAGCTGACAGTTGACTGACTGACGGGCTGATTGTTCCATATCGCTCGTGAAACAAGATTAGTTTCGCTACAGCGGGCCTCCCTCTCCCGCTGACTGGTTGGTTCGCTGCCATTGTCAGGAAACCGAAACCGCATCCTCGCTAATTATTAACTACTGCGGCCGCTGTGGTGATCTACACTAATGCAGGTGCATGTACTTTAGTAACAATGCTCTCGTAAGCGAGGGGAAATGCATAACAGAAGCCGCCAACAGCAGCCACCACCACCACCATCTATACGAGCCGGCTTTCACGGGAAATAACAAGTGTCTCGCGTAGAAAATATTTCAGCAATCACAAAAAAAGGGTTCGTCCGAATTCCCCAATCGTCGTACGTCTTGTACAAACCGCCCATCACACCTCGTTTTGCATAGATTGTCTTGTTATTGCCCTCGGCTCTGGCGGCAGGGAGGAAACAAAATCAGTTGATATACCCCCTCCCTCTCCCCCTATCCCTCTCCCCCTATCCCTCTCTTCCCCTGTCCTACAGGCGCCTATTTCCGCATGCTATTGGATAGCGCGAAACAGAAGGCGCATCGAGTCCGGCCCAGTAAGCTCGTCTTGTCCTACTGCCACCACCCATTTGTTACAAACCATGTGTGACAAGCCCCCCCCCCCCCCCCGATGCAGACTCGTGCCCGGAGCTCCGCTGTGGTGCTGACGACGTCTCCTGGATCTCTATTGTGGGAATCCGGGGGGTGATTTGCTGTGACGGCCTTTGTTTTCGAACGGATGGCCGCAGCCGATGGCATCCCGTCCATGGACGAGGTATCAAATCAATCAGTTAGCATGTGCATGCCCCTTGAAAGGGACACTTATTACCAGTAGGGTCCTTCAATTTGTCCGCCTTCCTTCGATTCGTCCATATAGTGAAGGGGGAACTTTCTTCCCACTCTCCTGTTGCTGCAGCCTTTTCTTTGCATCCAGTTCTTAGCATATAGTCTCTACTATTTTTTCTTTCAACTCGCTCTTTACCTTTTCTTTCTATACTTTTTTTATTTCTATTTTATCATTTAGTGTTGTCACCAGGCGTGACCTTTTCTTTCTTGTGATATTTCCTTTCTTACGGTCCGTTGACATTGCCAGGCGCCATGTACACCAAGGCCCTCTCCGCGCTCCTTCTTGTGTTGGGGCTGGTCAGCTTGGCTTCGGCCGTCCCCCACGTGCAGAGGAGATCCTTCCTGGCCCCGCGCGTCGCCAACGACGGGTTCACGGGTAAGAATGGTCCGCGGGCCCTCGCAAAGGCGTACCGCAAGTTCCGCATGCCTCTACCGGCAGGCCTGGTCAACACCCTCGAGCAGCAGGACAGGGTGCTCGAGAAGCGAAGGAACAAGTGGACTGGCGGTGTTGCGTTGGAAAACGTCGCCGAGCTTGTCAACACCAAGGATCAAGTCGTGGAATCGGATGATGTCTCGAACAAGTCTCTTCTGGGCGATCTCCTGGGCGGCTTGCTTGGCGGCGGCGGCGGCAATCAGCAAGGCAACCCAGCTACTGGCAACCCAGCTGCTGGACAACCTGCTGCTGGACAACCTGCTGCTGGACAACCTGCTGCTGGACAACCTGCTGCTGGACAACCTGCTGGACAACCTGCGCTGCTGGACAACCTGCTGCTGGACAACCTGCTACTGGCAACCCCGCCAGCAACGAGGGCGGCAAGGGATCTGGTCAGCAAGGTGGTGGCGAGAGGGGTCCGGGCAACGAAACTGGCAACAACGGCAACAGAGGAAACGCCACTGGCAACCCAGAGGCCGATGCCATCGCCAAGACCCGTGAGGGCAACCAGACGGGCGAGACCCAGGCCATCCCCGAGCAAAACGACGTCGAGTACCTGTCGCAGGTCAAGATCGGCGGGCAGCCCGTCACGCTCGACTTTGACACGGGCTCCTCGGACCTCTGGGTCTTCAACTCGCTGCTGCCCGCCAGCGACCAGCAGGGCCGCACCATCTACGACCCGCGCCAGAGCCAGTCCTTCGAGCTGATGCAAGGCTCAGAGTTCCAGATCAAGTACGGCGACGGCTCCGGCGCCGACGGCAGAGTCGGCAGCGACGTCGTCGAAATCGGCGGCGCCGCCGTCCCCCGCCAGGCCATCGAGCTCGCCACCAACGTCTCCGGCCAGTTCCTCCAGGACACCAACAACGACGGGCTGCTCGGCCTCGCCTTTGGCAGCATCAACACGGTGCAGCCGCAGAAGCAAAAGACCTTTTTCGAGAACATCATGCCCAGCCTGGCCGAGCCCGTCTTCACCGCGGACCTGCGCGCCAACGCGCCGGGCGCGTACGAGTTTGGCCGCATCGACCAGTCCAAGTTCACGGGCGAGATGGCGTGGATCCCGGTCGACACGAGGAACGGGTTCTGGCAGTTTAGCAGCGAGAAGTTCGCGGTCGGCGATGGGCAGGCACAGCCGGGAGGGCAGGGCGCGCAGGCCATCGCCGACACGGGCACGACGCTGCTGCTGGCGGACCCGGCGATCGTCGAGGGATACTACTCGCAGATACCGCAGGCGCAGCAGGCCAAGGACGGCATCGTGATCCCGTGCAACGCCAAGCTGCCGGACCTGCACCTCGACATTGGCGGCGTCTACATGGCCAAAGTCAAGGGCGAGGACCTCAACTTTGCGCCTGTCGACAACGCTGGCACCAGTAAGTTGCAAACGAAACTCCTTCCCCTGGATGATTAGTCAGCAGCAGGAGCTCGGCGCTCGGCTCTCGCTGGACTCATCAATCAACCACACCCAACTCATCAAGCATTCCCAACTAACACACTGTTCTTCTTAGCTTGCTTCGGCGGCCTGCAGGCGACTTCTGTCAACGGCCTGGGCATCTACGGTGACATCCTGTTCAAGTCGCAGTTTGTCGCCTTCAACGGCGGAAACAACAGTCTGGGAATGGCTCCCCATGTATAAAGAAAGGACGTTCATAGGGCAAAACGGGACGCCTCTGTCATGCGCCCGTCCGCCCGTATAACTTGAACTGGCCAGTAGTCTCGCGATGGCGCCGCCAAGCTGCGCATATGAACCGCCCGCCGAGTTTTTGTAAAAGGGCCGAACACGGACAGGAGGGAAGAGGAAAAAAGACTGCTGCCTAAAATCCGCCCAGGTGGTGTGTGTGGTTCTTTTGCTTGCTGCGTGCCTCGTAGGTAGCAGCGGCGGATGTATATTCCCAGACTGCGAAGCTTTTTAAACAAAAACCACAAATTACAGAAACATTTCTTAGCATAACTAATGGTTCCATCTCCATTCTCCTGGGAAGAATGACGTACTCCTGGATGCCAAGTGTCTGTGATAGATTTCCCCCAATTTTGAATCGTAAATCCCACGTCGGAACCACTTTGAGGCTGAGCATTTCTCAGGCGGCTGCACGGGAGGAGAGGGGGTCTTGTGATCAATACTGGCAGGGCGTAATGGTACCAGTAGAAGCCCTGTTATCGATTCCTTTTCACGCAAACTTTCCAGAAGCGGGACAAGCTTCGACGCCACGTTGGTGCTACTGGACACAAGTTCTCGGTTGTGGCCCATGCCGTCATATCAAGGCTGACAAGGTAACCGATTCGAGAAGAAGCCCACGCTGAATTTACCCCATGGAGAAGCCGTTTGGTGATAAAACCCGCCTGATCCGCCAGCCCGACAGTGTTACATTGACGGCTAACACACACTCCTCCACAATACACAGTACATACGCATATAAACAGAACCAACTTGCTTTTCTTTCCAGCCGAAACTACATACAAAAAAGAAAAATCATGGGTCTCTTCAAGTCCAGCGACAAGGCCACCGACGGCGACAAGGGCGAGAAGAAGTCTCTCTACCGGCGCTACCAGGACTCCAAGCGCGGCGAGCCCATCAGCGATGCCGACCTGCTCAAGTACACGGGCAAGACGCGCGAGCAATTCGACTCGTGGAAGGACACCCAGGCCGGCGTCGGCCGCAACCAGCTCGCCGGGACCCTCGCCATGGGCAACGCCGCGGGGCTCGGCGGCGTCGCCACGGGCGCGGGCTACGGCGGCTGGGGCCCCGGCGCGGCGCCCAACTATCCCAACCGCGGCATGAAGTTCCCCCCGCAGCAGCAGAAGTCGGACAAGGAGAAGGCGCTGGAGGACAGTGATTAAGGGGAGTAGTGGAGGGCTTGAGGGCCGTGATGGCCGTTTATGCTGGTCGGAGATAGCACAGGCATGTCTATGTTTACAGGATTACTTGAATTGAATTGGATACCCAGCATCAAAAAAAGACTTGAGTAAGGGACAGTCCTCGTCCTGCCAGCGAAACTGAGAAGTGCTCTTCTGTCTTCATAGAGTTTTTTTCATCGTATGCAAGACGTTTTCACTTGCAAAAAAGCCTTTAATGTTATTAAATTATTTTATTATGCTCTCAAAAATTCAACTTCCAACACGCCCATTCTTTGTAGGGCTCAGACGTGCCCAGCTGTGACCAGCCCGCCTGGAATTACTAGGTTAGGGCACCAGTGATGCCCAACAAAAAACGCCAAATGCAACCCCCTAAGCTCCCGTCAATAAATTACTTCCTGCCTGCAATAAAAGCCTTGTGCAGACCAGCAATGACAACCATGGCCCCCCAAGCACCAGGGTCCGGAGGCAGCTCCTTGTTATCACCACCACCGCCACCACCGACATAAGTCGCGCGACCCAGGCGCGGCGTCATCGTCTTGGTCGCCTCCGCACCCTTGACAGCCGCGTCGACAGCGCCGTCAAAGCCCGCCGACGCGCCCATGGCCTCGGCAAACGGCATCAGCGTGTCCATGACGGTGCGGTCGCCGACCTTGGCCGGCGTGTAGCGGCGCAGGTTCTCCAGTGCAGTGCCCAGGGCCTTGCCCCAGAGCGCGACCGGCCCGTCGCCGCCGCCGCCCGCCTTCTCGACGGCGGCGCGCAGCGACACGAAGAAGATACCCAGGATGCCGCCGAGCGTGCCGCCCATCTTGCTCTCCACAATGTCCTCGAGCTCCAGCAGCACGGAGACGACGGAGCTGGACTTCGCGAGGCCGGCGTCGAGCGCGGCGAGCAGCGCCGTTGCGCCCGTCTTGAGCGTCTCGCCGCAGTCGCCGTCGCCCATGACCGTGTCCCACCTCGTCAGGTCCGGCTCCGCCGCGACGAGGTCGTCGCAGGCAGTGCGCAGCATCGCCTCCAGCAGCTCCGGGTCCGCCTGGAGGTCGTGTGCCGGGTCGACCGTCTTGTGCTCCGGCGGCGGCGGCGCCCGCACGAGCTGGTCCCTGCGGGCGCGGCGCTTGGACTGCGCGCCGGCGACCGACTCCCAGTAGGTGTTTGTGCGGGCGTCGAAGAAGGCCTTGATCTGGTCGGCCGAGTAGCTGCAGGCGCGGGCGGCGGCCGTGACGTTGATGACGGAGACGGAGAATGCGGGCGCGTTTAGCGACGTCTCGAGGAAGCCTGCACACACGCGCGCCGGGTCGATGCGCCAGTCGTGCTCGAGCTGCTCGAGGAGCTCGTCCACCAGCGCGCCCATCTCGAGGTGCGACATGCCGCCAAAGTTGCTCACGAGCAGCATAGACTCGTCGCCGGGCGCGAACTTGACGTACCCGCGCTCGGGGTCGTTCTCGTCGAGGCAGTGGGTGAGGATCTGCTTGATGAGATCCTGCGGCGCCGGCGCGGGAGACAGCTTCTTGTAGCCGGGCTCGTTGTGCGGGCCGGTGCCGAGCTCGACCTCGTCCTCCTTGAGCGTCGCGTGCTCGGCACGCCCGGGGACGTGGCAGTGGTCCAGCGTCGCGGCGATGGAGACGATCTGCTGGGAGAAGGCGACACCCAGGTCGTAGACCTCGTCGAGCGAGGCGCCCGCGCCTGCCGCGCCGCCCATGACCTTCAGCACGCCAATCTGGCCGGCGAGGCCGCGGCGGCCGACCAGGCTGCCCTTGCGGCCGACGGAGACGTCATCGCCGCAGATGATGGTGCGGCAGCGGTGGCCCTTTGCGTTGGCCTTTTCGTTGGCGAGGCCAAAGTGCAGGCAGTCGCCGGTGTAGTTTGTGATGACGAGGATGGTGCCCTTGTCGCTGGGGACGGCGTCGACGCCGGCGAGGATCTGCTTGGTGCTGGGGCTGGCAAATATATCACCCTGGACGGCGGCGGCGAGCATGTTGTGGCCGACGTAACCGCTCCAGCCGGGCTCGTGGCCGGAGCCGCCGCCGGAGATGAGGACGACCTTGGACCGGTCGTAGTCGGAGTCGAAGACGACGCGGTTGGCCTCGTCGAGGCTGAGGCTGGGGTTGTAGCGGATGATGCCGCGGAGGGCCTTGTTGACGAGGCCGTCGGGGGAGTCAAAGAGGTGACGCTTGGACATCGTGTCTGCAGATGGACTAGAGGTCGTGTGATGGGAGAGAAACGACGACAACGACAACTTGCAGCAGCCAGACGTGCAGATGAGTGAGGATATAGGATGCAACTGGATGAGGATGAAGGAGAGATGGTCAGCGATTTATCGTCAATTGGGGGTGCGTGGCAGAGGATAGCTCCTCTGACCGCGGGGTGTCGAGGATGCGAGGCGTGCCTGCAGCGGGCATTGTGCCGCAGTGGGAGAAGCGACTAAGGACAAGGCAATAGTGCTCGGTAAGACAAGAGGAAGCAATTAAATCTGGAGCTCCCCGTCTTCGGACAGCAATAGGACTGAATATGTGGCACAGCGTGTTCAGTTTCTTGTTTGCGGCGTCATCGAGGTGGTCGGTCGGGTTTCCGCATTGGGTAAGCCGGCGGGCAACTTCACCCACAGAAGGGGTCTTTGACGGAGCTTGCCCCAGCTTTTCGATGGACGGCCCCTGCTGCACCCGGGGTTCTGGAACTCGGATGACCATTGCTAGTACTACGGTCCCTGGATGATGGCAGCATGATCATTGATTTTTTTTTCTGGATTTCTGGTGGGGGTTTGACGAAGTTGGTGAGGGGAGGGTGGGTGTGGCAGGATGACCGAGCTCGGAAGTGCAAACGACAGCTTGCTTTCCTCACTTCTCCGCCCTTCCGTTTGCTGAAGCATTTTTCTTCTCTTTTTTCTTCTTTTTAACGCGAAATCACTGATCTATTGATTCCAACTACGATTCTTGACATACACAGACACAATGGCACCTATCTGGAGAGTAGCCATGGGCTGCGATGTAAGTATCCTTGACTTCTCCCCTTGCCACCCACTGACAACTCCTCTCTCAGGAAGCCGGCGTCAGCTACAAAAACGCCATCAAGCGCGACTTCGAGGCGGACAGCCGCGTGAGCGAGGTCATCGACGTGGGCTCGGGCGAGCCCAGTGACAAGACGGCGTACCCGACGCGGGCGGCGGCCGCGGCGCGGCTGGTGGCTGAGGGCAAGGCGGACCGGGCGCTGCTCGTGTGCGGCACCGGCCTGGGCGTGGCCATCACGGCCAACAAGATCAAGGGCATCCGCGCCGTCACCGCCCACGATAGCTTCAGCGTCGAGCGCAGCGTGCTGAGCAACAACGCGCAGGTGCTGTGCATGGGTGAGCGCGTCGTCGGCCTCGAGCTGGCGCGGCGCCTCGCGGGCGAGTGGCTGGGCTACGAGTTCGACCCCAACAGCGCGAGCGCCAAGAAAGTGGCCGAGATTGACCAGCTTGAGGGTTGATGAACGGAACACGCTGAGATGCGTTCCATCTTTCCCAGGATAGAAGATTGATTCATATAGAAGGCTCTCCATAATGAAGAACTTGGGCCTAAGTTGACCTGCTTGCTACTTCTCGCACAAACCCGTCGTGATGCCAATCGATGATTTGAGCACCACATCAAACAGTTTGCCCTAGATTGCCACCATCGCACTTACCACAAAAAGGCGTTCTAGAATTCAAGAACCACAGATGTGAGCGTGGCAATGCATCCGTCACCAGTTGTTAAGCCCGGAATGCCCAAAGCGGCAACACCCAGCGGAGACCTGTGGGTGCTGTAAATCGGCGCATGCAGTCCGCTGTAAACCCGTGGCCGAGGAGGACGGCGCTGAATGCTATCACTGAAGCGAGAGCTCACTCAAGAAGGGTCAAGTAAAAGACACACTTGCATGAAAAAGAAAATTTAGCAAAACAAAATGTTGTAAGATTTTCTTGATTCAATCTATTAATTTTAACAGTGTCGAAATCTAGAACTATCTGACTCTTTTTGCCACTTCTTCACCCCCAAACCCCACTGTAGCTCATGGCCTGGCAGGGTTCAACAGCGCCCAATGCCGCTGAGACCCAGAGGGTGTGGTTGTAGCTTCAGCTGTTAGGGCCATCACCAAGCCCCAAGTCGTGAGCTCTCGATCAACACCGATTCCCATTTCATCTTGCCCTTATTCTTTGCTTCCTCTCTTTCATACCTTGCTCCTAATCTTTCTCTTTCAACGCAAGCACAATCGTTGTTGAGCTGTCCTGCAGTATTCCAGCAGCCACTATCCTCCCACCCATCCTCCCACCCATCCTCCCACCCGCCATCTCGACTCCCTCACCATGACAGCACCGACGCCTCCCGGCCGCCGCCGCCTCGTCGGCCTCTCCTCCAAGATGTACTTCTCCCTCGACCAGACCCGCGACTACACCGCCGACCTCCTCACGCGCCTCGCCGCCCTCCCGCCCTCCGACCTCTCCAGCATCGACATCTTCATCCTGCCCGACTTCCTGACCGTGCCCTCGACCGCCGCGCAAGTCCGTGCCTCCTCCTCCCCCGTGTGGGTCGGCGCGCAGGACTGCCACTGGGAGGACCGCGGCGCCTTCACCGGAGAGGTGAGCCCTGCCGCGCTGGCCGCCGCTGGCGCGCGCATCGTCGCCGTCGGACACGCCGAGCGCCGCCGGCTCTTCGCCGAGGACGACGCTGTGACGGCGCGCAAGGCTGGACGACGCGGAGCTGGTGCTCGCGTACGAGCCGGTCTGGGCGATCGGCGCCGCACAGCCGGCCGGCGACGCGCACGTGCTCGCCGTGGTGGCCGGTCTGCGCGCGCTGGACTGCGTACAGGGGAGGAGCGGCACGACGCGGATCGTGTACGGTGGGAGTGCCGGGCCAGGGCTGTTTGAGCGCCTCAAGACCGGGCTCGACGGGTTGTTCCTCGGCCGCTTCGCGCACGACCCGGAGCGCTTTGTTCAGACTGTCAAGGAAGTGGCCGAGGCCGAGGTTTAGAATCTCGTCAAATAGTTCCGCTCCATTTAGAGCTGTGGGAATTTCTATTCGCCATCCTCGTGCCTCAGTCAGCACCGACGGTATCACTAACCGCTGGAACTTGACCTGGCGGAACTTGAACTGGCACCACCTAAATCATGCTTTCACTTCAAATAGGAAAGCCGTCAGATCCCATTTAATTTTGCACGGGCACTCTATAGCAGTTGGTCGTGAGAGCTATTATTGTTCAAGTAGGCACAGTGTACTTCATACATGGATGGGCCACAATTATGAGGGGTTATTATAGACACATGAGCTCAAATAAGTATGAGTCGATATGACTCAGTTGCCGACTTGGAGTTTGCAGTGAATAAATGCTTTTTCAATGGTAAAATTGCAGCCGGCCAGCGCTAGCAACGGCGCCGCAATCGGCCCCAGAATCTCGGCTGGTCGGACTACAGCTTGATCTCGACATCTCGATACTGCTTCCATCACTGTCATGTATCATCCTAGAGCACCAATGAACAAAAGGCCTCCATAATCTCACTTATTAGACAAAAAAAGCCCCCATCCTACCCACTCCCACAAGCTCATTTAGCAATTGATTGGCAATGAAATCACTCCCTTGCCCGCCTCTAAGCGCAATTGCCGTGTCCGGAGTGGAGCGGCGAGCGGCTTGGCCCCTCCTAAAACCCCTCATCGGAGGGGTTGCTTGTTTCTTTCTTGGGCTTGTCATCGACTTGATAGGGTGGCAAGTGTGGTGGTCCAATAGAGAGAGTTGTTGGGAAAAAGAGGAGTAATGATATAAAAAGGCCGCATGGCTGCCATTTCTGTTGCTTCTAATCCCTCCTTCCTTCACACACATCCATCAGTAACAAGACTGACAGCAACTTGCAACCTATTCAATAAGTTCGTCTGCATCTCGGCGGCTGGCAGGTAAATCCACAGGTAAAGCAACGGATAGCTAACTTCTTCCACACGACACACAGACAAACCCTTTTGGTATTTCATACCCCCAATCCGGGACAATGGCCTTCATCATGGTGGCCTCTCGGTGGTATTATATCCAGACATGAGCGATCTTTCTTTCCTCTGCAGGTAAAGTGTTGCAGCATGAGCCGGTGCCTGCTCGTCTCTTGTCCTGCTCCCACTACCGCCATCCGCGGCACTATGGAGCAGATCCGGAGGCGGGCGTGGCTGAGATTATACGGCCTTGACTTGATCTGGATAATACCAGCGAAAGGATCATGCCTCACCCTTAGTCCCCCCATCTGTTGCAGGACATCATCATCCTAACAGTCACAGGTAACCACCCAACAAACGTCAACATGAGCCCTCCCGCCGCCATCTCGCCTCCACAGTACGCCGCCGTGCCCGTGTCCAAGGCTGGTACTAACGGCCACGCCGTTCCCGTGCCCTCTGGCTTCCCCGACACCAGCAGGCTGACCATCGACGACATGCTCGGACAGTGGGACAAGTTCACCTTTGCCCCCATCCGCGAGTCGCAGGTCTCGCGCGCCATGACCCGCCGCTACTTCCAGGACCTCGACTCCTACGCCGAGTCGGACATCGTCATCATCGGCGCCGGCTCCTGCGGCCTGTCCGCCGCCTACGTGCTCGGCAAGAAGCGTCCCGACCTGCGCATCGCCATCATCGAGGCGTCCGTCAGCCCCGGCGGCGGCGCCTGGCTCGGCGGCCAGCTCTTCTCCGCCATGGTCATGCGCAAGCCCGCCGACGCCTTCCTGCGCGAGGTCGGCGTCCCCTACGAGGACGAGGGCGCCTACGTCGTCGTCCGCCACGCCGCCCTCTTCACCTCGACCGTCATGTCCAAGGTGCTGCAGATGCCCAACATCAAGCTCTTCAACGCCACGTGCGTCGAGGACCTCATCACCCGCGCCGCCCGCGACGGCGACGACCCGGCCAACGTCCGCATCGCTGGCGTCGTCACCAACTGGACGCTCGTCTCCATGCACCACGACGACCAGTCCTGCATGGACCCCAACACCATCAACGCGCCCCTCATCATCTCCACCACCGGCCACGATGGGCCCATGGGCGCCTTCTGCGTCAAGCGCCTGGTTAGCATGCAGCGCATCGAGAAGCTCGGCGGCATGCGCGGTCTCGACATGAACACGGCCGAGGACGCCATCGTCAAGGGCACCCGCGAGATCGTCCCGGGCCTCATCGTCGGCGGCATGGAGCTCTCCGAGGTCGACGGCGCCAACCGCATGGGTACGTGGCTTCCTTCATTAAGTTGCCTGTCTGCTTTAGCGTCAACTAACAACACATCACAGGTCCTACCTTTGGTGCCATGGCCCTCTCCGGTCTCAAGGCCGCGGAGGAGGCCCTCAAGGTCTTTGACATCCGCAAGAAGGAAAACGAGATCTAAATAAACGTAGCCAGCCAGGCAGAAACACGGCACAGAGCGAAGACGAGACACGAGATTGCGCTCCTCATCGTACTTTTGCATTTCACTGTCGCTATCTACTGAGTCGTTGACCTTGGTCAAGAATAAAATCAATTTGTGGATCGTCAAAACCATGCTGCATCTTTTTCTTATTGTGGCCGTTTTGCTTCGTAAGTTGTAGTGGTATCCTAAAAATATATACATGTATACATGTCGTAAGCTGTGCGCCTGCTTTGCCGGTCACCAGCTCATGGTGACCATGTGCACCGGCCAGCGCCGAATCACATCACCCAAATCCTTGAACAGGGCCTTGATGCCGTCCTCGCGCATAAAGTCCTGCTTGATGTTGGGCGTGGCGTGCTCGTGGCAGAGGCCAATGTCGTCGACGCCGCAGTCGCAGCCGGCGGCGGCGATGCGGTCGTCCCAGACGAGCGACCCGTACGGCACGAGCGCGCCGCGCTCAAATTTGGACCCGAGCACGGTCGTGTCGAAGTAGCCTATGTCCGACGGCCACTCGCCGCCCGTGACGAGCACCGTGGCCGTCTGCAGCCGGTGGCGGTCGGAGCACACGATCGGCGGCGGTACCAGGCGCGGTGCGAACGGTACCGTGCCAAACGTTGCGGCCAGTGTGCACTCCTGGTCCACCTTGGACGTTGCGTTGACGTCGCGGATGATGTCCTGCGCGAGGATGATGACCGTCTCAAACTGCGCCATAAACTCCTCTTTGGAGATCTGCCGGTCCTGGACAAAGTCGAGGTGCAGGTCGACCTGGCCCTTGACGCACCACAGGCGGATCGTGAGCGGGCAATCCTTGGCGCCCGCAGGGACCTTGTGGTGCCCGATGGGGAGGCGGTTGATGGTCAGCTCGCGCGGGGGCAGGCTGGCGGCCTCTTCCTCGGTGGCGGGCGGCTCGGTGGCCTGCTCCATAAAGTTCATCTCAAAGTACTTCATCATGGCGGTGAGGTAGTCGGCCGTCGAGCGGGCGCTCTCGGACAGCCGCGGGTTCGTCGCGCGGCGGGCAAAGTTCCACTGGCGCGTCAGCTTGAGCCCGTAGAGGGAGTGGATGAGCGCGTCGCGGTTCTCGAGCTGCATGAGGCAGAAGCAGCTGAGCACGATGCAGGCCGTCAGCACCGCCTCCTGGTCGGTGCCCGTCATGTCCTGCTTGCCCGATAGCTTGACGAGCTGCGCGATGGACTTGCTGTACTGGCCGAGCGCGAACTTGAAGTGGTTCTGGCGCGTCTGGTGCGCCACGGCCGTCTTGTCGTGGATGGTCTCGCGCAGCTGCATCGCGGAGAGCGCGAGCGAGGCGTGCCAGAGCACGGGCTGCGCCTGTGCGAGCTGCGGCAGGTTGATCTTCCAAAAGGCCGTGTCCGTCTTGCCGGCCACCTGCTTGACGGTCAGGCTGTAGAAGCGGAAGAAGGCCTCCTTCTCGGTACGGCTGGAGCCGCCGTAGATGGGGCCCGAGGCGTGCGCGGGCTGGTCGAGAAGCCTCATAAGCTGTTCCGTCGACATGCTGGGTGGTGATCCCGCGGCGGCTGCTGCAGGGGCGTCATAGCCGTCACATGCACGACCAGTCGCGATGCCTGGAGACAGTCAGGTAAGCTTCGCATGAATCGACTGGGTTGGGTTTGGGATACGTACATTTCTTGCAGGATGGTCTCGCTTCGTCGCATTTCACTCGCCGGATACTATGGGGAAGAGATGAGCATCCCGGAACGATATCATCATCAACCCGTTTGCAAGGGCAAAGGAGCATGCGGGTGGACGGACCGACAAGTCTTGCACCCAGTTTTGGTCTTGGGTGCCCACTTCCTTAAGCGTTGAACTGTCGTCGGATCCTCTTGGACAAAGACGATGCTCGCCGCGGATGGCTTTCCGGGCGATTTCATCTCGGCAGCATGCACGGCTCAACCATATAACTACCGGTGCTAATCGTCTGAGGAGGGGGCTCGTTTGACGGTAGTGTGCGGGGGGGCGGGCTGCTCAATGAGCGCGATTGACGGGTATGGATACTAATGAGTTCAGACGCCTAGGGCGTTTGTCAGATCAAGATCAGACACGTCGCTCATTCAATGAAGTAGCCAGGAGAGAGCGCCACCCGCAAACCTCGCCATCTCACGACTTCGTCATCTCACTCCCTCCCGCGCCGCCTCCTTGGGGGCTAGACAGTGCGTGTTTGGAAGGTTAACGCTGCACGTGACTCTGTCAGCATGGAAAATGGAAAATGCGACGTGGGGTGTCAGCCTCTCCTGGTTGGTGAAGCTGAACAACCAAATCACACTAAAATTTATGATTAAATTGTTTGGAGATTTCAGGGTGCAGAGTGCGTCGTATTTTCTCTAGAAGATGGAGTGGTTGTTATCAACTCCATCCACAGACCCCGTTTTGGCTCGCCGAGTTGCTCATACCCGGACTCCGAAGAATATGGTGGAGTTGACTGGCTTGCGGGCGCTGTGTCACTGCAAGCCGATTCCGACAAGGCTGCGAATTCAGCGGCGAGTGAAGACGGAAAATTGTGCTGCAATAAAAGTTTATTTCAGGAGAGAAAACAGAATTCAGGAAAGAAGATACAAAATCAAAACAAGTGAAAATTTCCAAGCCGCAAATGGCCAATGATTCATGTCTATCGTCATGTCGTGTCGTGGTATCTCTGTCTAAAATGCCATCCGCCCAAAACGCTGGCCGTCTCTTACTTGTTGATAATATACGCTGCGGAAGAGAAGTATGTTAGCAAAAGCGAACATGAACGTACGCCTTGGCAAATAAAAGTTCTCACCTAACCTGGCTTCCATTGTGTTCCACTTGTCCTTCTCCGAGGCCAGCTTCGCCGGCTTAGGATGCTTGGACTTGGTTTGTGCTGACTTCTTGGTGGTAGACTGGTAGGCAGTTGGGTCGACGAGGGTGACTTCAGAAGAGGTCGACCCCAGGTTCACCGTCTTGGACTTTTTGTTGAAGAGTGGCATGGTGTATGTATCCGTACTGTAAGTGTTGTTTCTTGGGGAGCTTGTGTGAATGCTGTCTCCGTATTGGTAGACTTGACTTTGAAGATGTTTCTCGATTCAATGAATTGAATCGAATGGATCGGCTTGGTTGAGTTATGAATAATTTTACTTCACTTTGAGAAAGACATCGCCTTATATATATTCGTCCGCATCACTGTATCTTCGGCCATCGGCATGCCAGTCCACGCGCCCTTCGGCGACAGCTTTGTTAATCACGGAATCAATCTAAGACTCACTCGGCGATCGTTATCCCCATACAGGTCTCGGCCTGGGACTCAAACCGGATACTTTCCGTATCGAGTCACCGTGCAAAACATCGACGTGATCAGTCAGACCAAGCCTGATTAATGTCTCGGCTTCGGCTTCGGAGTGGGCGGGGGGGTTTGCCTGCCTGCCCAATCCCATCCCAGGCCACCCCCCATGCCGCCCAATGAAGGGGCTCGGCTTCGGGGCCTCAGCTGAGGCAACGCGGAGCTCGGCGCGGCTCTGGTATCAGCTGTGCTGTGAACGGTGACGGAAACGATGCAAAATGCACGATCGATATTTCTAATCCCATGCGATCTCGGAGCACGCAAGAGCCAAGGCTTGTGATAATTACCAAGCGTGACGCCTTCTGCTAGTAGTTGCTGTCAAACTGACCTATCAAGGTTGACAGTATCGGAGATGGCCTTAGCGCCGACCCTGCATAGGATTCACCAATTTGAAGCAAAAGACTGGAGTATAGGGCATGCAAACCATATACCATCAGAATCATTTACAAATTTTCCTACATATGTGATTACTGCATAATCTGCGAGTATTTTTAAACGCAGACTTGTGCGTCCAACTCGGGTCGACAATCTACCAGCACCCATCGCTGCGTCACGAAGCCACACTCACTAGAGCCGGGTCTGTTCCGGGTTGGTAATCAGGAGCCGAAGAAACACGTACAGAAGCAGAGATTCCAAACGCGCAAGCCTCTTCAAATATCTTCCACGTGTTTACAATTCACTCTCCTACGAGAGAGACTTATCTCTTTGTGCTTTCAGCCTGCCCGACAACCTGATTGCCCCTTTGTCGCAAGCCCATCAGCTATCGACTGTACGATGCATCAACGGGCTCAGCCACGACTATCTATATTTCCACATCGAAGAAGAAAACAATCAACATGAGAACAAGCAATGCACATTTACTCCAATCCAATAAACTCTGTGATAGGAGACGCCCGGCACCAGATATAGCCGTGACAGTGGTTGAGGAGTTGCCCCAGCATGGGAAATTGCAAGTGTGACCTTTGAAATAATAAAGAAGCCCAAATCAACCAGTTGCTCCTTTGCAACTCCGTTTATCGATTGGCCTTTTGTCGGTCCGTCCAACGGTCATGCTATTATTACTTTCTAGTGCGGGGAATACTCCGTACTTATTGGCAGCTACTGCTTAAAAATTCTGTCGCCGCTGTTGAATGCTGCAACGATGCAAGGGCTGTGTCATGGCCCCTCCGAATTAATGAATATATCAGCCAACCTTGGCATATTCTCAAGGTTCTCCTATGCAAACGTTGCTTTTTTTCTTTAATTATTTGCTTGAATCTGTTTTTCATATTGTCAAGTAGTTAGCAAGACGAAGAACCAAGCACCAATGTTGAAAGTCATGGCCTCTTCGCCAAGACTCTCTCTTATGCGCCACCTTCTCAGCTTCTGTCAAAAGACAAGGTAACAAGTGCCAACATGGTTACAAGTGGAACTGTCAGACCAATCTTGACGAGCAATCCCAGATCCCAGCCAATCCAGATGTCAGCTTGCCAACGACCCCTAGTGCGCAGCGCCCACACGGCCGTCCACCGTCGCAAGCCAATGATAGGGCAGGTGGGGGGGATTAACTTGCGAGCCCCCTTCATTAATCGACAACTTTAGCACGCTTTTACTTCGGTCCAACTTCAACATACGAGCCATCGTGTCGTGATAAGACTGCTACGCCCTACTACAAAAGAAAACCACTCGTCCAGGTTGGGCCGTGTGCGCAGCATCGTAGCCCAGAGGTGCATGGATGGCTCGGAACCCCAGCCACTCTCAGCACTAATCGGCGTGGTCTGTCCTGGAATTCAGCCTTCTGCACTGCGGAAGGAAGAAAAGCTCCTCGCCCAAGCTCCAGCTGGCAACACCCCGAGTTTGCCTCTCGAAGTGTCACACAAGGCGAAAGATTGGCGGCTTCGGAAGCTGATGAATCCGAAGCATGTCAGCCATGTCGTCAACCGACTCCCCCGAGGGGATACCATCCCGCCCTCGTCGCCTCACAGAGCGACTGTCTGCACTCATGGCTGCTGCTGAGCTACCGTCGGTATCGCAATGGATTGTAGGTCTTCTTTCTTAGAGACCAGCTATGCTCGACTTGCTGACTCCATCATTTTCAGAACGATGACGTCCGACCTGTGGAGAAGGAAAGGAGGACATGGAACCTGAGGTCATTTCACGATCTTTGTATGAATGCCGCAAAATCGACAGGGTTCTCTCGCCAGCTGTGACTAATTTGTTCTCTGTCAGGGCTTGTCATCAACTGCAACACGACAACCTTCATAACTGGAAGTGCACTCATTCCACTCGGCCTTTCCTGGTGGCAAGCCGTCATTTGTATGTCGTCGTTGCCGTTGGCTTTGTGCGACCAGATGCTAACCAAACAGGCATCGTCGTCGGGAATTTGATTGCTTTGGCTGCGATTCTTGCCAGTTCCACAGCAGGGTCCCGATATCACAGTGAGCAGTTTCGGAGTCTGGCGTCTGAATGCATGTCGATGCTAACGTCGATGAAGTCGGGTTTCCTGTCATTAGTCGATCAGTTTGGGGCATGTGGGGATCTCAGTTCACCATCTGGAACCGCATATTCCTTTCTATTGGTATGTCGAGCTTTCCCTTGTGTGATTCTCTTCCTCTTTGCTAACTCGAATGCAACAGTTTGGTCAGTGTCTGCTTTCATGCCGAACGCTCGCTTGAAACTCACTAACCTCGCCGTAGGTATGCCTCTCAGTCATGGACTGGAGGACAGTGCTTCCATTTGATTGTCCTGGCCTTGGACCCCAAAGTCGACCAACACATTCCCAATACCATGCCGCGACGGGCGCACTTGACGACGGCCCGCTTCATGTCATACGTAATTTTCTGCGTTATCAGCCTCCCGTTCATATGGAGTCGACCTCATAGGCTGCAGTGGTTTTTGAACAGCACATCACTCGTTGCGCTCGTCTTTTACATCGCCCTTTTGATCTGGGCCCTCGCCACCATGGGGCCAAGCGGATTCGGAAGCACGATTACAGAGGACAAACCAAACCCCCCTAGCGGCCCTAATAGCACCGCGTGGGTCATGGTCTCTGGTATCGTCGCCACTGTCGGTTCGATTGCGGCCGGAATTCTGAACCAGAGCGATTATACACGCCTGGCTCGCAAGCCGCGAGATGCAAAATGGGGCCAAATCATTGCATACCCAATTTATAGTATTGGCACTTCCATCATCGGCATCTTGGTGGTAGCAGCCACGCAGGACCGTCTTGGCAAGGAGCACTGGTTTCTCCCAGGTCTCTTGGCGAGGGTTGTCCGCAAATATCCAACGCCAGGCGCTCGTGCTGGTGTCTTTTTTTCGGGCTTGGCATTGACGTTCTCTCAGCTGGGAAGCAACGTTCTCGGCAACGCGCTGGCAGGAGGCATTGACTTGTCGGCCGTCTTCCCGCGATACATCAATATTCGCCGCGGTGCCTATATCACAGCGATCATAAGCCCCATTGTGAATCCATGGCGCATGGTAGACACGGCAAGCATTTTCATCTCGGTCATGTCTGCGTATGGCGTGTTTCTGGCACCCATGACAGGAATTATGGTCGCGAGCTATTTTGTCGTTCACCGACAGAAGCTGGATGTTGACGACCTGTTCCGGGGCGACCCATCGAGCAAATACTGGTACAGCCATGGAGTGAACTGGAGAGCTCCGATTTCTGTAAGTATTGTATCAGCCTTGACCATGTGAAGAGCGGCAACTAATGTGACATGCGACAGTGGGCACTCGGTGTCGGTCCATGTTTGCCAGGCTTTGTAGCCTCGGTCAACAGCTCAGTCAACGTGCCGGATAGCATTCGAGAGCTGTACATGACAAACTATCTCTATGGGTTCTTCTCGAGCGGCCTTGTGTTCGTGGCCCTACACATGGTGTTCCCAGTGCGGGCGGTAGATGAGTTTGTCAAGAATGAAATGACGGCTGCGGAGGTGCAACGCTACTTTGGCGAGCGTTGGGATGTCAGCTTAGCGGAGTCGGGGCGAATGGCAATGGCGAAATTCGAGGATGAGGAGAAACAGGCGGAAGACAGCAGGTCAGACCGTCGAGGAGCAGAGCCAGTCATGGTACCGGATGCCAGTGAGAGGCGAAGACGCTCTAGGGAGGTCGAGGGACGGAGTGTATAAAAATGGAAGTGCAAAGTCTTCCGACAGAGTTCGAAAGACATATCAGCGGTATCTGATCATTCGAAGTAGTGCGTCAGGCCGACTGTGAGTAGAGCTGCGTTTGGGTTGGGTGTGAAGGCAAAAGTTGGAGGTGTCGGGCCTTCCTGGGGTGACCTGAAGTATCCGCCGCATCGGATCGTTTAGTTTGTAATAACACGGACGTTTTATTTATCATAACAGCTTGAAGGAGCGTGGGTATCATGGCTGTAGTGGAGATGGCATTGTGACAAATGGGAAGCAATGTTGGCTCACCTTTGTGTGGCCTCGTCGGCCAACTCTTGGAGGCGCTGATTGCCGTACCCACAAGGGGTCGGCACGAGGCGTCCATGGTCGGATGGTTATCAGTGACGATGCTGCGGATGATCAAGCGGTAGGTTGATATGGTTCAACTTTCTTTGGGTTTCTTTAAGCTCGTACTTCTTTTTCTGTACGATGTACGGCGGCTGTTCGATTTTGGCGTCGAAACGGTTGCAAACGGGCGCATTCGACCCCCTTCCTGGTCATACCTATGTAGTACATAGGTACCTACATATGTAGTTATGTATGTATGTAGGTATCCATCAGGTGCAAACAGGGGATGAGCTTTTTACAGCAGGCCTTCCCGCTACAGCCGCTGCCGGCTTGGTCGATGACAAAGCAAACCCCGGTTAGAAAATATTGCTACAAGCTCCAGTTGATGCTGGTATTTCTTAGCATGAAATACATAAGCATTTAATGACCAACTTCCCGCAGTAAATCGTCTTATCGCCAAGATGATGATGCCCATGCTAAATTTAGTACCTAAGCCAAGTCAGCCGATAAACAGCCTCACTAACCATAAAGCTAGTTAATCCATACTAATAAGGCACCAAGGTACATAAGATCGTTAGTGCGCTCATGGCCAAAGCTCACACACTTATCAATGTACCTGTCAGAAAGCCCACTTTCCTTGTTACCTGCTGCCGCCGCCGGCGCCGCCGCCCCTCCAGGTCCAGCCTCCACTCTCATCCTTCGGCCAACTTTTTTTTTCCTCCCCTCAACGTCGCATCTTAGCCTCCTTCTCGCTCGGTCGCCTCATCTGCACCACGCTTTATTCATTCTTGGCCGAACTCTTGTTGGCCGATCGCCGTTTCTTGCCCTGATTATCCCAGCTGCGCTCGTCCGGGGGTTCCCACCCGTGTCCCCCGTGGCACGCTCTTGTTTCGGCTGCAAACCATCCGAACATGCACAGTCCTCCCGCCGAAACCCCCGAGGCTGCGCCGGCGGCCGATGCAGCCTCAGCTACTACCATAGCCCGCCGCCGCAAGTTTACTATCCAGAGTAGCTTTGGCCAAGCTCGCGAGCGTCGGAGTCGCAAGAATCGTCCCTGCGATGCATGCCGCCGCCGTAAGACGGCATGCGTCATCACCGACCAGCCGCCATGTAAGTCCTCTTGCTGCCCACCCATTTTCACCGTGTCACCTTGAAAACTGTAGCGTGGCGATTATTTCCTTGCTCTCATGGCCGAGCCCGATCTAACTTCCTCATGCAGGCCGATTTTGTGAGACACGAGGCATCCCTTGTCTGTCTTCTGGCACACTAGCAGATAAGGACACTTCTGCTACCGCAGACGGTGATCACCCCTCGCCAGATGCCGCATCACCTCATTCACTCTCCGTCTCATCTCCTGCCGACTCGATCCGGCATGCTCGCCCAGATCTTTTCGCCAACGGCGCCTCGCGTCCGCCCGTCACGTCGTGGCCCACGCCCTCTCACGACAGCCCCAGCTCTTCTCATCACGCCTTTTCTCCAGCCAACATACCCTCACATCAAACTACAGCCCGAACACCACTTCAAAGCAGTCCTCGTTCTTCCTCACATACGACACTCCCTCCGGCGTTCACTGACAAGGACCGCACCGGCGCAGTAACCCTCCCCACTCCCGCCACTATCGCTACCTTTACCAAAGGCCACACCGAGGGCATGGGCATCTGGCCTACGAATGGACCAGGTCGCATTCATACACTAGAAGATAATGTCAACAAGACTGCCAACTATATGGGTCCCGCTGCGGAACAAGATACCCACGTTCTGGACTCGTTCCGTTACATGCTTGTCAGCGAGATCGACGAGATTGACGCTGATTACCTGCAGGTGTACCCAGGCAGCTCACGACCAAATGACCCGCCAGTTCATTTTCTACTTTTGGAAAATGAAGTGCCCGAGTACACCAATCGTCCCAAACGAGAGGCATCCTTAGCCATCGAATCAAGAGTCTATCCGTATGGACCCAATCTCGTTCGTTTATACTTCAAATACGTTCATCCTGTGTACCCTGTTGTATCCAAGGTTCGCTTCCTACGTCTCTACAATTCTGCAAAGGAGAAGATTCCTGCATCACTCCGTGGTGCCGTTTACGCCTTGGCAACTGTGTTCTGGAACAGGGACCCATCCCTCAAAGGTCCTTGTCCCTGGGAGCAACACGAGCTGCATTCACATGCGCAGAGCTCTCTGCGCTGTGAACTCGAGAACCCGAACCTTTCCAACCTTCAAGCATCCCTGCTCTTGATTCACATGGCCCCGCCTTGGACCGATACCGTGGAGACACCAAGCATCTGGATCCTCGCAGCTCAAGCGGTCTCCAACGCACAGATGAACGGCCTCCACCAAGATCCAGCAGATTGGAGTATAGAGCCATGGGAGAAGAAACTCCGCAAGAAGCTGTGGTGGGCTATTTATATGACCGATTGCTGGACTTCTGTCTGTCATGGCAATCCCCCTCATATATATCGTGAATCCTTCAACACAACTCCGCCTGATATCGAAGACATTCGTTTTGATGAAGATGTTCCTGAAGATCTGAAACACATGGTTGATCCAGATTCATCGGTCTTCCAAGTAGCTGTTGGCCAACGATTCTTGGAAATGGTTCGCCTAACCAGAATTGTACGCGAGATAATCGATTGCAGCTTGTGAGTTGGTCCCCGTCTACGAAAAAGCTTTACACCCGGCTGACGAACCAAATAGTCTTGTGAATCCGAATGCGAGATATGCACATGGCCCTGACCATGTCCTTCACACACTAGCAGCACAGAAAGAAAAACTCCGCGAGTGGCCTTCTTTACTCCCTCAATGCTTGTCAACGAGACGAGTCAACTCAGCGCCTGCTGTCCATAATAATTGTATGCTTTTCCTTTCGCTCCAAGTTGTGCGCATATAACTCAGACTAATGCGTTGCCAAGGCCCTCTACATCTAATGTACCATGCCGCCAAAGTGTTACTGTTCCGAGCCATCTTATCTCCCGCCACAAAGGAAGCGAGGGCCAATCCTAATTCAAGCTTACGCCGAAACTTCCACGAAGCAGTTTATGAGATGCAAACCTTCGCGACATTTATGGATGAAGTTACAGAGGGGGATCTACAAGGCTTCTGGGGCCGTTGTAAGTCGCTTCCGTTAAATCTTTGCACATATATGATGCTAACATTTGCCAGTGGGACGGTCTCAGCTTATTTTGTGCGGAAATTTCATGATACACCTATTCATCGTGGCCTCCGGCCCTGACGACATCAAAGTTGCTCACCATGTCCTTCTGAGCTTCCACCAGTCTCTACAACACTTGGCAGCCACCCAATACTACGTCGGAAAGCTACTTCTCCGGCCTGTGGCCGTGCGTGTGGACTCCTTCTTTTCACAAGCCAGCGAGATTATCAGGCGCGGTGGCCATGGATATTGGCAGCTGGACTCTCTCAGAATCATCAAAGACGGCACCCTTTAACCTAGCGCAGGAGTCATACGGAAGCAACATTGTACCATATATTATTCGGGCTTACAGCACCGAGTGTACCAGTAACAGCAGATGCGAGTCATTGACAAGTGGCATGTCAGGAGGAATCTACGATCCCACCACTTTGGGTCAACGAGAGTGCGACATGGAACCGGATTTATTCCAGGTAGCCGGAGAATCAGTATTCATTTCCTAGTGGCATATTTTCAATGTCATCTTTTTTTCTCGAAACTTTATGAGACACTCCTGACAAGCCACGGCTCTCTACCTCTCCGCCACATGGTGTTTATTTACCGTGGATTATAGCAGCTGTATTTTTTCGGAAGTAAGCTGCATCGCATAGGCCAAGAAGAATAACGGGCTATGGCGAGATAGATTGGTGAAAGTTCCAAAGTTGCATCCCCAGAGACCATAGAGGATAGAAAATCCGACGATCTATAAGTGAACCCTAGAATGAATGCATACTAGCGAGACTGAAAATAGATATAGTATTTCTTCTGGAATTTCTGGAGTATTATTTGTGCTTAGCGGTAGGGCCTGAGTGAGTGGCGTATTATTAAGAGTGTATAAGCAGCCTACTTCACACACTAACTTGCTTAGCAATATAGTTTGCATGGCTTGACCAAGGCCATCTAAAACCTTGCACAAAAGAGCTCCACATAGATCTGTGTTACAATGTCGTTCCTCATACGTCCCGTGTCAAACCCGGGCATGTCGGCTCCTCGCCTCCGCGGACTCACATCACCAGCCGCCCGGATCGCCCTTCGCCACCTTGGCACTTTAAGTACTGGAGTCGCTGCCCGCAGACCGTATTTGCTAAATTCTCCTTCTTTACATTCCCCATCCTCACAGCAAGTAACCATGGCGTCAAGCGCGGCGGACAAGTCGCCATCCTCCGACGCCGCAGTCTCTGTCACCCAGTCCCCGGACGCGGAACCGAAGCCGGCACCCAAATTATCGGACCACGACTTTAAAATCTACAACCAACTGGCCGTCCGCATGGACTATTTCGTAAGTCCCTGCCCTCCATTCTACTCCCATGCCTCCCTCTCACTAACACCCCAAAAAAGCACGAAAACTTCCGCCGCACCTGGAACCTCCTCTGGACGTACGCCACCACCGGCAAGCGCCAGGGCGGCCTCTCCCTCGCGCAGCTCGTCCGCGCGGGCCTCGAGTTCGGCGAGCACCTGACGCTGCATCACGGCATCGAGGAGCGGCACATGTTCCCGGTGCTGGCGCGGCGCATGCCCGCGTTCGACCGGCGGCGCGGCGAGCTGGTCAAGCAGCACGCGGCCATCCACGCGGGGCTCGAGGGGCTGCAGGCGTACCTGGAGGCGACGCGGCGCGGGGACGAGGTGCTGGAGGCCGGCGCGCTGAAGGAGAGGATGGAGTCGTGGGGAACGGTGCTGTGGGAGCACCTGGACGAGGAGGTGCGGACACTGGGGGCGGAGAACATGGCCAAGTACTGGACGAAGGAGGAGGTGATGACGATGCGGTGGTGATGGCGGCTGGGTTGTTGATACGCGAGTTTGAAGTGTGATTTTTGCATACACAAACTCCACATCGATATGAATGGTTTCATAATGTATAGATTATAGCTTCAATTTTGGCAGGATACATACAACAGGCGTTGATTCCTAAGCCTTGTCACAGGCTGGTAAAGATTAACAAGAAATCTTTGTGCGAAGAAATGGAAGAAAAAGAAAGTAGTATCCAAGACCCAGATTCCCCGTAAATCCAGATACTGTTTTGCAACGTCACCAGTCGTCCCCGCAACATGCACCCGCAGCTGCACGTCGCCACATATGCAAATCTCTATATATAGTCATGCCCCTTCATCTCTCCTCTCATCACCCCTTTCCCCCATCTCACGCCGTGCTGCGCCAGAGATCCCGCATGCCGCCCGTCGCCGGGTACAGCGCGAACAGCGCGACCAGGAAGTCCGGCATCAGCCCGCCCGGCGTGCCCCAATGCATCGTGAGCGGCGCCCACGCCGCGTTCCTGTAGAACGCCTTGCGCCAGCCCTCCTGCCACCGCCTCTCCTCCGCCGTCTTGACCACGCCGCCGGCCGCGGACAGCTTGCGCCCGCGCTCCACCAGGTGCCTCGCCACCTCCATCGCCACGTACGCGCCCCAAAAGCGCACGCTGAGTAGGGCCAGCTTGCCCTGGTTCAGCGGCTTAATCGGCAGAATCTTCTTGCTGCCGAGGTACGCCGCGTTCTCGCACGCCTGGAAGGCGACCAGGCACAGCATCTGCGCCCACGCGACCAGCCCGTCAAACGTCTTTTCCGCTGCCTCATCACTCAGCGGGTCATTGCTGCTCTTCCTGCCGCGAGCGGCAAAGGTCTTGGCCACCAACCCCTTGAGGGCCGAGTACAGGCCGAGCAGGCCCCAGAGGCGGCCCATGGTGCGCATCTCCGAGATCATGCCCGAGTAGGCGAGCAGGCGCTGGGCGAGGTCCAGCACGGCGCGGATGGCCGGGGGCGTGGCGGCGGCCGAGTCGAGCACCACGGTGGTGGCGGGCGGCAGCGAGAAGAGCGCGGCGACGAGCTGCCGCGCCGAGGACCGGAGCGCCGCGTGGCCACCAATGTCCAGCGCGTTGCCGGCGAGCCGCGTCGCATAGCAGGCGAACATGAGCACCGTGTCGGCGCCGGCGCGCGTCTGCATGCATCGCTGGAGGTGCGCGAGGAAGTCGTCAGCGCGGGCCAGCGCGGAGAGTCGGCGGGGGGCGGGGGGCGACGATGTAGGAGCTGCGGCGGTGGTGGTGGTGGCGGCGGCTTTTTCGCTGGGTTCGCTCGAGGGCAGGACGGCGACGGGCTCGACGGGCTCGACGAGAGCGAGCGCTTCGCTGGCTGGTTCGGACATGGTCGCTTGTTTGTGGGTTTGTGGTTGATGGAAGGAGAAGGAAAAGCTGTCTTGGTCGACGAGAGGAGAGCGGGCGGCGTTATTCGGCGTACAAACGGAGTCTGTGACGTCCCGCAATTGGTGAATATCGGTAGGACAAGAAGAAGAAGACAAAAAAAAGGAAAAATATTGTATCAGGATGGAACCCGTGATATTGAGGATAAAACAATACGAAGAAGGAAAAAGAAAAGAAGGAGAGAAGACGAGACAGGCGCCACACCCTGGTCTGCGGTTGTGAGCTGAGCAAACAAAAAGCCACTGAATATGAATGGCCGAGCGAAGCCTCGGCAGAAACTACTTAGTTGAGCTTGTATTCATTGGGATTGAATATCCGTACAGATTATTAGTTAGAACTCGGCACTAACAAAAACGACGCCGCCATCGGGCCTCCCCACACCGCTCTATATTAACAAGTGTTCGGATTCGACGGATGCCGCCGATTGACGGGCTCAACAACTCTTGGAGCCCTGGACATCTAATGCATTTCTCTCAAATGCGGCTAGGTATCGTGCCTGCCCGCCTTCTTTTGCTAGAGCACAACTTTCTGGCCGCCCAGGTGTCCCGACTTATTTCCTCCTAGTCCCTCCCCCACGGTTGTCTGCTAAAAGTCCGACCCTTGTTAGTGACAATGTGACAATGTCCAACGGCTTTTCGCATTAACGCTTACCTGAGCGGCATCATCCGCTCTACCACAAATACACAGTCTTGTTGGCGGGCAATGTCCTAAAGTCACAAAGAAAACTATGTTTTACATAGCCTCTCCTTTTTTTTCTTTTTTTTTTAAAAAAAAAGTAATAATAATAATCAAGCTTCCCTACAGCAATGCTACCTCATCTACATTAGCCGTCACGACATGGTCATAAAGCGCCGCCGACGGCTTCATCATCTTCACATGGCCGACGACTATGCACCGTCACAAGCTTTATCCTCGACGGGATAACATGTCGCCCCCAAAGACCCTCCGAAAAGAAAACAAACCTTGAATTTCAAAATTTCTCGAAGCAGTCCATCCCCTCCCCGATCCATCGCCTATATGCGCAGCACCCTCCTGATAAAGCCCTTCCATCTCGTCCTCCCGCCCTCGTTTTCCCCTTCTATCCATGAAAAGTCGTGCTAAACAAGTTAATACGCTCTCCGACCAGAGATCACCCCCCCTCTTCCCCTCTACATCCCCATAACTTTCCCCCCTCCCCTTTAACTTACATGCTCGTACACCACCGTGCCGACCGAAGCCCCTGAGTCCCGACAGTGCCGGCACGCGCCCCTCCGCTGCTCCGTCCTCTCCAGCCGCGCCAGCCCCGGGTTGTGCGTCGCCGCCGCGCACCGCCCCAGCGGCCACGGCCTCGCCGCGTAGCGTCGGTACAGCCGTTTCACCGTCCAGTGCGGCGGCGCCCGGCGGCAGCTGCCGTGGACGATCTCCGCCTCGACGTACTCGCACATCGGGGCGGGGTGTGTGTCCGTTCTCCCCCGCCGCGTTGGTCGTAATCGGTAAAAAAAAAAAAAAAATGGCTAGACGCGGGGATATGGGGCCTTGAGGAGCTTAGTTTCCCTCGAAAGTTTGCCGTCGAGGTTCGTGGGGGACGATGATTGCTGAGAGGAGGAGCGAGGCATCGGGGGGGGGGGGTTTTGTTTGACGCGCGGGTGCACACACGGCACAACTCGACAACCTTCCGGCGGCCATTTATTTGTAATTGCGTGGAAGACGGGTGGTGCAAAACGGAGGGCAGAAAGGCGACCAAGTGGTATTGAAGCCGGTACGGGATATGACTGTGATTCATAATGTTGCCTGACATTTCCTCTCACGAGTCTCCCCGCCAACAACCGCAGTAGAGGTTGCATCGCCGGCTCCCTGTACGCGACGAAAGAGGAGGAGCGGCAAGTTCAACCCATCGACGTAGCACAATCATTGTCAAACTCCATCAAGGTCATCCATGTATACAAACTCCCGTTGTACCATGTGTCTAGCCAAAGTATGAGCACCTTTACTTAACCCTTTGCCTATCATGAACCGTCTATTGGTATCCTAAAACCCTGTCTGCTATCCAGAATGTTATATAATACATGATTTCTATCTTCATTTCCGGTAAAAAGCAAAGGCAACATGGTATCGCCCATCCTTGTTTTTTTAATGCGTGGCCGAACCCGCTTCTATGACCAGTCAGTCTCCCCACCGAAACACCTCTAAATGCAACAATCATAACTAACAAGGAAAACACAACAATATCATAGCACCCACAACACCCCACAGACAATATCTACAGACTGCTCCTCAATCAGCGCCTTCTCTTCTTGGAAGCTTGCGCAGGCGCCGCGGCCGGTGCCTCCATCGCCTCTCGCTTCTTGGTCTGCTTTCGGAGACGAGGCGGCGGCGGCGGATCGGCGTGTAAGTGGCCGAGCTCGTCCAGCGCCATGGAATTCTCCCACCGCAGGCATCGATAGCTCGGCGGCTCCGGCGTCTTCTCCCGAATACGTGAGCTACTGCGCTTCAACGTCGAATCCTCTTTACGCGCCTCCTCCTCCGTCGAGTTCGTCAGATACTGTTGGCGCTTGTCCATGTGCTCCGCAATCTTGTCCTTGAACAAGAGCAGCTCCTTTCGAAGTCGCAGCTCGTTGAACCCTCGCGGGTCCAGCCACCGGATCAGCTTATCCAGGCTTTCGGCATCGGCGATGTAGCCCCACTGTTGAGAACTCTCCATGCTCGTACCGCCTTCCTCCTTATTCTTACGTTCGCGAATCGTCATCTTGAACTTGGCCTTGTACTCGTTTTCGAGGTGCGCTGGTACATCTATGTAGCCCTCGCGTTCCATCTGGTCGGGTCCTTGAATCCATAGGCGTCCGTTGGCGTATCCGGCTCCAGCTGTCGAGCTAGTAGGCAAACCCCCGTAGGGCATGCCATTGCGTTCGAACCAGTAGTATCGGTTCCAGAATCGATCTCTGCCGAGAACTCGTGTCCGTGGGCAGTCGGCTTCGCGAAGATCATTCTCAATGGTCGCAATTTCGTCTTCACACTTCTTAATTAGGTCCTCCTTCTTTTGGATTTCCTTGAGCAACTTGGTAAATTGCTTCGATTGGTGAGACGCTTTGGCGGCTTCCTTTTGCGCCTTTTCCCTGGCCTTGCGGGCTGCCTCCTCTTCCTCACGCTTCTTACGCTTATCGACAACCTGGCGACCATGGCGCTTCTTGTGTGGCTTCTCGTCGTTGCTGGGGTCTGCCTCTTCGTCACCTTCCTTTTCAGTGACGGTGTCATCAGCTCCGTTCATGCTGACATCACCATTCTCGTGAGGTTCCTTGGGCTCTTCCTCGGGGGGCGTGTTGTCCGGCAGCAGAATCTTGCGCTGTTCGTTGAGTTGACGAAGGTCCTCAACAGTTTGCTTGCGCTGGCGCTGCCACTCGACCCTATCTTTGCGATACTTGGTCATGGTTTCGTTGCAGTCCTCCATGAAGGCACGCACAGCCTTCGTCTCCATGGTCAACATGCAGAGAATCTGCAAAATCTGTACCCGCGTGTTTATGTCGAGCTCGGCGTACTTTTGGCGTGCGGCCTCTTGGGTAGGGTCCGTATCGTGAGGGATGATTCGCAAGAGTAAATCTTCATACAACTGCTGATTCCTCTCGCCCTTGGACAGCTGGTGTAGTAGACCGACGACGATGCGCTCCCAACCGCCATTGGTAAAGTCTCGTTGACGAAGGTGTTCTACCCAATTGAATTCCTTCATCATCTCCTCGGCGCGCGTCTTGGATTCAATTTCAGCCTTCATTGTCTCTTCCTCGGCCGCAGCGGCTTCTGCGGCAATTCGTTCGGCTTCTTGCTTTGCCAAGCTACTGCGCGTAGCTCGTTTAACGGGTTTCTCATCCGGCTCTTCCTCTTCCTCCTCTTCGTCTTCTTCCTCGTCGCCCACTTCCGCTTCTCCATCTTCGTCCTCGCTGTCGTCATCTTCGATCTCCGGTAATGGAATGCGAACTCGGCCACCATCTTGCTCCGAGTCCACAAGAATTTTTAGAACTGAACAGTGGATTTCGTCAAATAGCTGAACAGGAGTGCGTTCGGAAGCCATGGATATGGCCTCAACAAAGTCGTCAAAGGTGAAAGAGTCGAGCTTGAAGATCTCGCAGTACACGTTGAGGGTATCCCAAGTCTCCAGTAGAGGACCGACAGACTTCATTTCGACATCTTCTCCGAGCGGGTCGTCGCTGCACTCATCCACAGGCGCATCCTTGCACATGAACTTAATAGCTGGTCGGTTCGTCTCGGGGTTGGGCTCGAGTTGCAAGTCTTCGATGGGGTATTTTGGTGGTGGAGGCGGTTGAGGAGAGGGCTCCTTTTTGATAGTCGGCTCCGCACTAGTACCATTGACGATTCCAGCAGGCCATTTGAGTCCCTTTCCTGGAGGAGGTTTGGGTTTAATGGTCTTAGCGGGTTTGAGCTCGGGTAGCCGTGCTGGTTGGGATGCTGCGTGGCCGTTGATCTCGGATGAGCGCTTCTGGGCCTGGAGCTGCTTGCGCTCCTGCAGCTTTGTATCGTAACGCAGATGCGGGGGTATTCTGGTGTCGATGTGGTACTGCGCAGCGTAGTCTTGCTTGACAAGCCATGGGGCACCAGTCCAAGCTTCGCGCATGACCGTCTTCTTGAGGAAAGCCCGCAGCATGGCCTTTGTGAATGCACCCCGGTCGCGTGAGATGCTATCTTCCGTGACAATGAGTTCAATTTCGCTGCCGCGAGCATCGACGAGATATCTTGTTGAGGGCTTTGTGCGCGTACCGTCGGCAAGCAAGCGCTCGCCAAAGGTTGTCTTGTCGCGGACGAGGCCATGGGTTCGCTCGCCAGTTCCGGTAATAATAGCGACTTCTTCGCCGGGATAGTAGTCTTGTTTAAATTCGTCGAAAAGGGAATCGACGAGATTGTCGAGCCGTGAAACGATTTGAAATTGGACTCTGCGGAGAATGGGGCCTTTGAGGGCTTCGGGGAAGGATTCATCGACTTCACGTGCGCCAGCGAGCTAGAGAGCAGTCAGAAACAGGCAGGTCCCTGATTTATGTTTTTGTGAAAAACAAACCTCGCTCTCATGTGCTTCGAAGAAGGTGAGGCCGGAATGGCCCGTTATTTGATCATTGAATCGAGGCTGCGGAGGTTAGCGTTGGGTCAGGCATAGTGTTAGATTGCGCGCCGTACCTGTTTGTAGAACTCCATCCTGGAACGGTGTAAGCAGGACTCAATAACTAGACGACGGCGTGTTTTCGCTTACCTATCTAGATACTCATCATAGTCGGCAAATATTTCTCCCGTCTGGGGAATGTGCCAGACCTGCGTCGCGTCAGTTGTCGCACAGAGACATGCATGTGTGACGATGGAATCAAGGAATACCTCTACATCCTCGTCGTCGATCTGTTGGGGGGGAAGGAACTTGACAGGTTTGCGCTTGAACAAGACCTGGGGAAGGCAGGTTAGTCAGGACGATGCCCGGCGCGTAGTGCGACACGTTCACGGGGAGGCGGCATGGATAGGGTCGTGACCAAGATGCGTACCATCGTGTTGAGGGCCGCAACAACGGCCTAGTCGCGCTTATACGTATGCGCTAAGCAGGCGGCGAGTTGCACGTTGCTGAGAGCGACAATGAGCCTTGTTGTTGAAGAGCGCGTCTTTGTGGAAGCGGATCGACTACCGTCTCCAAGTACCGTGTGTGGAGGGGGGCGGCCGTTGCAGAATTGGGGACGCGCCGAGGACAAGTTGGCGATGGGTCGTCGGCGGATGGCGCGCGCGGTCTCTGTCGGCGAGCCGGCCAAAAGAGTCAAGAGTAAAAGGAGGTGCCGTGGCAGGATAGCATTCGCTGTAGCTGCGGCGTTTTAGATTGTGCAGAAACGAGAAGAGACGGGAGTTGAAAAGGTCAGAGGTGGGGACCCTTTTTTCTGGCTGTCGTGGTGGTTGTTGTCGTCGGGGTCTGTCGGGGGGGGGCGAGCTGGTGGAGTTTGGTTGGTCTTTCCTGTCACAGTGGTGACCTCACTTACACGATGAAGGAGATGACGGGATGAGGGAAATTGACGATAATGCCGGATGATGATAATGGCGATGGCGGTGGTGGTGGTGATGATGAGGAGGAGGAGGAGGAGAGAAAGAGGAAAGAGAAGTAGAGAAAGGATGACGAAAATAATAGAAAACAAAAATACAACGGACGGGTACGGAAGTCGTCGCTTTAATTTTCGGGGCTGGCAGGTGGTGGGCGGCGCGTACCTCTATGTAGGTAGTCAGGCAAACGAGGTCGCGTGAAGAGCAGGTACCTCGCAGGCGGAATACAGTGGTTGGGGTACTTGTGTCTCCGTAAATTGGATTTGACGAGTGACAGAGCTGCCTCGCCAGGAAGGGCAACCTTGCACTAAAGTTGTGGGGGCCGAAGCTTTCAGGTACCCAGAGGGTGTACCTCCGTTGCAGGTTGCGTCTTGGGAGTGATTTATCTTGGCATCCACGAGAAGTTTGGTCATTTAAAAATCGAAGACAGGCCAATTTTGTGCTCTTGTTAATTTTTAAGTTTTGTTCTCCACGCTTTAGCTGTCTAATTTGTCGTCATCTCGTTCTCTTCCTTCCTCCTCTGTCGCCCTCCCTCCCCCCAGCTACAAAAAAGGTACTTCCAAGCCCGGCCCACCCGGCTGCGCCGGGGCCAGCCCCGTTCTTCTTTGCGCCTCTCACTGCCCGTTGCACCACCTCCAACACCGACTCGCCGTGATATTACCTTCTTACACCACAACCCGCGCCCCTTTCATGCTCGTATTTGTGCTCGTTGGGCTCCTAAACTCATGAGGAATTGAATCAGCTATCTTATAATGATTTTAGCCCCGCGATGCACCTCCTGGATCCGCTCCAATGCAGCCCGTCCTCCCCCTCTCATCTCCGACAACCCCCAGACTTGGCTGCTAGGGCCCGGCGGGCGTGGCTATTGGGCCCCCCTCAAGGCGGTGCTTTTTGAGTGTCTGTGCAGACCGATTCGATTGATTGAGTTCCGTGATTTTTGTTATCCTGCCATTTTGCTCCCGCCGGAAAATAATTGCTGGATTGGATTGGGGCTGTCTCTTGAGCTTCGACCAAAAACAGAAAGTCACCATGGGTATGATGGGCAACCCTTGTAAGAGCCGTGTCTGGCACTGCAACTACATCATCTATATCTTCGATATATTTGATAGTTATTTGCCCTCTAGATCTTTATTGAATCGCCAGTTTTAGAGTCGCAATAGATATGACTTTTAGAAGGGACACTGATGGAATCAACATCATTCTAGACTACACTACACCGCACGTCACCACACGTTACCCATAGCTCAGAACCGGTAGTTGTGCTTTGATTCACACATTGAATCAACATATGCTATCTTCTTTCCCAAGTCACCAGACTTGTACCCTTCTCAAGCCAGGCCGGGCCGCTGTAATCCCCATCTCCTCGCTGCCGCTCAGAGAATGATGGTTGCGTGTAAACTCTGCTCTGCTGTTGAGGTGCGGCGTGTCCCCAGCCGCCAAGTCCTCGGGCACCTCGCGGCCCAAGAAGGCGCACAGCGGCGCCCAGCCCAGTCATTGTGCTCCTCATAGACTCGCCGCGCGTTTCCCTCAGAGTTGCCCCCAAACCGCAGCTGGCTGAGGCTCTGGAACATTGGGTGCATTCATCGTGTCGGCATCAGCAGCAACCAGTCCGTTAACAACACGACCTGGGAGAGCCAACTTCCGTGAATGGGGCGCAGAGTCTTCTTGACAGAGCTACCACATTTAGTTAGCAAGAACAAGTTCAAGCAAGAGTGATACATGCTGAACGGTGTCTGCTGCTGCGGATAGAGGGGAAAGCAGCATACGCAAACCAGCTCTCCGTATCTCGCACACTCAGGATAACCTTGGCATCGGGATACGCTTCAACAAGCTCCTCAGCGAAATACGCAGCTGGCTCATCTAAAACTCCCTACGAGATTCCTTGAGTTAACAGGAAGACATGTTGACAACGCCATTCATCGGCGGGGGCACAAGACAGCTTACCTGGCAGTGGTCCAGAATTTGGTCGAAATTCTCGCATGTGACCTTCTGCCCAGCTTCTTTCTTCTTCATCAGATCATTCCACAGTTTGCAGTCGTGCAATTTGCCACCGACAGCGTCCATTGTATGGTATGAGTGCCGATACCCAAGAGTCAGCAGAGACTCGCGAAGTGCTGTCACAATGTTGATTCAGTCAATCGCTCATCTTATCATAATATCACGTTGACTGTAGAATGAGAGGGGGCTTCGCAGGTTCAGGCGGTTCCTGTGCGGCCCATACCCAAACACAGCACCTTCATCGGCACCGTTCGTGTTGCTGGTAGCTGGGCCGCTGCTTTCGAGTCTCCAGCAGCCATCGAGTGTCTATTATTGTAAGTAGCTAGTACTATGTGACTTTATTGAACCAAGCACTTACCAACCGGTCTCTAGAAGGATCTAAATCAACTCGAGAAGATTCGAGAGAGGATATTAAGAGCGCAGAAAATCGGATGGCCAACGCGGCCGTGGTAGTCTTCATGCATGCTGCATGCTGCAGGCCTATCGGTGCCCGGTTCTTGCCGTTCGTAAAGAGGCAACTCAGGCAGCTCGGCCTACCCCGCGTTATGTCTCACTGCCACGGCCTCACCATTAAGCCTCAAGCAGGGTGTCAACACCAACTCTCAGAAAAGCCTTGCACGCCGCTTTTGTTGAATTTCTATAAACAAGTCTAGATAATATTCGCAAAGGGAAGTCACTGGATATTATGATGTAAAGTACACAACCATGTACGCCACCGCGCTGCCGACCACACCCACAGCGGTGTACACGCTCGTCAGCATCAGCGGTAGGAACTCAAGACGCTGGCCAAACACGACCTGATGCACCAGTGATGTGTAGATTACCAGCGGTATGAAGAGAGCAATGTACAGCGTGTTGAAGCGGTCAAGTAGGAAGAAGCGCGGTTTGCTTGACGCCGGCGCCAGCCTGTCAAAGGCTGTGAGAAAAATGACCAACCAAAGCAGCGTATATACGGTCTTTATGGGGAACTCAGCCGGGGTAAACAATAGAGGGAAGAGGGAGACGTGACCCGCGACAGCCAGTGGCCGAAAGGTAGAGAGATGCCGCCTGTCTCGCAGTGCGATCAAGCTAAAAGGAATAATGACGAGCAGAATGGCCTTTTCGTGCACATGGTACCCAAAGAGAAAGGAAGCGTAGCCGCAGAGCGTTGTTGCGCCGATAAAGTTCTCCCAAGTCGGCTGCGTAAACAACTTGATGAGTGGGAGCAACTGGAAGAGCAGTGTTAGGGCAAAGCAGGTACGGGCGCTGATTTCAGGGAGAACGGCAAACGATGTGTCCCCAACAAGCCCCCGAGTGACGCTCTGGAGAGCATCTGCCTTGATATCGAGTCCCAGCCTCGGAGCAACTGGAGGAATTAGCTAGGGCGATGAGGACTGCATGACTGGGGTTGCCGAGTACTTACGAATAATGAGAGCGCGGTCGGCAAAGGAATATAAGGCCCAAGCATTGGGAGCCCAGTACGCATGGCACAACCCTCGCGCAAATGGAAACAGTCGGCTCAGCAGTTGCGGCATCTGCTTCAGCACCGCAAACGGACCCAGCGCTGCCGCCACGATGGCAACGATTCCGCCGCCCAGCCTGGCGCAGTTCGCAAAGCGGATGCTAAATATGGACTTTGGCGACAGGCAGTACGCGCGCAGCAAGTAGACAAAGTACGCTGGGGCTAGGTAGACGTAGATGTGCTTGAAGCAGAGCAGCGCCGCAAACGCCAGGCCGCTACCGAGCAGCGAGTCCTTGCTGCGGGCGAGCACGAGCGACAGCACGAGGATGCCGTACATGAAACCGTTGTACTGGAAGTGTATATGGTCGATGATGAGCAGTCCAGGCGATAGCAGTACAGAGAGCGCAGCGACGCGGGCGGCGCGGCGCGAGGACAGCGGGGAGGAATCGACGAGCAGCTGCAGGGCGTAGGCGAGCAACAGCTCGGTAACAATGACGGTGGTGCGCTGGAAGTAGACGGTCTGCCAGGAGTCATGCTCGAGGTTGAAGACGTGCACCATGGCCGGGTCGGCAAGGCGGGCGATGTGCGACATGAGCCACTCAAAGTAGGCGAAAAAGGGCGGGTAGTCGAGTGTCCATTGCGACGTGTCTTCGTAGTACCACTCGGACAGGGGGAGGCTGTTCGTGATGGCGAGCCAGTTGCGGTGGACTTCAAAGTCGGTCGATTTGCTGTGGTTTGAAGAGGTTAACAATTGCCCTTTCTCATCAGCAGCCTGTCTGTATAGTAGGATGATCATACTAGGCGGGGAACAGGAGAATCTTAAAGGCGGCCGCAACCAACGCGCACTGCGTGATTGTTGGATACGCGTCGGACATGCTGGGTGAAAGATGAGGAGAGAGTGCTTAGGAGATGTGTGGCATGGCAAAGGCCATTCAGAGTGGACAATGCCCGGCCGAGATTCACGGCGTGGTGTTGCAGATGGGCAGTAAATTATCACCAAATCAGAGCTGGGACCTTGCTGTTTGTAGCAGCTTGCATCTGTATGTACCTGGCACAGTGGCACTGACCAGCTCACCCTCACCTCCACATGCTCGGCACCTTATCGATTAGCAACACGCGCCACTCTTCAGACGAGCTTCGTGTTCCCCTAGATACTTCCCGCATCTAATACCATTCCTCTGCACGATTGGTTGCTTTTATTCTTAATTAGTAATTTCTTTTCATCGCCGCATATTTTCGACCTCTCACAACGTACTCACCCGTCTGTGTAGCTGCCGTCTCGTGTCCTATCCTGGCAACGCTTCCCCGCCATAACTCCAACCCCTTGTCGCCGGCAGCCTGCAAAGTGTCCTCTCGCTGACTCGGCCATTGGAGAGGGTTCCTTCCACGTCCTTTGTCCGCGACCTTCGGTATTGACCATTGGGTCTGCAAACTCGACAAGAAGACTCCCGTGGTCCTCTTGAAATATATATATTATTTCTCTTTTCGACTACATTGAACAGGAGCAGCATCTCGCCACCATGCGCACAGCTTCCATGATCCTAGCAGCTCTTGCTGCTGGGTTGGGCCAAGCACAGTATCTCATCAACGAGCTGAGCTTCGGCATAGACTCCAAGTCAGTTTTCCTCGTCCCCGAATCTGCCTCTCACTGCCCATGCTCCAGCTCCGTTCCCGCGATGGCCTCTCTCTGAACAGACCACTAACCACCAATCCGTCACCAATAGGCTCAGCCGCGACGAGTCTCCTGGCACCATCCCGCACTTCTTTGTCAACGGCCAGCCCAACCGACCCGACGTGCTCTCCAACAAGGTCATCCTAACGCCCATGGGCCTCGGCAACCAGCGCGCCTCCATCTGGGGCGAGCGCACGCTGCAGCGCGACGACTGGGTCGCCGACATCGACTTCCGCGCCAACGGCCCTGAGCGCGCCTCAGGCAACCTCAACATCTGGCTCGCCAAGGACGGCCGCCACGTCGTCCAGGAGAACAGCGTCTACACCGTCGGCCGCTTTGAGGGCCTCGTCCTCGTCCTCGACCAGTACGGCGGCTCCGGCGGCATGCTCCGCGGCTTCCTCAACGACGGCACCAAGGACTACGCCGCCCAGACCAACATCGACGCCCTCGCCTTCGGCCACTGCCAGGTCGGCTACCGCAACCTCGGCCGCCCCTCGCAGATCAAGGTCCACCACAGCGGCGGCCGCTTCAAGGTCGAGGTCGACGGCAACACGTGCTTCGAGAGTGACAAGATCGCCATCCCGCAGGGCTACACCTTTGGCGTCACCGCCGCCACGCCCGAGAACCCTGACTCCTTCGAGGTCTTCAAGCTCGTCGTCATGAGCGAGACCGTTGACCCCCGCCACTCTCAGCGCCAGCAGGAAAACAGAGACAACAACAACAACCAGCAGCAGCAAGCGCCTCCTGGCGGCTTCGAAAACCCCGACGACGCCTTCAAGAACACCATCCCCGACGAGAACGCCGACATCTTCCAGACCTCGGCGCGGCAGTTCGCCGACCTGCACAACCGCCTGCAGTCGACCTACCACCAGCTCGCCGCCGTCTACCGCTCCGTGACCGCCCACCACGCCGTTGACGAGCAGCGCCACAAAGAGGTCCAGGACATGGTGCGCGACATCCGCGCCGACCTCCAGCGCCTCGACAAGGTCGACGCCCTCACCCGCACCGTCGAGTCCCTCCAGCGCGACGTCGCCTCGCTGCGTGACACCATCGACCGCCGCATCAGCTCCCACGAGAACTCCTTCCGCGGCGCCCTCTCCGACCACCACCAACAGCTCTCTGAGCGCGTGCTGGACGGCATCCCCGGTCACGGTAAGCTCATCTTCATCCTCGTCGGTACGCAGGTCGTCCTCGCCGGCGTGTATATCATGTACAAGCGCCGCAAGATGGCGGGCCCGAAGAAGTATCTGTAGCAGAGAAGCGGTTTGTAAGGAGAAGAGCCGTGAATGCTACCATATTAGTCAATTCTTTTTTTTAATTAGGGCTTTTGTTTTGAACTGTTCTTTCCAGGCGTTGTTGTTTGTTTTTTTGTCGGGGAAAACCAATGAAGTTTGGAGCATCTAAGAATGAGTGAGATTGAGGCGCTCGCTGCCTGTGTATATTTGTTACGGCCTAGAAGAAGATTGCCCGCCGCTAGCCAAGTCTATGTACAAATAATTGTCAATTGGTTGTAAATACTGTGCTTTGAACTATATCATCGTCATTGCTAGCTGCCAGGAACAAATACAAAATACACAAGCCTCGCGCTTACTGGCGAGACTTGGCTCCCTCGCGTCCGTTGATCACGTCTAGCAGCTCCTGGCCCTTTGGCGCCGTCGTCAGGTTCTCGTAGCCGCTCTCTGTCACCAGGATGCAGTCCTCGGTGCGGCTGCCGCCGACGGGGTAGTACCGCTCGACGACGTCCCAGACGATGAGCTTTCCGTGGACGGGATCGTCGCGGAAGAAGCCTTCAAGATACTCTCGGTTGAAGTACAGGCCGGGCTCGATGGTAAGGATCATGCCCGCGCGCAGTACGGTGCGCTGCTTCTCCGCCGCGGTCGCTCTGCTAATCCTGTTCATGGCAGCAAGCTTATCTGGCGTCATCATAGTGCGCTTGCCGCTGTGACGAAGACCGCCAATTGTCTCAGCTGCAGCAGAAAGCATGAGGGGCGCGTCTCCGACGACGTCGTGCACCTCGAGACCGACGTGGTGGCCGAGGCCGTGGGTGAAGAACGCGGAGATGGTGCCGGCGGCAATTAGCTCCTCGCGGGTGCCGCGCAGGATGCCGAGCTTCAGGAGGCCGTCTACGGCGACGTGACCTGCGTGGTTGTGAATCTCGTAGAAGAACTTGCCGGGCCGCATAAGCTCGATGCACTCGGCCTGCATGCGCATGACGACGTCGTTGATGGCGGCGGCGCGCGGCGAGAACGAGCCAGAGATGGGCAGAGTACGGGTGACATCGCTAGCGTAGCAACGGTACTCACAGCCCGCGTCGAAGACGAGGGTAGCGTGGCCCGCGAGCGGCGCATTGTTGGCGCCGTAGTGCAGCGTCGCCCCATGGGGCCCGGCGCCGGCGATGACGGGGTATGCCTGGCTGTGGGCGTCACTGGCGGTGGAGACAGCCTCGAAGACGGCTTGCAGTTGGCTCTCGTTGCGCATGCGCAGTAGGTTGCGGGCGACACGGCGATGGGCCGCGCTGGAGATGTCGTTGGCGCGGCGGACGAGGGCGATCTCGTACTCGTCTTTGACCTCGCGGGCGCGGTTCATGGCCGGCTTGAGAGCGGCGGTGTCGATAAGTGGCCCGTCAGACGAGCGCGCGCGGAACGACTGGTGCTGAACCAGTTGCGGTGGACGCTGGTCAGCGTGCAGTGCATAGACGGTCAACGCGGCCGGGAGGTTGGAGAGGTAGTCGCCGAGGTCGCTCGTGTAATGCACCTGGTCGGCATCGTACAGGCGGGCGGCTTCGGCGGTAGAGGGTGTCGAGCCGAACCAGTGGCTCTTTTTGGGTTCGGTATAGGGAATCCAGAGGGTGAGGGTGTCAAGGCTGATGTCATAGGTGAGGGTGCAGCCGGCATAGTCTACACCCGAGAGGTAGTAGAAGCTGCGCAGGTTAGTATAGAGAATCCAGCGTGGTTGCAGTACAGAAGGGAATCATACTATCGCTGCTGGCGGAACTTGGGGCCCTGGTCAGAGTCAGGAAAGCGACGCTCTGGTTCGCCGACGAGGTAGATGATGCCTTCGTCGACACCGAGCTCGTGGGCGACCTTGCGTGCGTGGTTCTTGGCTGGGGTGGTCAGTTTCTGTGCAGGCATTGGTTGTAATAGTGTCGCAAATTCCATACCAGGATATTTGCCGCTCAGGATCTCATCTAGAGACTTTTTCTTGTCCAGAGAGCTGTTGGTCAATCGCACAGTCAGTGGCTCGCTATGCTGTCGTCATTGGCCGACAGTGAAGGACACTGAACCCGGAATCAACGTACATGGCATCAAACTCATCCTCCAGGACGAACTCGTAGTCAAACTCTGCAGCTGACATTGTGAGATGAAGTCCCGACACGGTTGCGTGCTATGGTGATGGAATTGGAAGCTGGGCAACGAACAGTGTGTGAGAAGGAAGCTCTTCTTAAAATGGCTGCGGGGGAACGGAAGGTCCACCCCCACAGTAGCGGATGGAGATAGAGGCAGGCAAATCCATGATAGGGTTAGTTAAAGTCGTACCTTCGGCAAGCGTACCCAAATGCTGCGGATCTTGGTCAGCGCCAGCTGGATAGGGGGCTGTAACTATGACATCCAGAGACGTTAAAATTAGGTAAAATAGGTCCAACATGACCAAGTCCCAACATCTATCTATCCGCCGTATCGGACACTGGCCTGTCACTAGTGCAGCAATACCGCCTGCTTGATGGGAAGGATTGGCCCCAGGGATGAGGAAGCTAAAATGGTCAACTGCCTTCCACTTTCTAGACTCATTTGGACATGGCAGGGCAGTCCGCCCCCGGATTATCTTGGGGCTTCTTTTTTCAAGGGTTGTTATGAACCTGATCTTTAAGGAAGAGCTATCGCAAAATGATCAAACAGCCTTGCGATTAGTCAGCGGCGGCCAGGGACCTTGTCCAAGCATCTCAGGGAGCTGCCCACAGCAAACGGATGAGCACGATTGCCAATTGCTCAAGCATCATAGCAATAGCTGGCCAATGCGAGCAATCGAGCGAACTGTGCCATTCGTGATGGATTCGAATATCCCTTCTCGGCTCCCACATCGATCAGAATGCTATGCGTAATTGACGCCTTGCGCCGTGCCGATCTTCTGCTGGCCCTCGCCGCAGGCCGCGCGAGCATCGGCACCGCTAATACGAAAATCAACCGCCTCGCTTTCGTGAATACAGCGATTATCGAAGCTCTACATCTCGAAGACGACGAGGTAGTTGAACGTCTTGAACCAAAGTCGTTTCCTGAGCTGAGAGACGTTGCAACAGTTGCTGGCGGGAAAGTCTCCATCCGCCAACGCCGCTTTGTCTCTTCTCTATGTGCGGCAACGGCCAGTCGGTGTATTCACTTCATTCCTCTCCATTGGTTGCCACTTTTCTTCGAGATCTTGGCTACACTGATGTGTTGATTGCGTAAGATTTACCTTGCCTCAACAGAGTCGGCGTTTGTATCGCATCTCGTCTCGTTTCCAGACAATCTCTACATTTACACACCAGGCTCCGTTAATTACTTGTTTTTCGTTTGGAGGCTCTCGTAGTTACAGCGCACTGTTTCATCGCCGGGAAGCTGCAACATCAAAGGCAAGTCAATGCAATTTTTTCACCACTCCAATTCAACATGGGTGAATCCTGCTTTTACGAGTCGACAGTCTTCTTCGCTCGCCGGATGCGCGCAGTGGCAGTGTGTCTGGATTTCAGTCTTTCGGGACGGACATGCGCGATTTGCCGTTTCCTTTCATAGCGACCGACACTCAGCTAGAAGCTGCTGTTTGCTCAAAGTGAATTGCAAAGTCATTTGCTGCGAGTCAGAGTACTAGTACTCACCACCTTCCATGCTCGCCAGCAACTCAATGCGACATACACCCCAAGTCATCTTTCGACGAGAAGTATTGCTCAAGTATTCCCATTTCTTATCCTTGAGGAAGTCGAGCCGTGTCTACTCTTGACCTAAAACCCAGCAATTAATTGAGACCCGGTTCGTTCTCCCCAGCCCAACCATGGATGTCGATGGTGCCGAGGGTCAGTTTGCAACTGCCCTGCGTCAGGTCGAGTTGATGCACGACCTCCCTCAGCCTCGAAATGATGGGGCGGTCCAGGACTATCCTTCACAAGAGTCCATTGTTGCCAGGTTTGCTGCCATGAAGATGAGCTCCAATCGGTCAAACTTGTCCCGTCCCTCCACCGCGCAGCTTCCACCAGCTTATCTTCCATCCGACCCACCTCTTGACGAGCTTCGGCTAATTCTCATTAGCCAGGTGAGCATTAGAGAGCACCATCGTGGCAAAAAGGAGCTGTGCTCATCATCAAAGAGCCGTTCGTCGAACGCACTACGGACAGTTCTTATTCACTAAGAGTCGATCATCTCAGCGACGTCTCTTGGTTGAAACCGCTGGATAGCCGCATCCCGGATGTCTGGAGAACAGAAGACTTTCAAATCAGCAGTGAAACGGTCAGGATGAACCCAATGAGGCTGTGAAGGAGCAGCTTTGAGCCAAAGCACTGCGCTTGTGAGCTTTTACCACCCAATTATGTACTCACGACTTACCAAAGATAATCAAGATACTCGGATGCCGCTCGACTTGCAGCCACTCCCAAAGAAGGGCAATTGACGTACCCCAACCGCTCTCTTGCCAACCTCAACCTCAACCGTCCGGAGCAGGCCCTTCTTGACGCGACCAGGACAGCCGAAAAGATCCCGCCCACGGAAATGGCACTATTTCGTGAGATACGAGCGCTCTACGCGCTGCGTTACTTTGACCGCTGCCTGGAGCGGCTAGAGAAGTTCACAGCACTGCATCCCGCCAGTAAGGATGCCAAGACGCAAATGAGCCGCGTCCAACAAAGACTGAGGGAGCAGGCCGACGGCGTTTACTCATTCACAAGCATGCACGAGCAGGCCAACTAGGGCTTTGGCTTGGTGGACTGCGCTACATCCTCGAGTCCCGTCGAAGTTCGAGACGCCCCCAGCCGAGGACGAGGGCTGTTCACGGTCAAGGCCGTCAAGGCGGGCGATCTTTTGCTCTGCGAGAAAGCCTTTGTGCACAGCAAGTGCGCCGTGGATGCCAGTGGTAACTTCATCATGTTTGAACCAGCAGCAACGGCACCTCGGCTAAAGGCAAGGACGAGATTTTGACGCAAATAGTGCAAAATTTATAAACAACCCAGAATACTCCCGCCGTTTTCTACAGCTTCACAATGGTGGTTACAAGACTGTCGGCCGAGACCACCCAGATGGACATCCGATCGTTGATTCGTAAGTCACTAACACTCACGGTGAACTAAGAGCTTCGTAGCCGATTCGGGTGTATAGGTTCCTCGCCGTGAAGATAATGTCTCTAAACACATTTGGCGGGCAAGCTATAATAAGTCCCCTAGCTCTGGGCAACTTGAGGAGTGGAATCGACACGGCTTTCGTTGTCGGCAATTCCGTCAATCCTGGCGTCTGGATCAAGGCGGCTCGACTGAACAACTCTTGCGCGGGAAACTGCCATCGCTCGTTCATCGGCGACATGCTCATCCTGCGCGTCAGCAAGGACTTGAATCCCGGTACAGAGTTTCTCTTCCCCTACTGCCAGACGCGGGAGCTGCACTCGCACGAGTACGTCCAGCGCGACTTCAACTCCTGGGGCTTCACATGCGACTGCACACTCTGCGCACAGCGACGCGTCACGTCCGACAGACAGATGAAAGAGCGATAGGAGGTCATCGGCCGCCTAGGGAACCTTCCAGAGGGACTGAGGACAGCCAAGTCGCCCACGATGACGCGCAAGCTTGTCACCAAGGTCAAGGCAACCTACCCTTCTTCGTTCCCGGACGAGCTGCCGCGGCCGGAGCTACAGATGGTGTACTTCTCAGCGGCATTGATGGGTGGTCAGGTACAGGGGCGGCCCCTGAAGGAGATGCTTCTCGAGGGTCTCAGGGCCCTCGGCTACTCGGTCGTGGTTATCTGGCCAGATCGGTGCAGGGCGGCCGCAGCCCGGGTTGAGAGTGTGAGATGGGACACGCCGGCTTTTCCGGTGCCGTTGGCGCTTTTTAGGCTGTATGTGGCGGCCAAGGAGACGGCGCCGAGCCTGGCGAAGCGCATCCTGTGGTATGCGCAGACGGCGACAGATTCTTGGTCGGAGAGGAGGAGATGTTTCGGCAGACCTTTTATAAGTCATGATGGTCTCGACTTTATGAGATGTTCTGGGAAGGGGTCTAAGTGATATTGACTTGAACAGGAGAAAATGGATACGGAATGAAAGCAACTCGAGAAAGTAGCTCAAACATAGTCTTTGCTTGATTTTGCATCAACAACTAGAGCAACCAATACATTGCAAACATCAGTTATTATTATTAAGAAACAAAGTAAACCATATACTGATCAGACAAAGTTCCTGGAACTGGTCCGTCTCACGTGTACGCTGACATGTGCCAAAAGGCTCTAGCAATAGTTCTTCCTGCCCAATTGACCACGGATCGCGCCGGGAACCGCAAGGCTAGAATGGACATCCGCGAAGAACATGGCCGGATTCTCCTCAATCTGCCTAACATGGAAGCCGTCACCAGTATCCTTGCCGCTCGCGTTGACACCCGTGGTGAACGGCCCCGTGAGACAGCCGATGCTGCGACGAGGCCCCTCACCCTCGCCCTCCGGGTTGGGAAACGCAATCCTGTCGAGCACATCCTCGTGTTAGCAGCATTTTCTCGTTGTTTCTTTTTGAAATACTGGACATACCGAGGCGGGCCGGCCTTGCCCACGGCGGCCTCGTGAATGTGCGTAGCCGACTTGGCGGGGGACTGGTACTCCCCGCGGAAGCCGGCGATGGTGATGTTGTAGCAGATGACGTTGTCCACCGAGTTGATGCCGAAGTTGAACGTGCCGCTGCTGCCCTGCAGGCCGCCGGTGAAGTTGTTCTGCGCGTCGACCACGTTCTCTGGCTTGGCGACGACGTTGAAGGTCGAGGTGAAGGTGAACGGGCTGGGCTGCTTGTCACCGTGTCTGACGGCCAGGTCGGCCGGGACTGCGGCGGCTTGGGCCGCTGTCAAGAGACCGAGGGCATAAATGTGAGATTTCATGATATTAAGAAGAAATGGGGTTGGAAGGCTGCTGGTTAGGTGAAGGCCAGGACGATGTAAACGAATTCGGGAGCGATGCTGAGTGTCGAGAAACACAGGAAGGACAAGCGGACAACTGCGCATTTATAGTCGACCATCTTTTCTTTTTTCCCAAGGCGGACTTGCTAGCAGCCGTGACGCCCCAAATGCCTTGTTCACTGTCGAAGGAAGTTCCAGTGTAATAGACTCCGGTGCAGATCAGCCACCCAGACAGCCAAGGCGCTTGAAGCGGCTGAGTTGGCATCCCTCACGTATGCTAACCGCCTTCGATCTCGCTCGGTCAACTTTAAAAGTTTATCCCATCGCTAAAAGCGCCACGCCAAGTCCACGTACGTCAATCAACATTTTATTGCTAGACATTCTTCCGCTGGGGCGAGCCATCACCAAGCCCGCCCTGTGTACTTGCGTTCGGGAGCCATTCAGTAACGGTCGTCCTGCGCTCCACTCCGGGCAAGCAATGCTATTGCTTTTTTTCTTCCAGCTTCTCGGTCTTCAAGTTGTATAATCTTGATGTTTGTACTCGACTTTCGGGGGGAATTCGAGATCGAGTCGCCTTCAGTCTTGGCGCCAAGCTGTAATGCCGGAGTGGTGATGAGCCGGGAGATGCACACTTGGCGCGCCAAGACGCGTAGCCGGATAGATGAGTATCCGAGTCCTATGATGCGTAAATCAATCGTACAAGATGACTAAACCGCAAACTCTATCGAGAAACTTGTAGGGGCATGCTGCTCGAGCCCCCATGTGCTGCGCAGTGAGTTGTTCTCAAGGCAGCGTCGCTTCATCATGACGTCAAAGCGGATGGCTTTGGGTACAGGATGGAAAATGAAAATGTCAACTAACCTTGCCGCCTCAATGCATCTTCACTCTTTTTCTTGGGAGCTCCATGGATGCTAGACGCTGCATCGCGTTGTCCGCAGAACGTCGCTGCCCAGGCTCATAGCCCAGCATGGCACTCAGCAAATCAACATATTCTTTCCGCTACAGCGTAGACAGGTTCGGCGCATCCTTTGCAGGCTTCTCCTCGATTGACTTTGACCTGCGTTCTCTCTTAAACCACCAGGGCACCTCCTTCGTGTTTTTTTTCCCACCCAGATCATACCGTACTTGTGTCGAAGTTGAACCTGCCGCGCCGGTGCTGCGGCGTCAGGCCCGAGGCAGGCCACGGCGGTGCCGACTAGAAACTCGTACATATCGCCTGATTCTTGGGATATAACCCTTGTTGTGTGTATCTGGGAGAGAACGCCAGCGAGTTGCCAGATGTTGCTCTTCGTGAGGGCCGGTAGCGAAGGGAAGAATGCCACGAGCGTTGCGAGCGAGGACGGAGGGCTGTTGGTGGGAAATGCCAAATTCAAACGACCTCTATCCATTGGAACGAAGAGTGTTCGATGCCAGGAGACTTTGCATGGCCGGCAATTCGTTCGGGGGGGGGGGGCCGCTGGGAGACGGGGTCGCTCAACCGTCACACGGGCTCGGTCTCGACGGGGCCGAGCAGCTCAAGCACACTGCCTGGGGACACGGAGTCGAGGTCTGGAGATGCTTCAATGTATTCAATCCGTCATTGTTCGCATCCTTGAGGGAGGCGCAGAGGATCTTTAGCGCAAGGCACAAAGGCGAGGACGCAGACGAGCGCACCAGCCGGACAGTCGACGAGTCCCTGGTTCCGAGACTTTGGTCGACGAGGCTAACGTTGGCAAGACTTGTACTTGATCCTCACTGTTATATGTTTCTCTCTCCACCAGACCTTATCAAATGATTGAGCCGCCACGGTGCCATCAGGCAAGAAGCCAAGCCGCAGGGGATCTTGATGCAGTTGTCATGCACTGGGTCGGCGGACGAGCGAGGCGCCGCCGCCGGCATATCCGAGACTTTAATACCCATTAAATTGTATTGTAGAAGAAAAGGTCGGTGACAGCCAGCATGCATCGTATATCGATCTTTCTGGCTCCTTTTCATCGAGGCCCTCCCGTCCGTCTCGTAGAGTCGCATGACCACCTACCTATATCAGCCGACGGCCCAATTAGACGTCGAGGTTGCTTCGCCTGGCCAATTTTCCAGGCTCGGCGAGTGTCAGTTGAGCCTGTCTTGCAATTTCCACCAATTCCTCCAAGCCACCTGCTCTGACGTGATCGTCGTGGCGCCCGCCGACTCCCGACTCATGCCGAGTCGTCCGTGCTAACTAACCAAGACGGCACTTGCAGATGTCCGCGGAGCCAAGACGAGCTCGCAAAAAAAACGAGAAACTGTATTATTATTGTCTTTCTCATATTGCTTGTCTTTTCTTAATTTAGCAGTCTTTCATTGTATTGGTGGGTTGTGTCAATGCTGCTCGATCGATTACGATGAGCAGCGCCTCCAAGAATGATAACATCACCAAATCCGTCCATCCGTCTTCCCATCCCTTTTCTGTACCCATCATCCGGTATCCTTCTCCGTTTCCTGCCCTGCCACGACAGCGGGCTGGTCATTAAACGAAACCCTCGGCCAACCAAACTCCGCCCGCCGGCACATACCGAGGGCTTAGCACGCCTTTACTTACCAACATTTGCTCTACAATATGGAGTGAGCTCAGCTCGCCAATGACATCTGCCGACCGCGGGCACGCGTACGTGTTTGTGTGGCTTGGGGCGTGGATCGCCTTCTTCTTTCATCTTCGTCCCGTATTTCCCGCAAAACCCCAGGCAAATGGATCAGCAGGAAAACGTGGACAGTCTCACCACGTTACCTTGTCGGCCTAGCGTCGACGCCCTAAAATGCTTGTTTTTCGCTCCCCATCGGAACATCGTCAGGGGGGCTTTATTGCTTGTTAGTTCAGGTCTCCTCGGGGTTTGGTGTTGTGGACTCCCGTCCCATCGTTCGACGAACCACCGTTCCATCCAGCCTTACCGTTAAGGCTCGGTCGCGTCTTCCGTCGTCTTTCTTCGCCACGAGCCGAGAGTAGTGCTGTCTCTGTTGACGACGACTCTGACTCTGCTGAGACTTTCTGGGACAAAAGGAGGACGCTGTACAACTTATGTGTCGAAGCCTTCTCACAAAGGATGCCCTACAATGACCAAAAAGTAAGCTTAAAACTCCAAAGACGTTAGGCTGTCATCGTCATGGGCCTTCCCTTGGAAAAGCCTCAATGTTTCTCTCTTCTCTTTTTGTCCATTTCCCTCTCATCCAGTCAGAAGTCATCCGTATAGTGCATTGCGTAAGTCTCGCCAGCCACCATCCCAATTCAAGACATGGCGCCTCCATGTCCACGGCCATCGTCCTCCCATCCTTCCGCATTCGGCCTTTTGCGATAATTACATCTTGATTTCGTCGAGATGTCTCACTCGTCTGTTTTGTTTGTCTGTCGTCGTACGTTTTCTTTTTCTCCCACACGCCCGTCTGATATTGCGCAGCTGTCCCGCCCCTGAGGCTGAGCCCACACACCACCCAATCCATCGCCGACCTGTGAGGATGCAAGGCTGTTCCCGATTCTCAAGGTTCGTATAGCCGTAGGTGACAGCCTGCAATCCTTTTTTCAGGTGCCGCTCTCTTTGCGCAAAAGTTCCCCCGATGGAAAAAATGTAAATGGCCGCCAACTCGGGTCCGCGGCCGGCATGGCTCGCCCGAAATCTCGGAGGGGGGAAGGGCAGAGCCAGGGAGGAGGGGGAGGATTGCGCAAGCTGCTCTCCACCAGCAAGGCGCATGGGGAACGGTCTAGACACATTTTCGAATTTGAGGCGCCGATCCAATACTTCGGCGGGAAGGAGGAGGGGGGGGTGTTGATAATGAATGGTCCGGGGTCGTAAGTCTTGCTTCGCCTCGGTGACCGACTAACACGGGCACTCAAGGAGAGCAGCAGCATCGTCTACTTAAACAGCCAGACCGTCTTCTACCTCTTCTCTCTTTTCCTTCCCTACCCATCCATCCAAAGCACTTCACTCCTTTTCTTCACCACACACACACTCGCTACCAACCCTCGGTCCAGCCAAACTTCCCAACCTTTTCAACATGAAGTTCTCCGTTGTCCTCCTCGCCGCCGCTGCCACCAGCGTTGTCGGCCAGAGCGCCACGTACGTTCTTCTCTCTTCTTCTTCTAACCCTCCCCAGTGAACGCACCCCTAACAAGAGATGGCAACAGCAACTCTAGCAGCCGCTCGACCACCGCCGTCGCCTCGTCCACCAGCGCCCGGTCTTCCGCCTCCGGCTCCGCCACCTCCCGATCCGCCTCCGGCTCCGCCACTACCACCGCCAGGAGCTCCTCAGTCAGCAAGGCCGGTGCCGCCCCGACCAATGCCGCTCGCGCCGGTGCCGGTGTCGCCGCCGTTGCCGTCGGTGTCGCCGCCATGATGGTCTAAGCGGACGCTCATCTTCTCTCATCTTCACCACCCGCTCCTTCTCCCGTCGTTTCAGGAACATTTTACGGTGGAAAAAAGAGATGTGCCGTGGAATTTAATTTTTTTCCTTTCCTTCGCTGTGTGGACTACTCTGCAGCGAGAGAACCTTTGTACTCACACCCCCTCGTCGTTGTCAAGGTACTAATGTAGTTGTCCCGTTGTCACATTAGCTCTAGATCAATATCAAGCCATTTTATCAGCGCACCCCTCCTCCTCCTCCTCCTCCTGACTGTGCATATCAGATTGACAATACGAGTGGCCCGCCTCCCTTCCGCTCCTTCATTTGAGCTCGGTGGCCCAAATGGTGCCGACGTTGCCGCCCTCCCCTTGACGAACATTGAGCTGACAGCATGCTCATGCAGCCACTATTAGACGCCCCCAGACGGCACACCACCGATGCCAGCTGGGGTCAAGAGGAATCGATTGCATATTGCAGCTGCAGACGCAATTCTCCAAGCTCAAACACCATATTCGTCCGTCACTTGTACTGGTCAGCCAGCGCGCCGCAACATACATCTCCACCACCGAGCACTTAACTTGTACATAAGTCGTCATCAAATTTGTCACAGCTATCATGCATGTCTCGCCGAACCAAATCGTTCCCATTCTATAAAGAATTTTGTAACCATTGTCTATCGACATATATACCCAGTACCAAACAGCCATCCAGGTACCTTGTGCTCCTGGCCTCATTCACCATGTACGTACAACCCACCACTCCCTCCCGCTCTGCCTGCAAACACCAAAAAATGACCATAAAATGAAGACGTGGCTTTCGTGGCCCATATAACGCTTTCCGTGCCCATATGCTCCCAAATATATCAACCGTAAAACAAAACAAAAAAAATCTCAACAGACCTTGAGGATCGTATAAAACAAAAGAATTGCAGGCGCTGGGGTCTCTCCCCTGCGCCGTCTTGACTCCTACCCGAAAGAAAAATGCAGCAATATTCTTCCCACGCAAAACATCAACGAAATAAGTGAAAGAAAATGAATGTCCGGGGTGCAGAGTGCGTAAGAAAATGGATATCATGGGCAATATCCTATACAAAAACTCCGTGTCTGATATCCCAAAACAGAATATAAAATAAAAAGGGGGGTATTGTGAAGAGAACCCTTACATTCCCTGAAAGCCGCCTCTGCCAGACCCGAAAAAGCTGCCAAAATCCGGTTGCATGCCGTGCTCTGTAAACATTTGGTCGATTTGCTGCGCTTGCTGTTGCTCTTGAGGCTGTCGCGTACGTCTATGGAAGAACCCAAAGCCGCGAGATCTTTGCTGCTGTTGCTGTTGCTGTTGCTGCTGTTGCTGCTGCTGCTGTTGTTGCTGCTGCTGCTGCTGCTGTTGCTGCTCTTGCTGTTGCTGCTGAGCGCGCTGAGCTGCCTGCTGCTGTCGAGCCTGCGCCTGCGCTTGCGCCTGCGCCCTGGCTTGGTGTTGCCTCGCCTGTGCCTGTGCCAGAGCTTGCGCCGCTCCCGGATGTTGCATCGCAATCATACCGTTGTTGTCGTACATTTGGCTCATGTTCATGCCTCCCATGCCTTGACGACCATTTTGTGGCGTCATGTATGGCGGTGGCTGGTTGATAAAAGAGTTGCCCATCTCCTCCAGCGTTGCAGGGAAGAAGAAGTTGGGATCTTGGGCCATGGTCACAGCTGCGCCGTCCTTGGAAGGCTGGAAGCCCAGCTCCATCATCGGTTGGTTCGGATAGGCAAAAGGGTCGTCAGATGGGAACATGAGCGCATCAAGTTTGTTAACTGGGTTGAGCGCATTCTGCGTGGCAACAGAGTGTGGCATGAATGCCATGCGGCTGGAACTGGCTGCTGTGCTCTCAGAGTCAGGGGTGGCTCGGGAAGACATGTCAAGCGATAGCATATCGTGCATACCGCCACCAAAGCCATTATCGTGGAAGCTTTGCTCGGATGGTGCCATGGTATCCATGGAGAAGCCGCCAGTCGACATGTGACCGCTATGAGTTCGCAATAAATCCTCGGATCGTTGTGGCGACATGATGTGGTTGACTCCGGGATGCCCCGCAACCATGCCGTTGGGTTTGCTTATGGATCGCTTTGCTGAAGCAATTGCCCGGCCACGAGCTTGTTCCAGGGCTTCGGGAAGCTGCTCAAAGAGGGCCTACATCACAGTTAGTCAAGTTCAACTCGAGCATGATCTCCTAATATTACTTACATTTAATGACGTCGTCAGCATATCTGCAGCCAAGCTCTTCTCTGCCAGATCAGCTATCATCTGTCGCCCAGTGCGGGCGTCTGCAAGAACTTCGGCACTGCCCGGCTTTCCAGGATTCTCCAGGATGAAGAAGATGAGAGACAAAACGGCGAAATACTCGGTGTATAGCATGAACCAATAGGGTCCACTCAGAACGCGCTGTTTCCGAATCTCTTGGCCGATGTGGATGACATTGCGCGAGACGCTAATGGCGGCAGCAGCGCAAGCATAGGAGAGGTCATCGACTTTAATGCCTTGACAGAGCCGTGGCGACATGTAGTGTAGAAAAGGGCGATATAGAAGGAGCTGTACGTGAGCGTAGGAGAAACGAAGGAGATGCCGAACTCTAACAACTTCGATGGGACCCTCAGGGCTTGGTCGCCAGGCCTCAGGAAGTCGTTCGAACCATCGTTGCAATTCACCCTCAATTTCCTTAATGCGAGCATAACTGACAGGGTTGCCTGCTCCTCCCAGCTCAATTTTGACACTTCCCGGCAATTTGGTTGGATAGATGAGCTTGGAGATCTTAGCCAACACATCCATCAGCCTGGTATGCGCATTGAAGGCCTCAAAGAACGAGGAGGATCCGGGCGGCGGACGCATGACGCCCTGGTTGGTAACGTAGTCATCATCGACTTCCATTGGAAAGGGCTGGTCAATATCATCGCTGCTCAGCAGTAAAGGAAGGCCCAGCATTGTTGAAACATATGTGTCCATTTGTCGCACAACGTAGAATATTCGTTTGCGTAATTGCTCCTCTATCGGGTTTAATCGCGCATGTTGTAAGTGGCGATGCATGCCCATGCGAAGGCATGATCTCATGGCGATGCCAAGGATTGTGTAGCATGAGCTGAGGTTAGACGTAGATTGGAGGAAGAGTGTCATGAAGAGGAGCGCTTGTATCGAGGTGAGGGTGCGGCAATCACCAATATCCTTGATAAGGGCTCGAGCCGTCTTGAAGTATTTTGTTCTAACGAGCGTCAGTGAAAGCTAAGAATCAAACGGTATGAGACAACATACCCCTCCTCCATGGCAGCTCGGTAGCCAGTGCCTTGGGCAGCTGAGGCATCAAAGCTGTGATACATGCAGCCCAAAGCGAGAATGGCGAATAATAGACCGAGAAATTGAGTGTCCTCAGATCCGAGATTTTCGAGTGGAATTTCATATATTCGCTCGAACTGGCTGTTAAATGTCGGAACATGAACGATGCGAGTAAGGCAGGTGGCGCAGGTAAGCGAGTAGAAGCAAAGGCGTCGAGCAACGTCCTTTGGCGGTAATTCGGGATATGTCGACATGGTAGAGAGAGGCGAATTGGCGTGCAACGGCGCGGAGTCGGGATTGAGGAGTGCGGAGAGTTGGTCGGGGCGCGGGAGGAACGGACTGGATGCAGTAGGACCAAGCAGGCCGCGGAAGTGTTCCTTCATTTTCTTAAGGAAGACAACACCAGACGAATTGCCGTGGAAGTCCCAATCGCCGCGATCATCGATGTCAAGCTGACCGAGAGAGTCGACCATGGACACTAGCTGAGGATCGGGTGTGGAGGGATGCAGCATCGAGGTGTTGCCCTGCAACTTGCTGGCGGCCTGTATTCGAGACTGTTCGCGATTTTGAAATTCGGCTTGGACACTGGGGTCCATGTTGGGATCAGCCAGGTCGATGTCGGGCATGAATTTTCGCAACAGAGTCTCGGCGCGATGTAAGCGACCCTCTAGAGCCTCGATGTACTGGGGCGCGGGATTACGCCTTCGATTAGAAGGCTTATCATATGTGCAGTCTGGCACGCACAGAGACATGTTAGCAAGGCTTGTACAGGTAAAGGCGAACATTTGAGAGAATGGGCGCAGGTTGCGACTGACCATAGCTGTAGACGGAACAATGTGTACAGGGCTGCTTGCCGTCACACTTGATCTTCTTGCGACGACACTCATCGCAGGCGCGCGTCACTCGACGTCGCTTTTGTATGGGCTGTGACGGGGCATCGCCAGCGGCTGGGCGGTCATCAATCTCGATGTCAGATTTGATGCTTTCGGTAGGAGAGGGGGCATCCTGGATGGGCCAGTCGGTGACGGACAGGGCGGCAGCCTCGTCGTCGGACATGTTGGCTCAAGTGGCGCAGGAGCCAGTATAGTTGTTGCGATTAGGGTGAGCAGGATAAAGAGGTTTTAGAGGCGCGCCAGCGAAGCACAGGCGCAATTTTTGAGGAGTAATCTCCAAACGGCCGTCTCCTACTCGGTACTTTTAAACAAACGTCGCGGTCGACATAAATTCTGACGGCAGGTCGATGGTGGTGAGTCGAACGGAGAAGGGGGGGGTCGCTTGGCGGCAGGAAACAACGGTTTACTGGTGTCGGGCGTTGGCGAGTGAATCGGTAGGGTGGTAACGATGCCGGTGATACAAAGTTAGACGATCAAAAATCGAGAGCAGTAACGATAGAGGCGATAATATGGCTACTGGCGGCGAGATTGGCCTTGATCGAAGCCGTTGGTGAGCTGGAGGGCGGTGGTGGGTGGCAGTCGGTGCCCGGGAACAGACGAAGCCAGACAGGCAGCGTCGCCTCTCCCAATTACCCCAGAGTTGGATGGCCGCAATTTGCCATGAGATTCAAGATGGCGAGTTGATGGGAGACGACGGTGGTCAGTCGGGCGAGAAACGGAGCCGTAATCGCAAAAGAGGCGCAGCGACAACGGCTTGGGGGTGGATGGGAAACCGGACGGGAGGAAAGGCTGTTGAGAGATGGCGTGGAAGAGCGAAAGTCGAGTGAGAGTTTTTGTCTCAGAGGCTTGGACTAGACCAGGCCAGGGCTTTCTGGGGGGATTTGGAGGGGGGCATTGGGGAGAGAGAGGATGGATGGGAGGACTCAGGCAGAGGCAGTCAAACCTGAAGGGTCTGAAGGGAGGGAGAGGTAGCCTTGAACTTCGCTGGGCCAGGTGGGTGGGCGGTCCTCGGTAGGCGGGAGGCTATCTAGAGTACTTGCCATGTAACGGCTAACCGGTGAGAAGTTGCAGACAAACGTGCTTGCAAAGGAGGTATACTGTTAGCGGCAGAAAGTCGACCCACGCAGGTAGTGCACCGTGGCCACGACCTTTTAGCAGGGCTTCAGCGCTGTCAGTTGGCATTTCGGCTGCATTTTAGTGCTTCTGTAGGTACCAAAGTCCCCTGCTAAGGTTGCTCCTAATCTAGGATACTGAGTGGGGTAGCAGTGGGCAGGTTGCAGCGCAGTGGTGACCCGGAATAAGATTTTGATGATGGGCCATTGCTAGCCAGCCCATCAGGAGCAGAATGAATAGAAAGTACGGGTACGGAACGTCAAGACGATACGAAAGAGGGACAAGTACAGATCGATGATGCATGATGCAGTATCCCTCCAGTTGTAAGGCGCATACCCATGTACAAGGCAGGACAGAGAATCAATAAGAGTGCATAAAACCCCCCAAATTTAAGACTGGGGAAGAAATCAGAGGCCTATGGAGCTTTATTATTACCAGCGATAAAAAGGAGATAAAGAAGCACCCAGATCACCAGCGGAGTCCTTACATCCATAGGTACATAGGAGGTGGTATCGAGGTACGTTATGCAGGGCGGTTGTTCGCTCAGCAGCCGCTACAGGCAAGTTACAGGTGCTGCATCACCACCCGAGGAATCTTGGTCCTCACTGGCCCACCGTCGGCCGCCGCCTAGACTGGTTTCTATTCCCCGACAGTTCCCGTTGCATTCTTCTACATCATTCTATTATTAACATATTACTCACAGAATAACTACCAACATATTCTATATGATAAGATTAATAGGCGCGCAACCGAGTTGGCCGAGTATTCATGGCGGGCCGCGCTTGATTGGGAGACGGAACGCCCAATACACCTACCTGCTGGTCCTTCCCAATAAGTTGTCTTTGTTCCAGTCTGTACGTATCCGCAGCGACGTACATAGCACCCGTACCGTACTTTGCCCTTTCACATTTCCTACCCACGGATGACTACCTAGTTTCCATCACCATTCCTTCATCCATCGCATCCCATCCATGGTTCCTATTCGAGGAAAAGCCCTCAGCGTTGGTCCTTCCTCATCGCCTCAAGCCACCGCTATCCGGCCCAGCTCCACGGTCACCAGCCGAGAATGGTCTGCGTTTGGTGGCTTCTTCCGTCAACTACTCCAAATCCACGGACACAACTAGTACAACCACAATACCTTTACAAGTCCCCTTCCAACACCCGTTGTTCCAGGTACTCGCACGGTACTCGCCCAGTCCGCGCAAAACGCTGCTGACTTTTTTCACCTTCTCTGCTCCCCGTGGAACTTGGTGGCTGACGCTGCCCAGGGGTGAGGGGGCGCGTCGCGAGCATAATGGGCGAGTTTATTTGATCCAGCGTTCTCATTTGCTAGCTGCCCTCATCTCATCAGTTCCCAGCTGATAATTATAGCATCCAGCCGGAATACCCCCAGTAAAGTACCCAGTGTGGCCAAGAGCCTCGTCGAGCCCGGAGGAACCTGCTTCACAAGACGCCCGCCGCCAGTTTATCTGCCATGGATATATGCTTCTGTGCTAAGAAACATATTTTTTTTTTTTCATTTCGTCTCTTCCCTTGCCTCGACATCTGAGACGCCTGACGACGACTATCAAGAGCACGTCCCGCCTATCTACGTATGCAAAAGATCCACCACGGCCAGCTCCCTGTCACCCACCGTTGCATTTCGCCCACCAAGCTAGCGATCCCGTCACCTTCGATTTTCTCTTCCCTTCTTCACTCACTAGTAAGTATGGGGAGTCTATCTTTGTATGCTTGTGTTGCATCTGCTGCTACGCCAACTTCACCGCATGGCTGTCGGGCGTCGCAGAGAAGGAGGGGGTCTGAGCCAGTAACTACTGTAGTCCAGGACGGAGGGACTTGTCTATTCCTTGTCTATCGATGCATTGCGCTAACTAGAAATCGAAATCCCCCGCAATGACAAGACGGTTTGGGCGGCTTTCAACTGTGGGCCGTCGAAACTTGGCTGCTCGCTCTCGTTCTCTCCTGTCCTGGGCCCTTGTTTCTCGATCGCTTCGACCTCCCGTGCAAGTGGCGGGCCAGACTCCGCCAACAGCACGGTCATGGCAACAGCCTGCCGACTTTCCTCCCTGGGTGGCTGGCCTTTTCAACCACTGAGATTCAAGAAATCAAATCCACGGCAGAGGGTGTAGAGGGGTTCAACATGCAATGAAACATACCTGACCAGTGAGCTTCCAAACGCCAGCCAGTTGGAACAGCCACGGACACCTTAGCAACGGCCCGCGTCTCACACGCAACACATTTCAACAGCGCCTCGTTTTCATGTGGCCTACCTACAGGGTATCTGTACAGGATAAAACAGCACCAATGGGCAAGCCTCGCCTTTTTGCCAACACACGCGCAGGTCGTGGTCTTGTCTCTCACAGCACCACGGTTTTGATCGTCGCACAGTGACAGCAGATAAATCCCCGATTCAACTGTCAGGCCAGCTGGTCCGGCGGTCGCCCCTTCATTTGCCGACGTTACTTAAACCATTGCTGTCCTACATTATTAGCGTCCTTTTTCCTCTCTCTTCCCTGTCGTCTTCAACATCTAGACCTCGCTTCGCTGGCTGTTACCAGCACCAAAAAGGTCCCATGAGTAGCGTCGCAACTAATCGTGCACAGCCACAATGCACGGGAAGAAAACAGCCGCTGGTCTCACTCATAGTTGGGTTGGGGCTAATAATAATGAGAAAACTACGGAGTCCTGTACTGAAAAAGAAATAACGACTTGTCTCCCGCAATTCGGCTCGCGGGTGCCGATTCTCTTGCGTTCCTGCCGCTAGCAACTCTTGGCCAAGATGCCGTGATCCGAGGGACGTGACGCGAGGCCAAAGGAGCTGCCGAGTATGGAGTATCCGTACTCCCTACGGTTAAGTAAAAGGAGCAAAAGCGAAACTTCGTCAAGCCTGCTTTTCAATTTCAATTCGAGTGGTGGCTGGCAGACAGCGGAAAGGGGCCACAGCGGTGACGAACCTTCTCAGACAAGCAGCTTGCGTCACTTCCTGCAAAATACCGCTCATCGTCGTCGTCGTCCTTGTCGTTTTCTCCAGCTCATAATCAATCCCCTTTTGGTTTGGTGGCCAAACAGCCAGCAGCCAGCCCACTTGCTGCGAGCCCACCATCCTTCCTATCTGATGCGCAACGCATGTACGAATTACATTGTAATAAATTACTTTGTACAACGCAGGACGGATACCCTATGGGTACCTGACAAAAGCATCCACTGTGATGATAATTTCAGCGCCACCGCAGTAGCTGCACAAATGGCCGAGTTGGTAGCCGGCCGACACAGTCAAAGGGGTTATTGTTATCGTGTGTGCAACACGTTCCGAGACGAGGGCCAGCAAACCGAGTTACCAGCGTGATGCTTATCGAAGCCGACGGTGGTCGATGAGCTGTCGTCCTTCGCCGTCCTCGTGGGCCTAAATAGATCGAGACAGCTGGTAACACGCTCATGTTTCCTTTCACCAACTGTGCTCTGTCATTGGTCCATCTCGAATCGAGCTTGTGCCAGCGATCTCGGAAGTTGCCAGCGAGTCAGGGTCCATGTCGATTGTCCGCGGAGTGCGCCCGTTGTTCCTTCCGCAACCTGCGGTATCATCAGTTAAGCTTTTTCTATTAACGTTCTCAGACGCTCGCTCCTCTACCTAACGTCTGCTGATCTGGCGGCCATGCTGTATTCATGGACCACCGTGCTGCGAACTTGCATTGCCAGCCAGCTTTCTTTCGCTAACTAATCTGGCCGGGTCCCTTCCCCGATGGCAACCCACTCCTAGAGTGCTGCCCATCATTTGGCAACATCAATGCCCACACAAGTACATATATCAGCCGTCGCGGTCGACGGCAATTCCGACGGCAAACTCTCTCTCTCTCTCTCTCGTCTTCCTTCCCGAGGTTGCGGCAATATTCGGTTCCCCTCTATTGCCGATGAGGCCAAGCGCCAGCTCTCAGAGACAATAGTAACAGGACTAAAGCCCATACTCGTAGTAAGTTTCGACTAATAGTGTCACCTGGGCCATATCGACGCCCAACACGCTACGAAGCAGAAACCGTTCAAATTAGCGGCTGACAGCATAACCAATCTTCGAGCTTCAACCACGGCGACGCCAACTCAATGGACCCATGTTCATCTAGTTACGGAGTAATCTGCACTCAAACTAAATAGTGCAACTCCACGTTTTTCTCAGTCAACTTATCAACGGATGGCTATTACGCATAAAAAAGGGTCCACAGTCAAACCATCATATCATTGGGGATCCCTGCGAGAGCCGGGTAACCAGGCTAACTGGTGAAAAGCCTTCGTCTTTTCCTTCGCCAAGGTACTAACTTATGCACTCTTCGTAATTGTGCTACAGTATGAACGATAAGTCCCTCCATGGTCAACTAAGAATTGGGATTAGTCAGGCATTGCCCGTTCTGTTCGACCGCTAGCGGCACCGTTTAATCCGCCATGTATTTGTTTCAAAGTACATGAAGCATGAGACAGACGACATTGCGCCATGGACCTTTGCGCCGAGGCTTTATCCTGCCGGCAGAGTTGCTGATGCAACCTCATTTCCTGTCAGTGTCTTACACGGAGACGGACCCGGCCAGTCTAGCGCAGTAAAGCATGTCCTATCAGGCCATCAACAGATGGAACGGCCTCGGAATCTACCTGTCGTAATCGGCAGCCTTGTCGCCCTGCGCTTCTTAGAAGAATGTGGCGTCATGTCGGTGTGTGACCCCCTCAACTTCCCTGCCCGTCCCTTGCTTTGAAACCGTGGCGCGTTGCCACGAACACAATTGGCGCTGCTGTTCCAGTTGCTAATGCTTTTTCCCTTTTCTACTTTTCAACGTCATTGACATCATCTTTTGGGGTCGACATGGCTGACGGAAGGATCTGTCATATCCGCGGGAGTCTATTCCCGCGACCTGACTCTTCGACATTGTCAGTCCCACCCCCACGGCAGAACTTGTCCCATCTGCAAATGGGAAAGAGTACCGATGGAAGGTTGATATACCTGCTGCACCACATATTTTCTAAGCCGCCACGGTGGCTTGTTGTAAGGCATCCTGCATATATATGCATCTTTCAGGGTCTTGCCAGCATGCCAGCAGACCGGTCACAACCCGCGGTTTCGTGCCTTTCTCCAGATTTTTGTTGGACTGTAAGCATACCAGCGAAGTGTTTTCGCAAAGAAATCGCTTAATTGCTTGTAAAATCTTCCCGATGCCTTTTTCTTGAAGTAGTTTCGTCGATCATCTCACTGAGCTTTCACGAGAGCTACCTACTCGAATGCATCGGACCTCATCATCCCCACAGATCCAAGCACGAATGATCACATAGGGCGCTGCTAGATGCACCCTTGAAACTATGATAGATTGATCCTGAGAAAATTAATTTAAATAATAAATATCAAAGTTGGCTCCGTAAATTGGCTTCTCCTCTCAGCCTCGGCATATTTTGACATGTGTCTGTAGTGTCAGGTCGGCATACGCCGCAACTCTTCAACTACCCTTCCTGTATAATCCATGACTGGTAATTGCAGCTTAGTTAAAACATGGCTTTGAACTCTCATACATGCCATTGGCCGTTACTATGCCTATGTTGGATACTTCCGCCCAACTTTGCAGTCTTCTTGAGCCGGCCAGTCGACTTGCTCAACAAGCCCATCACAATTTGAGCACAGCAAGTCAAGTTATGAAACGCACAAGTTCTAACCTTTCCTTCCTTTTGAAGCATGTCTAAATTTTGAAAAAAAAAAACATATATTATCGTAGTCTATTGCAAATCGACATAGAAAATCGACCTCCCTCGTAGCGGTCTTGTTCAATGTATGCCCAAGTCTTGGGACCAGAGAGCCACATACTTGCGTGTGCTCATGGGGGTACGGGAAATTCCTATATAGACTCTAATAAAGCACCTGCGTAGTATGTACGGCCATAGCCGAGTGATAAATCTGGATCCCGTCTGATCTCCGAGCGATAACCACTCGAGCGCCCGAGTAGTAGTTGGTTCGGTGACGACCAGCGAATTCCGGGTGCTGTACGTTTCTTTTTTGGGCATTTTTTAAGCCGAGCAAATCATATCCTTTTATGGTCTCTTATTGAAAGTTTCTTTCCATTTACATTCTTTGACAAAAGGCAGTCATTTGTTGTTGTAGAGGGAGCATTGGATAGCCCCGGGCCTGTGTAGGTAGACACAATGCTCTTGGCGCCTTCTTCCTCGATCACCCTGAGCCGCGCTGTTTTCTTACTTTGTTCTATTAATTTATACATATCTATGAACTACTCAGATAACTTCCTCCGCTAGCCCAGGTTTTTCTGTGTTCAACCGAGACTATGGAAACTTTTTTGGCGGTCTACTTGCAACCAGTTGTCGGAATTACCCCGCGACTTACACGGCACCAACATATTGATGGATCACCGAATCACTCTAGAGCAACATCTTTTACAAACAGATAATGAACGCGATTTGTACATTATTTCCTCTATATACTTTGTCTTGACACATATCTGTACCCAACATTCATCATAGATACACAACAGTCCCCAGCAACGCGCTTAGACGCCGTTGACGCTCCAGGTGGCGCCGCGGATGAGCGTACCGTCGTTGTCGTGGCCGCCAAAGGCCTTCCAGATGTCGAGGCAGCTATCTATGGAGTGGTCGTTGCTGAGGTTGCGGTCGGCGACGATGGCGGTCTTGGTGACGCCGTTGTGCTTGATGGTGACGGTCTTGCCGCAGAGCTTGTTGTGCTGGGCGGAGCCGTACTTGTCGAAGATGGTGGCGGGCATGGCGACGAAGGAGGCCTCCTGGTTGACGTTCTTGAAGTAGGTGCTAATGCCGCAGGCACCCGAGTCGCGCAGGATGTGGTGGCACTGCGTCGCGTCGCCGTAGCGGTAGATGGAGATGTTCTGGTTGCTGCCCGAGGCGCGCTTCTGGATCTCGCCGCTGGGGGCGGCAGCGGCGGTGGCTGCGAGGGCAAGAGCAGCAGTAGCAGTGTAGAGCATTTTGACGAGGGTTATTTGTATATATTTCTTGAAAGGATATATGAAGTTTGGGAGAAAGAAGAGGTGATTCTTGTGTGTAAGTGAGTCTGTCTAGCTACAGAGGAGCCCTCTCAACTCTTCAGGACATCAAGACACTCTTATATACTTTTCCTCATCTAGTTCCTTTGCCATTCTTCCATTGACTATAATTTGCCCGATTCATCAGCCTTTCACCCTGTTTGGTCGTAGCATCGCAACGTCGGCCTCCCCAACTCGGCGATATCCAGCCTGGGTCCGGATTAGCGTCCAGGTACCAAAATCTCACCATCTCCCCCGGCCTCCCGAACGTACCAATGGCCGCGTTGAAAGAGACCACTGCCCTGAATAATGCCGTCCATGGTTCAGGAACGCCCTTACTGGGATGTAACAATGGTTTCGGCCAACGCCTCGGGCCTAAGCCCTGGCCATGTGCTGGTTCGGGGGTCTCAGGCACACGCCATCGCCATTGGCCCACGCCGTTCCTGGTGTAAGCTTATTATGGAGATGCGGCGACTTTAAATGACCAGCTCCTTGCCCAATTGGTGGAAATATGGGAACAGAAAGGGAACTCACCCCAAATTCATCGATGACGGCCATCTCTCGAGAGCACGACGAAGCTCGGACGAAGACTGGCGGGATATACAGAGTGTTTTTTTAGAGTTATGACTCGATGTCAAAACTCGGTATCTGCGCCGTTTTTCCAGTTAAATAAGAGCGTTTGCAATGTTAACTCCAGAGCTTTTTGTAAGCTCAATAAGCCGTGGCTGTGGGCTCATTTCTCATTCAGGATTCATACAGGCCCACGATAATAACAACTCAGTACATGACAGCCTTTCATAGCGCATTTTAGGATATTTCCGACCTGTTCAGGATTCTCATGGTTACGCTGTATTCTGCTAGCGCTGCCAAAGGTTGCATTTGACTGGTGGGATGAAAGAGTGGCCATTACCAACTTCACTAGTCTTGGACGCCTGATCGCGACCGCTTACTAGTTTGCCAAGTCCCTAGATGACAAACAAGAATAGGCGATTATTTTTACCTTTACGGATAGATTCAGTCTGCAGAGTCCAAGACAATGCATGGGGCTACGGAGCAGCGCTGAGCAATGGACCGGATTCAAAGTGCGCAGCCCAATTGATGAGTAAATTGCAACAATAAGCGCCGTGATGGCGGCAGAGTTGGATCCCACCAACCAAGAGCATCCAAGTCGCAATTCGCATGTTGAAACTGTCTGTCCAAGTCCACGGCGCGGCCGTGGACAAGTAAGTTCCATTCAGGTGGTGACAGATGGGAACACCGTGAGTTTTGTTAAAAAAAAAACCCCCCGCCAACATCATTCTCCTCGATCCGTGGTATGACTCGGCATACATCACGCATTTGATTGCCAGATTGGTGTAACAAATCCAACATGACCGCGGAGTTGAATGAATGTCTGCTGCGCATTAAAGAACAAGCGCAGATCCAGCATATGTTTCCCACTTGTAAATATCAAAAAAGTATCCGAAAAATTTTCATTTTTAAGTTTATCAATAGTAGAAAATTACAATATGACTTTTTATTTTTCACTGTGCTCGGAGCTGTTATTCATGACTGACTTGGTCACCGCAACCAATACGCCACCAGTAGAACTGTTCCTAGCTCTGCCCCTCTACAGCTTCAAGCTCCACCAGGCAACAGCCAACCCAGTGTACCCCGCCAAAAGGTGAAGCTCCAACAACATCCATCCGTCGCTTGTTGCCCGCAATTGAAGTTGGCCACGCCCCTTCGGCATCATATTCCGGATTTCGCCAGCCATCAAGTCGCTGGCTTTTCCCGATGGCATCCTCCGACGCCCCTGTGGACGCGTCCACCCAACCAGCCACGCTGCTCGTCGAAGGTACACCCTCTTCGTGTCCTACCATCTGGCCTGCGCCTCTTGCTAACACATCCTGCTTGCAGAGATACCCAAATTCGACCTCGATCTCTACCTCCAAAACTATACCGGTTCGTCGCCCGATCGTCGCCCGATCGTCACGCGTACTCGCACTGTTCAAAACGACTAACGAAGAGCACCAGGACGAACCAGGTTCGATCGTCTACTATTAATAGGAAAGACTTGCCTGCCTCTGCGGCTCGATGCATTGAAGGGTGCAGTCGCGGAAGCAAAGAGCGGTAGAGATGTATCTCAGTACAAATTGGCATGGGACTCCGTCCGCAAGCTGGCTCCCAACGAGCCCGAGGCCATCAGAGATGAAGCTTGGATCGCAGCCACAGAGAAGTCCAACAAGGTTGAGACGCAGCGTCTCGAATCCCAGCTCAAGGGTTATAAAAACAATCTCATCAAAGAAAGCATAAGGGTACTGTTGCGAGGCATGTCCAGCCCATAAAGCAGGCGCCAGATGCTTACACGATCATATAGATGGGTAACGAAGACCTCGGTCGTCATCTCGAGGCTATAGGCAAACTCAACGAAGCCAGCGACGCTTATGGCCGCATGCGACAAGATGTGAGCTCCACAAGACAGATCCTCGAATGCTCGGTGCATCTGGTCAATGTATCGCTTTATCGCCGAGACTGGAACATGGTTCTCAGCAACCTTGGCAAAATCTCGGGCATGGGCACGGCCGAGGATGGGCAAGGAGTGCCGACATTTTTTCGTGTCATGTCAGGCATTGCTCACCTGAGCCTGGGTAACTATGCAGAGTCGGCCAAGTCCCTGCTAGCCGCCAATAACTCCGCTTCTCCAACTCATTACAGTCATGTCGCTACTCCCAACGATGTCGCCGTCTATGGTGGCCTGACGGCACTTGCCACCATGGATAGAACTGAGCTTCACCGTCTCGTGCTAGAAAACCAGACATTTCGAGCATTCCTGGAGCATGAACCGCACATCCGCAAAGCCTTGAGCTTGTTCGTCGGGGGCCGTTACTCCAGCTGCCTCTCCATTTTGGAGTCCTACCGCCCAGACTACCTTTTGGACATATACTTACACGAACATGTCAAAGAGCTCTACAGTCGTATACGCACAAAGTGTATCGTGCAATACTGTGTTCCTTTTTCGCGCATTACTTTAGATAGCCTCGAAGCGTCGTTCGGGCTGTCGGGAGGATCTATCGAGGATGAGCTCATCACAATGATTCGCAAAGACCATCTGAACGCACGCATCGACGCCAGAAACCAGGTAGGTTCATACTAGCATCGCTATTCGTATTGGGAAGTTACTAACAGATGAATGGTAGTTACTTCTTGCGGTTCAGCCAGATCCTCGTGCAGAAATGCAAGAAAATGCCTTGAAAATGGCGAAAAAATTTGAGAGCGAAGCCACCGAGCATCTGCGACGTGCGAGCATCATGTCCGCGGGGTTGGTGGTGGTGGGTAGCAGGAGTGAGCACTCTGGACCTCCAGAGGAATGGTTCGACGACCCGCGCCAAATGGCTGTTATGGAAGAAACAATGGCAGTCAAAATTAAGGAGGCACAGTAGAACCTTTTTTCGCGAGACACCATATCTTCCATAGACTCCCGGGGCGGAAAATAAGATGCTGGTGTTTGGCGCATTGTCTTGTTTAGGGGGCTTTAGCATTTCAGTCTCGGCAGGCTGGCAGACTGATGTATGACGAACAATTATTATGAATCAGCATGAAAATATTAATAGTAGCCAGCTTGATACCTATTTTCTCATATCTATCGCTGTCGAAATTTGCCAAGGGCAAGGGTATATCTTGTATGTTCGTGATGCGTAGTGTCGACGCAGCGTGAAGCTTCTTCCTCTTCTCTCTCCATTTCAGCTTTTCTCATTTTCATCTCGCCCGCGCGTCCCCTTCCCTACCCCATCAGCTGGCGCAGGTCCTCGGGCGGCCAGCGGACCTGCGCAAACGTCAGGCAGCGCTTGATGCTCTGCAGGAACTTGCGCGTGACCTCGTCGCCCATGACGTGGCCCTTCTCGCCGTCGTGCAGCTTCTCGCGCGCGCTGCGCTCGTGGATGCCGACCATGGTGACGCCGATCGGCCAGGCGGCCTTGCCGATGCTCAGCCGGAGGTAGCCGTCGTTGGCGTCCACGTAGCGGCGCTCCTGTAGCGCCTTGACGATCTCGACGACCGGCTCCAGCAGCGAGTCGTCCAGGTCGCCGGCCTCGAACCTCCGAAATAGCTGTGATATTTTCGTTAGACGGCGGGGAGGATATTGTAAGGGTTAAAAAAACATACAGGCTTCATGTTTTCGATGGTCTGTAGCATCGCGTTGTAGGCCGTCTTGCTGGCGCTTGTGTCGCGCCGCTCCTGCTCCATGGTGCGCTGGTACGTGCTGAGCACCATGGTGAAGTAGCTCGCGAGCTGCCGGTACAGCCACGCGCGCGCCTCGGCGTCCCGCGGCACGCCCGCGTCGACCTTCATGTCCTTCTCGTCCACCAGCCGCAGCGTCATCGGGATCGGCCCGTCCGTCAGCACAGTGCTCGCCTTGCGGTACCGCCGCAGCCGGCCGGCGTGCGTCTCGCCGAACAGCACCACCGGGTGGCCCAACTCACGCAGCTTCGCGAACAGCTCCTCGTCCGGGACGTCGTCGGCCGCCACCGCCTCGTCGCCGTCAGCGCCTTCGCCGGGCCGCTCCTGTTCTGGGAGGCCGAGCCGCCGCCGCCGGGCCTGCTCCTCTTCCCAGTCTTGCTCCTCGCGCCGCCGCCGCGACTCCTCGGCCAGCTTGCGGCGCTTCTCGTCGCGCGCCTCGCGCTCGGTCGCCGTGTCTTCCTCGAGCTTGCGCTTCGCGGCGGCCTTGGCTGCGCGCTCCTGCTCCAGGGCGACCTGCTCTGCTAAGTATTCCCTCTTCCGCTCGGCTTCGACTTCGGATCGCTTGAGGAATTGCTTTTTGCTATCCATACTGCTGTCGCTCGCGGTCTTCTTGCCCTTGGACAGCTCCTTGCCCATCAAGGCTGCAAAATCCATGGTTGCCTAGAGTTGCGCTGCTTTGCGCGGGGTTGTGCGCGGGCGCAATTATTGTTCTTCTTTTGTTCCTGAAAGTGTATCGTTCGTCGGCGACGGGCTCTATTTTTGTATTATGTCGGATGAGGCGCAGGTTTGTCAATGTTGAATGGGTTCGAGGTCGCGATCGAAAAGCTATCGATTGCGGGTATTTGCCGGGTAATTGCACAGCGACTAAACGTGAAGTCGTCGCTAACCATCATCTTCAGAAAACAAATACATGAACGACTCTCACTTAAATTCTATGAAGCAACTAATCTTTGAGTCACTTCTCTCATTTCTGACTCATATCATCTTCTCAAATGTCCGACACGGTCGAATCCCAGCCTGAGCCGCCTTTTCTAGTTCGCCTCTTCTACAACGCTGGCTCGTTGATACAGTCAGCCTAGCCTCACTGCTCTTGCTTACAAACGACTAACATATGCAATTTAGCCCGGAAAGTTTTGCTAATTCAGACTCCCTCACATCCGTCAATGTCTACACTTGGCCATCATGTACTCTTCAAGAATTGGTGTATGAGCTAGCAGATGCTCGCCCAAATCCTCTCCCCTCTCCATCAATCGGCACAAGAGTGGTATTCCAGCTCGTATATCCTGATTTAAAAAGTGCCAGCTCCATCGGCGGCCAGAAAGCCAAATTCGCTGTGAAGGATCTCGGCAGTCTCGTCGTTGGTGCTGGTGACCCTGGTGCGGAGGTCGACGAGCATCTCGATAACAGCGAGAGAGGTCGTAGGGGCTCTACATGGACACTACAAGACGCGCATTTCGCGGCTGGGGACTACATTTCGTGCGCGATACTACCACCATTAATTGATGGGTCTGTTGCACCTGCATACGATGCCACAAGGTTTCAACAGCCTCCGAGGCAAGCCGTCCCGGGTCAGCCCGCGGCTTTTGGCAACCGTCAAAACAATCATAATCAGAACCGAGGTGGGTATGAAAACGCGGCCCCGCGATTTCCACGAGGCGATTGGAGGGCGAACAACCGGGGGCAGCTGCCTGGCCGTGCGAGGGCTCGCGGGCGTGGCAGAGGCCATTGGTAACCCAATTGCTCCTCGAATTGTTCAAAATATAAACGGCGGTGTCTTATGCTCGGGGCATTCAATTATATCCCCAGTCGTATTCACTGTTCGCGTTGGTGGATTTTGGTGGTCGGCAAATAAATGTATTGCAGGATGGAACGATATATGTACACGGATTTCTGCTGATCCACGGGCCTTCTTCTCTTGTCTTATTTCTCGTACGCGGTATCGCCTTTTCTCTTCGCTCGTAGATCCCAGAGGCCCTAAAGGTACATTAGACATGATCCTTATCCAATCCAGTTTTCCACTCACGTCTGTCTTGTAGGCAATGTAGCCCATAATGGCGGGGACGACCGCGACGTACATCAACGTGATACGAGCGTTTCTTGGTGTCCAGCGGAAGTACTGCACGCGGTTCTTCTGCATCGCTATTCCCTGCAGGTTAGCAAAGCTCGGCGGCTCGAGGTTCGGGGACGAAGAGTCGTGATGTACCCTGCAGCTTAAGGTAGGCCGGGTCCGGCTTGACGTCTGGTGCGCAGTCTTTAGTTTTAATCAATTGATTCCATTCGGCCGTAACTCACTGAGGTGCGCCATCTTGACAAGTGTGCAGGTGGGTTGAGTCGTAATGATCGAGATGTCAGAGCTGGCCCCGACAATCTTCCAGCGACGCTGGTTGATCTAGCGCATTACATAAGGTAGTTTCAGCCGCTGCGATTGGTTGGCCACCAGCTTTGCTTAATTACCCTACAGTGCTCGACAAGTTTCGGCGAGTATGAGTATCGCGCGGTCAAAAAGCTACTTTGACGATTTGGATCACTGATTGTGGTTTTTCGGGGCTGCTTCCTACAATCTTGGTCTAGATCTATATGTATGATGTTAGGAAATGCAGCCGTTGCATACCCAGCAACAAAGTCAAAAGCCCACCTTGTACCTGCGTACACACCTAGGTACTTGACTTCACTTTGGTACTAGTTATCACGACGCTTCTGGCGCCATGTGCTTTCTCGTTAACCAACACTTACAGCAAGAGGCAAAAAGTAATTTGAAGCCATAATAATAACCAAACATACCTACTCTTTCGTTTTCATACGAATTCCACCACCAGTGCCCACAAACGGCGCAATCGGAAATTTGATATCACGTGACGCAGTTCCAGTGGTGGCAAGCTAGCGCGCTGCTTGTCCCTGGTAGTCCGAAAATTACCATCTGCAAAGGGCGATCCAGCCAAGATAATTTTATCAACACCACGTTTGGTCGTTGCCGTACGCCGCTGTGAAAACGGCAATTCCTCTATCAGGGGAAGACCATTGCACGATTTCAATCAGTACTTTGCATCTCAACTTGTTGAGATCCAAGTGCTTTTGCGCGTCGTGACACGCGCGCGTGGCGTGAAGCCATATACTAGGCAGAACCTCGAATACCGACCATCACGACTGGTCGTCAAGCCTCAGAATGTCGCATCCGCCGCCGCCGCCGCCACCGGGTTGGGGTCCTCCCCCTCCCCCGCCACCGCCGCCGTCATCGTTGCCACCTCCTCCGTCGGGACCGGCCCCTGCGGCGCCCCCTCCGCCAGGTTTCCAACCGAGCGACCCTCACATCGCAAAGTTTGCGCAGAAGAAGCAGGAATGGCTTCGGCATCAGCGCAACCGATTTGGGGAGAAGCGCAAGGGTGGCTTTGTCGAGACACAAAAGGCAGACATGCCCCCTGAGCATCTGCGCAAGATTGTTCGTGACATTGGCGACGTCTCGCAGCGAAGATACACGAACGACAAGCGCAGCTACCTTGGCGCCCTTAAGTTCATGCCGCATGCTGTCCTGAAGCTTCTTGAGAACATGCCCATGCCCTGGGAGTCTGCTCGCGAGGTCAAGGTCCTGTATCACGTCAATGGCTGCCTGACTCTCGTGAATGAGATCCCTCGCGTTATCGAACCCGTCTTCTTTGCGCAGTGGGCGATGATGTGGACCTTCATGCGAAAGGAGAAGGCTGACCGAAGACTGTTCAAGCGCATGCGCTTTCCGCCTTTCGATGATGAAGAACCGCCGCTGTCATGGTCCGAAAACATCGAAGACGTCGAGCCTCTCGAGCCGATTCAGATGGAGCTGAACGAGGAAGAAGACGAAGCTATCTACGAATGGTTTTACGACCACCGTCCACTGCTCGACACATCGCACGTCAATGGACCTAGCTACAAGTCGTGGAACATGACACTACCTCAAATGGCTGCGCTCTTCCGACTTAGCAGACCCCTTATCTCCGACGTCATTGACAAGAACTACTTCTACCTCTTCGATCTTAAGAGTCTACTGACTGCTAAGGCTCTCAATGTCGCTCTCCCTGGTGGCCCGCGATTCGAACCTCTGTATAAAGACGTCGACCCCAACGAGGAAGATTTTGGCGAGTTCAACGCAATTGATCGCATTATCTTCAGAAACCCCATTCGTACCGAATTTCGCGTCGCATACCCGTTCCTATACAATTCGCTCCCACGAAGTGTACATATGTCTTGGCACTCGCAGCCCCAGATTGTCTACAATCGCGCCGATGACCCTGACCTGCCAACTTTTCATTTTGACCGTCGCATTAATCCGATCTCATCCCGCACTGTTGCACCCAAGAATGTCGAAGTCTCTCTCGAAGACGAACTGTTCGGCCCCGGAAACAACGAAGAAGACGAAGAGGATGGTTTCACGCTACCAGCTGGCGTTGAACCGTTTCTCGCTGACGAGGAGCTCGATAACGAACACACTTCATCAGCTATTGAGCTCTGGTGGGCCCCGTTCCCCTTCGACAGACGTTCAGGGCGCATGGTCAGAGCGCAAGATGTGCCTCTTATCAAGCAGTGGTACCTGGAGCACCCTCCTTCTGAGCGACCGCCTGTGAAGGTCCGCGTCTCGTACCAGAAGTTACTCAAGAACTATGTTCTCAATGAGCTGCACAAGAAGAAGCCCAAGGCGCACAACAACCAGAATCTATTGCGTTCGCTGAAGCAGACCAAGTTCTTCCAGCAGACGACAATTGACTGGGTCGAAGCTGGTCTTCAAGTTTGTCGACAGGGTTTCAATATGTTGAACTTGTTGATTCACCGCAAGAACCTCACGTACTTGCATCTGGATTACAACTTCAACCTTAAGCCTGTTAAAACTCTCACAACCAAGGAGCGAAAGAAGTCGCGATTCGGAAATGCCTTCCACTTGATGCGAGAAATTCTGAGATTGACAAAGCTCATTGTTGATGCCCAAGTTCAGTATCGACTTGGCAACATTGATGCCTTCCAGCTTGCTGACGGTATTCACTACGCATTCAACCACGTCGGCCAGCTGACTGGCATGTACCGATACAAATATAAGCTCATGCATCAAATCCGTACCTGCAAGGATCTGAAGCACTTGATATACTACCGCTTCAACTCTGGCCCTGTTGGAAAGGGCCCTGGTTGTGGTTTCTGGGCCCCATCATGGCGAGTGTGGCTCTTCTTCATGAGAGGCATTATACCTCTCCTCGAAAGATGGCTTGGTAACCTGTTATCGCGACAATTCGAAGGCCGACACAGCAAGGGAGTTGCCAAGACGGTCACCAAGCAACGAGTCGAGTCTCACTTTGATCTGGAGCTCCGTGCCTCCGTCATGTCCGACTTGATGGATATGATGCCTGAAGGTATCAAACAAAGCAAGGTCAACACAGTACTGCAGCACCTGTCCGAGGCTTGGAGATGTTGGAAGAGTAACATTCCCTGGAAGGTTCCTGGTCTTCCTGCGCCTATCGAGAATATTATTCTCAGATATGTCAAGGCGAAGGCTGACTGGTGGATCTCCGTTACGCACTACAACCGTGAGCGTATTCGACGGGGTGCGACTGTGGACAAGACAGTGGCGAAGAAGAATGTCGGCCGTCTGACTCGTCTGTGGCTCAAGGCCGAACAGGAGAGACAGCATAACCACATGAAGGATGGCCCGTACGTTTCTTCCGAGGAAGCCGTTGCCATTTACACAACGACAGTTCACTGGCTGGAATCGAGAAAATTCTCCCCAATCCCATTCCCTAGCGTTTCTTACAAGCACGACACGAAAATCCTCATTCTTGCTCTAGAGCGTCTCAGAGAGGCGTATTCCGTCAAGGGTCGGTTGAACCAAAGCCAACGCGAAGAGCTTGCATTGATCGAGCAAGCATATGATAGCCCTGGTACTACTTTGGAGCGCATCAAGCGATTCCTTCTTACTCAGCGCGCTTTCAAGGAGGTTAACATTGATATGAACGATAACTACAGCACTATCAACCCGGTCTACGACATTGAGCCCATCGAGAAGATCAGTGATGCCTATCTTGACCAGTACCTCTGGTATCAAGCCGACCAAAGACATCTCTTCCCGGCCTGGATCAAGCCCTCTGACTCCGAGGTGCCTCCTCTCCTGGTCTACAAGTGGGCTCAGGGTATCAACAACCTGAGCGGCGTGTGGGAGACTGAGAACGGAGAATGTAACGTCATGATTGAGACGGAGTTGTCTAAAGTCTACGAAAAGATGGAACTTACAATGCTCAACTCTCTCCTGCGTCTCATTATGGACCACAACCTGGCCGACTATATTACATCCAAGAACAACGTTCAGCTGACATACAAGGACATGAATCACGTCAACAGCTACGGTTTGATTCGTGGTCTGCAGTTCTCTGCATTTGTCTTCCAATATTACGGTCTTCTTCTTGATCTGTTATTGCTTGGTCCTCAACGTGCGAGTGAAATCGCTGGACCGCCTCAGAGCCCGAACGATTTCTTGCAGTTCCGCGACCGCGAGACAGAAACGAGGCACCCCATTCGTCTATACAGCAGATACATTGATAAAATTTGGGTCTTTCTGCGATTCACAGCCGAAGAGTCGCGAGATCTCATCCAGCGCTTCTTAACGGAGCAGCCTGACCCAAACTTCGAGAATGTCATTGGCTACAAGAGCAAGAAGTGTTGGCCTCGTGACTCGCGCATGCGTCTGATGCGTCACGATGTCAATTTGGGCCGCGCCGTATTCTGGGATCTGAAAAACAGACTGCCTCGCAGTGTCACTACCATAGAATGGGATGACAGTTTCGCGAGTGTGTACAGCAGAGACAACCCCAACTTGTTATTCTCCATGAGCGGTTTCGAGGTTCGCATTCTGCCAAAAATCCGAAACAAGAACGACGAGTTTCCTGTCAAAGACAGCGTTTGGTCGCTTGTTGACAACACCACGAAGGAGCGAACAGCGCATGCTTTCTTGCAAGTGACGGAGGATGACATTGCCAAATTCAATAACAGAATTCGTCAAATTCTGATGTCTTCCGGATCTACAACCTTTACGAAGATTGCGAACAAGTGGAACACTGCTCTTATCGCACTTTTCACATACTACCGTGAGGCAGCTGTATCAACAGTCGAGTTGCTCGATACCATCGTCAAGTGCGAGACCAAGATCCAGACCCGTGTCAAGATTGGCCTCAACTCCAAGATGCCTTCCCGTTTCCCTCCTGCCGTCTTCTATACGCCCAAGGAGCTGGGTGGTCTTGGTATGATCTCCGGCTCTCACATCCTCATCCCCGCCAGTGACAAGCGCTGGTACAAGCAGACCGATACTGGAACCACTCACTTTAGGGCTGGTATGACGCATGACGAGGAGACGCTTATCCCCAATATCTTCCGATACATCATTCCTTGGGAGGCTGAGTTCATCGATTCTCAGCGTGTCTGGACCGAATACTCCCAGAAGCGTCTCGAGGCCAATCAGCAGAATCGCCGCCTTACTCTAGAAGATCTCGAGGACAGCTGGGATCGTGGTCTGCCTCGAATCAATACCCTCTTCCAGAAGGACCGCAGCACCCTAAGTTTCGATAAGGGATTCCGTGCCCGTGCCGAGTTCAAAATCTACCAGCTGATGAAGAGCAACCCTTTCTGGTGGACCAGCCAGCGTCACGACGGAAAGCTGTGGAACTTGAATGCCTACCGAACTGATGTGATTCAGGCACTTGGTGGTGTTGAGACTATCCTGGAGCATACCCTCTTCAAAGCTACCGGATTCGCATCCTGGGAAGGTCTCTTCTGGGAGAAGGCATGCCTGGCCAATGGGACCATGCTTCTGCGATATGACCATACTCAGGTTGCGGTTGAAGATGTCAAGGAGGGTGATCTGCTTCTTGGACCTGACGGAGGGCCTCGACGCGCATTCAATGTTGTGAATGGCAAAGACCGACTATACCGAATTCAGATTGAAGGTCAAAAAGAAGACCTTGTGGTCACTACCAACCATATCCTTGTCTTCCACAAGGAGACAGCGACAGCCAGCTATGACACCCACGAGATCACCGCTGCCGAATACGCCGCACTGGAGCCTGCAGAGAGAGCCAAGTACCTCGTGTTCTCAGCACCACGCACGACAGCTACGGAGGGCACCATCCCACAGGCGGAAAGATTTGTCGTCAGTAGCATTGTCCTGGAAGCAGACCCGATGGAATGGGCTGGATTCCGCGTTGATGGAGATCAGCTCTACCTGCGCCACGATTATCTCGTGCTTCACAACAGTGGTTTCGAAGAGTCGATGAAATTCAAGAAACTGACCAACGCCCAGCGATCCGGTCTTAACCAAATCCCCAACCGTCGTTTTACCCTGTGGTGGTCGCCGACTATCAACAGAGCCAACGTCTACGTCGGTTTTCAGGTCCAGCTTGACTTAACTGGCATCTTCCTTCACGGCAAAATTCCAACACTGAAGATCTCTCTGATTCAGATTTTCCGTGCGCATTTGTGGCAAAAGATCCACGAGTCGGTTGTTATGGATATGTGCCAGGTCTTTGATCAGGAACTGGAAGCTCTAGGCATTGAAACTGTCCAGAAGGAGACTATTCATCCCAGAAAGTCTTATAAGATGAACAGCTCATGCGCTGACATTTTGCTCTTTGCAAGTCACAAGTGGAATGTTACTCGCCCATCACATCTCAATGATACAAAGGATGTGATTGAGCCGACTACGACGAACAAGTTTTGGATTGATATCCAGCTTCGCTATGGTGATTATGACTCCCACGACATCGACCGTTACACGAGGGCGAAGTACCTTGATTACACAACAGACAGTGCCAGTATCTACCCGTCTGCTACTGGGTTGATGATTGGTATTGATTTGGCATACAACATGTACTCGGCGTACGGAATGTTCTTCCCTGGTCTCAAGGTCCTTGTCCAGCAAGCCATGGCCAAGGTCATGAAGGCGAATCCCGCTCTCTACGTCTTGCGAGAGCGTATTCGCAAGGGTCTCCAGCTGTACGCTTCCGAGAGTAACCAAGAGTTTCTCAACTCTCAGAACTATTCTGAGCTCTTCAGTCAGAAAACGCAACTGTTCATTGATGATACCAACGTCTATCGTGTTACCATCCACAAGACGTTTGAGGGCAACTTGACTACCAAGCCTATCAATGGTGCCATTTTCATCTTTAACCCTCGCACTGGCCAACTGTTCTTGAAGATTATCCACACCAGCGTCTGGGCTGGACAGAAGCGTCTTGGACAACTTGCCAAGTGGAAGACTGCCGAAGAAGTTGCGGCGCTCATCCGATCACTGCCTGTTGAAGAGCAGCCGAAGCAGCTCATTGTCACCCGAAAGGGTCTTCTCGATCCTCTCGAAGTGCAATTGGTTGATTTCCCTAACATTTCCATTCGTGCCTCTGAGTTGCAGCTTCCTTTCCAGGCTGCGATGAAGGTCGAAAAACTTGGTGACATGATCCTGCGTGCTACCGAGCCTCAGATGGTTCTCTTCAATCTGTACGATGAATGGCTGAAGAGCATATCATCATACACTGCATTCTCTCGTCTTGTCCTCATTCTCCGTGCTCTGCATGTCAACCCTGACAAGACGAAGCTCATCCTGCGTCCTGACAAGACAATTATCACACTGGAGCATCACATTTGGCCATCGCTGACGGACGAGGAGTGGATCAAGGTTGAGACACAACTACGTGACCTCATTCTAAACGATTACGGCAAAAAGAACAACGTCAACGTGTCTAGTCTGACAACCAGCGAAGTACGAGATATTATTCTAGGCATGGAGATTTCTGCACCTTCTATGCAGAGACAACAGGCTGCCGAGATTGAGAAGCAGCAGCAGGAGCAGGCTCAGCTCACTGCTGTTACGACCAAGACGCAGAACATCCACGGAGAGGATCTCATTGTTACGACCACGTCACAATTTGAGCAGCAGACCTTTGCCTCCAAGACTGAGTGGCGCACACGTGCTATTGCGACGTCGAACCTGCGCACGCGTGCCAAGAACGTTTACGTGTCTCCCATAGACAATGACCTCGACGATGTCACGTACGTTATGCCGAACAATATCCTGAAGAAGTTCATCACGATTGCGGATCTGCGCGTGCAGGTCGCTGGTTTCCTGTACGGTTCTTCGCCAGCAGACAATGACAAGGTCAAGGAGATCAAGTGTATCGTCATGATGCCGCAGGTCGGCGGCCTCCGCAACGTGCAGTTGCCGCAACAGCTCCCGCAGAGCGACTTCCTCGAAGGCATGGAACCTCTCGGCGTCATCCATACCGCATCGGGCGGCGAGCTGCCGTACATGTCGGCGGCGGACGTGACAGAACACTCGCGGCTCCTTGACGCGCATGCCGAGTGGGACAAGACCGGCACCGTCACCGTCACCGTCGCCTTCACGCCCGGCAGCGTGTCGCTGTCCGCCTGGGGCCTCACCCCCCAGGGCTACCAATGGGGCGTCGACAACCGCGACCTGCAGAGCGACCAGCCGCAGGGCTTCGCGACCACCATGGGCGAGCGCCGGAAGCTGCTGCTGAGCCCGCGCTTCCGCGGCTTCTTCCTCGTGCCCGACGACGGCCGCTGGAACTACAGCTTCATGGGCAGCGCGTTCGCCGGCATGGAGAAGAAGAGCGTGAGGGTCAAGCTGGACACGCCGTTGCCGTTCTACAGCGACCAGCACCGGCCGGTGCACTTTCACAGCTTTGCGGAGCTCGAGGACGTTAGCGTCGATCGCTCCGACAACTTCGCATAAGGGGAGAGAAGATTTGTATTACGAAGCAAAGGGAAGCGAATCTAATTTGGGAAATAAAAAAAGGAGGGTGGTGGGGATGTTGCCATGCAAGGAAGGTCGCAATCTTTGGCGTTGAAAGTTGAGAGGGACTCATTTATTATTACTATACTTTTTTTTTTTGAGTTGGCTGCATTTCTTTTCGCTTGACCCGTGGAGGAGCATGACAGTTTGTTATGCCATGAAATTCTGTAGTACTAGCTCTCTATTCGTCTATACGCATTGGGTTTAAAAATGATAAGAGAAGAACTCGCGGTAATTACTGCAATGCCATAGACCTTTTGTTCAAAGTGAATATGTCAAGGACCTCCCAAGATAGGAAAGAGGCCTAGTTAAGTCGCTGTGTCCTCTTCTTTTCTTAATCTTGTGGCATTACACGCAGTGTCTGTTGCATCATTGACACTGGCTCATGTGGGCGCATGAAGTAGCCGTGTCGTTGGAAATAGGCTCCGTTTCCGAGCGGGATTTCACGTTTATGGAATGAATTCATGACAATTTTAACTTGCGCAAAGATGCTGGCGCAAAGACGCGCAAAGGCTGCGGCTGACGACCTGTCCGCCGAGGCATTATACCCGTTGCGAGAGATCATCTTGGGAACGACACGCGGTGGCGCAGATGACATGGTGTCGCAGCAGGTTGCGTCTCGGCGAAGTAGTTCATCCAACAGAGAGTGAGGCAGGATTGCAGATGGTCGGGGGGGTAGCCTTGCATGCATTGTACGCCGTAATTTAATTTAGACAAGGACAACGATGGCGACACGGCGCTGTTGAGCGAGATGCCGGGAGCCCGAGGCGGAAGCAGTAGTATTTCGTGGCGCCGCTCCAAGAAAGAGAGTTGGGCGAGTTGGGGAACTTTGGGGCAGCCAAGTCAAATTGGACTATTTTATGCATTATGCACGTCCCGTGTGTTAATTATCCCACATCGCAAACGGTGGATGTGGCTTGCTATACACACCACCTGGCACCTGCGTAGGGGGCGGAAGGGAGCCGCAGGGTGGCTCGCAGATGGTAAGGGGGCGCTGTGCTGTGTACCAGTCGGTTGGGGGCGTGGTTCCAGGCACACAGGCCTATGTAGGTTGTACTGGTAAAAGTAACTAACAAGGTGAGCCGAGGCGAGCTCGCTCGAGAGAGAAAGAGGCCAGGTAAGCTTCAGTCTAGCTTCTGGCTAACAATTAAGCTCGTGCGTGATGAGCAGGCCCCGTGGTGGGGGACGATGACGACACAGTCGTTGCAACCGTGAGCGAACAGGGCGGTTGCATAACACGGGAGAATGATGAGGGATCGCACTGAAAGCGGCCGGCTTGTCACTTGAGACGGCGGCACCCACAATAAAGGCGGGTGGTGTCTTGTTTTCTTGGGAATTCGATTCGTGTCTTGGTCCGATATGCTGGTCGTCAGTCGGGTGCGTGCCAAGAGGCGTGGATATGGGGACCACCAGCAAAGCAAGCAAGCTTTTTTTTTGAGGGACGACGGGAATGGCGCTATAACTCTGGAGAGTGAGAGATTGACTCAGACATGGGCGCCACCAGGCGATTTTGACAGGTGCGCAGGGCTAATTTTAGTGCTGTAGACACTTTGACGGACAACCACCGGGGAGCGGAAATGACAAGGCGGGCGAAGTCGGGGGCCGTCGAACTGTGACCGTGCGGTGAGATGCGTGAGCTTGACTATCAATGATTCTTCATATCTTGTCCATCTTGCGGAATACGCCGCATTGGAGAGAGCACACTGGTAGCCGGGGCTAGCCGCAGTATGCAGGACAGGGACGCACGACGCACGACATTCCTGGATGGCTGCTGTTGGTATCACAGAAGGCATGTGTATGTTGGTACTCCGTACTTCGTACCTGGTAGGCTGATAGGCATTGACGGCAGTGCCAAAGGAAATAACGCGAGCTGGCGGATTACGAGAACCGGAGATGGCCGCAGAACCTTTTGTCGAAACCACCAAGGTGAGGGTGGGAACAAGTGACCCGTCGCAGGCAGGGCGAGGATGCCGGTAGAGAAGGAGGGGGGAGGAAGGAAATTAGAAGGACTGGGGCTATGGAGATATGGGCGTTGGATGAGGCGGTTTTGTGTTGACGGGAGGCTTACAGGGCTTTCCAGGATGGCAGCTCATAGGTACGTGCAAAAGGTAGCGAAGAGGGGTCCCCAGGAGGAGAAGGAGGAGGAGGCTGTACGAGATCATGACTGTTAACTGGTAGCCTCATTGATTGCCTGATTGCCTGATGGTTGACGGTGCCTGGGCGGCGGAGGCTGGGCGGAGGCTAGCCGGGCTAAGGCGGGTCAGCTTTACGAGTAAGGAAGGAGGGGCTTGTCCGCCGTTGGGCGCCCCTTCCCCTGTCAGTGCCTAGGCCAGGTACCCGTGCACCCAGTCAAGATAGAGAGGTACCTTCAACCGCGTAACGGAGTACATACCCGTCCATCCCTTACGTACCAACACAATGGGTACGAACAAACGGCGACTGACGGACCGGCGAATGCAAACGGGCACATATTCGTAGGCAGGCGGTGCTGGTAGGTAGTTGGATAGATAGTAGCAAACAGGCACAGATAGCCAAGAAACAGCAGAAGCCATTTTGCATCTTCCAAAACACCATCCTTTGAATCATCAACGTCGACGAAGCACCACGGCATCAATCACCAAGTATCGCCATCAGAACAATCATCACCATCTCATCATCACCGCTACCAGTACACACCACTACCACACACCACCACCATCCTCGCTCCTCGGCAATCAATAATGCTGTCCAACCGCCAAATAAATCCCACCCCATACCTGCTGCCTGCATGGGTAGGGTTCTTATTGGATAGCCTCTCGCTCAAATCAGCCCACTTTCCATACATCCATCCAACTTCCTGCACATGGTCATCGTGCACACCCTGGCCCTGGCCCATCTCCCACCGTCCGCCGACCCCCGACTCCATCGATGTAAGTATGTCTGGACATCAGCTGCACCGCCGCTAGTCTCGGCATTGTTCATTGCTCGATAACTTGCACTACACAAGTCAAGAGCCTGCACCAACACATGCTAACCTGCTTGCGCGTACCAGCCCGCCAGCATTGCTCTCATTCATCAACAGCCCTCTTGGCTTCCAGTTAAACTACCTAGTTATGCTGCGACACCCCCCGCTGGTTTCGATCCCCCACAACGGAGCCTGCCTCTGTGCTGCCCATTGGACTGATCCCGAGTCGCTACCGTCTCAGTCCTGCCCGCATGGATTCGCAGTCGTCACCTGTACCATCACCGCCTGCCAAGGAGCGCATCGTCTTCATTTCACGACACGAATTCGTGTCGTCTTGCTGCCCGTTGGCTTGCGCCCGCCCTCTTTTGCATAGTTTTCGCGGCGCCTTCATCTCATTCTTGCGCGTGCCAAAGAAAAGCACCAGCCACGGTCAAGGTTCAAGGGCCTTCCTTGAACGTCCAATTGAAGACTCTGGTCGGTCCAGATCCACGCCTGGTTTGGGCTACATCTCCGGCCCTTTTTTCCATAACTCATCGAGTTATACGCCGCCCTTGGTATCCTAAGGTGCACAGACATCGGACATGGCTCGCTCTAGTTACCGGTTCTGGGTTCATGAGCCCCCAATCCATCCTTTGGCACCCCCAGCGCCATTCGGTCTGATCTTTTAGCAGACAGCCTACCAATGGCTTGTGACAGTTCATCCCGCATATTTCCACTCTAGCCACTCAAAAGAGAGCCTAAGGAATACTGGTAAAGTAAGGCACACCACACAGACACCAGCGCACCACCATTTGCACACGCGGGTCAACCTGAGCACTCAAACCATTCTGACACTGCATCCAACTACGGGGCTCTGCTGTGCGCAACTCCATACCTGCTCGTGACTGTGACAAGTCCCGCTGGGTTCCGCTCACTTTCGTCGTTGGTCCTCTCACAATAAGAGTGGTTATTTTCCTTCTGGCTCGACCACGCGCAGGACCACTTCAGACTTGCTGTGCGTGACTTGTGGTCTGCCAGTGGCTCTTTTGTCTCAATGACAAGGAGCCAGCCCACCTCGCGCCTCCCGACACCCTCGACAATAATTATTTGGTGTGCATGCAATATAGCCACCCCCTCAGAAAATCTTTCCCGACCCCTGTCACTGCTGCAAGTGTCCACCAACTGACATCTGTTACTTGCAGTTTTTCCTGGCAGCTTTTCTCAGAACCAATCAATGCTGCTCTGGCCAGGCGCGGCTTGCATTTGGGCTGGCCTTGCAAAGCTGCCAGCTCCATAACTACCTGCCGCCGTATGGTCAATTGGCACTGGGCCGAAGCATCAACCCAGCATGCCCACTAACAACATGCTGCACTTAAGAACTTTCTGCGAGTCGAGATGACTGGCCGTTGCAGAATGCCTAGGAGCATACCGACCGCCTCCCTCTCGCTTTGGTGGATAAGCTCGCCTTCCAGTCAGTTGCCTACTAACCATACAATGCAATCATCGCGAATTCCTCCATTGCCTGCAAAGCATCGCAATGCGTCTGCTCGCACATGCTTACGACCTCTTGTTATCGGGCCCCTCCAACCCGGCTTTACGCATCTGTATAATGAGGCCGGCTGGTGGCCGGCGATACATGCGCCCATCTGCATACAGCCCCGGTTTCTCCCACTTACCTTCAACCATACCCTCCAAGTACCAAGGTTGCTGCTATATCACGTCTAGTGCTAATCGTGCCTCATATGGGGTCTCTGGGGGAGTCGTCTTGGACCTCCAAGTCTGCATCTGCTTCGTGGCTGCCCACTCATGCGCTAGCTGCATAACTTGGCCAAATTGTCCCAAAGTCTTCGGCACCAACCTCCGTCAACAGGGCACACCCGTCTCTGAGGGTCGGAATGGGGCCGTAGAATCTGTGCATCTAGTCAAGGAAAGCCATCGACTGGCTCCCATGCCCACGGGGCCTGGCAATTAGCAACGCACTTCCAAGATTTTGAGACTTGAGAGACTCAGAACATACACCTCGCCACACACCTCGAGGATCCTCCTCACGCCTCGGCATCAACTCTGTATAATGAGCTTCCCCCATTAATATTCATGCCTGGAAACTCCACAGAGGCGAAGGCTCGAGTCGTTTATATATCATCCCTGTGACGACACTATAAACGTCAGATCTTATGTGCTTCATTCATTACGAGACCTGGCCGCGGTGAATACATCAACCACCACGCTAATACACAGCCATCGTGACAGCTTATTTCGAGCATTCATGCCTTCGAAGCTAGAAGCTTACCATTGTGGCTTATTGGCTTGACTTGGACAAGAAAGAACCTTCAACACAACACAGGTTAGCAGCCTTGGCGCGAATCGACACTTTGCCTATTCCCAATTCCCATCTTTTCGAGACGACGGCGAAACACGCCCCTGCTCCGCGCCTCGCCGCACACCACCTCTCGGTGCCCAGCCTGCGCAATCTGCTGTGAAGCGGCCAACAACAGCTCTCCAGCTGTGATTATCCATCGGGAATTTATAGTTTCGGATTTCACAGAAGACGGACATCACGACGGCGCGCTGTTCGCTAGACTTCTAGCTAAGTCGGCGCTTCTGCCAGCCCTGCTCCCCTCGCCGCGGCTGCATTGCCGTCATCACTCAGGTTATTAACAACCACTCCCCCATCGACCCTTGCCCGATACCCACCGCCAGCAAGGCAGGCCAAGGGTAACTGGGTCGCTTTTTCTTTTCCCTCTTCCCTTCCTCTGCTCCAGTCGAGAAAGACATTTGGTCTGCTGGCTTTCTCTTCTTCTTCAACTTTGCATTATTCTTCTTCCACTGTCTATATCAAGCCGCTCCCCTCTTCCCTTCCTTACAAGTCGCCCATCTCGGGGCGCCATATCGAACATTATTTCCATCTACAGACCGGCGACCGTTCAGAGCGGATCGCTCTGGAGGGATCCATGTATCAAGACCACGCTGGCGGACAACTATCGGAATACTTACAATGTGGACTACTCTGGTCAGCTCTCGCCTTCCGCTGATCAGAGGCAAGTCCACGCCACATATGACACGTCCGCCTTCTCCGATACGCAGCGGCAGCATGGCCAGGAACACCACCACCACCAGCAACAGCAGCAGCAGCAGCATTCCCACCCGTACCAGAGAGACGTCATAGCAGATTCTACTATTCCTCGAATCCAGTCAGACTCGACTCCAGACACTGCTGCCTCCCATCACCAGCAGGTTTTGGCGCAACCGCAACCGTCCCCTCACGGCTCGTCGCAGCTCCTCTTCAGTCCAGCCATGGGGTCACATCGTGGAGACCGAATGGGAAATCCATTCGGAGCACACGGATCTCTAATTAATCCTCTTTATCCGACTTTATCACCTTCCAACCCCCGACACTCCCCGTCATCGCCGCACCAAGGAAGTAGCTCGGGCAAGAGAGGGCGACCGGAAGACTTTGATCTGACCTCTGCGGGCATGCAAGAGCTTCAGCACACCGGTCTTGCCGGCATGGTGACAACACCGATGGGGGGGAGCTATTCTTCTGGTAGTGGAATGGCTGGCACGCCACCGTTGCCCATGACGCATCACCACCACTTGCCAGATATGGGGCCGCCCTCCAAAATGATGCGAAGAGACGAGTCGGGGCAACTATCGGCTGCCAGCATGGTTGGACAAGAAGGCATGCCGATGCCAGCACCACGGCCACGAGGCCCGAAGCTCAAATTTACCGCAGAGGACGATCAGTTGCTGATCTTGCTCAAGGAGCAAAAGAATCTAACATGGAAGCAAATTGCCGACTTCTTCCCCGGCCGCTCCTCGGGAACTCTACAAGTACGGTATTGCACCAAGCTCAAGGCCAAAACGACTCTCTGGACGGATGATATGGTATGTTCTTTGCTACGGTAGTCTCCAACCGCTTGGTGTAAGTGTCTAATGGATCGGAAACAGGACCAAAAGCTTCGCAACGCGCTACAAGACTACGAAAACGAGAAATGGAGAATCATTGCTCACAAAGTCGGAACGGGGTTTACGCCCGCAGCGTGTCGCGAGAGAGCGGCCCAAATTGGCATCGGGGACGAGGAGTACCAGCCGCCCATGTCACCCGAGCCTGGCCCTTCCGAGAGCAGCATTGTCATGTACCCTGGTGAAAGCCGACACTTACCATTCCCAGAGAAGCATCACTCGGGAATGCAGGATCAATAACAGAATTTGCGACCAAGGGCTAGGAATGCAACTCGATAACTGGAAGACAAGAACCGCCTCGCAACACTGACAGACACGCCTACCTCGCTTTCTTTCTATCTTCTCGACTCTCCTTTTTCTCTTATTTTGATGCTCTATATATTACATCTGTGCTATGGGGTTGTCTGCATGGTTTGCGCTCTGTGCCTTGTCTGTATCGTCTGCGTTGCCTGTTCTCGTTTTCCTTTTATCGCCTTGTTAACGACCATGTGCATGGTACGTGGGTATGAGTTCAGGCGCCGAGCTGTTGCTTTCTTTTTTCGGAACCATACAATGGTCGGCAAACGGGAATACGACGGTTTGCGCTGCCAAGGTTTTCATCTCATCTCGTCCAACCCCGTCTCCTGCTGGCCTTTTAGGTTTCAGCCGAGTGTTGGGATAGACGGAGAGGGGCGTGCCCTGGCAGGTTTTGTTCTGCAGCGTGTTTCGATTGAAACGGCAGACGAAGCACAAATGGAGGGGAGGAAAAGAGAAAACCATATTCATTACAAATGGGCTGTATTATTTTCTTACAAATACCCAGCAGCGGCGTTTTCATCTGCTTTACTGTTTTGGAAATTATCCACGGAGGGGAAGTTTTTATCAGATTTTTCAGAATTGGCCTTTTGGGTGGTGGCATTTCCCCCCAACTGTGCACAGAAAGAGACCGAAAAGGGAAGGCAAACGACAAGGGGGGATGTTATGAAGTCAAAGTATTTTTTTTTAACTCTTTTGCTTTTAAGAAATGTTTTTGCTCTATTTTCGTTAGCTTGATACATGTCAAAGCCAATCTTGGCTACAACCGAAATGTGTCGACAAAGTGCTTGTCCATCTCTCTTGCATTTACTTGCGAAGGGTTCCCTTTCGGGCCTTGAACTTTTGAACTATATCAAACGCATGGTCTGGGTGCTGGTTCTTGGTTCCGGTGCCTGATCATGAAACGTAGCATGCCACGTGTAAAATGTCATGGATGTCGCCGTTGCCTTCGCGGACAAATGACGGCGCCGGCCGAGACGGGCTCGTGCTCGTTTGTTTTGTTTTGGATTGCTTCTTTAACTCTTTCATCCCTTCTTTTTGAAATCGGGTTTCGGCCCCTGCGCCCGAGTGGCCCATCTTGGGCGGAGGGCGTTACGAGAAGGCGCGGGCAAGTCGCATTTCACTACTCCAGCCGTTTGTGGACATACCACTAATCTACAGATGTATATGTAAGGATGATGGGCTATACCTACAAAGGCAAAAGGTGCGCCGCGAGCTGCTCTTCGGTCATGACCATGCGGCGCTCGACTAAGTCAATGACTTGGCGGTGGACCTCGACGTCGACGCCATCGCCGAGGTGCGCGGCCGCGTCGACGATCCAGCCATTGAAGTCGCGCACCTCGGTAGTGGGCTTGCCGGCCTCGACGTCCTGCAGCATGGAGCTCTTGTTGGCGCCGACGCGGCGGCCGGCGCGGTGCAGCATCTCCCGCAGGCGGGGCTGCGCGAAGCGCGCGGCGAGCTCCGCGCGCAGCGCCTTGGGCACGCGCCCGCGCGTGTCGGTCGCGAGGATCGGCGCGCTGCTGGCATCGGCGACGAGGCCCTGAAGGACACGGCTGGTCGCGGCCAGCATGCGGTCCATGACGCGCGCGGGAACCCCGCCCGGATCGGCGAAGAGCACGCCGGTCTTGCAGCGCAGGACAGCGGTCAGCGGGTTGATGCACGTGTTGACGACGAGCTTCTCGAGCTGCAGCGCCCAGACGTCGAGGCTGCTAAAGGCCGCGGCGGCGAGGACCGGGGTGTCGGTGATTTGGGCGGTGAGGTACGCGGCGCTTGGCGGCGGCGGCGGCGCGTCTGGCAGCGCCACGGGGCCGAGGTAGGCGTCGGCGGGCGCGGCGAAGACGCTGGAGAAGGGCGCGCCGGTGGCGTACAGTCCGTGGTTGGTGACGCAGAGGAGCGGGTGGAAGGCGTCGCCGGCGGGGAAGCGCACGGCCATGTAGGCGGCGCCGTGAGGCGGCCACAGCCGAGACACGCCGTTCTGGGCAAAGGCCACGGCGGTCTGGGCGCCGAGGTATCGGCGCATGCGGTCGACCTCGGGCAGCGCGGCCTGCGCCTTGGTGGTGACGAGGAGGTTGTGGATTTTGCCGCCGTCGGCGGCCTCGCGGATCGGCGCCGCGGCGGCGGCTGCTGCTGCTGTCTCAGACGGCGCTTCTTCCGTCCACCACTCCACGTCAAAGTCCTTGGAGGTGTGGACCTGGCCCTCGTGCGTGGTGATCTCGATGCCGTCGCTCGCGTGCCACTGCGTGAGGAGCTCCTTGCGGTGCACGACGAGCGTGATGGGCGGCGGGTCGGCCCGCGAGCGAATGTACAGGGCATACAGACGGCCGAGATTCCCGAGGCCGAGGATGTATAAACGGCGAGAGGCGTCGTCGGGGCCAGCTGGCCGCCGCGTAGATGAGGATGTTGTAGAGGGAGAGAGCCCCAGGGTGGCCGGTGTCCACGCGTATAGTTTCGGGGCGGGATTGTTGGCTGCGAGCAAGGAGGACAGCCATGGCGGCGGCGCAGCAGCCTGAGAGCCCATGCTTCGTCTCCTTGTTGCGATGCCGCTGCTGGCCGGGATAGGGGAGTGTGCGGAAGCGAGGCGATGGCAGCGGGAAGCCAAGGGTCGCGAGGCTGTCCCCCACATTTCAATATCGAGAGATGAATGAGATGTATCGGAGCCCCTTGGTAATCAGTGGCTGATGGTTCGATGTATGTAATTGTCAAGTTGATATAGTGACATGCGAGCTGCAAGGTATTGGCTCTGGCCCTTGCGGCCCTGGAAGCGGGTCAACTCAGCCCAGTCTGCTAAGAAGCAAGGCCGGTCTAAGGTGGCTTACTATGGTGCCGCAAAACGGGACATGCTTAGATGAATTTATATTGATTAACGGGTGGGCATATGATTTGCATAAGACTTGAAGCCATCGGCGTATTCTGACATGTATATTGTGTATATTGAAACCCGCCGTTAATATAAAATAAGCTGCATGGCGAGCTGAATGCCTGGCCAGCTGCTTCCGATCGGTGCTGGGCAGGGTGCACGTGCTGTGCCTACGTGGGACGGGGGGTGTTTTTTTTGGCATGGCTCTAACGTTACGTTTAAAAGTAATATAGTCAAAGCGTCTTTGATCAGAGAACAACTCTCCAAACACATTCTACTTATATAATTCCTATATGATGTATTAGAGAGCGTCTCTATAATGAACTTTTGGCTTGTAAAAGGCGTTCTTTGTATGGCGGCTAAAACAGGTACGTTAAGGCCGTCTCAGAAACCACGGCTGGTGGTGGAGAAGGCACTAACTGGCTGACTTTTTAGCGCCGTTTGCCCTCTATGTAAGCTGCACTAGGCTAGGCTGCCAGAGTTAAAAAGATTCACGATTTCTTTTGGCCTTGTCAATGACGTTTGCCGCTACTATCCCATCTTGATTTTCTCAGAGCCAGCGACTGATGACTGTTCATTCTATTATCGAGGTGCTTTGTGCTAATACAAATCCGCGAAAGGACTAAGACTGTGTTTCTGATCACTGTGCAACCTCGCTGTGCTACCCACCAGCTCCAGTACTGATTCACGGTGGCTGTTTGCCACTTTAGGCATCTTCGAAAGAGTTCGAAATCGCGCTTGACCATGTATCAAGGTTCATCATCGACTTTCCAGTATTCTGCTTGAATAGAGAAGAGTCCCTGGGCTCAACGGCCAGCAGCGTTACTCGATTCCTTGCGCCCAACCCTGACGTACCTGCCGCCACGGCGCGCAGTCATCACACAATCCCCTGCCCATCATGGACCATGAGGGAAACGAAACGGCTGAACATGCCCAACGCCGAAGTGACCTAGTCGAGCAGATGGTTGCTGCTGCCCGTGGCGAGGCTTGCGAAGCCGTCATCGAGCAAACCAGCCTTGCCGGCATGACCGAGGAGGACGCCCTCAAGAACCTGACCGGTACCGTTCGCGATCAGGATGATCTGGAGCGTGACATTACGCTCCAAGCGAATGCAGCCATCATGGAGCAGGAAGACAAAAAGGACAAGGCCCGGATCGAAAAGCTTGAGGCCTCGCGCCACCGACTCAAGCTGCAGCTGGACAAGGAAAAGAAGCGCCTCGAAAAAGCGGTCACCAACCCCTATCAAGCCAGCAACATCCGCAAGGAGATCGCCAAGGTTGAACAGCAAATCCTTCACCTCAATAATGATATTTTCGACTTCCAGTCGCGCATGAAGAAGCGTCACGAGCAAGATCCTCTTGAAGTTCCAAGCACCGCCAAGTCTGCCAGGTTACCGGGGGAGAGCCACCGCGACTTCCTCATTCGAACTGGCAAAATCACCCCATTTGCGCGCGTCGGAGGGCCCAGGCCTTCTGGTGTGCAAGGTCAACTCGCAGATGCAATTCTCGAGGCCGAAGAAGAGGCGGCAGCAGAGCAACTCGGCACCCCTGACGAAGAGCCTGCATCGCATCAGCTGTTACGTCGGCCCGGCTTCGAAGATGAGGCTTCCACGACGACAAGCAGCACTCCGGCGGCAACCAGCAGCGCCGTCGAATCTGAGTTTTCGCTGCGACCCCGTAAGAAGCAACGGCGTGAAAAGGCACCGAGTCCTTCAGAAGATTACGAGCCGGCAGCCTCGGACGCCTCCGAGTCTGCAGACTCGACAGTCTGGAGGCAAGGGAATGAAGAAGATTTAATTCGAGAGGAGCGTCGAAAGAATAAAGCCAAGGCTGCCGTCAAGGCACAGGAGCAGATTGATTTAACAAAGATCGACGATGGCGACGAGAAGCTGTACAAGCGCCGGCTGAACGATTGGGTAACGCGACGAAGCCGCGCCCGCCGTGCAAGGAGACAGGCCCAAGAGTCCGCAGATGCCGGAGCCGAAAGCGACCCCGATGAGGATGAATGGACAAAACCATCACCCGATCACCCAGACTGGAGCATAGACGATGGCCTAAAGTTGCCTGGAGATATCCACCCCTCATTATTTGGCTACCAAAAGACTGGCGTGCAGTGGCTAGCTGAGCTATACAAGCAGCGCGTGGGCGGCATTGTTGGCGACGAAATGGGCCTGGGCAAAACTGTCCAGCTGATTGCATTTGTGGCTTCCCTACACAGCAGCAGGAGGCTAAAGCGCCCTGTCATTGTCGTTGCTCCCGCGACGCTTCTCCGACAATGGGTCAGTGAATTTCACCGATGGTGGCCCCCGCTGCGTGTTTCTATTCTGCATTCCTCGGGCAGTGGCATGCTGAACCCCGCTGCTGAAGACGACTATGACTTGGATCACTTTCGCCCCATGGCTAGCAAGTCTTCAAATGCAGCACGACGCATCATTCGTGGCGTTGTCAGCAAGGGCCATGTACTTGTCACCACATACACAGGTCTTCAGACGTATGCTGAGGAACTGCTTCGGGTTGAGTGGGAGTATGCCGTCTTGGATGAGGGCCACAAGATTCGAAACCCAAATGCCGAAATTACAGTTACTTGTAAGGAATTAAGCACCCCAAATCGTGTCATTCTCTCCGGAACTCCCGTCCAAAACAACTTGACCGAACTTTGGTCGCTCTTCGACTTTATCTATCCCATGCGGCTGGGAACTCTCGTCAACTTTCGCGCCCAATTCGAGATCCCAATCCGTCAGGGAGGATATGCCAATGCTTCAAATCTCCAAGTCATGACTGCGGAGAAGTGTGCTGAAGCGCTGAAGGAAACAATCAGCGAATACCTTTTACAGCGACTCAAGGTCGACGTTGCCGCAGACCTTCCAGAAAAGACGGAGCAAGTTCTGTTTTGCAAGCTCACCGATGGCCAACGCAAGGCGTATGAGACTTTCCTTAACTCTGATGAGGTGTCTGCCATTCTTAGTCGGCGACGGCAGTCACTCTACGGAATTGATATTTTAAGAAAAATCTGCAACCATCCCGACTTGCTGGACAAAAGGCTTAGTAAAAAGGCTGGCTACGACTATGGCAGCCCAAGGCTGTCGACAAAGCTGCAGCTCACCAAAGACCTGCTTCAAAACGTCATGATTCCCAACGGCCACAAGACGCTGCTATTTTCTCAAGGAAAACTGATGTTGAACATCATTGAGAAATGTATGAAGGACTGCAGCATATCGTATCTGCGCATGGACGGAGAGACGCCGGTTGACCAGCGCCAACCAATGATTGATCGATTCAACAACGACCCGGATGTGCACGTATTTCTTATGACTACGCGCACGGGTGGTTTGGGAACCAATCTTACAGGTGCTGATCGCATCATCATATTCGATCCAGACTGGAATCCGTCAACGGATTTACAGGCACGAGAACGAGCCTGGCGACTCGGACAAAACAAACCGGTCAAAATTTACAGACTCATGACGGAGGGAACAATCGAAGAAAAGATTTATCACCGACAAATCTTCAAGCAGTTTATGACGAACAAAGTACTGAAAGATCCAAAACAACGCAGCTCGTATGACCTGTCTGACTTGTATGATCTTTTCACGTACAACCAAGGCCGAGATGCGGCTGCTCAGCGAAGTGAGGTCTTCAGGGGAGCAGAGGTTGACCTCGCAAATGGTGAAAGTGACGCGTCTGGTAAAACTGTCGCCCCTGATCGTGAGCAGCAAGAGTTGAAGCAGATGGATTTGGTGGCAGCAATGGAAGAATTCAAAGAAGACAAGGCCGCACAAGATGAGCGCCGTATGCTCGACGGCATTTTTGCTCGCTCTGTCAACAGCGCCTACGATCACGAGCAGATTGTCAACGGCCCTTCCAAGGCAAAGGCCGACATTGCAATTCTCCGGCACGAGGCAAACCAAGTAGCTAAGCAGGCCGCTGCACATCTGCGGCGAGCTGGCCAGGAAGCCCGCAGCATTCCCATCGGCACAGTAACGTGGACAGGTGAAGTTGGCCAGGGCGGCCGACCCGGAGGGAGCCGTCGCCGCGCGGGTCCCAGCTCGGCCGGGATCCTCAGCAACCTAGCTGATCGCCAGGGCCTCGACAGCGGGACTGGGAGCGGCAGCTCGCGTGCCGGCACCCCCGACAAGAACCTCAAGGCAAAGGACTTCATGCTGATGATTAAACAATTCATCAACCGACACAATGGAAAGGTGCCGAGCAAGATGCTCGTGGATCACTTCAACCAGTTCTGCCCAGGGAAGAAGCAGAGCGATGAGTTTAAGACGGCGCTTGACACGATCGCCATGCTGAGCAAGACTGGTGGTGCTGGTAGAGGCATGTGGTCGCTGAAGCCTCAGTTCAAGTAATAAGATTTTATAGCATTTGGACTACCTAGGGTCGGGAAGCACATCTAGGATTTGGAGTTTCTAGCTTAGCGCATTCGGCATTTACACCATAGAACTTGCTTAATAATGTATATCATATCTTTCCCTCAACATCCACACTTTACGACGAGTATCTTGGGACTTCACATTCACGGGGCACAGATTTATAGCAGAAGTAACTTTGTCATCGGCCTTCTTCGGGCGAAATTTGTAACTATCTACGGAAGCACCGCCCGTCCCAGACAAGACAGGCGGAGCAACCAGGTAGGTTGGAGACCAGGCGATACATGCCGTTCTCCTCGTTTTCTCAACGCCACAGATGGAAACCAGTTAGACCAAGAGACTCCTGCGCCAAAATCCCAAGCCGAAAGGCCAAGTCTTTTGTGCTTTTGAAAGAAAGGGAAACAGAAAAAACCTTTTGTGTCGTGATTTCGTCCTCTTCGTTCCGGAGCATACAACTTGGGGAGGGGGTTTGTGCGCATCTAGAGACGACGACCACGGCGACCACCCTTTCTGCGGGTAGAGTCGGAGGGGGTAGGGGTGACGTCCTCGATGCGGCCAATCTTCATGCCGGCACGGGCGAGGGCGCGGAGGGCGGACTGGGCACCGGGGCCGGGGGTCTTGGTGGCGTTACCGCCGGTGGCGCGGATCTTGATGTGCAGGGCGTTGATGCCGAGCTCCTTGCAGCGGGCGGCGACGTCCTGGGCGGCCAACATGGCGGCGTAGGGGGAGGACTCATCACGGTCGGCCTTGACCTTCATGCCACCGGTGACACGGGTGATGGTTTCGCGACCACTGTAACCCCGCCAAACGTTAGTTCTCCGAGTTGCATTGCGTTCCTCTGTTGTCTGCGGCGCGATTGTTGAGGACGAACCTGAGATCAGTGATGTGCACGAAAGTATCGTTGAAGGAGGCGAAGATGCGGGCAACGCCAAAGACGAGCTCGCCTGTGCAAGGAAAAAAAACATGTTAGTTTATTGCCAACGACATGACGGACGAATGGTGAATCAATTTCGGAGCAGGGCGGTTCGTACCATCGCGGACGGAAGGGCCGAGGGAGATGTTCTCCTGGGGAGCGCGGGTGGTCTTCTTGGGGGCCATTTTGACTGGTTGTTCTGCTGTCGAGACTGGTGGGTTGAGAATGAGGGAATCGCCAAAATCGAGGAACCGAGCACCAAAAGCAGCGGGCAACACTTTGGTGGTCTGGCGGCGGCGCGACAAGCCCCAGCGGCGGCAAGCGGTGGGGTGTGGCAGAACTGAATTGTGTGGACAGCTTAGCCCTGACCCTAGGCGAGAAAAAAACGCGTTCCCTCGTTTTGGACTCTGTGTTTGCGAGTCTCCACCAAAAGTTTTTTGCGGTGTGAAAGAAAAAAAGGTGGAGATTTTTTGTGTGTGCGGTACCCTCCCCAGTGAAGAAAAGAACCCCCGAACCTCCAATCCACAGCTCTTCTTCTTCCTCTTCACTAACCGACCATCACAGCCAACCGTCGAAATGGGTGCCACGTATGTTAATCCCCTTGTGTTGAACCTGTGCGAAGCGATGAATGGATGAGAGAGAAACTTCAATGTTTCCGTCGACCCGGTTTCCGTTCGAATGAATTGCAGATTTTGTCGTGGTCCTCTTCGCTGGGCAAACCAGCTCAATTCGAGCAACGAATGACTCTCCTGAACTTACGGGGATGGATCGCATTCTTCTCGATTGAGGCTTTTGCCAGCTCGATTGTTTCTTTCCCGTGGCGCATTCCCCTCGTTTCTTCAGGCCTGAAATCATGGCTTGCGGATCTGAGAGATGCTGCCTGGGATGTTGGTGGAGAAGGAGACTTGTTTGATCAAGCATCTTCCCTCTTAAATTCATTGCTGCCGATTAGAGCATGGGCTTGAAGGAAGGACTGCTAAAAAGCGCCTTCTGAATCGAGATACCATTTGTTCTGTCGCAGTGTCTTCCTCTCGGACGTATGTCTGAGGTCTTGTCGGATGAATATCGAGCACATTGTCAAGGCACTCTGCCTCTGAACTTGTCATTTCACCGATCAAATTCAGTTTCGAGTCAGCCAAAGTCAGAATGTCGCACTCAAGCTACAGTTCTCGCACCGGCGCTCTCTGTTCCACGCCCTCGCACGGGGTGTGCTGGACTACGTACTAATCTCACCTGCTCACAGTACCGTTCCTACCAACGACCACGTCCTGGTCCCTGAGACCCTCCTCAAGAAGCGCAAGAGCCAGGAGAAGGCTCGCGCTGAGCGCACCTCCGCCCTTGAGAAGAGAAAGGCCGTAAGTGACATTTCTCCGTTCCCCTCTTCACAATTGCGGCACTCTATGTGATGCACAACATATCTTGTCAACTAGACATCTGTCGATGCTGTTGATAGTTAACCTTCTTTCGGGTCTGATACAATCGCCTGGCCTACCCATTTGCTTCTGCCAACGCCCCGATCGAGCTGGCATGCTAACATTGCATCCCTACAGTCCAACAAGGAGAAGCGGGGCGTCATCTTCAAGCGTGCTGAGAAGTACGTCAAGGAGTACCGCGATGCCGAGCGCGAGAAGATCCGTCTTCACCGCGCCGCCAAGAAGGACGACTCTGCCTACGTCCCCGCCGAGGCCAAGCTGATCTTCGTCGTGCGCATCAAGGGTATCAACAAGATTGCCCCCAAGCCCCGCAAGATCCTCCAGCTCCTCCGTCTGCTCCAGATCAACAACGGCGTCTTCATCCGCGTCACCAAGGCCACCACTGAGATGCTCAAGATTGTCGAGCCCTGGATCGCCTACGGCTACCCCAACCTCAAGTCCATCAAGGAGCTCATCTACAAGCGCGGATACGGCAAGATCAACAAGCAGCGCATCGCTTTGACCGACAACGCCATCATCGAGGAGAACCTCGGCAAGTACGGCATTGTCTGCATCGAGGATCTCGTCCACGAGATCTACTCGGTCGGCCCCAACTTCAAGCAGGTTGCCAACTTCCTGTGGCCCTTCAAGCTGTCCAACCCCACTGGCGGCTTCCGCGCCCGCAAGTTCAAGCACTACATTGAGGGCGGTGACCTTGGCAACCGTGAGGACGCCATCAACGGCCTCATCCGCCAGATGAACTAAGCTGGCAGTTTGCCAGACTAAAAAAGAAATGTATTGAAGGAACTTGGGCGGTACAAAAATGGTAGTGACTTTTTAGGCCTACTTTCATGGCATGGATGGTTCGGCGTTTGCTAGCACGACTTGGGCTTTTGTTTTGAGGAATAAATTTCCCCTTATGAATGGCACACCCGCTTCCCTGCACCTTGTGAATTACTTCGTGACGTATCTTGATACCCGTGAATGTCTTGTACCAACATCATCCTAATACGTGCACGCTATTAAGCTAGACTTATGTTGCTTTCATTCTTTGAGGCAAAGGCCTGCTATTTCGTTTTGTTGTAATGATTATGGTGTGTGTGCAGAGGTTATCATTATGAGTTACATTTATACTGAGCGGCGGTTGTCCATCCTGTGCCCTCCCGCCTGGAGACCTTCCTTACATCTTTATGTCAAAGCTCGTCCCACAGCCGCAGCTGCTCGTGGCCAGCGGGTTGTCCACAATCTTGAACTGTGAGCCGATAAGCTCCATTGTGAAGTCCACCTTGCTGCCCTTGAGCAGGTCGAGCGAGGGCTCGTCGAGTATGATGCGGGCACAGTCGTACTTGTCACCGACGGTCGGGTCCTCGCCGACGTATTGGAAGATGGAATCGTCCTCGGCGACAGCGGCGGCAGAATCGGCAGCCTCCGGCGGGGGTATCGTGACGAGGCTCATCAGGTACTGGAAGCCGTGGCAGCCGCCGCTCTCGACCTGGATGCGCAGGGCGAGGTTTGGGTTCGCGTCCTTGGTCATGATTTCCGAAAGGCGCTGCAGACTCTCATGTCAGTATTCTTTTCTACCTATACACAGATGCTGGCGCTGACGACTCCCCAATGCTCAGCAGCGCTGCCTTGCCTAGCTGACGTACCTTTGCGGCCCGGGTGGTTATCTCCAGCTTCATGTCGTTGCCGTCGTCATCCTTGAGCGGGTTCTGCACGCAGACCGTCGCGCTCCGAGGCGCTGAGGAGGAGAAAGGTCGTCTTGCTAATGTCGGCGGCGACGCCGCGCTTCGTCTTGCGAGCGGCCGAGGTGTGCTGCGCGTCATCCGAGGTGGTGGCGAGGCCATGGCTGCGGCTGTTCGGGGCGCGAGGAATTCGAGGCAGCCAGTCGCAGCGGCGGTGGTATAGCGCCGCTTTGCGAGCTGGACGAAAACCCGCGCAGAGCAGGAGCTATGAGCACATCGTAAAGGTACCATTGTCGTTGTGTTGCGGGGAGGTGGCAAGCCGTGTTGTCAAGGAGGGCGAGGGTTATTAATACAGATATTTGGGCAAAGCCGATATAGCGAGGCTAGCATTGGCTGGGCGGTTTGTGGCTCCAGTGTGGTGGCTTGATAGCGGTTCTTGTAGCGCTCAAGCCACTAAGGAACGGCCACTGCGTGCTGTATTTTGGTGTCAAATGACACGAGAAAAAAGCTGCCGTACAGAGCAGATTAAAAAAGATTTTGTACCAAAAACTAATATTTCTCTGGAACTTTTCGCAGAGAGAGTTGTATTTCTCAAATTTCTTTCAAATACCGAGGCATCTCATGCATGTAATGGGCAATGTATATGCAACAGCCGCCGTCGTGACGAGGCAGAAAAAATCAGCTTGAGGGTGGCTGAGGTAATCAGGGTCGACACAGGACAAGTTTGTGTGTGACTCTTCCTCCCAAGACTCCTGCTGCCAGGCCAGGCCGCTGAGCCTGTCGCTAAGCCCCAAAGTGCGTGCCCCACCTGCCCACCAAAAATCATCAATTTTCACCCCGCGCGTCAGGGCGAGTCGAACAAAGCCGTGATCAACTCGAGACTTCCGCCGAGGCTTGACATTTCTATCGAACCTGCCAGCCCATCTCGCCCATCATGTCTCGATTCTTCCGCCGTGGAGGCGACGATAGCTCCAGCGACAGCTCCAGCGACGAGGAGGAGCTCTACTCGGATAACGAGCAGCAAGACTTCCAGGAGGACGGCTCGGACCAGGAGGACGACTCGGACTTCCCCACGGACAGCGACGAGGAGAGCAGCAGCGATGACGAGGCTCAAGGAAAAAACCGATTCTTGAAGGATGCCGACTCGGACAGCGACGACAGCGACGATGAGGCTCGCGCCAAGGTCCGCAGTGCAAAGACGAAGTTCACCGACGAACTCGAGGGCTCTATCAAGCAGATCGAGAACGGCGAGAAGAATGGCGACTGGACACTCATTTCAAATGGTGAGGCTTCTTTCCCGATTTTACTTCCGTAGCGCAGAGCGTCAAGAAGAGGGATATAGTTGTGCTAACTAATCTCGGCAGAGTTCGACAAGCTCACCCGCCAAATCTCCAAGTTGCCCGCCGCCAGCAAGACCCCCAAGCTTTATATCCGCATCCTTGCCGAGCTCGAGGACTTCATGAACGAATCTCTTGCCAAGCAAAAGGTCACGCCCAAGAAGATGAACGCTACACAAGCCCGTGCTCTCAACGCCGTCAAGCAAAAGATCAAGAAGACCAACAAGGAATATCAGACCCAGATCGACTTGTACCGCGAGGACAAGGACACCTTCATGGAGTCCGAGGCCGAGGAGGTCGAGGCCATCAAGGTCCCCAAGAAGGTCAAGGCTACCTTCGCTGACGAGGCTGCTCCTCAGGAGATTGACGACGAGGGCTTCGCCACCGTCGGCAAGGGCGGCCGCGCTCTCCAGTACACCCCCGAGAGCATCTTCAAGCACCTCCGCGGCATCATGGAGTCTCGCGGTAAGAAGAACACCGACAAGGCTGAGCAGATTACCGTCATGGAGAAGCTTCTGGAGATCGCCAACACCCCTTACCAGAAGATCCGCACTCTCCTGGCCCTCGTCTCTGCCCGCTTCGATCTTGGTTCTGGCACTGCTACTGCCATGCCCCTCGAGCACTGGAAGGCCGCCGAGAAGGAGCTCTCTTCCCTTCTCGAGCTTCTGAGCAAGGAGAAGGAATACATTGTGGTTGAGCACGCCGAGGAGTGGGATGACGACGAGAAGCCTCCTGCGCTGGCCGCCGGTGACAAGTACATCAAGGTCCCTGGCAGCATTGTCTCATATGTCGAGAGATTGGATGACGAGCTTACCCGCTCTCTCCAGAGCATCGACCCTCACACCCCCGAATACATTGAGCGCCTCCAGGACGAGAGCTCCCTCTACAACATCATCTTCCGCGGCATGCTCTATTACGAATACCTCCGCAAGGATACTGCCCTCGAAACTCCCCAGGATAGTGTAAACCGCATTGTCATGCGCAGACTAGAGCACGTCTACTTCAAGCCCTCTGCCGTCATCAAGACCTTTGAGGAGAACTGCTGGGCGGCCGCCGGCTCCAACGTCGAGTCGGTCATCACTTCGCGCAGCCAGTCCCAGGATGCTAGCAACCTGGTCAATGTGCTTTGCAACTACCTCTTCAGCAACGCCGACGGCATTATCCGTGCTCGTGCCATGCTGTGCCAGGTCTACTTCCTTGCTCTACACAACGAGTACTACAAGGCTCGCGACATGATGCTCATGTCGCATCTCCAAGAGAACATCCCAAGCTTTGATGTTCTCAGCCAGATCCTTTACAACCGCACACTCGTGCAGGTCGGCCTCTGCGCGTTCCGCAAGGGCCTTGTCTACGATGCCCAGAACACGCTCCAGGAGATCTGTGGCAGCGGCAGACAGAAGGAATTGCTTGCGCAGGGTGTTATGATTCAGCGATACAGCCAGGTCTCTCCCGAGCAGGAGCGCCTAGAGAAGCAGCGCCAGCTGCCTTTCCACATGCACATCAACCTGGAACTGCTCGAGTGCGTCTACCTCACCTGCAGCATGCTTCTGGAGATTCCCCTGCTTGCCCAGACTGGTTCTTCTCCTGACCTGAAGAAGCGCATCATCAGCAAAACCTACCGCCGCATGCTCGAGTACCACGAGCGTCAAATCTTCACTGGTCCTCCGGAGAACACTCGCGACCACGTCATGCAGGCGTCCAAGGCCCTTGCCGCTGGCGAGTGGAAGAAGGCTATCACCTTCATTCACAGCATCAAGATCTGGGACCTGATGCCCGATGCTGAGGACATTAAGACCATGCTGTCTAAGCAGATCCAAGAGGAGGGTCTGCGCACCTACCTTTTCACATATGCTCCCTTTTACGACACACTCGCCACCGAGACGCTATCGCAAATGTTTGAGCTCGACGACGCCAAGGTCACCGCCGTTGTCAGTAAGATGATTGCGCATGAAGAGCTGGCCGCTTCGCTTGACCAGGTCACCTCGACCGTCATCTTCCGCAAGGGCGTTGAGCTCAGCCGCCTGCAGAGTCTGGCCCTGACCCTCTCCGACAAGGCGAGCGGTCTCATTGAGACCAACGAGCGCACGCTCGAGCACCGCACACAGGGTACGTCCAACGCCTTTGAGCGCCAGGGCGGCCGTGGTCGTGGCGGTCAAAGAGGCGGCGGCCGTGGCGGCCGCGGTGGTGCTCGCATCGGCGGCAACACCCAGCGCCAGGCTGGTGGTACGCAGTTTACCGGTGGCGCTCTGGGAGCTGCTGTCCGCGGCTAAGCGGCGGATGAGGTGTAGACGGGGCGAGATTGAATCACTCACGTTGCATATGTGTTTAAAAAGGATATGAAAATAAAGGAAAGAAAGCATCTCTCATGCAGGCTTAGGCGTCTTTTTGTGCGGTTTCTTTCTTATACGGGGGAGAAAAACCATGGTCATGACTTTTGTTTTCATGTCTGTTACGCATGGGGTGGCGGACCAGTTGACAGCACGATTTTGGTGGCGGAAGAAGAGGCCGAGATGGCCTTCTTCTTCGTTGACACGTTGTTCTACCTGTGCTGTTTTTTCTTTTCTTTCTTCTCTTTGTTATGTAATGATCAGAAAAGAAGAATCCAAAAATATATCGGAAATCTACAGTTAGGAACCGTGTCAGTGTCTGCGTTGGCTACTGCGCCACGACAGTAACGTGCATTTATCTGGGAAGTAATAAGGAATGGCACGGGTGAATTAGAGATGAGGAGATTGGATAATTGCCCAAAGCCTCAGATTCCAACGAGATTTGGATACTACACTTACGTTACATCATGACATCGTTGACCGTGTAGACCTTGCCTTGTTAGGGCAATGCAGTGATGACTCATGGCCCCTCACTCTTTCTCACTCAGGCTTTGTTATATCTAAACTTATTGTAAAAGGGACCATCAATCATTGACGAACTCCCAATTACACAAAAACTCCCATCTTCATCATGTCGGCGACCGAGAGCACCTCGCAGCGGATCACGCTCTACGACATTGCGCAGCGGCCCCCGGTGGAGAAGTCGTGCTGCGCGCCGAACCCGTGGAAAGCCCGGTTCGCGCTCAACTTCAAGCGTCTGCCGTACTCGACGACCTGGGTCGGCATGTTGGACATTGGCCGCGTGCGGCGGTCCCTCGGCGCGTCAGCGTGCCGCAAGTTCGCTGACGGCGGCGACTTCTACACCCTACCGATCGTGCGGGACCCTTCCACCGGCGCCGTCCTCGGCGACTCCTTCGACATCGCCGCGTACTTGGAGGAGACGTATCCCGGCGCCGGTGGCGGGAGCTTGTTTCCGGAGCTGCCGGCGCTGGACGGGTTCGCGTTCGCGCCGACGGTGGACTTCCCGACGCTGCTGACGCTGCCGCGGGACGGGCGGCACCCGCGCTTCGGGCGGTTCAACCTTGCGGTGGACACGCTGTTCACGACGTTTGCGGCGCTCGCGGCGGGAGGGATGCCGCTGGACCCGGCGACGGCGGACAAGGTCAAGGCGGAGTTTGCGCGGCGGGCGGGCGCGGAGCCCGGCGGGGAGGACTTTAAGTTGGAGGGCGAGGCGCGGCGGGCGACGCTGGAGGGTTTCGAGGCGGCGCTGGGAGGGCTGGCTGGGCTGTTCGAAGGAGTGGGGGGGAGCCCGTTTGTGTTGGGGAAGCAGGTCAGCTACGCGGACTTTATCGTCGGCGCCTGGTTGAGGATGTACTGCGTCACATTGTCGCGGGAGGAGTGGGAGAGGCTGAGGGGGTGGCATGGTGGTGTGTTTGGGCGCCTACATGATGCGCTGGATGCGTATGCCCAGATTCAGTAGCACATCTCGGTGGGAAACTGCTCATTGGTGCGACTGTAAGAGCTCAGTGGCGTATAAAACCGATGTACCTACGTCCTACTCAAAAATAGACTTGGCCCTGCTTGCAAAGCACAATACCTTGCGAGGTTCTACAACTTCATGCATGCAAAGCGTTTGACAGCCAATTATTACTCCGGCTCCAGTGGTGCAACAAATGTAACTAGAATGATTTTTCCGAAATCTTCAGAGTTTCATACCTCACTGCAGTTCTGCACATAACAGTGCATCCGCAGCCGGCACGATGAACAGCCCAACGAAAATCCTTCCGCACGATTGCACCGCATGGCGAAGAAGCAGCCAGGCAGCCGCAGATCTCTATGACAGCGGGGTGAAGCTATGGACGAAACAAGGTCTGAAAGATGTTGAACAGCAACTCGAAGATTTGAAATCGCGTCAAGTATTCAGCATTCGCTCAATCGACGGAACATTTGTCCATATAGAGAACCCCATGTTCAATGTGACATCGCCAATCTGGTGAGGAATTATGTGCGCAAGACGCGTGCATACTTCAATTAATACTCGCCTCCAGGAAGCCCCAGGTCGACTTTCGAGATTACTGGCGCCTGGTCAAGGACCAACCCGTCGAGCCAGCGGAAACATGGTACTGCACCATGGTCCCAGAATGGTTCAACACCAGCGCCGGCCACCTTTGCAGCAGTCTACCAAACTTAGACTCCCTCTTTGAAGAGAACCGGCGCGCCTGGGCAGAGAGCGATAGTCGCCAGCTGCTGACGTCGCAGCTGCGTCAGCTGAGTTCGGTCAAGGCTGTCCGTAAAATCCTCTGCTTCGGGCTGGGGGACTTTTGCGCCAACCCACCAGAGTGGATGAGAAGAGAGTCCGGCATGGAGCCTGCAGAGCTTGAAAGGAGCTTTGTGAGCAAAGCGATGCTTCAGCACTGCATTTCCTTGACATTGAGAGAGATATGCAGCGATCTGGCCGGCTACGAAGTTCAACTCTTCGCCCAGGACCCCCGCTACACCGACGAGACCGTGTCAATGCTGTCAAGCAACGATTGTTCGATAGTCGGAGAGTTCAGCGCCGGAGGCTTTGCGGAAATTGACGATGGGAGCTTGATCTTTTCGGCGTTTATCGGTGCGCCGCTCAAGCAGATCATCGCCGACCTTGCACGTCCCGCAATCATCATCGAGACGGGCTACGGTGTCTTGAATAATTCAATGCAAGTAGCCCAGGAGACTTTTGCGATGAACCTAGCTAATTAAGTACGGTTGTAGGAAGGCATTGGCAGACTCGGAATCCCCTCGAACAATGGAGATGTGGAAAGAGGATGACGCAAAAATTCGCTTTCCCATTGCACCTGGAGATGAGGAACTGATGACTGGCGTGCGAGATTTGTTCATCTATTCAAAGAAGAGCATAGGTATACAGGGTTCAAATTTGGCAAAATCCTCTAAAGCAAGCAAAGATGGCGAATGTCAAGATAGTCAGTGCTTGGAAGCCGCTGTCAAGATTGGGTAGCTGGCGTTCTTGATACATTGCCGCATTGCAGGAGGAGAATGCTACCCTGCATCTCGCTGCGAATGACTGGACTGTAGCGCGGCCTCGTCACTTATTTGCAAACTAAGGCATCGGCCGAATTTTCAACATGGAAAATGAACAACTGAAAGTCCAACTAACTTAACGCAAACATTTGAGGACGGCAATTTCCGATAATGTCGGAACACGTTGTCAAGCTGTTAGGCTGGGGCTGCAGGAGTCAGGATGGCAGCGGCTGTCCTGACAAATTAACTACAAACTACTCCGCACAGTAGTTGTCGGGAGGCGGACGGGTGTGATTGGAGGGTTTTGAGAGGTCTTCGACAATGATGGAAAAAAACAACGGCAGATGCAGCCTCTGCGAGGTCGTACAAGCGCCATGCGGATGCCAATGCATGCACATGAAGACCTTGCAGAGGCTGCACTACATGTAGTATTTATTCGCCAAGGGCCAATCGGTGGAGAGATTCAGCAAGTCGAAACTGCCACTAGTTCTCTTTGGTCAATTGAGTTGGGGCATTGCCAGCGTGTTGGGCGGTTTGCTGGAGAGGCTTGCGCTTGGTGGCGCGTCTCAAGTTGTGTTGTGTACAATGTGTGGTGGTTGCCGTGACAACGCAAAACGCGGGAGGGGATCGGCTGCCAAGCCTCCAAACAGTGGACAATTCAAGCGATATTATGGTGTTTTCCTTGTACCTTTGGTCAGATTCTTGGTGGTTTGTGTACTTTTTGCATCTTCCCCCGGGTACTGGTATTACCACACTACCTTATTACCTAGACCTTTGTGTCCCTCCATTCAACGAACGAACCAACCTTTTGGTCTCACTGCAGCAGAACGCAACGTCGCTCAGCATTTCCGCCATCACGACCGACCTGGAATGACGCATCAACGCGCGGGCTTTTGAATTCTTCTACCCCCCTCACGGCACATGATATGATGCTCTGACGACATCTTTGATTGTCTTCCCTTTTTCTCTTCTCATTTCGATTCTTGTCAACCTGGAATCCGCCCCTCCTGCTCTGCACCCACAATTGCATCACCTTATCCAAGCATTGTAAACAACAGCAGCATTCCAGTCGCTTCGGCCCAAACAAACCGACCGACAGAAACCCACGTTTTTCTTCTATTCTTTCGAACCTAGAGGGCGATAAGGTCTCGCTTCCCGGCGACTCCTCGGGTCTGAGATATTTTTACTTCTCTTGTTTCGCGACATCACTGCGCCTCAGTCTCGTTTTGCCCGCCGCGCAGGCGCATCGTAGCTCACCATGGACACCAGCTACTTGGCCCAGCAGGTCAATAGCAGCATTGGCCAGCTACACAGCCTGTTCGATGAGATTGGCGTCCCTACGCATGAGCGCCAGGCTCGCGAGTCCGAGGTAAGGCACACAGTTTTTGTTGTGCGCCGTCGCTGGCCGCCGTGAACTCTGAAGCTGACCGTCTCTGTGATAGCTCTTCTCGGCACTCTCCGAGGCTCTCAACAACCAAGTTCGCCTCGTTAACACCGAAAAGAAGGAAATGATTGACGAAGCAAAGACCATCATCGCCAAGATACACGAAATGGAAACCTCACTCGACGACTCAAAGGGCCGACGAGACTACGACACGGACGACATGTCAATATCCTACCCCTTAAATCACTGCCTGCAAGGCCTCAAAGAAAAGCAAATTCAGATTGCTCGCTTGCATAGAGAGCGCTTTGAGCAAGTAAAAAGTACGTTGAAATGCAGCTGTAGACGAATCGCGTTGCTAATGTCATCCAGAGCTTGTACAAGCACTCGAATCATACTCGTCGCATCTTGAACCTACCTTTGTCCAGATTGCACTGCCCCCTACCGGCCCAAACCAATCCATCCCGACCAACTTTGACCTTTCCCCATCCTATGTTGATAGACTAGACCGCGAATTCACCCGCGTCTATGACGAATACACGCGCCGCATCGCCCTGGTCCAGTCATTGGCCGACAACATCATTAAGCTCTGGGCCGAGCTCGGCACGCCCCAAGCCCAGCAAGAAGGCGCCATTGTCAAATACTACCGTGAGGCGCCGGAGCAGCTGGGGCTCCACGCCCAAGACATCAGCCGTCTACAGTCGAAGAAGGATCGGCTCACCGACGAGAAGAAGAGTCGCGAGAAGAAGCTGCGTGATCTCAAGGCGGCGGTCGAAGCGCTGTGGGCAAAGTTGGGCATCGACGAAGCCGAGACCAAGGCGTTTGGCAACGCCAACCGCGGCTGCGGCCTGCGCCAAATCAATGAGTTCGAGGATGAGCTGGCTCGATTGAATGAGATGAAGCGCCAAAACCTGCACCTCTTCGTGGAAGACGCGCGCGTCCAATTACAAGCGCTGTGGGACGCCCTGTACTTTTCTGAGGATGAGATGCTCGAATTTACGCCTGCCTTTTCTGATGTTTACAGCGACGCCCTTCTTGAGGCGCACGAACGCGAGATTGCGAGACTGGAGGCCCTCAGGGAACAACGCGCGCCCGTGCTGGCCCTAGTCGACCGCCACAAGAACCTTATCAAGGAGCGCGATGAGCTCGCTGCCTCGAGCCAGGACGCCTCGCGTCTCATGCTGCGCGGGCAGAAGGGCGAGAAGCGCGACCCCGGAAAGCTACTGCGCGAGGAGAAGATGCGGAAGCGCATCGCCAAGGAGCTGCCCAAGGTTGCTGCCGAAGTTATAAAGATGCTGGAGCGGTGGGAGGACGAGTACGGCCGCCCGTTCCTCGTGTTTGGCGAGAGATATCTGGACGAGTGCGAGGACAGCGGCTCCAATAAGGCTGCGGCGCCGACGACGCGGTCCAAGACACCAGCCGGCGCGCCACCATCGGCTGTCAAGATGCCCAAGTCTGGCCACAAGGGCACCATTGCCAAGTCGGTGCCGCCTCGGACAATGACCAAGACGCCGACGGCCACGGGACCTAAGAAGGCGCCCACAACGGTACAGCAGTCTGCGGTGGCTAGAACCGCGAGTCCCACGCGTACAGGCCGGACAAGCCCGTCGCGAATCCCTGCCCGGGCACCGCTTTCTAATTTGAAGAACGGCAACAACTCGCCGGAGAGACCACGACCCGAGTCTCGCGGGGAAACGTTGCGCAATGGCGCGCCGATGAGGGCACCGCCTCCTAAAATGCGTGACCTCAAGTCAGTACCGGAGCTGCAGACGCCGTTGAACCCTTACAAGGGCGCAGGTCTGGGCACGGGCATTGTTCGCGCAATTGAGCCAGAGGATGTATACGACGACAGGCCGCAGGCGAGGACACGGGACGACTCGCAGGAGGACGGCTACGATTACGAAGAAGACCGGTACGCGACTGTTAGGCCCGGGCGGCAGTACTACGGCGATCTCGGTGGTGTAGCGGCCGCGCGGCAGATTTCGACCACGTCATCGTCGACGGCGGTTTCAGGGTCTGAGAATTGGGAGACGTACGACGATAACAGCGAGCCGGAACCCGATGCGTCAGACGCCTACTACGCCAAGCTGCGCGCGGCACGGTGTAAGCGGCAAGAGCCGGGAAGCCAGCTGCAGAGTCATCATCAACAGCAGCCGAAGAGGTTGAGGGGGATACCGCCGCCGAAGGGATACACGGGGCCGGTGATGATTGATGAGGACGGCAATCGAATCGTGTCGGGGAGTGAATGGGGTGACTCTGAGGTGTTTTGAGACATGTCCTACCAGAGAATGCGTGAGCGGACTCACACGACGTGACGCGAAACGGTATGCCATCTCACGAAAGCGGCGACTTGCCTTCTTTTTCTTCGAAACATTGCGAGATTCATTTCGGGACACCCTGGTACATTTTTTTTTCTTTTACTGCTGTCTCTTCTGTCTATTGGATTACGTACTGGGATACGTATACATATTGGTGCATCATTGCTCGTTGCAGGCCGACCTTTGGGAATGGACACTGCGAGAAGTCTACATACATCTACTATGGTTTTTTTCTTCTTTTATCAATATTGGAAAGGAAAAACAGGTTATTTAATCTCTGTGTATTGTTGGAAAGAAAAGGAAGAGTAAGAAAGGAGGAGGAAGCGAGCCGAGGGCAGGAGAGCAGGGACTGGCAGACATGGACATGTACTTTTTTTCCCTTTCTTTTTTCTCTATTCTGTTGGGTAAGGCAACGGGCGTTGGAATTATTGTTATTGTTTGATTTCATTCTTCTTGTTTCTTTTTTTTTTCCTTTGCCATCAGGAGGTATTGTATATACACAGAACTATGTACAGCGTTGTTGACTTGCACGTGCTTGCGCTGCGTGATGGGTGACATGTGGGGGATGACGTATTATTAGTGGAAGCCCATTGACATGTTGTTTGAACGGTTCGTAGTCATCCATGATGCGGAAAGCGGCCTGCCAAAAATAGCATCAATAAGCACGGAGTATTAAGGACACGATATCTGACTTGTCAAGTCCATCCCGTGTCACATTAGCTGTGATTACTGACAAGGCTTGCCGCGTATTCGTTTTAGGCCCTCGTCGTCGGCATAAAGTTGGTGGATCAGCCGCCAATTCCAGCCTCGGGGAAAACAAGCACAAAGGCAAACAACAGGACAAGATGCGACCCGGGTAAATATTAACAAAATCTCCAAGAAATATAATAAACGTGTAACCCGAAGCGTCTAATAAGCTCTGGTATTTTTTCCCCATCCTGTTTAGTACCAAGGGCCAAGACATTCTGCCAGCCAGCCAGCCTCCCCCAACCGTTTCAGCCTCCGCCCTGGCTGTCGAGTCCCTGACCAGTCGGACCTTTCGGACCCTGGGCCTGGCGCGTCCCTTGTCATCTTATCCATTTATCCATTTATGCATACGTTGCGTTGCGTACATTGCAATCCTTCACCTCATTCGTTCTCCTCCCTCGTCCTACTCCCTCTTTTTTTTTTCTCTTCTTCCGTTCAATCCGCGACTATTTTCCTTCATTCTTTCTTATCAACCCAGTTACTCTCTTAGCCCCCCCGTAAAGAATTGCCTTTGAGCTAGCACCATTCGTTTCTCCCGTGACTACCCATCACATCACCGACAACGAACGACCCGCGGGAACCGAAACCTCGACCGATCAAGCTACCCGCGAGCGCTCCTCCCACACCACTGGCTCTCATGTCCCCGCGAGCCACCCCCTGGGAATGAATCCTGCGGTCGGATCCCGCACCGCAGGCTCGCCAGACGCCGCCGCCGCCTTGAAGGGTGCCTCGCTGGCCTTCCAGAAGCGCTCGCCGCCACAGCAGACGACCTCGTCCCACCGACCAGCCTCCTCCCTGTCCTCGAGCAGGCATCTTCCCCCGAGCGCGACGACGACCTCCGACAGCATCAGCCGCAGCCGGAGCCGCAGCCGGAGCCGAAGCCCACCCCTGCACAACCAGCAGCACAGCCTCGAGCACTACCGCGAGAATGGCGCCCTCCTCGCCGCCACGTCGTCGGTGGAGAGAACCAGGAGTCCCGGGCGCCTCGCCTCTTCTTCTTCTCCGGCGCGGTCCTCGCCTATCCGTCAGCGTCCGGGCCAGCACGCCGCGGATGTGCCGCCAGAGATGGCATCCGACTCGCTCCCCGCGGGCCTTGTGGCGGAGCGCCTGCAGCAGCTTGGCGCGTCTCCGACGAGGAGCGCGGCGGCTGGTGCGTCCCCGTCGGCGCACCTGGCCTTGAAGCCTTTGCCCCAGCCACAGACCCCGGCTGGCGCTGGCAAGCTGGATGCCAAGAGCCCGAGCCTCATCGCCGCGACGCTCGCGGCGAGCCGCAGCGCTAGCCCAACGCCCACGACGCTGCGAAAACCGCGGCGCGCGCAAGGCTTGAATACGCTGTCGGACATTGACGCTGTAGATTCGCAACCCATTCCGCCGACGAATTCGCTAATCTCCATGTTTGAGGTGGACAGCGGCGCTGGCAAAGACGTTTCGCCTCCACAGCCGCTACCGACATCCTCGCCGGAACATGCGGTGGTACGAAAGAGTGCACGCCCGTCGCCAATCCCTATCAAGCAAACTGTTGCCGCTCCTACCCCTCCGGCCCCGAAGTCGGTCTCCAGGCAACGAGATCGAAAAGTTCAGCCGCATGAGCCGCCACCAACACCTCCCAAAGTTGCCGATGAGAAGCCTGCGGCTGCATATCCAAGGTCGAAACCTAGGGCAGTCGTGGACGCCACTCCCGCTCCAGCTCCTACAACGCCGGCCTCTGCACCAAAAGCAATCGTCCAAGCGGCAGCAAGTAAGCCTCGGGTGACACCGCCCAAGGCTAAAGAGAAGCTGAAGGTCGACGGCCCGGCCAATACCGTCACACCAGCTAAAGTCATTACGCGGGCTAAATCAACAACCGCGATGAGGAAACTCGACGCCATTGGAGAAGTGACCCCTCCTCGGAAACGTTCACGAAAGCCTTCACCGCTACGACTACCAAGCAATTCAGATGAAGCCAACAATGGCACGTCCACAACACCAAGGCGAAAGTCTCCTACCCCTCGCATTATCAGCACGTCTACCCCCGAAGTGCTGTCACCGAAGCCTACGCGGATAGCTAGAGCCGCCTCTCTCCGATCCGGCACGCCGCCTCCTACTATTATCCTCCGCCCAACGTCCGATATACAGTCACCGCCTTTGCCGGATCCTAAGAAGCGCTCACCTGCCGAGAAGCGAGCGCCCACACCGCCAAAGCCACGAAACAGCCAGAGACTGGCACCTGCAAGGCCTGCCAGCGGCCGACCGCGCGGCAACTCGGACACGCGTCTCACGAGAGCCACGCCCGTCAACAGCATGTGGGGATTGCCCATCGTCTCAAGCACCACCTCGAACACGCCCAAGGCTAGCAAACCGCAACCGCCGCCGAGCAGACGCGAGTCGATCGTCAGCGCGCCGCCATCGCCCACGCACGATCCGCCGAGACGACGGCCCACGCAGCCGTCGCCTCCCAGCCCCAGGCAGCTCAACTCCATGACCAACGCCATCATGGCGAGCTCGCTCGCGTCGTCCCGCCTCACGCCTCACAGCACCGGCTCCTCCCCGCTGCCACCGCCCCCGCTGCCCATGCGCCAACGCTCGCCGCACCTCCTGCAGACGCTGCGCCGGCCGCAGAGCGAGCCCGAAGATGACCACCACCAGGGGCGGCAGCGCAAGGCCCACCGGCACCGGCTGCACGGCTCCAAGCACACGCACCACGAGGGCTCGCGCCGGCGCTGGCGCGACCAGGTCACCGACAAGGAGCGCAAGCGGTACGAGGCGCTGTGGGCCTCGAACCGCGGCCTCCTGCTGCACGGCGGCGCGGAGCTGTCCGACTGCGTCGCCGACGTGGTCGTGCGCGACATCTGGCGCCGCTCGCGGCTGCCGGCCGAGGAGCTCGCGGAGGTGTGGGAGCTGGTGGACCGCGGGCGCGCGGGCCGCCTCACCAGGCAGGAGTTCGTGGTGGGCATGTTCTTGATCGACCAGCGGCTGCGCGGCCGCAAGCTGCCGCCCAAGGTGTCGGACAGCATATGGGGGAGCGTCAACGGCGTGACGGTGCTGAAGCCGCCGTGGCCGAAGCACTAACAGCTGCTGGTGCGACTTTGTTGACCCCGGGCGAAAAAGCCGAGGTGGCTTGATGCATCCTGTATGTATAGATGACGATACCCAAATGGAAGCATTTTTATTTACCGTATAGCGAGTCGACTGATGATGCGAGTGACGTGCCTGCCCCTGACAGCAAGGCGTGCAGAGGCTCTGCCCGCATCTTGAACTAGTTCTCGCCACGATACGCACTGCAGACTCTGATACCACCAACAGCAAACATGCACGGTATGGGACGTTACGCTCTTCGTTGACTAGCAAAGCGTGCAGATATCAAATACTTCATTATCTTGAGCGAATAAAAAGAAAAAAGCAACAAAGGCAAAACAAACCCCTGACACAGATAATCGCGATGGCATTCTAGTCCTGCCTCCTCCTGCGTTATTAGAGCAACGGGCCCAACAAGGCCATGCTCTTCTCATCATTATCGTCCTTGCTCTTTTCTTTATTCCTTTGCTTAGAATGAGGTCTGTGTATGCGACGAGAGAGACCTTGGAATAGCATCCCGCAATAGATGCTTCCCCTCCAAGGCTGCGTAGTACCCAAAACATGCCCCCATGAGCTTGGTAAGAAGCATTCGGCCGTCCCTCTTGCTTTACCCGAGTGCGCTCCAGACACGACATGATCACTCCGGCTCGCTCACTCCCTCATCTTTGTACTTTTGCGCCACGACCCTTTCTAGAAACCTTAGTACCTGTGAGGCTTGCAGCTCAGTTCTTGCCAGATCGCACGGCACCAGATTTCTGTAGCCGCCGCTCTCGACGGAGAGCTCCTTGAGGACGTCGCGCATGACCGCCCCCCATTTGAGGCGCCTGTATAATCGAGCCAGCGCGTCCCGCGTCTCCTTTCTTTGACACGGAATCGACGCGGCTTGCAAGACCAGAGCCGCGATGCCAGCCGCGATGGGCGTGGCGACTGACGTGCCCGTCATGCGGCGCGTCGGCGACGTCTCCCCTGGCGTCGCGTTGCTGCGGATCCAGGCAGACTTGACGGCCTCCCCGAGGGCGGTGAACATGCCGAGATCGGCCGTGTCGCGCGGGAGGAATGCGGAGGGCTTGCCGTCGGCGTCGGCTGAGTTGATGGCGATGACGCCTGGGTGCCAGGCCGGGTAGGCTAGCCAGCTCGAGTGGCCATTATTAGAAGTGGCGGCGAAGATGAGTTTCTTCTTTTTGACAGCTTTAGCAATGGCTTCGCCGACGGTCTCCTCAATGATACTGTCGGCCCGAAAGCCGAATGATATGCTGATAATGTCCACATCCCATTTCTCTTTATCAATAGCATAGTTGATTGCCTAGCAGCGTGTGTCAGATGGTGAACTATGTTGTTGTTGATACTATGGCTTTGATAGTGACGAACCTTGGCAACAGCTACATGATCGATGCTTTTTTTGTCATGCGCAATCTTGGCGACGTATATATCGGCCGCCGGTGCGACCCTCCGAAGAAGGCCGGCGCAGTGCGTCCCGTGCCCATCTTCGTCGTTGGCTTCCGGAATGGTTCTGCTGGCACGGGGCAAAAAGTCTTTGACGAAAATGTTGCCTGTGCCTTTCTCCTCATCCTCTTTAAAGTCGTCATGACAAAGGTGTATGCCTGTATCGAGAATGGCAATCTTGACTCGCTTGAATTTGCCACGTTGGAAGTCTGCAAGTGGCTTTTGCAATTTTTCTTCGAGCTCTTGAAACCATTCATCGGATTTATGGAAGCTTCGTAGAAAAGTCAGTGCAAGTAACGACCATGGTGCATATGGGAACGTATTATTACTCTTCGGTTAAATTCGACTCTGCGGCGTCGGACCAGTCTTCCACCGGATATTCTTGACTAGGTTCTTCCCAGGTGGTAAGCATGCGAAATGGCAAGAGATAGCATCATCATCAGGATTATCGTCATACCGCTAGATTGAGCGCTCTCCCTGCGAGAAGAGGCCCGAGACTCTCTGCTGTAAGCCGGCCAGACATTCTCCCTGCGAGAAGAGGACCGGCTCTCTCTGCTGGAAGTCGACCGGGCGTCATCATTGTCAGAATATGACTGGGACTCCCTGCTGAAATCCGGCCAGACATTCTCCCTGCGAGAAAAAGACTGATGCTTTCTGCTAGAAGTCGACCGGGCGTCATCATTGTCAGAATATGACTCGGACTCTCTGCTGTAAACTGGCCAGGCATTCTCCCTGCGAAAAGAGCACCGCCTATTCCCTGGAGCATTTCGAGCATAGGTTTCGGGATTTGCATGGCCACAAGGAAGGATTCCATGGTGCGGAAAAGCAAAGGGCCCTGGGCCCTCAACAACGTCAAAAGGAGGGAGTCCATCACTCGGAGAAAGGAAGGGTCCATGGCCCCCACCACCAACGAAAGAGAGCTGGCCGTTCGGAAACTGATAGAATCCATGGTTCGGAATGATGATGGGTCCAGGGTTCGCATGGCCATGAGTCAAGTATGGATAGTTTTGAAGAAGAAAAGGATGAGTGTTCGCATAAGGAATTGGGCTAAAAGGGTTGACAGGTTCGGGAGAGTACGAATTCAACCCCCCAGAACTGTACATATATTCGCCATTTTGAAAACAGTCGTGCCGGTCAGATGCTGTACCATTGAACCCGGGCATTTTGCGTCGGCCGTTTTGGGCTGCTGGCCTTCTCATCTTGCAAGATGTCAGACACCGGGACAGGATGACTGGCTTGAAATAGCTACCAGATGTTCATAACCGCCGAATCTAGAGAAAAGGCTCGTGGAAAGCAATTCCAGGTGGCTTGAGGAGGGGTCGTCGGGCTGACATGCAGGTGCTAGGGGTTGTCTCTGATGCGAAGCCTGATCTGTATACGAGCGCAAGGGACTTATTGATGAGCGATCTCCATCAACATCTCAACCTTCGAAGAGCTTACATCAAAGGGGGAGCTTCTTAAAGCCAATATTATCCAAGTGACTCAAATGGCTCACCAGACGCCGCTGCTCATGGCTCCCCTCATGCATTCGGCCCCGACGGGACCTATTGCTTTGGGGAATCTCATCAAGGACCCCCGCTCTCCTGAGATCCCTCTCACCAAAAACGACTCGGATGCAGTTAGAAAGGTCGCTGATAAGTACTCGGAAGTAGAACAAAGCAATGTGTTCCGCCACGACAGGAAAACTGCATCCGGCAGCGCTGGAGTGGTGGCCAAGTTCTTCGAAAGCCTCGCATTGGATCTGGGCGGAAACAAAAACAAAAGCTTCCAGTCAACTTGGAAAATAAATCGGCTCGTCACCAGATCCATTTATCCAAGCGAGGTAGAGGTCAAGAGCGTCTTCAACGAGCCGAGTGTGCAAGAGGGAATCAGGAACAGCTTCTTTCGCGCCAACGTCTATATGATCACGAGCGTTCAGATTGCCTACGGAGCCGAGGACTTTATCTCAACTCTTCGAGGGCATGGCGCTCACCTTCACGCAGTTGCCGACTTGAATGCGACCGGCCTGCCCGTCAATGCCGGCATCGACAGCAGCTTCGACGCAGCCGACGGTATCGTACGCAAGTCGACCTTCAACCCGAGCATGCCTTTTATCTTGGCGTACGGTCTCAGAGAAATTTACTACAGGCGCAAGAGGGTTGCGAAGCAGAAGGTGTACCGAAACGGCGATCTATACAATGTCGGGGGCAGGGAGCCCGAACCGGAGGAAGACTCGGTGGCGGAATTACGTTTCTTGGCTGAAGATAACAGTGAAATCCCTAGCATGTGGGGAATGAAGCCGAGTCAGTATATCCTCGAGGATGACTAGTGATGATGATTTTTTTGAGTGATGACGATGGAAGAGCGGCAGCTCCAAAGGACCAACTACCTCGGGTGTAGGCAAAGCCTCTTGTTCAGCTTTGATGTCCTTTTCTTGAGAAAAAATATCAGGAAGATTGGAGATTATTTTGAAGGTGTCTGAAATGATTGATCATCGCGCTTCGGTCTCGAAAACGCCAATAATTGCAGGGCAGGGTGGCTGGTTGGCTGTAGGTTATGTATGCGCAGTGGAACGTGTTGAGACAGAAACGATGCCCAGAATCGGAGAAGAGATGGAATTCCGAAGAAGAAGAAAGAGAGAAGGAAAACAAAAGGTCAACCAAGTTTGTCGAAGAGTATTGTCGAAGTCACCGGACGGAGGCAGGCGCAGCTCTCAAAATGGCAGCCGCGCCCAGCTCATCGGAGACTTGTTAAGTAGCTTCCATGATGTGATCAGGGCTTGACAGCAGGTTATACTACTTCTAAAGACCTAGGTACTGTACAACGGTACAACTGTCGCTATAAGCATCAAGTCGCTGGCAGGGAACAGGAGCAGCAGCCGAGCAGTTTTTCAGTGCGGCTGAAAAACTCAGCCTGACTTGTCAAAGCATGATTTGACGACACCTCGGTGCACGGCAAAACCACAACTTATCGTCAGTCAAAAAGTCTTTACGCACATATGGCCGGCAAGGCGGCAAACACGGGCAAGAGTGCAATGGGAGGCGCCGGAATTAGCAACCACAATGCCCGTTATAGGTGAAGCCATCTGGAGACATGTGCAGATAAGCACGCGCCCAGACTTCCGAGCTTCCCGCCGCATCTTTTCCCCCATATAAAGCGGGTAGATGAACTTGGTAGTTTTCTCATCATGCACCAAATCTATTTTAGAGTCCGTTCTCCCCCTCCCCCCCTCTCCGCCCGCCCCCTCATCAAATGCAACGACAGAATGGCGCTTTGCCTTGCCGAGACCGTAAGCACAGCGAAGCGGGCAATGTGGGGAAGTACTGGCAAGGCCAATGTCTTCAGCCCAGCCAAACAGAGAAATCCGTCAAGAACCAGGCTATCGGGGGTTGATTGCGCCACCTCGTTGGGGGGTAAATTAGCCCAGTATTGTATCCGTAAGATCGTCGCTTTTGGAAACGAGGCAAGGAAATAGATCTGGGGAGCGGGGTTACTTTGGGGGGTTTTACAAGGACAGTGGCAAAAAAAAAAAAAAAAAAAAAAAAAAAAAAATTTGCTAAAAAAAGTAAGAGAAGAGAAAAAGAGAGTGAGGGAAAAGGAGAAAAAGTTTAAAGCTTTCATCTTACACAACAAGACAACAAACCAATAAAGGCGGCGGGCGGAATGTATACGATACGGCCCCGACCGGTACGCTCCCACAACCACGCCGAACTCTTGCAAACGGAGCAGTTTTTCCAAAACGGATCGCTAGCATGGCGATACGACGATGACGATGCCGATAACAATGACGCCCACGACGGGTACGACTCGGACACGGCACCAGCCCACATGGACATTGGCCATTTCCGCTGGTTCTGGCCCTGGGGCGTCCGTCGCAGCTCGACCTTTGACACCATGCCCTCCGGGAAGCAGCGCCTCCCCGTTGCCGCCCTCCTCCCTCCCTCCTCCGCGTCGACCTCCACCCAACCTTCCAGCCTCCTCCTGACCCGGCTTCCCCCCGAGCTGCGCCTCAAGATCTGGCGTCTCGTCCTGCGCACCCGCTGCAGCACCCGCTGGCCCTACCACCCGCGATCCCCCGCGTGGCGACCCGACCGCCGTGGCGCGCCCTACATCGACGTCGCGCTGCTGCGCACCTGCCGCGCCGTGTACGCCGAGGCGTGGGACCTGCCGATGCGGTTGACCTTTGCCGCGCTCGCCGACGGCACACCGAGCGACAAGCCCTCCGAGTGGGCGCCGGTGGTGCTGGCCGCGGGCGTGCTGGTGCCGCACGCCTGGCAGGTGCTGCTGCTGCGCCGCGCGGAGGTCACGATGCAGCACTTCCGCCTCGAGGCTGGATTTTTGGAGATGTGGGTGGCCGCGCTGGGCAAACTCAAGGCGGCCGCCGCCGCGTGCGTGGCGGACCTGGTGGCGGCGGCAAGAGCGCGGGGGCAGGCGCTGGACGAGGGCGTGGTGGCGAGGTTGGGCGGCGGACAGCCGCTGGAGGAGATCGTGGTGCGCTTGAACAGGAAGGACTGGTGGACGTGGACGAGCGTGCCGCCGCCACCGTGGCCGGACGGTCTCCCGGGCAAGTGCGTGGCGGACGTGAGGGCAGTGGGGAGGCGGGGCCGGAGGAAGAGGCGGAGGAGGAGGAGCAGCGTGGAAGAGGAGAGACAAAGGGAGGCGGAGAGGGAGAGTTGGGCGAGGAGAAAGGATGTGGATGGTGGGGAGGATGCTTCTTCGGAGCTGGAGACGGACGAGGACGAGGACGAGGGCGAGGACGAGCTGCAGCAAGCAGACGAGGAGAGTCGCCAAAATGTTCCCATCTTGGAGGAGACTACGACATTAAGCGAGACGAGCTACGATCAAGTCGACGACCCCCCACCACAGACCTATGACACGGACGATCCCGACGACGATGACGAGCAAGGCGGCTACTTCTCCGACCACACCGCCAGCTCCGCCGCCTCCTCCGCCGTCTACGTCTTCGACGCCGCCACGCTGCCCGCCTCCCTCGCGCTCGTCCCGCTCCGCACCGAGACCTGGGACCGGCCCGCTCCCGGCGGCGGAGGCGGCGCCTACGGCGTGCTCTCGCCCAACCTGCGCCTCACCCTCATGCTCGAGACGTTCGGTCCCAAGAGCCTGCAGCTGGACGCCGCGCTCGCCGAGGCGCGCGCCTGGCGCCTGCCGATGCCGCTGGTGCACGCCGGCGCGGTGCGGGCCGGCGCGGCGGTGGAGGACCGCACGGGACGGGTGCTGGCGTGGGACGGGCGCCCTGTGCGGGAGTACCACTGGCTGCGGGACGTGGGCGACGAGGAGGCGGAGGAGGCGACGTTCCTGCGCATGGGCGAGTTCAGGGCGACGGCGGAGGGTGTGGTGGTCAAGATGATGACGCTGGTGCCGCGGAGCTTCTGAGGCCGTGGTTGTTTTTGCATATAGCTTCTATTTTTTGGGTTTTGGGTATGTAGGGTTCGAGACGGCATTATACCCCATCATATATAAAAAAACAAGGAAATCATCGGCTGCTTCCTCGCAGCCTTCCCATCATAGTCTTTGTCCCACCCGCCTTGTCTCCTCCAACATCATCAGCGTGCATCTTTCCCCTCGTGCTGTCGCACCTCCGCCACCCTCTCCCCGCGCACCAGCAGCGCAACCGTCGTCGCCGGCTGCACCTTGAACGGCGTCATCCCCAACCCTCCCAGCAGCGCCCTCATCGCCAACGAGTGAAACGTCCACGCCACCACTTCTTCTTCTTCTTCTTCTTCTTCTTCCTCCTCCTCCTCAAACACGTCCTCCAGCGCGCCCAGCACCCGCACCCTGTTCTCCGCCTCCGTCTCCGCGCGCGGCCGCGCCCCGAGCTCGTCCTCCGCCGGCAGCCCGTCCTCGAGCACGCACATCGGCCAGTTGGCCTCGATCCAGGCGCGGGGGCGCCGCCGGTCGCACGCGTGTGTGGTCCACCGCTCGCGCAGCGCCTCCTTGACCACGGGACGAAACGGGCGCCCGTGGGCGGCGAGCACCGGCCGGAGGTGGTGCGCGGAGGTCTCCAAGCAGCGCGCGAGGGGGCTCGTGCAGAGGGTGCGCGGCAGCGGCAGCCCGTCAACGGCGACGGAGGCGAGCCAGCGCGCGGCGAGGGCGCGTGCCTGGACGACGCCAAGGGGCGTGAGCGAGGCGTCGAAGCACTCCGCATCGTTGGGGGAGGAGTCTCCTTGAATCTGCTTGGACTGCCGTCAGCGGAGAACCAGAGGTCGGAGCAGGGAAAACCCGGTCTTGCCTTTTCGTCCTCGGCCAGCTGCTGCTTCCGCAGGTTGTGGTAGCCCTGGCCGTGCCGCGTCAGGAAGAGGATCTTGAAGGAGACGCCGTCTGGGGCCTCGCGGTTGAGCGCGGCGACGTGTGCGGTGAAGCGCGCCCACGGACGCTGGTCGGCGGCGTCGGGGTCGTCGGACGGGTAGGCGCGCGGCGTGAGGGCGAACAGCGGCTGTGTGGTAAGCCTGCCCTCGGGCTGCTGGGCGGCCAGCGCGGCGCAGTCGTCAAAGTAGCCCTCGGGCACGCTGAATGACCACTTTCCCATGCTTGTAGGTCTCTTTGGCTAGTCTCGAGCGGTGTGGCTGCGGTGTTGCAGAGTTGAGGGAAAAAACATCGTTGTTTGTTGCACGGCTGCCTATTTCAGCGGGTAACTAGGTAACCCGAAGGAAATGGGCGTGGAAATTTCACTGCAGAGAAAACTGAATGGCATTTCAAGGCAAATTAAAAAAAAAATCTTTAATATCAAGTTTAATTCATCAAGCTGCATCCACGGTGCTTTCGCTCTTGGATCACGAACCCCTCACGCAGCAGTAGCGACAGACGCGGCATGCGGCTAATCAGACAGCCTAGAAAAGACTTCGCTCAATAAGGGATCGATAGAGCAGCTTGATAAACATGGTGACAATTTTCTATTATTTATCTCTATTCTTTTGTATCTTGGTTGCTATTTATTTTCTGCGTCATTTTGCCTATACATTTCCCAAGTCTCCCCTCTACACTACATGCATCTCAACATCATTAGAGTCAGAAGAGCATAATGGGTCTGAGGCCCAGAATGTATTTTACCATTACAAAATAATAATAAAAATTACAAACCTAATCAGGCTCTCTCTTCATCATGTCCATTAAATGTCATCTGGCGTGACCGAGCCCATCACTCCGCTCCGTCCACTCCATCCCACCCAACAACTTACTCCCAGCTCAGCCCATCTCGAATATATCCTGATCACTATACCCATGATGTGATATCACAGCCATCACAGTCATCACAAACTTATTTTCAGGGTCGCCACTGCACCCGTCCCGTAGTTTGTCGGGCAGTGACATGGGATGAGACGTTTGCCGCGAGACGAAACGAAACAACGCTCGCGAGAAAACATGGGAGACCACCTAAAACTATGATTCTCATAGAATTCTCCACTAATGAAGGAGAAAGCTTTTTTGACGCGGGTGCTTCCGCATCACCCTAGCGGACCGTCCGGTTTTCCCACTTTTGAAGCGGTGATGGCTCTATGTTGCATTGGCTTGTGTCAACCTCCAACTCAACAACAACCTGTCATTCCGCGAGGCCCTTTGTTTTCTCTCACCAAAAGAGGGTCAACAGGCCGAGCCTTTTCACTCCGAGGGGGGGAGGAGGCTTTCGCTTCCCACCGGCTCGCCAGTCATGGCCCGTGGGGATGTCTCAGTGTCCACACACCAAGTCCCCCTCCCCTTCACCTTTTCCCCTTGGCCTTTTCAGACAGCGGCCCAACTAAACTGACAGACTGAACGAGGAACGAGCCAAGTTTGTCGCGACCTGATGCATGAAATTCTGGGAATGGTGGCGAGCGGTAGATTTTTTTTTTATTACGTAGGTTTTCTTTTTCTTGAAAGCTCTTCATTGGACAAGACTAGCTTTTACCTCCATGGACATGGCTGGAATGGCGCCAGCGCGGCAACCCTCTCCTTTCTCTGACCGAGCTCAACCTGCCGCCCAAAGAAAAGGCCTTTCGATTTCATGCATACGCACATACTACGCCGCCGCCGCCGCCGCCGCCGCCGCCTTGCGGCCAACTTTTCCTGTCGTTTGCTTTTTGAAAGCAGCCTCATAAACGAACAGCCAATGTGAGGACCTGCTTGTGGTGTAGGGGGGTTCCGTGAAAATGATAATAATTCTTTTTCGTAGCCTACTTGTACTTGCCGAGTTGTCACTTGCAGCGGAAGCAGTGCGGTGAGGTAGGTAGGTGAGCAGCAGCCAAGCAGCCCCCCCTTTTTTTTCTTCTCTCTACACCTTGGGCTTGCAAGAATAGTAATAAAGCTCTCTCGCTTTATCATCGAATCATTTGACAAACTTGGTCGCGGTCAGTGCGTGGCCAGAGAGACCTTGTCTGCATGTGGTTGTTCGTACCAGAATGACGGGACGGCAAGCGAGGGCGAGGGGCGGGCGTGAGACAAAAAAAAGCCCCAATCGAATAATACATGGTTTGAAGCCAGATGATTGCTCTCGGTGAAAGGGGGGGTGGTGTCACGGCGTATGCCTTTTCTCCTGGAGACCACGGGGGCAGGCAGGCAGCAGTGTGAGGAGATGGATGGATGGATGGATGGATGGGATGGGATGCTGGGCTCTCAACAAGCAACTGGCAAACAGCCCATCCCATCGTTGGGCTGGCACGGGGCGGGTAGACATTCCCCGCTCCTGCTGCATCGATTGGAGCTGTCCACGGCTGGCTTTGCGAATCAAGACTTGCCATCATGGAGGAGAAGGACGGAGAAGTCCCAAGGTTGGCGGGCCCATCCATCACACTGACCACCTCTCTCTCTTCTATCGTGTGGGAGGGCCAAGGAGGGCCTGGGTGAGACATTGGCATTCCTGGCGTGCAAAAAAAGAGGCGTTCACCTTGGCTGAGCTGGCCGTGTGCATATCTGACAAGAAAGTACCTCTGTATCTTGTCTCGCCCAGGTCCCCAGCGCTTTGATGACCAGAGATTGAACCGGAAAACTTTGGACGAGGAACCCTGGTGTTCATCTCGCCCATGTGTCCTTGCAAAAACCAAGAGGGGCAAGGACCCCGAGGCGAAGAGGAAAAAAGCCCCGGCGGTTAGACATGATAGAAAGTTGTCTCGAGTTGCGAGAGTTTCCGCTTCGTAATGGAAAACGGACCAGCCCGCCGCCGCCCCGTGCTTTTCGCCACGTCTGAAGAACGCTGCTGCCGGGCTCTTGTGGGTGACCAATAACCGCCAACTGCTTAGTAGCGTTCACATGACGTGAAGGATATTTTCTCGCTGCGGAAAGGATTGACCTGTGGAGAAGGAGAGAGGCGTTATGCATGTATGTGACGATGGGCTTCGCTGATCATACGTCGATGCTGCGGGAGGTTGGCTGTCCGGGACGGGGAGGCAAGGACGGAATGCCCCGTCAAAGCAACGAGAGGACGCTGAGTATGTTGGGGGTCATGGGCTGATGTTGCTGCCGTGTAGAGCTATTACCATGCTCCTCTTGTGATGTGAAGGGTGACGAGTTCCGCGATGGCAGCATGTTGGGCGCGGGCTGGAGCTGATCGAGGCACACCTGGGGTTCACAATCAAGGAAGAAGCAGTAAACACAAAGTTGAGCACCGTGATATAGTTAGTTATCAACAGAAATATCACTGTCTCCGATATAGTGACAAGGCCTCGGTACATTCGGGGATTGGGGTCGCGGCGCCTTAGACTTTGTTTCTCATCAAGCCCCCATAGTTGCTCAGTACAGAACGCGGCGTCAAAGGTGTCAGACAGTGATCCGCGACAAGTCAGTCTGCTAGAACTCTCTGGAAACGGACCGCCATCGCATCATTCGTCGCAGTCTGGGTCTATGTGTCACGAACATCTACGACATGTCTAAGGAACCACAGCGGAAGGGGCAGCTGCCGACGAACTCTGCTCTTGGTGAATAATTAGGAGATAGGTGAGATGGAAGCTTTGTTTTTACTGTATAGGAGCCTTGAAAGATAGGTTTCCCCGCTATGTGTTTCTAGTGGTACTCCGTACTGTAGTTCGCATTCACGGCCAGGTCGTTGCGAGGAACCAAGTCTCCATACAACCATGGCGGACGGGGTCAGCCCGTGTATATACACAGTATATGAGGGAACAAACAATCCCTCGCCCTCTATGAGAATAAATCCTCAATCTCCCAACTAGTTTTAAAATGCAAAGGGCAATCGAGTTCGCACACTACATGGCATAGGATCGCCCTTGGCCAATTACACTTGCAACCAAAGTCAAATCTAGGGTAGTAGCACTTGACTAGGTAGTTGACGACAGCCCAAATGCTCCGGATGGCCTCACCAGGCGCTAGAACAGGTATAAGCTTAGCGTGTCCTTTGTGCTCCGTATTTCAATCGGGGACATCTCAATCTCAATCACAAGTCAGATTTCTCGGCATTTGTCTACTGCCCAAGAAAAAGTGGCACGCTCGCTGTTGGCCGCTGGCAGCCTGCCTCTGCCTCCAGGGCTGTCTGCTCTGATGGTTGCAAAGTGCGGAAGCCGAGCGGCATGTGCAGTTGGAAAAGCAAGCTTGGACGGAAAGAAAAGACGCCTCACCGCAGCGACCGTCGACCGGGGTTGCCCCCATTTGCAGTTTTGGGTGGACGGTTGTCAACCAATCTGACGGGCTCGGGGGGGCAAAAGAAGGTCCATCAGCAATCACACCCGAGGCTAGCCCTTTCTCTCCTTTTCGAGCAAGTCCTGTCACATCCCGTCCGAAGTGGACCATCCTGGCGACCGACCGATGGTCCAGGGCCAGGGGAGAGTGGTGTTAGACATGTGGAGGGAGAGAAGGGGGCCAAAGGGAAGAGGAAGAGGAAGGGGGGGGGGGACCTTGTCTGCCTCGTTACGCCATACCGGACTACAAGTACGCGCGCCTCTAACGAAAAGTTTGCTTGATCGCGCAAGCGTCGGCTCAAGGTGTGAAGTAAATCTGCAATTTATGCTAGTGTAGTAGTGTTGGCGGTGGCCCGCACCGAATCCTGACCGTATCCAGCGCCCGCGACGCGACGTTCGGTCACCTGGCTTCGACTGTGACTTGTACGAGTAACAACATGCATGGTGAGAGGAAAGAAGACCCTGGTTGACTTGCGCAAAACGATGCGAACCCATCTCTCACGCTTGTCCCGTCGTCTCGGTGCAGCGTTAGACATGTCGCAGGTCTCGCCTGTGTATGTACTTTGTAGTTTAGTGTGGCCAGCATCGAACCATGGAGACGGCGCCGTGCGACATGGGGGTAGGACAACAATGGGGAAAAAAACGTAATGTGAAAGTGCAGAGTCAATGACTCGAAGCGAACGAGAAAGGGTCCGATGAGTGCGTGTTCCGCTGGATTCTCCATCGTGGGGTTTTGTCTGATCCTTTCCGTCTCGGGAGCCTGTTTAAGATCGGAGTCATTGTGTAGAAGGCCACAGGTTTGCCTCCAGGTCTTTCGGCCAGTACTGTACTTTGTCCATTTACTCATGCAGGAGGCGAATCTCGCGCCATTGCCCGTTTTCAAAGAACACGGCCACGGCCTGGAGTTCGCACAGTCACTCATTCACGC